ACTAGTATTATATATAGTACGTTGTGTTTTATAAAAGTAAAAAGCTTGTAAGGCTATACATTATAATATAATATAATTTATTTAAGCGTTTATGTCGTTATTTTTAAGCTTGAAAAAACCTGTACGTTAATTAATTAAGTAATTAACTTTGCTTTCAATCAAACGGTTGAAAAGTATCAAGAAAAAGTCGGAAAAGTTTTTATAGCTATAAGCTGAAGAAATTTATTAGAAGTCAGGCTCAAAGTTAAGCAGACTAGCTGTCATGGAGCAGTTTAACCATATAAGGCATATATTTTAATTATTAAGTATATTAAAGTTACTGAAAAGCTGCTTTATGTAATAAATTAATAATTTATTACAGTTAATGTACTTAAGTAAATTTCGAATAAAATGCCCCTTTAATCTAACACATTAAAATTTTTATTCATCTATAAACAAGTTAAAACTAAGTAACGTTTTAATATCGTTATTTTAAAATTATAAAATATCGCCTACTTTCAGTTACTTAATACATTAGCGTTATTTTTCTTTAAGTTTTATTCAAATATCTCTTAAAACAAGCTTAATTTAAGTTTTAACGTCGAATTATTAACTAAAGATATATATATATTTAAATATGCATTTCTAGTTTATTTAAAACGTTTTTTAAAAGCTCATAATTGAAGCTAACACGGGGAAAAAATACAAGCTGTAAAATTAACGCTATTTATCTTCAAAAAATAAGAATATAAGATTAAAATTAAAATTAAAAGAAGGGTGTTGTGGCGGTCCAGCACCTGTATCTACCTGGTTGAAAGCTGAGTCATCAGGTCACGTGTAGGCTTGATAAGGAAGGACACCACTATATGTGCTGCAGCCATTCGGGTGCACACACACCTGGATTTCTTTCCTTTCTCACCTTGTTATTTTCGGAATACCACAAGCTTTCCAGCACAACGCCGCAGGCATCGTGACAGGTATAGAATTCTAGGTGGAAATACTTTTATAAAAAAGCGTTCTTAACCGTTAGTTATAATACAATAGTTTTTATTTCGTATTAATTAAATGTAATTACAACGTAATAACATATATTTAAATACGTATTTATTAAAAAGGTTATATATATTAAACTTAACGTAGCTGACAAGCGAGTTGACATTACAAGCGAGTTGGCACTCGTCATGAACTTTCCAACCAATACGATTCAAACCATCATATCTCCACCAACAACAATGGCACCGCGTTATAACGAATCAGACTTGCAGCTAGCTGTTCAAGCTAAACGACGTGACCCTCATATTCCTATATTTCAGCTTGCGAAACTCTTCAACGTCCCTCGTTCCACTTTGAGCAATAGAGTCAAAGGAATGCCATCACGACGCGACAACATGCCCAATACTTTGAAACTTATGGTTTCCAAAGAGAATGCCATTTGTTCCTTCATTCTCGATCTGGATGCGCGAGCATTTCCGCCCCGGTACAGTTATGTTGAAGATATGGTGGATCAATTATTGGCGGCGCGTGGGGCTGGACGCGTTGGAAAGAACTGGACGCGGAACTTCATCAAACGTACACCAGGCCTCCGGACGCGTTTTCATCGGAAGATAGACTACCAGAGGGTCTTGAACGAGGATCCAGACGCGTATCGCGCGTGGTTTTGCCAAGTTGCAGCGGCAGTCGCGAAACATGGTATCCAAGACGCGGATATTTACAACTTCGACGAGACTGGGTTTATGATGGGCATTATTGGGTCCGGCATGGCCGTTACAAGCGCCGAAAGACGTGGCAGGCCTAGACAAGCTCAGCAAGGCAACAGGGAATGGTCTACAGCAATCTCTGCTGTTAATGCTGATGGTTGGGTGGTCCCGCCGTTCATCATTCTACAGGGCAAAACCCACCTCGCGTCATGGTATCGCGACACGATATTACCACGCGATTGGAAGGTGGCCGTGTCTGACAACGGGTGGACCACGAATGAGATTGATTTGGAATAGATTCAGCATTTCGACAAGTATACCAGACCGCGTATGACTGCCGGTAAACGCCTCCTCATCCTAGATGGTCACGAAAGCCACCATTCCCAGATCTTTGAGAGATATTGCCAGAACAACAGCATTATTACCCTTTGTATGCCTGCCCACTCGTCACACAGGCTCCAGCCTTTAGATGTCAGTTGTTTTAGCCCGCTCAAACGAGCGTACGGTCGCATGATTGAGGATCTCATCCGGCGTCATATAACCCATGTTTCGAAGGAGGACTTCCTTGCAGCGTTTTGTGAAGCACACAACGCTGCTATGACGCCAGGGAACATTCAAGCAGGTTTCAGTGCCACTGGGCTTGTTCCTTTTGACCCAGAAAGTGTCATTTCGAAACTGGATGCTGTCGCTGTCATACGAACACCGTCGCCAGACCCTAATCTGCCACCCACTACTTGGACTTCGAAGACGCCTACCAACATTAACGAAGCGGTAAACCAATCGGTTTATATCCGAAACCGAGTCAGAAACCACCAGAGAAGCTCACCTACATCAATAGTTGATGCGTTGAGCTCGTTTTTAAAGGCTACATACGGTCTTATGCATAAGGTCGCTTTGGTTGATTCCCGGGTCCGCGAATTAGAAGAGGCCAATCACCTATTAAGTAAACACCGGAGAACAAAAAACAAACGTCTAGTGAAAGGAGGAGTACTTTCCGTTGAAGATGCAGTAGATCTTCAGGCTGCAAAGGATGGTACTGAGCTGGCAAAACAGGAAATGGGTGAAGGTAGTCGTCGTCCGAGGCGGGCGGCAGCGCGTGGGCGACGGTATGGCGTTTGCGGCAATACTGGCCATAATGCGCGAACTTGTACAATAAAGATAGAAACCTCTGAGGAAGAGGAATCCGATTGATTGAATTGAACTGAATGCGTTGTGGTGAAGTTATTTGACATGGCAGTTGGAGAGTTCATGACGAGTGCCAACTCGCTTGTAATGTCAACTCGCTTGTCAGCTACGTTATATAATGTTTAAAATAATATATATATATTTTATGAAGAGCTATTCTTTTTAAGTTTCAAATAAACTACCTTTTACTCCGTAATAATTATTTAATATTTTTTAAAATATTTCAATTTTATTTCTTACTAATGCTTTTTTATTGTATAATATTTTATAATACATTTTATTAAGCAAAGTAAAACATCATTTACGTACCGCGAAATAACGAAATATATAACATAAATATTATCAATACTTTTAATTATTTATAATAATAAAAAGGTATAAGAATTATATAATTAATAAATACGCGCTAGATAAGAGTCGTTTTGACGATAAAAAGAAATCCATTAGTTTTACATATAAATATTATAAACTTTATTTAATTGCTTGTGCAATAATAAGTTTATGTCTCTGCGCTACGCAGTCTTCTTTCATGCGTGTCTCCAAGTAAAGCGAACGCATGATGTTCGAGGAGTACAAGGGCACCGAGGCCTCCTCATGGCGGCGGACGATAATCTAAACCTGTAGAGCATCGACGTTTGAACCGGGGGAAGGTGTTTGCAGCTTGCCTAATGCCTTGCTGGTTGAGGGCGATGGGACTTGGGGGTGGCCCGCGCAGGAAAAGTAACTCGTAGTATCGATGCACTCCGATATGAATTTGCTTTCTTTTAGCGTATTCCAGCTATAGACTTTGCTTAATAGGTTTTTATAGTAAGTCAATTTAAAAATGGGATTAAATCCGTTACTATTAGCGAAACTTAGCATTAAATATATTAAACATTTTTAAATGTTATTTTAAACTCTTAAATATTATTTTCGTTATTATTCACTTAATTCGAAATTAAGCTTCTTAATTCACTTTATTTATCTTTTTAAGAATAATAAGAACTGGTATTTTTAAGATTTTTAAACGTTTTTTTAAAGGTAAGAAACTGAGTAGCGCTTTTATACCTTTCAAACTAGTAAGTTAAAAGGTTAACATTTTATAATTATCTATTAATAAAAGTTATATTATAATAAAGGTAAGCAAGATATTAGTTTAATTATTAAATGATAAAAATTTACTTTATAAGGACAACGAATACTGACTTATAATAAATAGCTAGTTAAATCGTATTTAAAAGTTTTCAATACTTATTTATTTATTAAGAGTATTACATCAAATTAATTACGGCTTTTGAAACGTTTCAAAGTTTAAATCTTACTGTTGATATAAGAAATATCTGTTTGAAAAATTCTTTTACTTTATATCAAGCTTTAAAAAAGTACTTACAAATAAAACAATTTGTGAACATATTTAATCAACTTGATTATTATGAAGTCATGAATAATATTAATTTACTTTAACTCAATAAAAATGTTCTGTCAACGTAGGTTAAGTCAGTGCGGAGCGTAACTTAAAATCAATCCGCATTTTATTTAAAACGGCTATACGAAACGAAGATAATAGCTACGTAAAACGCCATTTTTCATAATTAAAATCTAAGTTATTAATATAAAGTCGTTAAAAAAATCAGCTATAACTAATAATACTAAGGTCTTTTATTTATTAATAAATAGCATAAATGGGTGTAAAGATTATTATTTTTAAGCAACGAGATTTTTATAAGGCTTTCAAAGAGAAAGCTCTTGCTAGACAACTAGTCGTTACAAATCATAATCTATAGAAGGGATAAGACGCTTTGTAATCCACACTTCCGCACCTGAGACAACGTATAGAATACGCCGCTGTTCATCCTCTCCACATCACACAGGTGATTCATATAGGACTATACTCCAGAGATCCTTGCGCTGGTGGGAACCCCTTGGTAGATGATCGCTAGGTCCCAAATAAGATACCGACTTACTTTTCGATAACGACAGCTTCTTGTTCCAGTGCCTACCTCACGGCATCTCACACATTCGGCACCTCCTTCACTGGCCGATGCTCTGGTACTGTCCCGGCCTGATTAATACCTGTTTGCACCGAAATGCTAGTCCACTTGGTTCCGTATGGACTGACATATTGGTTGGCTCTAGCGATTTCTAAGCGCGGTCCATCTCCTACCATGTAGACCTGCCTGAGCTCTTTTCCGGAAACTTCAAGAAGAGCTTGCTCACCATGTTCAAATTGGAGTTGGGTCGGCTTGCCAATTGGCTGTAGTGTGTGCTGTTGATCAGCTGGGTTCCGGTCAGGCCCGACCATATTCCTTGCAGGGCTAGTTTGAAGCTCCCTTGACAGACTCGTGGAAAGGGATGCTTAGTTGCGTAAGTATGGTCCGGGTTAGCGAAGAAGATCCGAGGTTGGCCATCTTGGAGATACCCCTTGTTTGGCAGGTCAGGGTTTCCGTTGAGTGGGGACAACGTGCCGAATCTTCCTCTTTCAGAGAGGAGCAAGTTGGTGATGATCTGCAGATCCAGGCCCCAATCTCTTGGAGATGAGAAGATGAAAATTGCCGCGATCTCTAGCGACGGCGAGTTTTCTCCATCGCGAACTGCTAGCGGTCTAGCAGTCTTGGCAAAGTAGGAGCCATACATCTCGTTGAATGGGAAGATCGAGGGATACGCTGTCACAATGTCAGCAGAGGTTATCACCTTGAAACCGTAGTGTTCGGCCACAAACCTGCATTCGTCGCCAACACCTCCAAGCACAAGAGCTTTCTTGTCGGCCAAGCTTGGCACTTGGTTCTTAAACGGGGTATGTGCTTGGATGAATTGGGAGGGAGAGAGGGGTATTCCCAATCGTTCGGCCATGTCAGCAGCTCTGACATCTTCGGTTTTTCCGCCTCCGTTGGTCAGGAATATGAACGGGACGTTGTTGTCCGATAGCCAGGTCATGGCTTCTTTGGCTCCTTGGCAGAGTTGCCCGGATTTGTAGATGACACCATCGATGTCGAATGAGAAGGCGAAGTCCTCAGACTGGGCGGGAGGAGACATTGCGTTGGTTTGCTTTTTGGTTACGATGATAAACCTCGGTTGTAATTGTGGATTTCAATTGCAATTGAGGAATGTAAGTTAATTTGGAGATGTTGGTCTTGAGGAGACGTGATAGAACAATCTTTTATATTACTAGCAATCTAGGGGCTATAAAGCTGTTCTGATTCATGATAGAATGATAATAACAAGCGCATTGTTCAATTATTGCCAAGGCAGTTTTCTTTGACATGAAAATATTCCGACAATAACCAAGTCAAAACAATAGGTATTGTATTTTCCTTTGCACATAACAAAGGAAACAAAGGCGGATAGTAGAAAAATCAAAAGCGGTGATCGTCGCTACGCTGCTGAGATAGTAATGCTCCCTGATATGAAATTGACCTGGTATATACGCATCCACGCCCCTCCCTGTCCGTAAGGCTTTTTTATCTAGGTCTACACTTACTCCGGGTTTCATGAATAAATGCAAATTATTATCCAATAAATATGTACAGATCCATGCCCTGCCCAATGAGCACCCTCACCACCACCAAAGTCCCCATCTTCACGTCTCAATCCCACATCACGGCCTCCAATACCTGACGACGGTAAAGGTGGCCTGGCCGCTGTTCTCCTTATAAGCTTCAGCCGCTTCGTTCGCAGACGCCTCGATAGCGCCGACAGAGGCGTATCTAAAGTTGATAATACCCTCATCGCTTAGTCCTCTCAACATTGCCAGAGCCCACGTTCTGCACGTGAGTCTCCCGCCGATTCTCTGGTGTTCATCTCTCTCCTTGATAGCCGACCCTCTCGCCCTCAGGTACCATCCCCCCATACATCTCGTACACCCCCACATCTCGTACAGCAAAACCCCACCACTACCACTTAAACCTTTATGTGTTTACTTATACGCTTTAAGCTCGATATTAAAGCTATTTGAAATATACCTGATATTTTTAATAGCCTTGATTTTAAGTTTTCTTATAGTATAAAGTTTACCCCGTGCAGTATACGTAATTAATTATTAGTTACCTCGTGTTTTTTACCTCAGATAGAGATTTTTAAATATTTAAGCTTCGTTTAAAGCCTTATTTTATATACATCGTAACATCGTATGACCGCTTAAAATGGTTTTTAAACCGTATATAAAGGATAAAATAGCGGATATTATTTTAAATATTATAAATAAAAACTTCTCGTCATAAAAAAGTGTTTAAAATTACGGCGTTTTTATTATGACGCTATTCAATATGTAAAATACTAAACGTTTATAGATTAAAAGATATATATATTAATAAAACCTTTTTTCATTTTATAAAAGTATTATAATAAAATAAATTTTGGTTTGAAAAAATTTAAGCTTAGCCTTTTTATAATTTTTAATATATAAAATAAATAGAAAAAATACCAAAAGAAGAAAGGAATAAAGGCCTTTTAAAAAATGTTTTACTAGTAGGTTTTAAACGTTATAACCTTTTAATTAATATTAAAATTAATAAAAATTTAAAGTCATATGTTATAAAGGCTTCATACTTAAATTAATTAATTAGGTTGTTTAAAGAAATTAACTAAGTAAAATAAAAGAATATTTATAAATTCAATAAAAACAGTATTATATCGGATTTTAATAACTATACTTACTCTTTTAATTTTTTTAAAAATCTAATAAGACTTACAAATATCGACTTTTTCGATCTTAGTAATAAGATTACTAAAAAAGTTTTTTTAAAAACACATCAAAACTGTAACTAAATCTTTTTTATTAAAAATACTTCTGTAATTGAAAAACTTTAAATTGAAAAGATTTTTTTCTGAAAACCCTTTGAGCTTAATATTTTAAAGGCTTTAAACTAAAAGATTAGCAGATTTCTATTACAAGCTATTAAATCACAGATTTCGATAAAAATAAATCTTTAAAAACTAAGTTAAGGTTTTGAAAAATAATTACTACATTTTAAATAAAAAAAACCCGAAATTGTTAAAAAATTAGGAAGATTAAGCCTTCAAATTTAAATTAAACTACTTACGATTAAAAAATAAAAAAAAATCTTTAATTTAATAAAAAGTTTAAAACAGGAACAAAATTTATTTTAGATATATATTATTATTCATACTTACTATACGCGTAAAAATATAAAATGAAATAAACATTAAATCATAAAACGAAAAGAAAAATGAAGATAAGCCTTTTAATGAGAACGTTTTAAAAGCTATCTAAAAAACTTTGGCTATTACGATCTGGGCAGGCTATTCGCGCGCCGGCTAAATATTACGCATAAGCGACTTTAACGCTTTTGAATGATAATTTGCTATATTTCTGGCTTAAATAACTTCATTTATAAATGGGTGATTAAGGGGGTGTTTTGGTGGCGAATGCGGGGTTTTGCTGTACGAGATGTGTTGAATGGGAGCCGGAAATAGACACCGGAAGATCTCCAGTGTGGCAGAGACGCACGGGGCATCTGACCCACCAAGAAGACAGATGATCAATCTCTGTACGCAGAACAAGAACAATCAAGAGAATCCATCAACATCTGTGTATTAAACAAGATGTGGGGGTTGTTGGATTTAAGGTGACCCCAGAGGGCACCTTGACAGGTAGACAACGGAACCTAGTTGTTCCGTCCCAATCTAGCCCCCTTTGGCACAAAACTGCCACGGTCGCACGAGGACACTCCAGACAGAGAGAATACACACACACACTTCACTCTCACGATTGGCTCAAATCTGACAGGGGTGTACGAGATGTATTGTCACGGCGAGCATACTGGGGAGCTGGGACATGGCCTGCAGCAAGCAGCTATTACTCTATTGACGAGAATATCAAGACTAGAGAAGAAAGGAAGAGAGAGAGAGAGATAGGTACAGTGGGAGGTTGCCCCTTTAAGGGGATCCTCTGGTCAGATCCTTCCCCTATTGGGAAGTATCCGCTTGTCATGTGGGAGGTCTATGCAGGCCGTCACATGTATGGGGGGGATGGTAAGCCGTGATATTGACGAAGTCCAGACCATCAAGGTCGGCGACCTCGTAGAGGATGACAAGCTTTGACTTCGTGGCAGGATCCAAGTCCCCGACTTCGAACTGCCATCCATCGCTTGGCAGAGTCTGGGGATGATTGTTGTCGACGTGATGAGAACGGTAGCTGTGGTCGAACATGTAGGTAACAAGGGACCAATGCTAGGGCGGTCAGCGTTGTTGATAGGCGAAGGTCCGCATGTAAGATTTCTACAAGAGAACATGCGGGCGTGTAAGTACGTACATATCCTCCAAGCCATCGTTTCTGAAGCGCCATGTACAGCTTGCCGGTCTTGGGGCGGTTTACTTTCTCGTAGCTCGGCATGTTGTCAAATGCCTCGGTGTGCAAAGCTGTGGCAGTCGTGTGGCTCTTCAACCCCATTTCCAGCCACAATGACGGATGGGTCACGGACCAGGGTACAAGGTACCTTGGAGCCCAACTGGTACCCGTTTGTACCAGATTCGTACCCAACTGGGATGATAGCTACTTCTAGGATGGGGACACCACCCATCCTTTCTTTCAATTAAGCAACTTCCAGAATCCAGACCAATAGCCACCATTCGTTACCTTGGTCCCGATTCTGGAACCGCTACCCACAAGGCACAGTCGTGTCTTCGCTGTTGATCGTTGTAACAGAATATGTATGGTCTGGGTATATGCGTAGGTGGAAGTTATCTTGGTTCTCAGAGTGCATAATGTAACTCAAAGAGCACTCTGGCATTATTTATAAACTTCTTTACAAGGACTTGACCTTGGTGAAACATCCAAGATGACCAACTTGGCAACACGACATGCCTTGGTGAATGTAAATTTGTTGTAGCATTTTATGCCGGGGATGGTGAATGTAAAGAGTCCATCGGAGGATGTTCAGGAACCCAAGGACATGTCATCACTTCATTCTTCAGAATATTCCATAGTATTTGTCCACGAAACGCGGTCATTCCTACGAAGATGTTGGCTTCAAGGCTCCACGAGTGTCAGGTGGTTGTCTCCTTTGCAGTCACATGGCGAAGTGCGGCAAGCCCCAAGAAAACATTTAGCAGTCGTACATAGGTATATCAAAGTATTGTGTGATTCAATGCGAGTGTGTTGTTCAAGTATCTCCTTGCATGAGATCTACTGGATCTACCATCTCTCCATAGTACATACAACTGCCTCACATCTGATGCAAATACAACAACATAGCGCTCCGCGCGGTGAATGTTCAACAGGAGACTTGGTGATTCGGTAGAGGCTGTAGTTCTGCCAACCACTGGAGAAGAAGGGTTTAAAGAGGCTTGTCGGATTAGAAGTGTCTTGAATCACTTCTTTTGGGAAATTAAGATGTTTCGATGTCGCGGAGTCAGGTTCTGCGACTCGTGGGCAACGCATATGGCCCATTTCTCTGGATCATTCACATGAGGCAGTCTTTGGTTTTCACTGTGCGAAAGCAGGTCCGACTCATTCGAGATTGGTACGAGGACTGATCTGATTGTTACAGTCTCTTACCTCCTCCAAACAACACACTGTGGTTCATATGTAAATTTACGCCAGAGATCCCTGAACGACGTGGTTATCGGCCTCGAAGACACTCGGCTTGCCCACCAACGCAGTTTCAAGAGCGCCGAACTGACGTGTGCATTCGACTGACCCTACGAAGACGACCTTAAGAAGACGACAGAATCATCACTCTCTGCAACTCCTGCGTTGCGCGAGGGGGATCACTGGAGATATCTTCTTCGATACGCCCCCAAAATCGGCATGAGGTTGGCTAACTCAGAATCTGGTCAGAGACGAAGTCTCATCCCAGCCGCGCTTCATACCACCAGCTTTCCAGGTATGCACGTGCTAGAATGGGGCTGTAACCTTCACGGCAGCACTCCTGGTAGACGGCACCGAGAAAGAGAGATGCTGACATTTGACAACCAGTCTTGGAGACCATGTAAAGAGACTTCGATGCAACAACCCGTTCGCAACCGCCAACAGCGTCACGAAATACACCGCAATACTGCGTATCGTGCTATCGGCCCGCTACTTGCAAACCTTTCCATGACGCTCTTTTCAAGACAGATTATGACTTCCAATCCCCCTCCATCGTCACCGACGTCGGGCACGCGTGGGAGAACGATCGGGTACCTCTTGTTCGGCAGCTTGGGGAGCCGAACAGCATCGCAGCGTCCTACTGCAACTCCCCAATCCAGCTCGTACACGCTCTGGTCAGCCCACGAGACAATCGAGATACCGTCATGCGGTGGGCCCAGAATGATGGAGGGCTGGTCTGGATTATGGTTGAGATATGCCAGGGTATCTCGAACACTGGCGTCGTTGACGCGATTGAGAGACGCGCGTATTGCCGTGGCGACCCGCGCTACCGCGGGGACAGAGCTTGAGCCTGCATCGTTGGAGAGGGATATGATGTCGTCGCGCAAGGCCGTGGCACTGGTCATGGCGAAGGCAGCGCCTAGGTAGCCCTGGGGAAGGGGCGGGTGAAGCTTAGAGCGGAAGTCCACAGGGAAGCCGATCGTGCTCGTGGCCTTGCTCAAGTGAGTGGTGGTAGGATTATGGTCATGATCGTTCAGTTCAGCCCCAAGAACAGCGCCCCATAGGAGCGTAGTCAGAGCGTCCCAAGTTGATACCCAGCCAGCAGTTCCATCAGAGACCAGAAGCTCGTTCACCTTCCGTTTCAGATCGCGGAGGCCTCGCTGTGGAAAGTAGAAAATGGCCGTTTGCCATTCTTCACTGCTTGACCGAGTGGTGACGCGTCTTGAAGCCTCCGCAGGTGTCTGGATATGAAGCAGCCCGGGGATGTTATGTGGCGGCGTTCGGGTAGTATTGTGTGGCTCGAGGAGTACTCGCCGGTCCATCCAGCTCGGATCAAACCCAACTGGTCGGAAAGACCCAGCGCGACAGTTTGAAGCCCATATCTTCAGCAGGGTATCGAATCCCGTAATATCAGTGGTGCTGTGGTGAAGAGCAATGCAGAGGAGGAAACCGCCCTTCACCAGAGACAGCCTCGCACGGAAGACCGGCGCAGGATCCGGGTAGGGGGGTTGCGTGTCCGCAGGGACAATGCCAGATGCCATTAGTGCCGCAGGGGGGAAGTTGTCCGCCTTCAACTGCGCATATTCAATATGACTTGAGAGGTTGTTCCCTGTAAACAGGTCGTCTAGAGCCTGGCAAGGTGAGCTTAGTGCAGCTGATCTCTGTGATGCCCCTGCTCCGGTACAGACAACGCTGGATTGTAGGTATGGAACATCTCTCACTACTCCAGCCAGACCATCTTTGAGCGCTCTCAAGGCATTCGGATCTGTTGAAGGAAAGCAGAGTATCTGTCGCACGTAGACTCTCGGCATAAGCCTGTCAAAGGGCGACAGGGCTGTCTCGCTTGCAGTCGCTGCCATTGTTTCGTCTAGTTTGAGAGAAGAGCAAAGCTTCAATTGGAAGGATATTATGGCTCTGTACGGTAGAGAGTGTTTGCCAGGCTGCCTGTTGCAGCATGTGGCCAGGGCCCAGGTGATACTCACACGTCGACGCTGTAAGCCAATTATGGCGCAAAAGCGGGAAGTACTACCTAGGATAAGGGAGTTTCGGATACATGCTCGCTATGCGTGACTTGGTCTTATTGAGCAGCATCATATTCGCGTGGATTGTTGATGGATGGGAAAGGAACCGGGTTGACGGTGAGGTGTCTGGAGATAGATCAATTTAACTCCATCCCGATTACCGACGGAAGCTGTGGCTGGTGGATGTGGCTGGTTGTGGCTCAGCTTGGTCATTTCAGCATCGAAATGCCAATGCCAAATCGCGTCGTCATGTTGGCGACTATCTGCCATCTGCCATCTGCCACTTCAAAGCACTCGACGGCACTGATGACTTCCAGGTTGTTGGATGTTCCCATGTTTAGATTACACTTGGTCGGCGCTACCCGTAGTCTTATTTCAGCCCTGGACTAGTTTGACTAGCTGGATGTTGTTTGAGTTAGTCGACAACTCAAGCGTCACCATCGTCTCAGGATGAAAAATGTTCACCTTGGCGTGACATATTGGACCCGTTGAACAGTACACACAGCAGTCGCATCTGATCGTCCCGTCTGATGAGCTGACTGGGAGAGACGATGAGGGCTGCTAGCGGATGGATCGACATCGACGAGCGTCGCTCCATACGGTACTGTCCAATGTCCATGCGCTCGTCACGCATCAGTGCTCATGCTACTATCTAATACCAGGGGACATCCCCCAGCTATTTTGCCTACGAAGTTATCCGAGGCCGACTAGTATCTAGAGCATAAGCTAAAAGTTTCTAGAAGCCCGAAAGAGGCATTCACCAGGTCTGGTCCACCCCATCCGGTCCGTTGCGCTCGGCTCTGATTGCGACGGTTGACGATGGTTTCACCAACATTCGCAATATACCTAGGCGTCGATCTGTTTGTTCCTGTGGTTACTGCTGTGCTTTACAGCCACTGATAAGCTTTGCCACTCTGAAGCCCAACGGAGTCATCGGCCTATTGGTGATCTTGATGAGAGCAAGGCCGAAGCTAACAGACAATTGCAGCGCTCATCCCGACAGACGATCTGGGGTGTCGCGTGAGGCTTGCCTTGAGCTCAGACGGTGCTTCATCTGCACTTGCCGGCATCTCCTTGTCTCTATTGCCTGCGAAGGATGTGGGTTTATTAGAGCAGCTGCTTGATCTGCACCAGGACCAAATCGGAGCTCCGTCTGAAGAAGCACGGGGAAATAAATATGACATACGTTCCCTAGATACTTGCCGAGATGGTTCTTCAGCGTAACTCGTAATCCTCCTGCACTTTGAACTACTGGCTGGCCCATTTTATACACTTCACAGTCCTGCTAGGGTTTTGTTATTCAGCATACAGGTACCCTTCCTTATCGAATTGAAATGGCACTTCGCAACACTTCACTTCCTCGTACGATATCAGGCGAATTGCCCAGTCTTAAAGAACAAGAGTCAAAGGAGCAGCTTGCCGAGTTGGCTGCTCAATCTGGGGACACTCTTCACGCTCCTCGGCAATCGTATCGGGAGCAACTCTCCTCAGCATCGCACCGGTCCGTGTCCCCGAACACGACGGGAAGCACCAACCAGGAAACCGCAGAGCCAGAGCCTTCCTCCTATCTGCAAGTCAAGCCCGCAGCTGATAGCGCTGGGCAGGCATCTACTCCCGAAGTGCCGCCTATGAACCCCAACCGCAACTCCTTCGCGGAGTCCATTCCGGAAGATACGGCCACCCCAACGGCTCCACCGCCCAGGTCAGCATCCCGTGCGAGCTCGCGCACACCGAAGCCCCGAAACCCGAGCTACCGGGCGCCGACAAGAAAGCCCGTCCCGCGGAGCGACAGCACCTCGGAACTCGACACTGCCACCATGGTCCCCCCTTCTGCTAGCTCAATGCGCTCTGTCAAGCCTACTTGGCAGGAACCCGATGAGGCGGAAGACGATTCCTACGAGCGAGAGGATGGAGACCGGGATGACGGCCAGTACTACGAGAGGACCACGCCACGCCAGACCCGACCCCGTCGAAATCGCCCCGTCTCCTACCCGCCGCGCACGAACTATAACCGGTACTCATACCACGATGACCGAGACGCGTCTCCTATCCGTCCACAGCTCACGCCGCAGCAGCAGCCCTTCACCAGAGCTCCGCGCATACCAGATGAGGAGATGGCCGTAAGACAGCCGCAGTTTGAGATGCGCGGCGCCTACCATGGCGAGAGCGCATTCGACCAGCAAGGCTTCGACGCGGCCCCGGAATTCGGATGGAAAGACCTCAATGTAGAACAGAAGGCCGAGGTGTTGCGACTGCCGCTGACCGCGTGGATGAATTCGGACCTGAAGCACCACTTTGTCGCGAGCCTGGGCGAGCTAATCGGAACCACCATGTTCCTGCTGTTTGCGTTTGCCGGAACCGAGGTGGCCAACATCCGCTCGCAGACCCCGGCCCAGTCCACGACGGGCGAAGCGGTCGGCTTTGACGTCAACGTGCAGTTATACATCTCGCTCGCATTCGGCTTTTCCCTCCTGGTTAATGCCTGGGTCTTTTTCCGTATCAGCGGTGGCCTGTTTAACCCGGCCGTTACCCTGGGCATGTACCTGGTCAAGGCCATTCCGCTCACCCGCGCGTGGTTCCTGTTCGTTTCTCAGATCCTCGGTTCGCTTCTTGCTTCGGTTATCGTGCGCTATCTATTCCCTCAGAACTTCAATGTGCGCACGACTCTCGGGCAGGGGACGACCGTTGCGGAGGGCGTGTTCATCGAGGCCGTCTGTACGGCCCAGCTGGTCTTTACCATTTTCATGTTGGCTAAGGAAAAGCACCGCGCTACGTTCATTGCGCCTATTGGTATTGGCTTGTCGCTCTTTATCTCCGAGATGGTTGCCGTACAGTTCACTGGGGGCTCGCTCAATCCGGCGCGCAGCTTTGGTCCTTGCGTGGTTACGCTAGCGTTCGATAAGGAACACTGGATCTACTGTAAGTTCCAGTCCAGCCACGTTTTTCATGCTTGCGCTGGCAAAACAAATATACTGATAATGTTCCAGGGCTGGGTCCTGTGATCGGCGCCGTAGCAGCCGTGGTATTCTACCGCTTCATCAAGACTCTGGAATACGAGGTAAGCCCACGTTCCATACCCTAAGCAACCCCATTGCGCAGTCACTAACCGGTTCACGCAGATGGCAAACCCCGGTCAAGACGACGACATCGACGTAGAGGAACTGGCCCAGAAGGACCCGGAGAAGCTCGAGCAGCTCCGGGCCGGCCCCAACCGCAGCCTGTCGTTCCAGCCGCGCCCTGGCCCAGGGACGCCCAGCGTGCGTACCAATACCCGCACCATGTCCATCCGCCAGGGCTCGGAGATGGGACTGAGCAACCACCGGCTGTCGTTCCCGCAGCCGAGTGATGTTCGGGCTGGCAGTACGGCTTCTTTCCATTAATACGCCTTGATATGGGATTAGACGTATATAGAAGATAGAGGTTCATATAGTCGCATCTAGCACGACGGACGAGATTCAATCCGTGTGGGCGTCGTCATTCTCCACGGAGAGCTGCAGTGAATGACGATATGACAGTGTACGTCATTGGGCCCTAAAAGTTACTATTAAAATTAATCACATACTACTTTATAAAAACCGATACCTTTGTAACTATGTAAAAGTTCAATATCGATAGAAAATATATTATGTAATAATTTATAGTAATAATATCTTTATATTAATACTGTAGGTAGGTATTAATAATTAAAGCCGTATATGTTGGCACAGGCTTGACCGATCAATCATAATACTCGAGTATTGTGACGGCCTGCACAGACCTTCTCACATGACAAGTGGATACTTCCCAATAGGGGAAGGATCTGACCAGAGGATCCCCTTAAAGGGGCAACCTCCTACTGTACCTATCTCTCTCTCTTTTCCTTTTCTCTCTAGTCTTGATATTCTCGTTAATAGAGTAATAGCTGCTTGTTGCAGGCGATGTCCCAACTCCTCAGTATGCTCGCCGTGACATAATATCGAGACTAGCCCATACCAAATTAGAAGCCTTGTGTTCAAATCACCACTGTAAGGAGTTTTGCCTCTAGCAGTGACAGGTGCAGTGTCTCCAAATACCCACCTATCCCAAGACTTTATTATCCCACTTATTATTACCACTGATTCTGTCCAACACATTATGACGATGAGTACCATTATCATTCCAGAACATCAGGATAGTTCTAAAGGGACTGGAAGACCAGCTCAACCTATCCAAACATCCCCCAATACCAACAACCTTCCCCCAAAGAAACAGAGAACCAAGGCACGAGGGGGCCGGAGCAAGCCAAACACGCGATCAAAGGCCGCTTTGACCCACAGTAAATCTCCCTTAAACGCTTCATCGTCTCCATCTTCCTCCAGGATCACATCCCAGGACCCACAGACCCAGCCCATGGCACCAATCATGAGCGGTGCTCTGGCCGATCAGACGACCCCTTGCTCTTCAACCTGGATGTGCTTACACCAGAGCAGCTAGCCAGACTACAAACCAAACTACACAGCCGGATCCTGAGGTCTGAGCCACCAAGGCCCACAACAGAACGACAGTCTGTGCATTTCAGCGCACCACAAGAAGAACGAGCCTTTCCTTCTTTGGAAACAGGTTCTCCATACACAATGACCCCAGCTTCTATGGCATCAACCTCAAATGCCATGCGACATTCTATCAAGCTGGCAGACCCTACAAAGCTGAGTGACGGTCAAAACCCAGCTTTTGAACAGTGGAAGAACAGCACTCAACGCAAGCTACGGACCCAATACTCGAGTATTATGATTGATCGTTCAAGCCTGTTCTAACAGCTTTAAATATTTCGTTTACTATTTCACGGTAACGATTAATCCGTATTATATAAGCCGCTTTTTTAATATTATAATTAAAGAGGTTTCTCGTAAAGTTTATTATATATTTTCTCGTTTTTTTTTCGTTCGTTATTAATAATAATATTAACTTATTACCGAAATTATTAGCTTTATTTATTTTGTTTTTATTATCGTCAAATATATTATTTATAACGACCATGTTTTATATGATTATCATATGATAATATTATAAGACAACGATTAAGATATTTTATGTCGTTTAAATTCGGACTGAATATACCTTATATTATATAAAGACTTATAGCTTATATATTAATATATAGAGTTTCCATTTTTTAATATAAAAGCTTACGTTATATGTTTTAAAGGTTCGTTATTGTTTCGATTTTGATTAATACGAACGTAACATTTTAATTCAATAATCATTATTTAAAATTGACCTGATTAATACTTACGTACGGTAATTAATATAAAGATATTACTACTGTTGGATCCATGCGATTCCAGACTGCAAACCATCTATACCAGGACCCACATGTATGATTAGATAAGATAAGATAGTGGATTGAGAGGGCACTTGGCCAGACCTTCGAGTCCAGCTAGATTCCTCTCAATCCAACCATCAGCAACATCATGACCTTGACCCCATACTCGAGTATTATGATTGATCGTTCAAGCCTGTTTCAACATATTCAATAAAAAAATGATTATAGTTTTTTATAAACGTTCCGGTATAATTATTATTATTACTCATACGCTGACCCGCCGTATGGACATCTCGGAGAGTCGTCCGGCATGCAGACCTCCTACGATCTATCTCCGTGTGATAAAATCCCGCATGGGATGAAAACCCCCACGCTACGGTCTAGTTCTGGCTTCGTTACGGCGCCGCCGCGGTTTGCTACAGTTGTATGTCATGACCTTCACCGCCTTGATTAACCTGATAGGGCGCGCATCCCTTGGCCCCTGAGACTTCTTCCCCCTCGTGATATTTCCCCTCCCCCTTGTGATATTCCCCCTCCCCCTCGTGATATTTCCCCTCCCCCTCGTGATATTTCCCCTCCCCCTCGTGATATCCCTATTACCATATCCCCCCTCCTTCTCCATTCTATCCGGTACTGTTCTATATCCTCTGCGGTCCGGCTCTTTGGCGCTTGTTGGGCCACCTCGTCACCGCTTAGCTTCCTTGCTAGTGAGAACATCCCCAGTAGCCCTAGTCTCAAAAACCACCGTATAAATTTTGGGGTCTCGTCCGGATCTGACAATAAGCTCTCGAAGTCTCTCCTTAACCGCAACGTTCTCGTCCCAAGAGAGGCTTGCAGTCTGCCTCTTTGGGCCGCGTATAGAGGGCATCGAAACGTCACGTGGTATGCCGTCTCCTTCTCGCCGCAGTCACAACGTGGTGTAGCCTCTCCTGGCACTCTCCTCTAGAACAGGAAAGCCCTCAAGCCGATGGTCTCTGTCCGGACCTGGCATAGGGCAGACGCCTCGTGTTTCTGCAGTCCGTAGTAATACTGCGGGACCGCCCCTACGAGCTCCTGTGGGAATTCTCCTTGAGCTGCTGGCGACCTCGCAGCAACTCCCGTCTGGCTGGCTCTTGCGACGGCAACTATCCATCGACTCCTCCACGACCTCTCCAGTGCCTGTTTCGGGTGGTCTTGGCCCAGCCACTTTAGGATCGTCTCCTTCCGGTCCGTTAGGTTATCTTTCTGCGGGGACGCTGTTGCGTAAGGCGACCGCCGAGACCGACCTCTCCCCCGCCTGCCGCCTTGCGCGGGTCTCCTTGCGGCTTCCATTACCGCCAACCTTGTGTCTCTCGCCCTCTCTTCCACCTTTCTTGTTTTGGCAGTAACGTGTCTACCGGCCTCTCCGTACATTCGACCTTCAAACACCGCCACCCTCATATCCAGGTATGCGTCCAGCAGGGGACAACCGGTCTCTGTCTCTAGCAAATGTCGCAGCGTGGCTTTAAAGGCCCCTGCCACCACCCTTAAACACGCCGCTTGCGTGGTGAGCATCTTCTTCGCTAGCCCTTGGGCCTGGTTGCTCTCTGATGGCGTATGCCACGCCGTCGCGCCAAAGGCGATGGCGCTTTGTACCACTTTGGTGTATACCTCCCAGGCTCGCGCCGCGCTACATCCCCACGTGGAGGCCGCTATCCTAGTGAGGCCGAAGATCTGGCGTTCTATCTTTGCTTTCATCTCTTTTAGGTGCCTGTTCTATCGCAACTTTCTGTCTAGGTATACTCCAAGGAACCTAGCTGACGGTACCGGCTTTACCAGGACCATCCCGTTTCGGACCGGATCCAGGATTTCTTCCCGCTGCCGCGTAAAATGTATAACCTCGCTTTTTTTTTTTTTGAACTGCATTCCGTGGCGAACCGACCACCTCTCGCATACCTGGTATGCCTCTTCAAGGACTTCGCAATTCCTCTTGGCGTCCGGGTGGACCGCCAGCATGTTGGTATCATCAGCAAAGCCCACTACCATCATGGGCAAGCCTGCTGCTTCAAGCTTCTCATACAGTGTGGCAACATATAACAGGAAGAGGATGGGGGACGCTGGGGACCCCTGGGGGACTCCAGGACTCAACTCTCGGGCTGCTGACTCTTTTTCATCGAAAAGGAGCTTAGCCAACCGTCCGTTAGTATAGCTTTTCATCCATCTGATAATTTACATAGGGTATCCCTTCTTCCATAGAATGTGGCAGAGCCGCGTAAAGACGATGGCATCGAAGGCCCCCATGATGTCCAGCTGCATCAGCGTGGCTACCGCACCGTAGCTCCATCCTGCATAGACTGCTTTGACTACCATGCGGATCGCATGTTCTGTTGACCTGCCCTTACGGTTCCCCATTTGGCCCTCGGGAAGGAGCCCGTGTGTCTCCGCTGCCTCCATCATACGGTTACCGATAACTTTCTCTATGACTTTCCTTATGCAGCTAAGAAGCGCGATAGGCCGGTAGGCCCCTGGAAGGGTCTTCTCTTCTGGTGTCTTTCCGGCTTTCGGTAATACCACTATTAATGCTGTTTTGAACTGCTTTAGCCACTTGCCCAGAACAAACGAGCATTCCGCGACCTCTGCCAGGGCCACTCTCAGCGGTTTGCCGCACATTTTAAGGAATCCTGCTGGCAGAAAGTCCCAGCCTGGGGCCTTTCAGGGCTTCATCAAGTCAAGAACTGCCTTAATGTCCGTCTCGTCTACCTTCCTGCTTATGGCAAACTTCCCTTCAAAGGGGTCTAGTCCGGTGTCGAAATCTTCCGGAATATTAGACAAGTCCGATGTTGGGGAAGGGAAGAATTTCCCTGATAAGATATCTACCTGCTCGTTGAACTTAGATGTCAGGCCTCCCATTGAGCCGGGTTTCCTTAAGGACGGGAGCGTTCCCGCCTCTCGTGGTTTGAACCCGCGCAGCCGTGCCGCCCTTTCAAGGTCCCAAAGCTTCTTATTATCTTTGGACGCTGCTGCTGTGAGGTAACGCCATGTTTTTGTCTGGGCTTTATTGATGGTCTGTTTCTGCACCCGTCTCGCCTTTGCTAGGCCTTCAAAGTCTCGATCCGACCGGGAGGATTGATAACGTTTTCTTGCCGCTTTCGTATGTGCCATTGCACGACCGACGTCCTTGTTCCACCACTTCTGTTCGAACCCGGAATTAGGCCCTTTTTTCCTTGTGGAGGCGTCTGCAATGTCTTGGAGCTGCTCAAGCAGCTTGTCGATATACTCTTCCAGATCCTTGATAGATCCGGCTCCTCCTGGAGGCGCAATCTTCAAGCCTTCGACTTGGACCGTTGTTTTGTCCATTATCTTTCACGACCAACCTGGCAGGGCCGCGTTTTGTTTCGATGTCTCGGTGTGAATTTGTACCATCTGTGGCAGGTGGTCTGAGCCCTCCCACTCCGGTGGGATCTCCAGCTCTGCCTTCAGGAGTGGGTGGGCCCAGATGAGGTCTATCGTGGAGTCCCTCTGATCATGCCCCATCCTTGTGGTCATTCCTCTTAGTGTCACTAGTTCTAGGTTCATCGTTTGAACAAGCGTTAAAAGTTCCTCGGTCTCTGTACCTAGCGTGGTTCTTCTGTGTGTATCCCATATCGGGTGGTGGAGGTTAATATCGCCTGCTAAGACAACCCTGCCCTCCCACCTCTTGTTAGCAATCGCCTGGAACAGGGGTGCGCGGTTCCCGCTCGATACCGGCTCATTATATAGCGATATAATGTTCAAGACACCTTCCTGCAAGCGGAACGTGACCGCTGCCCAATTGTGCCCTGCGCGTGCCTGCCATGCCTCCGAGGCGAACTTCTTGTTAATGTACAGCATCGCCCTGCCATGCCCTGAGTAGATCGGTATGTACTTGCAGCTGGCCGGGCAGTAAATGGCATTCTCAGGGCCAATCCATGGCTCCTGGATTGCGATCACGTCCGCCGGTCCCTTTATCCCGTCCTTATCCTCCCCACCCCGGATTGCCAAGGCTACGTTCTGTTTCGAAGCTCCTGCGTTCCACTGTGCCAGGTGTACCGGCATCAAAGGACCGAGTGCTCGGGTGTGTCAACGCTGTTACTCTCGGCCCTATCCTGGGTGCTTGAGATGTCGATTGTCGGGATGTGTGACAGTCCGTTTGGTGTTGCCTTTCTTGCCGCTGAAGTGAAAGAGATTCTGGTTTGTGAGGCGCTGACGTGTATTGGCCGGCCTCTTTTCAGTGTACTTCCGTTCGTATGATGGTGGCCGCCTTGCTTCCTCTTCTGGACCACCGTGAAGCCGTCCGCTCCTGTCCGGGGCGGGGCTGGGTCTTTCTGGATCTCGAACTGTCGGGGTCGGTATTTGTATGTCTCCCGAGCCGCCTCCTCTCTCTCCCTGTACACACGGCACCTTTTATCCCACGCCATATGGTTCCCTGCACAGTTCCTGTACTTAACTCTCTTCCGGTCGGTGTTTGAAGGGCAGTTAAATTCCCCTCCTTTGTGTGGTGCTCCGGCACATCTGCCACACCTCGGTTTATTTTGGCAGTATTTTGTCGGGTGTCCAAAGTCGTGGCACTTGTAACATTGTTCGACTCAGACGTTCTTTGTGAACAGCTCGCAAGAGTAGATTGCCGCTTTCTACACCAGCCCTTGCTCGCATAGCTTTTGGGCCTCCGTTATGTCATTCACCCGTAGCACTAACATTGCGTGTCGGTGCTCCGGGTTTCTTGGGAAGATGGGGTGCATTTTCCCGATCTTTGGTGCATGTTGCTGTATCTCCCCTAGAAGCTCTTCCGGCTTTGTGTGAACCTCCCACAAAATGCGGTACAGAAGACCTTTCGCTATCACCGTGAATTCACGGCTCGACTGTTCTGCCGTTGCCCTAAGGCCACTCTAATCCACGCTGCTGTCCCCTTCTTGTACTTGTTTGCCGTGTCAAGGAACGTAACCGCGACATCCCCGCTGGGAAGTCGGCGGGCTGCTACCGCTTCCTGTATGCCAATCGCCATGTTCACTGCTTGTACCGTTTCGACGGCCGTCCTCTTCGTCATCTCTGGGATGCTTCCAGAGTTTTGAATGATGACCTCCCGCTGGATCCGCCCCGGCACGAATACTTTTGGCGTGTTTGTCGCTACGGGTCCGCCTGCCGCGGCCACGTTGGCCCAGGATCGTGGTCCTGTTGTCCCCGGTACTGCTTGGTGTGTCTTTAGCATAAAGCGCCGAAATGCTGCTTCGATGGACCTGTTGAGTTCGTCTCGCGTGATCGCTTTGGTGTTTCGGTTTCCTGTCGTAATTGTTGCCGTTTTTGCGTTGGCCTCGGTGGCCTTTCGCGCCTCTATGGCTGCATACCTATGGACTATCTGGATGACCTCCTCTAGCGCGCCCTCCTTCACTAGGTTAGCCAAATCTTTCTTCAATGTAGTTTGCTCCTTTGCTCCCCCACGCTGCGCCTCGCTCACTGCCGGTGCAGTTGCGTTGGTCGCGCTTCGTCTGGCGTTGGGATGGTGCAAACTCTGCTCGAGCCCCGCCCTTCCCTGATTGATTACCATTGGTTCATCCGCACCACCGTCTTGCGCCATTGCTTGGTGATCTTGAAAACCACGCTGCAAGGTCAATTTGGGAGGTAGGAATGCGAATCTTCAAATTATTTGATGTAATAGTGTGTTGTTCCAGAGTTATCCGTCTATTAATAAATTTAATACTTGGTCTCCGGTATAATTAGCTTTGAAATTTTATAATAAAATTACTTACTAATTGTCACAATGCCTGCGGCGTTGTGCCGGAAAACTTATGACATTTCAAAAATAACAAGGTAAGGAAGGAGAGGAATCCAGGTGTCTGTGCACCCAAATGGCTGCAGCACATATGGTGGTGTCCTTTTTCATCTAATCTACACGTGACCTGATGACTCAGCATCCAACCAGGTGGATACAGGTGCTGGACCGTCACATTAATAAAATTATTATTGTTTACATTATTATCAATTGTGTATGTTATTTTTTACTATTCATATTATATAACGTAGCTGACAAGCGAGTTGACATTACAAGCGAGTTGGCACTCGTCATGAACTTTCCAACCAATACGATTCAAACCATCATATCTCCACCAACAACAATGGCACCGCGTTATAACGAATCAGACTTGCAGCTAGCTGTTCAAGCTAAACGACGTGACCCTCATATTCCTATATTTCAGCTTGCGAAACTCTTCAACGTCCCTCGTTCCACTTTGAGCAATAGAGTCAAAGGAATGCCATCACGACGCGACAACATGCCCAATACTTTGAAACTTATGGTTTCCAAAGAGAATGCCATTTGTTCCTTCATTCTCGATCTGGATGCGCGAGCATTTCCGCCCCGGTACAGTTATGTTGAAGATATGGTGGATCAATTATTGGCGGCGCGTGGGGCTGGACGCGTTGGAAAGAACTGGACGCGGAACTTCATCAAACGTACACCAGGCCTCCGGACGCGTTTTCATCGGAAGATAGACTACCAGAGGGGCTTGAACGAGGATCCAGACGCGTATCGCGCGTGGTTTTGCCAAGTTGCAGCGGCAGCCGCGAAACATGGTATCCAAGACGCGGATATTTACAGCTTCGACGAGACTGGGTTTATGATGGGCATTATTGGGTCCGGCATGGCCGTTACAAGCGCCGAAAGACGTGGCAGGCCTAGACAAGCTCAGCAAGGCAACAGGGAATGGTCTACAGCAATCTCTGCTGTTAATGCTGATGGTTGGGTGGTCCCGCCATTCATTATTCTACAGGGCAAAACCCACCTCGCGTCATGGTATCGCGACACGATATTACCACGCGATTGGAAGGTGGCCGTGTCTGACAACGGGTGGACCACGAATGAGATTGATTTGGAATAGATTCAGCATTTCGACAAGTATACCAGACCGCGTATGACTGCCGGTAAACGCCTCCTCATCCTAGATGGTCACGAAAGCCACCATTCCCAGGTCTTTGAGGATTATTGTCAGAACAATGGCATTATCACCCTTTGTATGCCTGCCCACTCGTCACACAGGCTCCAGCCTCTAGATATCGGCTGTTTTAGCCCGCTCAAACGAGCTTACGGTCGCATGATTGAGGATCTCATCCGGCGTCATATAACCCACGTTTCAAAGGAGGACTTCCTTGCAGCGTTTTGTGAAGCACACAACGCTGCTATGACGCCAGGAAACATTCGAGCAGGTTTCAGTGCCACTGGGCTTGTTCCTTTTGACCCAGAAAGTGTCATTTCAAAGCTGGATGCTGTCGCTGTCATACGAACACCGTCGCCAGACCCCAATCTGCCACCCACTACTTGGACTTCGAAGACGCCTACCACCATCAACGAAGCGGTCAACCAATCGGTTCATATCCGAAATCGAGTCAGAAACCACCAGGGAAGCTCACCTACATCAATAATTGATGCGTTGAGCTCGTTTTCAAAGGCTACATATGGTCTTATGCACAAGGTCGCTTTGGTTGATTCCCGGGTCCGCGAGCTAGAGGAGGCCAATCACCTACTAAGTAAACGCCGGAGGACAAAAAACAAACGTCTAGTGAAAGGAGGAGTACTTTCCGTTGAAAATGCAGTAGGTCTCCAGGCTGTAAAGGATGGTGGTGAGCTGGCAAGACAGGAAATGGGTGAAGGTAGTCGTCGTCCGAGGAGGGCGGCAGCGCGTGGGCGACGGTGTGGCGTTTGCGGCAATACTGGCCATAATGCGCGAACTTGTACAATAGAGATAGAAACCTCTGAGGAAGAGGAATCCGATTGATTGAATTGAACTAAATGCGTTGTGATGAAGTTATTTGACATGGCAGTTGGAGAGTTCATGACGAGTGCCAACTCGCTTGTAATGTCAACTCGCTTGTCAGCTACGTTAATGGTTAAATCCGACCGTAATATTAAGTCTTAACGCTTTTTAATCTTAATGTATATTTACGTTATTTATTACTTTTATTTTTAAAATCGATGTTTAGAATAAAAAGGTTTAAATATTTGGAGAATAGATTAACTTTACTCGTAAATATTATTATTTAGCTGTATCGGTATATTAACATTAAATATATTTAAGCTATGAAATAAAAGCGCTTATTGAGTTTTATCGTAAACGTTTTCATGAATTACGTTTCAATATAAACGACTATATTGATATATTGTTTATTTAAGCATTTGGAAAATAAGCGTTATAATGATAATAAAATTTATATTTAAAAACTTATATTTTTTATCATAACGTAGGTCACAAGCGAGCGGCAATTACAAGCGAACGGCAACTTTTCACCAATCTTCTAACCAACATGTCAAATAACTCGACCACAACGCATTTAATTCAATCTAATCAATCGGATTCTTCTTTTTCAGACGTTTCTATCTCTATTGTACAAGTTCGCGCATTATGGCCAGTGTTGCTGCAAACGCCACAACGTCGCTCACGCGCTGCCGCCCTCCTCGGACGACGACTACCTTCACCCATTTCCTGTCTTGCCAGCTCACCACCATCCTTTACAGCCTGGAGACCTACTGCATTTTCAACGGAAAGTACTCCTCCTTTCACTAGACGTTTGTTTTTTGTCCTCCGGCGTTTACTTAGTAGGTGATTGGCCTCCTCTAGCTCGCGGACCCGGGAATCAACCAAAGCGACCTTGTGCATAAGACCGTATGTAGCCTTTAAAAACGAGCTCAACGCATCAATTATTGATGTAGGTGAGCTTCCCTGGTGGTTTCTGACTCGATTTCGGATATGAACCGATTGGTTGACCGCTTCGTTGATGGTGGTAGGCGTCTTCGAAGTCCAAGTAGTGGGTGGCAGATTGGGGTCTGGCGACGGTGTTCGTACGACAGCGACAGCATCCAGTTTCGAAATGACACTTTCTGGGTCAAAAGGAACAAGCCCAGTGGCACTGAAACCTGCTCGAATGTTTCCTGGCGTCATAGCAGCGTTGTGTGCTTCACAAAACGCTGCAAGGAAGTCCTCCTTCGAAACATGGGTTATATGACGCCGCATGAGATCCTCAATCATGCGACCGTAAGCTCGTTTGAGCGGGCTAAAACAACTGACATCTAAAGGCTGGAGCCTGTGTGACGAGTGGGCAGGCATACAAAGGGTAATAATGCTGTTGTTCTGGCAATATCTCTCAAAGATCTGGGAATGGTGGCTTTCGTGACCATCTAGGATGAGGAGGCGTTTACCGGCAGTCATACGCGGTCTGGTATACTTGTCGAAATGCCGAATCCATTCCAACCCAATCTCGTTCGTAGTCCACCCATTATCGGACACGGCCACCTTCCAATCGCGTGGTAATATCGTGTCGCGATACCATGACGCGAGGTGGGTTTTGCCCTGTAGAATGATGAACGGCGGGACCACCCAACCATCAGCATTGACAGCAGAAATTGCTGTAGACCATTCCCTGTTGCCTTGCTGGGCTTGTCTAGGCCTACCACGTCTTTCGGCGCTTGTAATGACCATGCCGGACCCAATAATGCCCATCATAAACCCAGTCTCGTCGAAGTTGTAAATATCCGCGTCTTGGATACCATGTTTCGCGATTGCCGCCGCAACTTGGCGAAACCACGCGCGATACGCGTCCGGATCTTCGTTCAAGACCCTCTCGTAGTCCATCCTCCGATGAAAACGCGTCCAGAGGCCTGGTGTACGTTTGATGAAGTTCGCCGTCCAGTTCTTTCCAACGCGTCCAGCCCCGCGCGCCGCCAACAATTGATTTGCCATATCTTCAACATAAGTGTACCGGGGCGGAAATGCTCGCGCATCCAGGTCGATTATGAAGGAACAAATGGCATTCTCTTCAGAAACCGTAAGTTTCAAAGAATTAGGCATGTTATCGCGTCGTGATGGTCGGCCGGCGATTCTAGCCTTCAAGGTATTGTATGGGACATGGAAAGTCTTAGAAAGCTTGCCAATGGTAATATGAGGGTCGCGTCGCTTAGCTTGGACAGCAAGCTGTAAGTCTGATTCGCTATAACGCAATGCCATTATTGTTGGTTGATCAATTAGGAGCCTTGATTGAAAGGTTGGGTGGCTGGTGAAAAGTTGCCGCTCGCTTGTAATTGCCGCTCGCTTGTGACCTACGTTATATGAATTATACTTAATATTTATTTAAGATTAAAACGTTACATATACTTAGTATTATTAATATTTTTCAGAATATTTTATAAGACCTGTGATGAATCTTACACCCATAAGGTGGTTTGGTGGGGTGGACGCGTTGCCCCACTACACAGATAGATAGATAATTGTGGGTCGGGATTTGAGATCTATCACACCACCAGATTTGACTGGTGCTGCAGATCTCTCTTCTTGTTACAAACCAACAAATACCACGGCCTCTTGGAAGGCCAAGGGGAGTACACCAAGAACCAATGGAATCAGAAGCCAGGAACGGAACAATGGGTATTACGGATTACATAACAAATAACAAAAGGTCACATGACAGATCACTGAATCACGAAGTGAGCCTGCGAGGATCACTAGATCACAAAGTGAGCCTGCAAAGATCACTGGATCAGGGAGTGAGCCAGTGAGCATCACTCTAAGACAAGGTGATCCTACTCCATCAGTGAGGGCGAGATTGGATATATAAGGACAGAAATTTCCCAACTAGATAGATAGACAGTCTCTACCTCAGTGATCAATCTAAGCATCTTAGCCAACCCTAAGGTGGGAGAAATCTCCTGATGACTCGACTATACAGTGAACCCAGTTCAGACCAAGCCCTAGCACCTGAGTGTCTTCTAGTGGACAGAAGCCTCTATCGTCTTTTGTGTTGACTTATCTCAAAACATAAACCCTATAAAACCCTTTAGCCTTATAGGTTAGACGGCTCGTTACATAAGTAATTATTTAAAAACTTATTACATAAATATAAATTATATTAAAATCATCAACTATAATTAATGATTCTTTAAATTATGTATAATATGAACATTGTATTAAATAATGAATTATTAATATTTTATTTATTATTTATTCATTAATATTATAAAAAATAAAATACAAAATAAAATAATGAATAAATTATTAAATTTATTATACTGATGTATTATTGTGCCATTTTTTTATGCATTAAAAAATGCTTATAATTCGAAATTCAAATATATATTCAGCTGTATAATTATTTCCAATAATGGATTTTTATGAAAATTGTAAAATATATATTAATTATAATACAATATATTTCTTACTTGATGTTATATATTATAACTGTTTTAATTAATTTTAATGCTTAATAATTATCGAATTTCTTTAAGTAAAACTTAATGTTTTTTTATATTTTTTAAATAGTTTATGAGTTATGAGAATATGTCAAAATTATACTTAAAGATTAGATTATAAAAATTAATAAATATTTATAAATTTAATACTAAATATAAGAGCTTGTATAAGTTATTATTAAATATACTTAAACTTTATAGATTTTGTTCAATTTTTAAATTCCTTTTCTTTTATAAATATATAAAAAGTTTTAAAATTAATTTCTTGTTTAAATTTTAATATAGTTAAAAAAATTTAATTTTTGAAAAAAAATATTATAAAGTTTTCCTCTTATAATTTATTCTATCTAATATTTATTCCTTTTACTTTGTTTTTTTATTAGTATAATTTATCATGATTCTAGATGGCGGGTGATTCTTCCATTGGCTGAAAGCATGTGAAAACGAGGAAAGGTTGTGTGGTCGCATGAAAGCTCCATTGTCCGGCCTGCGGGTTCTTGTACCAGAATCTTATATGCTGCAAGGAGTAAGAGTACAGCCACATCGCAGGTAGTGCTATTTCGCAGTCGATGAGATACCATTATCTTGGGGCCCGTACCGCTTCGACCATACTCGAAACGGCGGCCCATTGCTGTTGCCCTTGTTGGTTGGTCGATCCAGATGAGCCAAAAGCAAAAGCAAAAGCACCAGCTAGTGCTGACAGGAATCGATCCTAGGTGCACCTCGTTCTCGCTCTTGGGACCGCAGCCCGCACGCATACGTAATCCGCCTGTCTGCGCCGCTGAACCCCAGTCTCAATCTAGCAGTCTCAGGGAGTCGAGCTTACCTATCAAACCTGAAGCTTATGTAACATCGCGATAGCCAATTTCACCCCATGTGATCTAACAGCATGAAGCAAGGGGGCAGGCCGGGGGTGGGAGGCCATCATAAACCCAGCCACGCCTTTTGTCTTGGCCTTCGACAATCTGCAATGAGACTTCGCACCCCAGCCCTCGCCACCGCCTTTTGATCTGACCAAAGGGCCCTTGGAAGTGGATCAACCAAGCTTCACTGATCGTATCGCACTTCAGTCTCTGCAGTCTACTACATCAGAGTGCTAGCAGCTTGTCCATTCTCAAGTCTCATACCTCAGCATTTCCCCATCATGGCGCCTAACAATAATTTCTCATGGACGCAGTACTTCCCGCCCAAGCCACGGTACACCATCGAGGACATCCCCGTCAGCCTCCAGGGGAAAGTCTACATTGTAACGGGTGCGAATAGCGGCATGGGCAAAGAGCTAGCTCAAGTCCTCTATGCCAAGGGTGCCAAGGTGTATGTTGCCTGCCGCTCTGAAGAGAAGGCTTCCCAGGCCATCAATGAGATCAAGCAAGCCGAGCAGAAGCAGAGTTCCAAAGGCGACCTGATTGCCCTGAGCCTGGATCTCAGCGACTTACGCAAAGTCCAAGCAGCGGCTAAAATCTTTCTCGCCAAAGAGAGCAAGCTCTACGTATTGTTCAACAATACTGGGGTCATGGTTGGGGACAACAACAACAAGGACCTGACGCCACAAGGCTACAAGGAGGCCCTTTGGGGTCAACTGCGTCGCTACTTTCCTATTCACCAAGCTCCTGACTCCGACGTTAGTCGCCACCGCCAAATCCGACTCGGAGCCTGCCGGTTCTGTACGCGTCGTCTGGCTATCATCGTTTGGCCTGGAGCATTTCGCGCCCGAGGGACGAGGCGTCGACCTCGACAATCTGGATCACCACACGCCCAAGATCCCAATTGAGCGGTACGGTATGAGCAAGGCCGGGACCTGGCTGCTGGCGGTCGAATACACTCGGCGATACAAGGATGTCGTAAGCGTGGCTATCAACCCCGGCAACATCAAAACAAACCGAGCCCGCCACCAAGGCATTGCGCTGAAACTCATTGCCGGTGCCATTGTCTACCCAGTGATCAACGGGGTCTACACACAGCTGTTTGCAGCCTTCTCGCCCGAAGTCACCACCCAAGTTGACTGGACTAAGAACTGGAGTAAGTCATCCATCCATGCATGCGTACCTACAGCCATATGGCAGTCTAACGCGTTGCCTGCCTGCCAGTCATCCCATTCGGGAGGATTGCCGCATTCCGGCCGGATCTCACCAAGGCAACCCTTCCGGTGGAAGAGGGCGGGAATGGAAATGCACAGCAGTTTTTGGAATGGCATGAACAGCAAGTCAAGGACTATCTGCAGTGAGCAACCCAAGCCTAGCTGCAGTAAACCTCGTCGAGGGACTGCTGATGTGGCTCGTCCTGTGGGTTTCGATTAGGAAATACCCCTATTATTAGTATGCAATGAGACCTGCGTCTTCAAGCCAACAGTCGCACCTGGGAACATCCCGTCATGCGCCAGGGTTAGGGTTAAGGGTATGTAGGCATCCTCAAGGTCAATCAGCCGAGTCCACGAAAGTTGACGGAAGCGCTCCTACGGTTTTACGTCAGTAACTCCATAGAAAAGGAAAACCGACGCCCAAGCGATCCGTTCTGGACGATTGAGCCTGAGATCATCTTTGATGACTGCGGACGACAGCTGGTACCACGCCTTGGCATTATCGACGAGTTGATCGCCCGTTATAACTCGGGGCGCAGGCCGGTCATGCGTGACCTGAACATTCAGAATTCATTGCTTGGTACCAAGCTGCAGCTCCCTAATGTGGCAAACGACACCGGCTCCGTGATTCAGGACGCAACCCCTTACGAGACCGAGTTGTGGGCACACGCGAACGACTCCGATGGCTGGCTCAAACTGGAGACCGCACATACCGTTCTGTCTGCGATCAAAAAGTCCCCTTCGGATATATATACTTGGTGCTGGACTGCAAGTACGGACCGCAGTCTTATATATTGGTGTAGTACGCAGCCGCCTCCTGGCCTTTGTCATGCACGTAGGTAAGGGCCACCCTACTGCAGGCAAGTGCCAAAGACGGGATATACTGCAGTCTGCATGTGGGAAGGTGCAACGCACAGTAGGAGACCATTGTATCCACGTCTCGCTAGCCCTGCGGATCCCAACTCTCCAGCATCAATACCACTACCAATCCAAAACAGGCACAGCATCCGGGCAATGCTTCGGCATCACCACCCGCATTGGCTTAGCTTCCCAATCTTTAGTCCCTCATAGATGTATGTCTTCTAGTATCCTGTCCAAGTCTTCGTCGTCTCGTCCAAGCGTTTGGGTTTTGGGGAGTGCAAGTTGGCCCACGTTGACGGTTGGATGTTGGAAAATGTCAGACCTCGTCAGTTAATCCCTCACCTTTTCATCACATGTGGCTGGACCTAACCCACCGGAAAGGAACTGATACCGAATCGACCAACACCGATCAGCTGATAGAACAGCAACTCTGTGGCCTAGATACGAGCCATGATCGGACGGAAGCCATGTTCGCCACAGTCGCCCAGACAAATGGTACCACGGCGTCACCTTCCCACGCTGAACAGGACGACTCGAGGTGAGTGCCAGACCAATTGACTCCAACCTCACGTACCGTGCGTGCTCTGACTGTTCCGCAGCCCGACAACCAATACATCCGGAGGCTTCTCCTGTCCGGAGTGCGGCAAGATCCTCAGCCGCATAGACCTCGTGAGCAGACATAGGAATACAGTACATCAGTTAGGTCACCAGTATTACTGCAAACAGCCGAGATGTTTCCGGAAGAGCAAGGGCTTTGGCCGATTCGACAAGTACAGGGAGCATATGCGAACCACACATCAGATCATCATTCCAGCTCAGCCCGTCGGCGTCGGCCGAGCACATCCCACTCAGGCGCCCAGCACGGGTGTCGCGCAGGCACGGAAACCGGCGCCTAAGATCGACATTCACACCAACCGCACTCCGTCAGCTGCTCAGCCCGGCGGCCGAGCACATCCCCCTCAGGTGCCCAGTACGGGTGTCGCGCAGGCACCCGCACGGCAACCGGCGGCTAAGATCCGCCAGGCTCTCCCTTCAACCTCAATGCGACGACCAACCGACATTACCGGAAGCTTGGAGTTTCTGAGCCGGGAACGGCCGTATGGCGCAATGGTCAAATGCGCCTGGTTGTGTTCTCGTTTGTGCGGTGGGCGACGAGAACAAGTGGGTTCGAATCCTGCTATGGCCCCCTTTCTGACCCGGCTTGTGCGAGTCGATAACCAGCACACGACAGTGGAGAGGCCCCATTTTATCGCAGAGCCCGATAGCCAAGCAGCTTGTCTCCACAATACCCACTCCTGCGAGGTTTTCCCCCTTGTGGTTTCCCTCGCCAGCAGATAACAAACACCTACTTCACCCACCAATGCGACATATATCGAACGGCTACTGGAACGATATGTACACCAGAGAACTGAGGTTCACTGGGTCGCTTTGTCGCTAGATAGGAGGTTTTTCTGACGGAATCGTGCTTGGGTATTGACTAAAACCATCTGAACACTCCAGATTGGTACCGCTACAGCGAGGATAGGCTCGTGCGCGGATCTGAATGTATCTAATTTGACACCTCTACAACCTTGCGATGCAATGGCTCTGGGAGGCGTGGTTTGCACTACTGAGGAGCTACCCCCCACGTTAAATACAAAACAAACAAACAAAACAAACAAAACATTCTGAGCCGGGAACAACTCATAGCCATGCTCAGGTCAAAAACGCTAGAGTGTAAGCAACTCCAGCAGCAGTTGAAGATAGCGACTCTGGGGAGAGACGAATATGTGGAGGCCTTGAGTCTTTCCGAGGAGATGAGGAAGGAGCAGAAGCTTCCTGGAGCTTGACCTACCTGTATTTGGCAACGAACAGAGGGAACGAGGACAGCTTGGGAAACCGGGAGACTCTGTCGCAGAATTATCCCCTGGCACAATTGTACCCCCGAGATCGACCGCGGTCTCGTGATGTCATTATAGGTGGCTATACCGGTGAGTCATGCCGCCGCCCTAGATGACTGCGGTTCTCTACTTACCTATTTCCAGGCGACAACGCCACAGCTCAGCATACCTAATGGTATCATACTGTCAGTAAGGCTATCACATTGTCAGTACGGATATTGCGGGTGTCTGCAAGTCTCAGTTATGGGATGCAGGAGCTGAGGTGTAAAATACCTTGCACAAACTTGCACCTTGGACGCTCTGGAGACTGTCGCTGGAGCTCGGTGCAAAGTGGTACCCCCTTAGATTGGAACAAGTCACTGATTTGAGAAGCACTGTTGCAAGAGTATCGGCCCTTGCCAACCCATGTTTGACTTGGGGTTCGTCTTGTGGCGCTTACAAGGGGGAAAGTTGCGAGTAACGCTTCCTGACAGATACCTGTTGAGTCATAGCCGTACCCATCCTCAATTGAGAGGCTCTCTACCTGGAGGGCCCCTAGTATGGTTCAATGGAAAGCGTACATAGTATGAAAATGTTGCGTGATCACGTGACCCACTTGGGTTGGCATATTGCCCACATCCACTGCAGCTGCGCACCACCTCCAGACCTCAACAACAACACCCATACAGCAGATATGCAACCTTTTGGCTTTCTTGCTGTGCAACAGAAGAATGGTCGAGATAAGCAGTGCTCGTTATGATGTGCGTTGATGTCTCTATGTCGCACTTACCGGTGCGGATGCTGTGCGTGGATCGGAATTGAAACGAATAAGATGTTGCTGTATCGGACTACGTTGTGGTCTGGCCACCTGGATGCCATGGTATCCTTATATGCGACGATCTGGGGATCTGGGAATCTGGCTGTTGGCCGGAGGTGAACTCCCTATTCAGCTACGGAGCCCCTATTCGGTTGTGGAGATCCTATTCCGCCACATTTCAGGGTTTATAGGGGAAACAGAAGTGCATGACATATAGATGCGTGGAATCCACGACGAAAGCAATGACATCCAAAGGAGCCTGCTAGATCATTGACACGTAGAGATTGCTTGGCACTCACTTCAGAAGTTATCACAAGGCGGAACACCAACGGAGTGGTCGTGAGATTATATACAGACTCACTATGCGGTGAAGATGATATGTACAGCGAAGCATATGCTATGTTTCCCGTTGCCAGGGACTTGAGAGCTCATGAAGCTAGAATGTCTTCCGTAAGTACCTTAAGCGACCACTGCGCGTTTGAACCTGCCCCAGCAACGTTTCGTGAGAGCTCGCTTGCCTCTTCTGCCATGTAAAGCAAAACTAGCATTTAAATTTAAGCTACTTGCTTTGGGTCCACCTGCAGTCGAGGCCTCATCTTTCTGGTCCGAGTGGTCGGGTAGTTGACGGTCCTCCCCCGGTTGGGTTGTGTGTTGACTTGAGCGTTTAGACTGCTGACGTCGTAAAGCCGTGGACTGTGTATCGTGCTCTGCCTTCAACCGTGCAGAAACGTCGGCTAGTCCGGTGACCGGCTCTAGTGCCGGTACACCTTGTAGCACCCTGGAAAGATCCAAGCTGGTTCTCCTAGTCGTCTGGAGATTGGTGAACTGCGATGACATGGACTCGCCCATCGTCAGCTGGGATGGATGGAACATACTTCCGCCTTCTTTTCTCGTGAGCGTTGGCAACGCCGGCGTTCGAGGTGTTGGGTAAGGTCCAAGATGATCTTCCCCACTACCACGTGCTAGTATGTAATCATCTCCATCCGCAACATTGAAGGGCACAGTCGAGGCTGTCGATTGTCTTCTGGCTTCTGGTGATTCCGTTGTTTGCTGAACCAGCTTGCTCATCACCTGGATTGGTGTCCCGCTGTTTGCTGCCCTTATCTGATCCGTTTGCTCAAGGATCTTCCTAATAAGCCTGGCAGAATCGTCGCTGTTTGTATCGATGGGCTTGTCCGTGGTTCTCTGTTTTCGTTAGCAATTATTCAGTAGCATCATGTGGATATTGACGTACGTTCAGCTGTCCAACTATACTACGAGTATCTTGTACATCATCAGGCGCCAGACTCAGGCTGCCCCTCACACAGTACGTGGTATCGTCCGAACACTTTTTCACTGTTTTCTCTAAATCTGGGTGGAAATGCTCAATCTTTAAACGAGTTTGCTTGTTGGGATCTATCAAGTGCCCTTCGATGAGATCGAGGAAGTCTTGGATGCATGGGGCACATGTGTCAAGTCTTCGAAGCTTGGAGATCCACTGCGTTCGTCAGTATCATGTAAGCTATTGATACAGGGTAACCGGACACTCACCAGCTTCACTGAGTTCTTAACGATCGGTTTGCCGTTGTAGATATTGAAAAACTTTTCTTCGCTTGAGTTGTCATCTTCCGTCCTAGCTTTGCTGAATATCTCCCGAGTTTCGTAGTATCCGAGAGGAAGCCAGGAGACGACTCAAGGTAGAGACAGCCCAAGCTCCACATGTCGTACGCTTGAGATATGTGTGACCCCATGCCGAATCCAGGTGGCCTGTACGTGAAAGACAGACTGCCGACTTTCTCGGTGGCCACAATTGAAACTGACTTGGAAGAGTGGAAACGATTCAAGCCGAAGTCGGAGATGACAAGACGATAATAGTTCTTTTTGAGCGTATCGAAGCACAGGATGTTCTGGGGTTTGATATCCCCGTGACGTCCCATAGGTTTGGTGTGGTCCAAATTCCGGTCTTTGAACCATGAAGTACGCCTGTGGATCTTTTTGAGCCCATCGTCCATACCCAGACACTGATCAAACACCCAGCGGATATGCTGCAGTGAAGTTGGAGACATTGGATTCTGCTCCCAAAGGTCCTCTAGGTTCGAACGGGCTAGCGGGAACACCAAGTAGTATTTGTTGCCATGCTGAAAGGTCATGAGAAGACGGATGAGGTGAGGATGGTGTTGAATGGCACGCAAGCCACCGTGGCGTTCAAGGAGGTGGCAGTGCACCAACAAGGCCAATAGGGCATTTTTAGGCCACTTAGCCCACAGCAGGATTTTCACACAGACACAGCAACAAGGCTGATTACACCAGAATATATGTTTTCACCCATCTAAAAGCCCGCATGCTCTGTTTGACAGATGGCCTTTCATGGATCCGCTGAAACGCTCTAATACCCTAACCTCATCCTTGTATCCCTGATATCCATCAGATGGGATTTCCTTTACTGCGAAGTAGGGATTCTTGTCGACGCCTTTCTATTCAATGTCAGTATGATGTGTGGTTGACGGCTTGAAGGATTGCGTACAGATGACATGAAGTTGTGATGTGCTGGATGGATTTGGGCCTGGAACGGCGACGGGCCCGAGCCTTTGACACGAAAGGCGAGTACGGCATTTTGGAACGCTACCTCCAGCGAAGCTTGTTGTGGAAGCGGGATGGTAGCGCCAAATTGAGACCCATCGATTACCCGGAGGATCGCAGGGTCCCGTCCTGGTCGTGGATGGCTTACAGCGGAGGCATCACCTACGTGGATGACATCGACGCAACGTTCAGGGGCGTTGATTGGTGCAGCGACAATATCAAAATCAACTTCAGAACCGATCCAAGTCGCACCCCGGAGAAAGGGGACTCGGCAAAGTCGATACCAGAGATCCAGGCTCTTGCGCGGGATATCAACATGGGCGCTGGCACTGTCGAAATCCTGAAGCGGATTAGCCTTGATGAGGTCACTATTGATGATCTGAGCTCTTTACGCTGTGTTGTCCTCGGACAGAACAAGGCCGGTGGAAAAGAAGGACGAAAGGTTCATGTACTGGTCATAGCCCCGCTCTGTCTTGGACGGTGTAATGGGGTCTACAAGAGAGTCGGCGTTGGATCTCTCTTGTCGCGGCATATCGCAGACAGCCCGGGCAAACATGTTAGCATCCAGTAGATATTGTTACAGGAGATGACGATGTCAGCAGTGAGCGCCGAGCTCGTGACGGTGATAACTTGAGATTGGAAATTGGAGGTTCTGGTTCACCGCTGAAGGCGACTCGAGAGTCACCCTGAACACTCCAGCTTCCGATAGACTGTTGAGCAAGCATGTTTCCATATCATCAGACTTGATTCGGCCCATGATGGCTTGTTGGATTGGTGGTGGAGGCGCGGTGATTGTGAAAAGGGGGCCTTCAGACAGGTGCACAGACCACCGACAAGTCGAAGGGAGCAAGTCCCACTAAATGCATATGGCGTGATTGCACGTGACTGCAGTTCTTTCCGCTACTCTGGAGCTATCAGCACCCTCTGCGGCAAGACAGACTCTACTCGCGCTGCCCAATCAGATACGCTTCGGCTTGCTACTACACCATGGCAGGCATTGCTGTCTTTCGTCCACTCGCTACAGCACCAGGCAGGGTGCTGGCGAGGACATATGCCACCTCGATACCAGCGATGGCGCATCACCGTGTGGTCATCGTCGGTGGAGGCACTGCTGGCGTTACAGTGGCGGCCCAGCTGCAGCGTACCCCTGAGTTTGAAAAGAAGGATATCGCCATCCTGGACCCTGCGAAAACGCATCACTACCAGGTGAGCCTTGTTTTGCGATGGTTATATGTGTACTGGAACCGACCTCTGATATGTGACAGCCCGGATGGACGCTCGTGGGTTCAGGCCTGAGGCCCATCGAGGACATGCAAAGATCGATGCGCTCCGTCATCCCGGAAGGCGTGAAGCACTACCCTCTCCGAGTGTCTACGTTCGATCCAGAGAACAACGCCATCAAGACATCCGAAGGAGTCGATGTGTCGTACGACTACCTGATCGTCGCCCCTGGCCTCGAGACCAACTTTGCTGGTATCTCTGGCCTCGAGGAGGCTCTGCAAGACCCTGGTAGCCAGGTCTCATCCATCTACTCGGAGAAGACCGTCGAGCAGGTGTGGAAGAACGTGCAGGCTTTCAAGAAGGGGCCTGCGGTCTTCACCCAGCCCGCCGGTATCATCAAGTGTGCCGGCGCTCCCCAGAAGATCATGTGGATGGCTCTTTCGCAGTGGAAGCGGGATGGTGTCAGAGACAACATCGATATCTCTTTCGCGACTGGGGCTCCTGGCAAGTTGACCTGAATTTCTGTTGGATGACCTCGTTGGCTGACTTTAATGTAGCTATGTTCGCTGTGCCCAAGTACTCCCAGGCACTTGACAAGCTGCGCAGAGAACGTAACGTCGAGGGTCTGTTCCAGCACAACCTCGTTGGAGTAGATGCCAAGAAGAAGGTGGCCACCTTCAAGAACTTGGCCGGAGGTGGTGAAGTGCAGAAGGAGTTTAGTTTCTTACACGTCGTGCCGCCCCAAAAGCCCTGGGACTGGGTCGCCAAATCCAAGCTTGGTAGGTTGAGCCCCTTTCCCGTCATCCATTTGTACAAGTGAGCCCTGCTTGACATAAGCTGACACTCTGCAACGCGTAGCCGATGCAGCAGGCTGGGTCGACGTCGACAAGTCGACTACCCGCCACAACAAGTACAAGAACGTCTTCTCCATCGGCGACGCGTCTAGCCTTCCCAACAGCAAGACCGCGGCCGCTATCACGTCGCAGACCCCAGTCTTGGTCGATAACCTCTTGGCAGCCATGAATGGCAAGGATCTGAAGGCTGCTTATGACGGTTACGCAAGCTGTCCGCTACTGACTGGCCACAACGAGCTGATGCTGTGTGAGTTCAAGTACGGCGGCGTGCCCAAGGAGACCTTCGCGGGTATCCTCGGAGGTCAAGAGACTCCCAGACGGTCGTTCTATCACCTGAAGAACAATGTCTTCGTGAGTGATCTGCTCCTTGTGTCATTCGTCGAGTTAACTGACAATATTGCAGCCATACGTTTACTGGAACCACTTCCTGAATGGTACATGGTATGGACCAAGTGGCTTCTTCAGACCGGAGACTGTACCATCCCAAGCTTAAATCGGGTAGGTTTCAACTGCATCGGAAGGGCGTTGGTGATAGATGAGGACAGCATGTAGACTGTATTATACCATCACTTACGGCAGTCCTAGCAGGATATCTGCTTCGCAAGCAAAAAAGGAATGGAAATTTGAGAGTAAGAGACTCTATAGTTATTGATGGTGATTCCAATGCTTAATGCGCCTTTCAATATGGTGAGGATCATGGTGTTTTCGGGCGCGGCGGCATCTACCGATAGGTGCGTTGTTACAATGGGGCTCATAACGGCGCAGCACAAAACTGAATCGCGAGAAGCTTCCCTCCAAGCCTTCCACCACAAACCCCGGTGCTCTCCTCAACCAGCATCCGAGACGAATCAATGCCGAGTTTCAAGAGATGGCTGCGGGAGAAACGGGACTCAAGAAAGACTTCGCAAACTCCACACAACATGGTGCCGTTCCTCCCAGCCGACCGTCCCGCCACATTGACGCCGTCGCCCTCCCGCGAGGACCTTATCCCCGCTCCCGAAAGCTACGGCGCCTTCGGGACCCTCCCCTTTGAGATCCGCCGACAGATCCTCACCGAGGCCTTCGGCAACCGCACGCTGCACCTGAGTCTGTCCGCTCAGGTGCGCGCACACAGGCCTTCTCCCGAGGCACCCACGCAAACGCATTGCGGTCTTGGCGCCGAGCGCGCCACCTTTCCGCGGGCTTCTCCGCGCTGCTGGCGCTGGTTCAGCTGCGTGTGCCATCGCCGCGCCGAGTGGACGGACGAGGAGGTCGAGCGGACCTTCTCGCGCAGGATCCACGTCGGCGGTGACCGGTGTCTGCAGGGGCTGCTGTGCGCGTGCGAGGCGTGGGAGGGCGAGGGGCCGGGCAAGTGCTTCGTCGGCGCTTTGGGTTGGCTGCGGAGCTGTCGGCAGGCGTGAGTCGCACTCCTAAAATTCCCTTTTTATTTCCCGTACTGATCCGCCCGTTGCGTAGATATGTCGAGGGTGTCGATGTCCTGTACGCGGCCAACACCTTCCACATCTCGTGCGGGCACAGCTGCGGAACCTGCCTCGTCTGCTGCTCCCGCAGCGCCTCCGAGACATGAGGGCCGTGATCCTGGAATGGGACGTCCCTGGGGTAGACCTGCCGCTCGATCGAAGCCGGCAGGCCTCCTGGCTCGAACCCAAGGCTGACCCAGACACGCCCCTGCACGCGCTATGTAGGATGGTGCTGCAGGCCTTCCCGAACCTCCGCAGTCTCCACATCCTGCTGTACGGTTGGATATCGCCGTACTCCCCACGGCCCGCGGACGACTTCGAGCTCAGGGCTGCGGAGACCTTCGTTCTGGGCCCGGTCGAGGACATGCTGCGCGCAATGGGCCCGGGGATAGAGTTTAATATTGCGATTCCCAAGTCGGGCTGGAGGGATTTGAGGGATAAGTATCTGAGGGCGGATTCTTTATTGAGACTTGAGTTGGACGGGCCTTTTAATGGGCGGTTCTGGAAGGCGCTGGATGGTGGTGGTGAGTTCGGCTATTGAGTCTGCTCGGGATGGGACGACGTAGCTGGTTATGTGCTTTGTTGTTCTGCTTTCTAGCATGTGCGGTCATTTGTTGGTCATTTCAGAGCAGCCGATTATTACTGACCAGTCGGCAAAGCAGGGACAGCCTACCCATCATCTACGTTCGTACTGTGTTCGGGCACTGCTTATCCTTGGGACCTAACTTGAATATTTAGTTACAGATTTGAGTGAGAAGAGTTCCACTAAGGAATTGGTGAAAGAAGGCTCTGCAACACTCGTATGGTAGCGCTTGGAGATGACATAGTTGACTTTCTGCACCAGCCGGATCATCGCAAGGAAGATAAAGAGCTGGACTGCCATGGCTATGGTGGAGGGCCAGCCCCATGGCGCCGGTCGAGGCACAGACTCCCTCTGGTCCACGCAGCCCAAGTTCCTTTGGTTGGAAGCTGTTAATAGATCAGACTTAGTGTACTCGGTCGCTTTGTCGGTGTCTACCGACTTACCTAAGTGCATATGTTTCAGTATAATGGCTTCGACTTTAGGCTTTATCCGCCTCACAAATTTTAAACATTGACAGTCAGCACCTGGTACAAGACTCGGGGACGTATATAGGCCACGAGCTATCAGTCCAATGGCCTTGCTAATTGACGACAGCGACGAGTGGAACTCGCTATGAGTAAGACAGGGGTGCCTCGAGGGGGGGGCATCTAATGTAAAAAGTGGCCAGTTCAATCAAGTAGCTACATCGCAAGCCACCGCGAGTTCAATCGAACTCTATTTCTCATACCACAACAATAAGAAACACTCATGCATTATACCGTAACGTCCTTTCGCTCGTAGCCAAGGCTGACAAACTTACAGGCCCCAATGGGACAACAACGCCGTGCTTTTCTTGGAGCCGTCCGCGTGACGCCGTTTCCCCCTCATGGTCCTCTCCCTAGGCGAAGACACCTGCAGCCCCAGCGAACTTCCCCCGTCACCCAAACCCTGTGCTTGGGCCTTTCTGTCCTTGTCTCGCTTCTTCCTCTCATCCAAGATCACAACGCCCGGTTTAGTCTCGCGCATGTGAAACTTCTCCGAGAGCTGCTCTGCTAATGCCAGGCGTGGGGCACATCGCTGAGAGGTGAAGATGTCCAATATGTTCGTGCAAGTATCCTTATCGCTTGGCCGGAACTCCTTGTAATGGGCACCTCTTTCCATCATACTCCCAAAGACCGAGTCCAGAAGCCCTTCCATTCGCTCCCGAAACTGCCCTTGCTTCGCCGTGATCGCTTGAGTTGACAGAGTGTCCCACATGGTGCTGCATATGACGACTCGACTGCAGAAAGCCCTCCCGACTACCGCCTTGATGATATCGAGGTTGAGTCTGACATTCCCGATCATACGGGTGTCGGTGATGCGATGGCAGTAGACTATTCCCACGACGCCGTCGAGGTATTCTTTGATGTTCTCCAAGATGCTGAAATCATCGCGAGATTGGTCGTCGAATCCTGGAGTATCAATCAGCTCGAAGTCCGCGTCGCCCGCACGAACTCTATAACGTCCGCAACTCTCCGTGCCTGAAGAAGGGTCAGCACGACGGTGGTAGTGACATCATCATGGAGCACATCTTACAGGATTCTCCGCCGTGGCCGATTCCAATATCGCGGCCCACGGCTGCTGAGATGAACGATGACTTGCCCGCTCCAGTTGGGCCGACCACAAGGACTCGCTGTGCGGCTATCTCCTTTGGACGAGCAAGTACTGGGCTGGTCATTGTGATAGTTGGAAAGTTCACGAGTTCTTTGCGTGAAGGTGCGAGTCAACCGTGGGGAGAGTGCTTCGGTATGAAGGGAAATACCGCCTTGTACCTGAAAGGCCGGAGAGGAATCCAAGAGAGTAATGATACTCGGTGGACAAGGCTTCGGAGAGGCGGGCGCGGCTCAACTTCCGGAGATCATGACTACTCCCAGTGTGTCATTCTGCAGAACCAGTCGACCGCGTAGGGCAAGTATTGCGAGAAACCCTTGCGACTCTCTTGCTGTCCTAACTGGCTAGCTATGTGATGCAGGATGCCCGAGAGTGCTCGATGATTACAAGGGGTCAAGATATGAGGAGGCTGAATGGCTAATTTACGAAAGCCTTCTCCAGCAGCTGGGATGTGTGACTCGGTGAGCAAAGCCGCCCCCATTCAGCCAGCAGTAATCCTTCTTGGTCCAATAAAGGCGATGTAATCAATGAAGCTAACCACCGCCTTCGGTTACACTGCCTGCCTACCGGAAGCACGTGAAGTATACATCCCTTTTGACTGGTTGGCGCGCGCCTCGAATAGCAAAAGTGCATCTTTTTCTTGCATCTTGTGTATCAGACAGGTGGTGGTGAGCAACAGGGGTGTGAGTTGGGGGCATTGGTGAGGCTGAATGATGAACCCGTCCGCCCCCGTCGGTTCTCCCTCAACTGCCTAGTCGCCTCCCGTAAACCTTTGGATAAGTAGTTCTTCCTTTTCGTTGGAAGCTACCAACTACTCAAGTGCCGTCCGCAAGTCCAACTTTCGCCATGTCAGACGGCATTCTTCGGCTTGCTGTCTTCGGGATGACCGGGGCCGGCAAGACCTCTTTCATCAACAAGGCCACCGGAGCTCAGTTGGAGGTAGGAGGCTCTGGGAACTCTTGTAAGTAGGCACGAGAATCGGTTCGAATTTGAGACATGAGCTAACTTAAACCCTGATCAGGTACCAAGGACGTGCAGTATGGAGAGACGACGGTCAATGCGAAGAAAGTACTCCTGCTTGACACCCCCGGCTTCGACGACTCCGGGGGCCGGGACGCCGATATCTTCGTCGAGATCTCGAAATGGCTAGCAGTTGCCGAGGCGAGTGGGACAAGTGTGGACGGAGTTATAATCATGCAGCCCATCAACAAGCCCCGAGTCACCGACAGTGAGCAAAAGAAAACCCAGCTATTTAAGAAGATTGTCGGTGGCGCGTTCTATCCAAAGGTGGCATTCGTGAGCAGTTTGTGGGACCAAGTCCGGGAGGACTTCGGCCGACAGAACGAGGCAAACAGAATCAACAACAACATGTACAGGGAGATGTTCCAACGGGTGCGAAGGTGCTCCGCTTCGAGAACACGGAGAGGTCGGCCCGCGACGTTGTCCTCCATTTCATGGGTCTTAACTCCAACCCGTACCCTCGGACGCGATTATTGCTCCAAGAGGAGCTGGTCCAGGCTGACGGTCGACTGAACGATACAAGTGCTTGCCGGGAGCTGGACATCATGCTTGGCCAGAAGACGAGAAGCTTCCAGGTACAGATCAACCAGGGTAGAGTAGCGTCCACACCAGAGTTACAGGGCAGAGTCAACGACATCAGTAAAAAGAGATCTTGGCTCAAGACAATCAAGGTCGGTACCATCTCCTCCCGCTTGGCCTTTTGGTTTCTGTTGCTAAGTTATGTTCATCCCAGATCAATGGGAAGGATCTGTTGAAGACGTTCGGGAAATGGGCGGGCGGCGCGGTGGTCTCAACAGCTTTGGGGCTGCTGTGTGAGGTGATGTAAATATAATCTAGCAGGGCATAAGCAAACAGTCCTTCTCAGGTCTAGCCAAACATGTATCATGAAAGGTGCAAAGGCCGCCTTTTGATTACCATCAACGTAACTAAGTATGTTGCGCAACGTGGAAGTGTGGGTCTCATGATATCATTAAGGTCTCATCAAATTAAATACTCCGGCAGAGACACATGAGATGGAGGGCAACATACTTGTAACGGTCGACGAGTTCTGAGCATGATGTGTGCTGGGTTGCAGCCGTACAGGAAGGCGACAAGAACAGAGGCAACAGCACCGTTGCAGGAACGTCCCGAACGTCCCCAGTCGGCCGCATCTTCGAGCGATGTTCCCTTGAATCCCGAGGCCATGAGAAGAGTTTCACGCTTGGATGAAGTAGATCGGTTCTGGCGTTGAGTCTGGTCCACTCGCTGATCGAACGCGGGACACCAGTTTCATGGAAGGAAGCCCTCACTGAGCGGTCGGACTTCGCATAATCGACAATCTCAGGAAGCAGGATCTTTTGCGCAGGTCCTTCAACGAAGCGATTAACTAGATTCTCTCGTGGTAAGAAAGGGGACTTTTTGGGGGTCACTATTTCACGAGCGCTCTCATCGTCCTGGGTAAGCTTAGTACGGGATTCCGGCGGCTCATGCCCTTGGGTTCAGCTGTGATCAACCATCAACTGAGCGTCAAGTCACCTTGGCCGCGATGATCACCGCATCATTGAACTCGGTAAACTTCTTGATATCCCTGATCACCAAACCTGCCCTGTCTAACAGCTGCCGCCAGTGAGCTTCCCGCCTCTCCTGTGCGTTGAACATAGCTTTCATGGCCAGATTCAGCCCAGCAGTATACTCATTCGGTGGGCCTGTCGCTGGGGATTGGCGATCCGGGAGGACTTTCTCGTCGATGATGATAACACTGTGCGCGCTCATGGCGGGCAGCTGGGCTCGGAGGATTGCGACGCATGTATCGTCGTCGTGATTATGCATGATCTGGCGGAAATAGTACGCCCGAGCTCCTGTCAAACTGTCAGCGGGTACAGGAATCGGTCAAGATCGTTCGGCATACCGTGTACGGGTTGCTCCGTCATGAAGTCGTACCGCATCCTCTCCAAGCTTTCCACCTCGAGGGCTTTGGCCAGGACGTCCGGCCGATCTTGTAGGTTGACGCGGCCCGTGAGATCCGGGAACTTGCTTTTCAGTGCCACACACTGCGAGCCATTGCCACCTTCGAAGTGGTGTCCTGCGCAAACTCCGACTGAAATTCAACAACATCGAGCCATGTAGGTAGGCTGGCGAACTGAGCCTCCATGAATCGGAAGAAAGCGCCTTGCTGGACCGGATGGGTTTCCATCCAGGTGTAGAAGTCATCCGATGTGCGATGACCCTGTTGGAATGCTGTCACATTCTTTTCAGGGGCACTCAGCACAGCGTTCAATGAATTGAGGGCTGGAAGGACGTTGTCGTGGCTATTCAAGTCAACACAGGCTCTTGCGAGTGCCTCGCCCGTTCTCACCAAACTCACAAGTGTGTTACTGCGTCTGTGACTAGTGGTGCCAGCAGGAAGTGAGTGAGCTTGGTGGCTCTGTAATGTCCTGTCTCACTCAATTTCGCCATGTTCTGTGTACACAAGTACTCCATGGTAGACTCAACAACACCGCCATTCAATTGGCTTTCTTGGGCCAGGGCCTCAAGGTCGGCACCATCCTCATTCGCTGCCAGTGCGGAAAGAAGTTTCTTATCCTGGGCAATCCGGGCCGTCACCAACGGCAGAGGCTGATTTCCATCAGCTGGCTGCGCGTGCAGGGTGTCAGATGTGACATACCGAGTACGCGAGGCGTTGGATGGTCTGGAAGGGGGTCTCGAGCAGGTCTGCCGCTTGACGTCCGAGCTGTCTGAGCTCTTGCCTCTGGGTTTCATCGCCACAAAAGACCCCTGGTTCAGTCACCAATAGCCAAAATTGTCGAATGAGGAGCGCCGGGTCGGCCGTGGTTGTTCTTGTGTCTATGGTACTTCGTATTGTTCGAAGAAGAGATCTTGGTCAGACATTTGGGCGGAAGAAACGCGGGAACGCCATCGGGAAAGTTGGAAGATTTCCAGACAGACAGAGCACCGGGGACGACCCGTTCTACAAGGGTTGAGTGACCGAGGCATGCGCGCCATTGGACCGCATTGCGTGACTCCCCTTGCATGCGCAGGCCTTGGTGTTCCCCGGGCGCTTAGAGACCCGACAACCTGGGCCTACAATCACACGAATTGCCCTGGCTCGCCTCACGCTGTCACATCGTGATGATGTGACACAGGTCTGGCTGCTTTCACTGCAGTTGGACCTGGCAAACAGAACACGTTTGGGTGTCAAACCCTCCCGTCCTCGAAGACAACAATGAGGATGTGGCCGCTCCCCCAACTTGTACGGCGATTGGTACTTTCCAACGTTTCAAGATATTCTATTCTAAAGAAAGGCATCCTCAAATCGACCACAGCCCACAGTTTAAGATCGTTTGGTTTGGCTCATCCGTTTCGATTGAAGAGCTCACAAAGATCATGATCATTTCCATCACCGATGTGCTTGCATTCTTACTATACCCGCTTCCCCCTCCTTGGCTAGGCAATATGGCCTCTGCACGTCCGAGTACCGGTGACAGCGTCGCGGACAGAGGTCCAGGCTTAATCACTTTGATGTGGGCACTGACTGGAATCGCGTCTTTTACCGTGGTACTCCGAATCACTTTTCGCGCCCAAAGAAAGCTGTTCGGTTGGGATGACCTGTTCATGGTCATTTCGATGGTACGTGCGCTTCTTCCACTGTTCTGAAACGACAAGTCGACTTATACATCTCAAGTTGTGCTTCATCGGCTGGAGTAGCGTCTTGAACCTTTATTCGCAGCACGGCGGAGTTCGACATTTCCGGGATGTCGGGGAACTTGGACCTGACAAATTTGCGCTGGTGCAACTGCTCAACTGGACCAGCCAGGTTTTTGGCATCATAGGGGTTGCAGCAGGCAAGTTCTCTGTATCCGCTCTGCTGTTGTCGATCATGAAATCCACCGAGTTGAAATGGCAACGCATATACATGTGGACCTTCACCATCGTCCTGGCGGGAGGCATTGCGGTCTCCTGCTCCATCCTTACGTTCGCTCAATGTCAACCTATGGCAGCGTTATGGACCTCCGGATAGAGGGGAAGTGTATAGATCCACATGTGATGTCCAGCTACGGTACCTTCACGGGAGGCAAGTCACTAGGTAATTCCTCAACGCAAGCGGCTCTCGTGAAGCTAACTTGTGGTCATCAGCATACAACACGTTTGCCGACGCCGGTCTGGTAATCCTCCCAGCGACGATCTTCCTGAACGTGCAGAGTAACACAATACAGGAATGGCAACTCAGCATCGTCTCCGCGCTCAATATCCTCACGTGTATCTGCTCTGGCATCAAGACACAATTTCTCAGCGAGTTGTCCAACAGAGAAGATCTCACCTGGGCGACTTATGATCTATTCGCCTGGGTTACGGCCGAGCTGTTCCTGATGATTGTCTGCGGCACTATCCCCACCCTACACCCTTTGCTCACGCTGTGTCGATCGGTCCTCTCCGACCTCAAGAGCGCCTTCTTGGTCTCGAGATCACAAGCCCATAGCTCTGACAGCAACGATGTGAAGTCAATCGAACTTGGCACAGAAGGCCACCATCTTGCGCACGTAAGCGCCCGATCAGCGGTACAATCGCACAGTGAGGGTTCGGAGGAGCTTGTTGGGAGACACGAGTGCTTGGGGGAAATTGGACGGACCGAGTCAATCCACATCGAGAAGAGCTTCAGCGTGTGTCGGGGATAAATGACATGTGGTCATCATGGTGTTTGTTCATGGCAAACAAAAGCCGGGGGCAAATCCATACGGGCATGCCGACCGCTGCTGGCTACACAAACATCGAATCGGAGGGACGAAACTTGTGACATGAGGCTCATCATTGATCCAATCCCCGTTGTTGCTCTAGAGTGAATTAAGCACCGTTGAGTCCCACAGACAGTACCACTGGAATACTTGGGAACACTCGCGACCAAGTTAAGAATGCTTGCACAACTCACCGATAGGTCACGAAGTCCAATCTCCAAACGCGCCTATTGACTTGACAATGCGAATTGATCCATTAAATGGGCATTGAGGAAGTCACTAAGGTAGGCGGGAAAAGCTACCACTGCCTTCCCTATAAGTTAAATCTTTTTAAATTAATGTTACGTATATTAAAACAAAATCCATTTTATGTTAAACTATTATAATTTGATTACTATTAGCTTTAAAAACAACTTTATTAATATATTTAAAGAAAGAAAGAAATTATAAAGCTGGCTCCGTAACATAATCAAGTATATATAGGGGTTGACCCCTGGGGCTGTGAGGCTGTCGTCGATTTGTTTTTATTTTTTAAGCTCTTCGACCGAAGGGAGGAGCCAAACCCAAATACCCCAAAAGATAACAAAAAGCAGAGCCCCCGTGCTGGTACGCCATAGTGCCGTGATATAGTGCAGTGAAACATGATAGCCCCCGCGATATCCGGTCCCTTAGAGTAGAGCTGACGGTTCGCATACTGGCTGATATTCAGGTAAAGCGACGAGTTAAGACCGGAGCTGCCACCCGCGGTCGGGAACTTGACGATGGCCAGCTGCGCGACGCTCAGGACCTCCGAGACGTTGGCGATCAGTTCCTGCGGGGTGGGGCCGACGCCGGAGCCGTATGCGACGTTGTCGACGCTGCTGTAGTTCGACGCCGACAGGATGGTTCCTCCTGCGCTGTAGATACTGCGTAGTCTTGAGTCAGCCGAGAGGTACAGTACGGGGTGAGGTCAGATGCTGAATAGGGGTTGGTATCACTTACGCGACCTTGGGCAGGAAGTCGTTGGTGGAGATCCACTCGAGCTCAAAGTCGGACTCGTTGTGAGTGACGGGAACACCAACGACTCCCGCGGCAAAAGCCGCTACAGCAGCAACAGCGATTCGAGGGAGCATGGTGATCAAAAGCGTCCGAGGAGTCCACGGCCGGTCATTTCACTGAATGTTGAATGGCAGAGACGACAGACACAGCGGCATGAGGAGGCTCTTAGGAGTCCCAACTGAGCGGCGCGGCCCCAACCGCCAAGTCTTACATGCCCCGAACACACGACTGTCCGGCATGCCGGCCAACCGTCGCGACGCTGACATTTCTGAACAGCTATCGTCAAGCCGATTATAGAGCTACAACATGGGCAGTATCTCCTCATGCGTGGGCACATTACCTAGCTTCCTGGTATAAACCCCCACCGGCTCCACCGCCTTATCTTTGCCAGAGCCGGAGCCGATGTATTACGGCGCTTCGGCATCGTCCCAAAAGCAGGATATTCGACTCGCGCGCGGGGTTGGTGTCCATGATACCAGCGAGGTGGTTCGTTTCTGGTAGTACTCTACCCGTGCTGCTCCGTGGCCAAGCCAATAGTAAGAGGTTGGACCCGGGCTCGCCCGGCTGTCTCCGCAGTTCGTCAACACATCGGGTGTCCTGGGCAGTCGGTATGGCTGCATGATCCAGAAGTGAGCTGTAAAACGCCTGTCCTCCTCCCTTGAAGAAAGTGTTGCCCCCGATGTGAATTATAGAAGGCTGCAAATGAGCGAGAGTAACACGACCTGGGAACACTAAGGAATGTCGGGGTCGGGCGATTCTCGCCACATCCATTACTCCAGATGAAGCAGCTTCAGCTATCAGAAAGCATTCATAAGTCATGAATCTGAGACTTACAGGCGAGTTCGTGTGGGTTCACATGCTCATACCTTTTCCTACTCGTACATAGCATGGTCACCTCAGCCAGTTGAGACTGGTTTTAAGGGGGTCACATCTCGAAGGTCGTCGCTTATACAATTCATACACTATACCTCCCCTCGGCACCATCTGGGTCAGATCCCCTTTCCATAGCAGCTACTCGAATACATATGCGAGAGGCCGAGAGGCAGCCTGAGTTCACAACAGGTCGCTCACCAGCTGAACGATGATTTATACAATCGAGAGCGATGTGCGTTTTCGTGTGCCAACATGGCGATCCGGAGACGGCCAAAGCCTCACCCGGAGAAGACATGAAGCCCAGTTAATCCGGGTCAGTGAACCGGGCTCTCGATGTCCCTGGGTACGGCTACTTACCTAAGACACGCTTGGTCAGTTGGTGAGATCGGTCTTGTCCCGAGCCACGTTACGAAATAATGCTCTACCATTAGCAGTTAGTTGCTATAGCATGGCATCCTGAGCAGCTGCGGCTTGTCCTTGCGACGCTGGACGACCGACCCATGTATATTGGAGCCCGGGGGTGATGGTGATAGCCAAGGTGGCGTTACCCGAGACTGCGTGCATGGAGACGCCGGTGGTCGAGCTCACCAGAATGCCTGCTCATCATCTCGGTCTCCATCTCAAGGAGTAGCAGTGTATGAAGCGACCTAGGCAGCTAGGAAGCCGACTGATGCGGAGGTGGGTTGATAGAAGATCGGCATGAGAAGGTAGTTCCCAAATCTCCTCTGCTCCACAACCTCCTATTTGACCGAAGCTCCCAAAGCTCGTCATCCAAGAGCCAAAGGGTAGCCGGCATTGTGGTAACTAGCTCCCCGGACCTCGGGACGTGGCTTACCCGGGCCCCTAAGAACCACAAGCCCACAAAACTCTATTTCCCCGGATCTCCCCAGACCGGCCAAGGTAGCGCCGGATATTTCTCGTCCGAGCCGGTCTAGAGAGATGCCGGCATCGCCTCTCCCGTCCACGAGACGTCGCCAAATTTCACGATGGATCCCCCATGAGTGGCCGTCCGCACCAGCTCACCAAAAACTAAGTACAGTACATCGTGGATCTCCCGTAACGGCATTCGGTGCCCTGTAGCCACTGGTCTGACCACTTAGAGGCCTCCATCTTCGGCTTAGGGTTGTTCCAAGCACAGCGAGTGGTTTATTACAGCGGGTTATGTGACCCGGGGTGTAGTCTTGGCCGCACACTACGACTTGGTGCGGACTGCCAACTCAAGGGAATGGACGAACGTGATACTAGCATCGTACCTAGCAAGGCTCGGTGTGAGTAGCTTGCTTGTTTGGGCTGGCTAGCAGATATCATGTTTCCTATCCGAGCCGGCCTAGAGAGGTGCCGGAAGCTCCTCCCCACGGAAGACGTCGGCAGATTCACGCATGTAGACGGACGAACGTGATGCTAGCATCGTGCCTAGCACTATTCGGTATGAGTAGCTTGCTTGCATAGACTGGCTAGTAGGATGTTGCGAGCGTCGATGCCACGCGATGACCGACGGGGTCCTTCATCCATAGCCGAACTACGAGGGGAAAACCAGATCAGCAGTGTTGATGTTGAGCGACGTATATATAGTCCCTCATGTCACGAAGAGAAAGTTCAACCTACTCCCTTCCGACCATCTAAGATCCAGCCTACTCCAGCAGTAATATTGATATTAATTGCATTCCCACCTTCCTCTCAGCAGCACTCGTTACCATGCGCGCCTCATCCCTTGCCCTCGCCCTAGCGGCCTCAACCACCAGCCTTGCTGCTCCCCTCACGAAGAAGGCCAACTACGACCCCCTTCCAGGAGGAGACATCGACATCCTGAACTATGCCCTAACACTCGAATATCTGGAGCGCAGTAAGTGTTCACCCGTAGAAATCCAATGTGGAACATGCTTCGAGATACTGACTCGAGTCGACAGGGTTCTACCAGGAGGGCCTGGCGAACTACACACAGCAAGACTTCGCCGCCGCCGGCTTCGATTCTGTAAGAGCTCCTGCATATAAACCCCAAACCAGACACCCACCCTAGCTAACACCCCACCCAGGTCTTCTACAACAACCTCAAGACCATCTACTACGACGAGCAGCAACACGTCAGCTTCCTGTCGGGCGCGCTCGGCGCCAACGCCACCAAGGAAGCCTCCTACTACTTCCCCAGCACCGACGCGGCCTCGTTCGTGGCGCTGGCCTCGGTACTCGAGGGCGTGGGCGTGTCGGCGTACCTCGGCGCCGCGGCCGTCATCGCCAACAAGGCGTACCTGACGATTGCGGGCTCGATCCTGACGGTAGAGGCGCGGCACTCGGCCTACATCCGCGCGTCGCTGCGCGAGGGCCCCTTCCCCAAGCCCTACGACACCCCGCTTGACTTTAACCAGGTGTACTCTCTGGCGGCGCAGTTCATTACCGGGTTCGCGCCAGGGAGTGCCGCGCTGCCGTTCATGGCCTTCCCGCCGCTGACGGCCGTGCCGGACGCGGCTGTGGTTGTTGCGGGCTCGACGGGCGTGATATTCGAATGCGCGTACACGCACGCCCTTGATGGCGGGCTGGTGACGTCTGGGCAGACGGTGTATGCGGTGTTGTTCTCTGGACTGGACACGTACTATGCGCCGGTGTATGTTGATGGTGACAGTGTGAGTACCGACCCCTACCTTTCGTGCCGGAGCTTGACGGCGTGATGAGGCGTTGTGTTCATGACCAGTGAAATTGATGCTGATACTCTTTTCTCTTATGCAGTACCGGCTTGCCCAGATCCCCGTGGGTGCGGACGGCCAGCTGCCGCCTTCTGGTCAGGTCTATGTTGTGCTTAGTACCGCCGACGGTGCTACCAACGTGGTGTGTGACGACAACACCTTGTCCGGGGTTGCTGTTCTGGAAGTATGCCTGTGAAGGGCAGTGGCATGGTCGCCTTTGCTAGCACTATAGTCACGCAGGGATGTTAAATAGTATATCAAATTATTAGTCATTCGGGAATTGTGTTGTCGATATAAGCGTTGTCCACGGTATATCATCTGCTCTGTCAGTCATTGATACTTGATTACGAAGTCCACATTCTCATGCATTGAACCAGCAAATGAGAGAACAAATAAGTTAGCAGAGGTCATGTTTGGAAGCAGGCAAGATCTAACACAAAGATTGTCTGCTATAAGATACAGTGCGCAGTGAATCCAAACGCGGCAGGACTGGCGAACTTGATGCGGGTCAACACTCGCACACCTGGGTCCAATAATGGAAGGGCTTTCGGCCTGTCCATGACTTGTGGTCCTCGATCATCGACTCGTGATACTTATTCGCGGGCCTTTATGGATGGAGGCATAGATGAGGCCGAACGACTTCTGGAGACACTGACTCCAGTTCTCAGTGCGAACGCAACTATTTCAGACGGGTGAACGACTTCTCCTTCGTCTACATGATAACCCTCGTGCGTCCCCTTTTCATATCTTTGCTCAGTCGGCAACGGCGGCGGGTTCAAGGTGCCACTTTGGAGCAAGTCAAACGCACGCGGTCGTGAATCGTACGGAAAGCAACCTTGGACTCCGAACAAGTCATTTTCACCATCGCGGGCAGCACGTGCCAGAATTGCCCAGACGGACCGCAGTGGTGTATCCGGGCCCTTGGAAGCGGGAATGGATGCTTTGCAGTTGAAAGTCACAGGATCTGTCCAACGCCTCCCAAGGACGCAAGTCACAAGAAACATTCCATCGATTGACATGTGAAGAAGCAGCTAAGCAACGCCGCTAGCTGAGCTGCCGCGGCCAATGGGAAAGCTGCTGCATCGTGCCTCGGCGGCCGGTTGGCGGGGGGCCTTGTGACACCAGCGTTAGCGCACCCCGGAACGGTGCAGCAGTAGCAATTCCAAAGTTCCCGAGGTCCAGCGGTCATGAGATCAGTCAGTCAGTCAGTCAGTACCTGTACCTTAACAACCCTACATACAGTAATATTGCAGTGTCTTTAACAGCAAATCCTACCTCGCCCGAACGATATCTACTCTGAAGGACACCTGCAGATCCCTACCAGTTGCTTTTGTGGACCGTCCGGGGTATTAGACAGACAAAATGGGTGGTAAGTCCTGCTCTGCTCTCCATCTCTCTTTCTACTCCCAGGAATACAAAGTCAGCTTCACAAGAACGACGTATACTGACACCTCGGTTCAACATGGCAGCTTTTGAGCGATTATCACAGATCTCGGGCCAACTGACGGGCTCCAAGTCGGCACGGGAGAAGCTGCTGGTCAAGAGCCCCGACGACGTACGTTCCGTTCCCCATGCCCCGACTTCCTCCAAGCCGTACCACCCGCGATGCCTTCCTCTCCGAATACAAGACACAATGGCTGACTACCCTCCGACCACCAATAGATCGTCGTAACAGCATGTCTGCGCACAGCATTCACCAAGGGCGGCAAGGGCGGCTTCAAGGACACGGCGGCGGCGGACCTGATGGCCGGCGCACTGAGGGGCGTCATCGAGCGGTCCGGGATCGACCCGGCCCTAGTAGAAGATGTTTGCGTGGGTGAGGTCCTCGCGCCCGGCGGTGGCGCGACCGAGATGCGCGCCGCGGCCCTCGTGGCCGGCCTGCCCGAGTCGACGGCCGTGCGCACGCTGAACCGCCAGTGCTCGTCGGGCCTGCAGGCATGCGTCGACGTCGCGAACCAGATCAAAACCGGCATGATCGAGGTCGGCATCGGCGCGGGCGTCGAGAGCATGAGTCTGCAGTACGGGTACGTTGCTTTGCTCTCGCCCACCCACCCCCTTCCTTGCCCCTACATACTTTCAGCTATTTGAAGCTCTTAGAAGACTGTCCCCCCACGCTAACATGGTGATTCTTCTTCCTGCCAAACAGTCCCAACGCCGTAACCGAGTTCTCAGAGCTCCTCGAGTCGCACCCCGAAGCCGCCAACTGCAAGGTACCCATGGGCGTGCTCTCAGAAGAAATGGCCAAGTCGCGCAGCATCGCGCGCGCCGGCCAGGACGCCTTCGCCGCAAGCTCGTACCAGAAGGCCCTCCACGCCCAAGAAACCGGGCTCTTCGACGAGGAGATCATGCCGCTGACCGTGAAATTCGAGGACCCGAAATCCGGCGAGACGCGCGACATCACCGTCAGCAAGGACGACGGCGTGCGCCCGGGCATCACAGCCGAATCGCTCGGCAAGATCAAGGCCGCCTTCGCGGAGGGCGGCTCCATCCACGCCGGCAACGCCAGCCAGATCAGCGACGGCGCGGCCGCCGTGCTGCTCATGAAGCGGTCCACGGCCGAAAAGCTCTCCCAACCCATCTTAGGAAAATACGTCACGGCCTCCGTCGCGGGCGTGAAACCCCTACTCATGGGCATCGGCCCTTGGAAGGCGATCCCGAAGGTCTTCGAGCAGACGGGCCTCACCAAGGACGACGTCGACATCTTCGAGATCAACGAGGCGTTCGCGAGCCAGTGCCTGTGGTGCGCGAACGAGCTCGGCATCCCCCTTGAAAAAATCAACCCAAAGGGCGGCGCCATCGCGTTCGGTCACCCGCTGGGGTGCACGGGCGCGCGGCAGGTCAGCACGCTGCTGTATGAGCTGAGGCGGCGCGGGGAGAAGATCGGGGTTACTAGTATGTGTGTTGGGACGGGCATGGGCATGGCTGCTGTGTGGGTTGCTGAGTAAATAGGGGCTTCTTTGACTTGGGGTTGCTTGTGGATTCTGGTCTGAGATAGGGGCGTAGGCATAAGGGGTGATGACACACGGCGGGCAGTACTCGTTGTACGAACTTGTATCGTTATGGGAATTGCTACTTTGCCAAACATGCATACTTCTGGCATTCCATGTATTACACCTGGTACTATTCGTAGAAGCACCGGTTTGACTTCAAAAGCCGTCGGCAACGGTATCATTGATTCGCCTAAAATCGAAGTTCACTTCTACTTTTCCCCTTCCCGTCCCTGCTCAAAGCCCTTGACATGCAATGCTAAACCCTCCCAGGGCCCTTCCCCTGATCTCTACATCATCCCTTTTCCCTCCTCTGAATCCCCGTCCAGGCACGCCGCACCCGGCTGCAAATCACTAACAATAGTAGCCAGCGGATTCTCCGCACTAACCTCCTCCTCCTCCTCCTCGCCAGCGCCGACCCCATTCTACGGGGCCGCCGACACAGAAGACTCAGAATACGACGACAAAGACTCGGGAGTCGAGCTGCTGAAGTTCTCGACATGACTCCCGACGCCGCGCTCCCTGGCCAGCCGCACGACCTCCAGCCCCACCACCAGGTCCACCAACCCCAGCCCGACGCTCTTGTAGATGACGTTGCCGGACGAGAGCCAGCGCGCGAGGTGGTCGTCGCGCTTCTGCTGCTGCGCCTTGTCCTTGTGCGGCCGATGGTTGTCGGCGGAGGAGCCCTGGCTCGAGGCTGAGCCGCGGCGCAGCGAGGGCAGGTGGAAGCTGCCTTTGCGGCTCGAACTGCTTTTCGGACGGCTGGGGCTGCGCGAGGATGAGCGCTTGGGGTGGCTGCTCGCGTCTGTGGACGAGTTGTTGCCGCCGAAGACGGTCGACATGGCCGGGCCTGGGCCCGAGGATGAGAGGTCCAGCTTGTCGAAGGAGTTGCTGATGGCGGAGGAGCCGTCGGTTGCGGAGTCTTCGTCTTCTCTCAGCTTGTGGATCATGACTAGTTCTCCGAGTCTATGAAGTGACTTGTTAGTATTCAAAGCTCCCATTGCTTCGTTTGGATACTTGGGAATTGGGGAATCGGGGATTAAGGGGGGCGGGTGGGCAAACTCACTCAACCAGCTGTTTCGGCTCCAACTCAGCGTCGATGATCTCACCGGCCTCCTTGAGCGCCCCATCCAGCGTATCGACTACAATGACGCCGCCCTCCGTCGCGTGCTTGTGGTAGTGCATATGCCCCGCCGCGTGCTGCTTCGTGGCCTGAAGCAGCAGCTCCCGCGGCAACTCGCGCATGTCCGTCGTATAGCTTCCCACAGCCACGATCAGCCTGCCCTTGCGCCGCCCCTCGTGGCTTGTCAGTATGCTCGCGTCGAACAGCGCCTCCGTGCTCGGCGTGCAGCAGTAAATCACGTCGGCTTCACGAATGTGCTCCTTCTGCAGCCGGCTGTACTCGCCGTACGTAGGCGTTAACATGCTGAACTGCGCTTCGGTCCAGCCCTCGCGCTGCTTGACGGCTGCCGGCACCGCGTAGAACTGCTTCAGAATCGTCTTGGCGTTGTCGCTGAACCGGCGGTTGATGATGTTGACGGTGCGGATCGTGCGGCCCCGCAGCATCAGCGCGAGCCGGATGTGCCAGTAGGCCTGCAGGCCGGAGCCGAAGACTGTAATGGTACGCACGCTGGCGCGCTTGGTGAGCAGGCAGGATGAGGCGAGCGCCGTGCGGAATGCTGTGAGGGTTTGTGCGTGGAGGAAACCCAGCGGGCTGCCGGAGGGCGAGTAGAGTGTCACGGAGCCCGTGGGCTTGATGGTCGGGAGGGAGGGATCGGCGTGCGGCGAGGAGACGGTGACAACTGCGTATGTCCACGACACGTTAGCTATCGCTCAAAAACAGCACCTAATGATGTACTTGCGCACAGGACTAGCAAGGGAGACGTACCCTTCACCCCATGCCCAACCGGACTACAGGAGGGCATGAACAGTGTGGTTGCGCCAGTGGCATTCGAGGTAACGGAGGTCCTCTTCGGCTGGTGGATGAGTCCCGCGTCGATCGACTGCGTGCCGGTCGAGTAGTCATGGAGGGCGCATTTCAGCGTGTGTGCGAAGCCTTCGGCCTCGTCGTGGCTCAGGGTCTCGAGGAGCTCGCGGATCACCTCGTCGGAGAGCACCGCCAAAGACATGGCTTCCAGCTCCGGGTTAGTCGAGCAGGCGTAGGTAATAAGTTCGGGTCTGTTAAGGTAGAGACTGATCAAGGCAAGACGCTGCTAGCAGGATGGAGTCTGGCGATGCTCAAGCAGCTTTGATTGTCTCCTATTCGGGTAACCAGGCGCTCTAGAAGGGCCCAAACGATGAGAACAGTTTCCAGAAAGAATGGTCTAAAGGTTTCAGTTGGTCTTTGCGAACTGGTGGCGGGAGGACCCGAGTTAGGGCAACTCGTAGGTCAGGGTTGGATGTCTTACGCAATTGTCGTATAGGATGTCCCGTCATCAAAGAGTCGGGTCGAGCGTGTTTGTCGTCAGCGAAGACTCAAGACTCAAAGTCTCAAATCCACTCGTGGGGTTGATCTTTTTCTTGACCCTTTGTCCCCATACGGCCCTCTTGGCCGCAGACTCCAATTGACCCGTTGTCCATTCTCACGCCTTGGCAATGGAGTCACCCCGTCACTCGAGGGTGTCTCATTGTTCGAAAATGCGAGTTCAAGCTCGCGATAATCCCCAGTGTTCGCAAGCTTGGAGAAAGCTACCCCGCCATGTTATAGTGAAAATCCACCCAACAGTACCCCAGTGACGTATTCTGGAGGGGCAGCTCAAGTCTCCCGGGCTGGACCGGCACCTCTCCTGCATGTTCCCGTCGCCTCTGACGAAAGTGCATTGACAGTAATAAAAAATATATAATTGTTCATTTATCCATTTTCAAAGAATCCTATATATAAGCATGCCCCAGTCAGTTGTTGCCGTTCTCATCTTCAGATACCACGCCTCCGCGCCCTGTTTCGCATCCAGGAGTCCCAACAACAGCAACCTCGCCTCGGTGGTAACTCCCCATGACAAGTAACGTCAATGAACACCATTCATCCAAGGACACCGTTCCCGCAAAATGTCGCTTAGCCCTTGCCCGTTCATCTCAAGCCCAGGAGATCAGATCATTTCATCCAAGTGACACCGACACCGGTCTTTTGAAGTATGCAAAAACTCGAAATCGCTCAAAACACATCGACGACTACCAGCCCGTTGTTACAGAGCCTGCATGCCAGCGCCGTCATTCCTGAAGACGAGCATAGCATGCTTGCCCTTAACAACCTCAGCCGTACCGTCGCCGCCGCCGCCGCCGCCCAGCGCACCACCACCAGAACCGCCCTTGCCGGTGCCAAAGCCCAGGTCGTGAATGCGCCCCGAGCCGATATCAAACAGGGTGCCGTGGACCTGGAGCCCCCTATCGCGGATGGCCTCCTGTATGGCCATGTTCGCCATGAGGACCTGGGCGCCGGCCTCGACGTTCAGCTCGGCGATGCGCACCGCGCGCGCCTTGTCGTCCGAGATCGCCATCAGCTCCTCGCGGTTGGCATTGCGCACGGCCTTGAGGGGCGTCAGCCAGGTGTCGAGGACGCCACCGACGCGCTCATCGCTCAGGGCGGCCGCCGCGCCGCCGCAGGCCGAGTGTCCGCATAGCACCACGTGCTTGACCTTTAGGTAAATTACTGCGTATTCGATGACCGCCGACGTGTTGATGTCGGTGGGCGATATGATGTTGGCGATATTGCGGTGCACAAACACATCGCCCGGTTGCAGGCCCAGGATCGTCGTCTCGGGGCAGCGCGAGTCGGAGCAACCTAGCCATACTGTGATGAAAAATTACAGTCAGTATTTTTGGTTTGCTTGCTCGGCTCTGTCATGAAACGCATAGGTGGGGCGCTTTTGCCGAGTATGCGCGCTGATGCTGGGAGTGTGTTGAGTGGTCACGGCGAGATATTGTCTCAACTCGTCCCTCAACATTTGCAGGGTGAGGTGGGATGAGGGCGATACTCACGAATATTAGGTGATTGTCCCGAAGCCAACTTGGGGAAGAAGTCTGGGTTCTGGTGGCCTTTGTAGCCGGCCCAGGCCTGGTTCGAACTCAGCGCATAGGCGAAAGGATCCTCTGAAGCGTCCATAGTAAGCAACTTGAAGTTGAGGTATTTCGTATACTCGAGATCTCGAGGGATAATGGTATAGGGAACAAGGGCTCACTAGCCCGCGCGATAATGGGTTCGGATCTCACTCAGCAGTCTTTGTTCGGCGGGGCATACAGGATCTGATATCTGAATCGAATGTGAACTCGGACTTGAAAGGAGACAACTCACGCTGGGGACGAGGCATTTCCTCCTTCTCTTAAACTGGGAAACTCGCCTTTCTCCGACCAGGCTCAGGAATTATATCGTTCGAGGGAAATAGGCACAGGGGAGCGAATAGGGCCGCGCTGTGCCGCCACAAAACGCAATTGTTGAGCGAATTAGGAAATCCTAAGCTCGATTGGTGCAGGTTTGCCGTGGTGCGCCCACGTGGGGAAGACGGTTTATCTCAGAGACTCCTCCTTCCCGCGTGAGATTGACCGATGATTGATCGTCCAGAGGATTGTGGATTTGTGTGCTGGGGAATTGTCGTAAGATATCGCACGAAGGCTCGGACCCTGCGGATAGACTCTGGACCAAGCAACGGTGGCGTCCGCCGACGAACGCCCAGGCGGGACAAGTGAGATGTACAGCACCGAGGATCGAGGCGATGACTATAAAGAGTGCAATAGGAAATAGAGGATCGCAGGCTACCAGCCAAGAAAAAGAGGCAATTTGGAAGAGGAGGAGTAGGAGAGCGGACAGGTAAGCAAATTTAGACGAGGACGAGGAGAGTCCGTAGGTAGAATCTGTAGGAATATGGGTAGGTTCCGGCAATGAAGCAATCTGATCTGAGGTGAATACCGGTGAATTATGAGGTAGGGAGCGGTGTTATTGAAGATGGATGCGGGCGTTGCTTATCTGTGTCCGGAGTCCGGGGTCGAGATAGACGGACAAGAGTCAGACAGACCTACCATGGTTCCTTCCTGGGTACGGCCGGGGATGAAACGTGTCGGGAGTCAAAACTCACTGGACGACGGCGCACAGAGGCAAGCGAGACCAGAGCGATGTGCTGTCCCATGGCTGATGAGTCCAAAGCACTCACTCGGCGCTCGTTCCCACTTGGAACCAAGCTTTTCTTCCCGTGCTTCGTGGAACGGCAGGTATCTCCGGTAGCGGCGCTGTGGTTGTGTCAGTGTGGTTGTGGGGGAACGGACAGGGTGTGTCAGCATCAGCATGGGAAAAAGCTTGGTCCCTTCCAAGGTTCTCTTATCAGGAAAGAAAGGTCCATCCCAAACACCAGACATCAGCTGCCTCCTGATCGCCCGCCCAGATATCCAAGGGTCTGTCATCCCCATATCCTCCTATTGGGGCTCCATTTGGAGGGAACCGAGGGACTGCATGCCGCAGTGATCCTGTGATCAGGAACGGCTTTTGCTTTTGAATCAATACCCGTTTTGTCCTGCCAAATGTGACGCAGTCGGGTAACAGAGGACTTCGGGAGCTTGCCCGTCCAACTCCCGCGGCTAGCCAGCTTTCCCCAGGTTCATGAATGACGGGGATATACTGATGTGGCTACTCAACCCATTTTCCAGCCACAATGACGGATGGGTCACGGACCAGGATACAAGGTACCTTGGAGCCCAACGGGTACCCGTTTGTACCTGATTTGTACCCAACTGGGATGATAGCTACTTCTGGGATGGGGACACCACCCATCCCTTCTTTCAATCAAGCAACTTCCAGAATACAGACCAATAGCCACCTATCGTGACCCTGGTCCTTATTCTGGATACCGCTACCACAAGGCACACTGATAATAACATAAGCATAAGCGAGGCTTATTAGCGGGCCTCCTTATGTGAATATGTATGGTGAGATTCAGATAAACTGCTCTCGCAAACATGGGATTTCCATGTGTCCCATAGTTCGACTCTCAACATCAGCCAATTGACAAATGCCGCAAAGTAGTTCCCGTTTCGGCTAATGTTAACCACCTTCTTGTTGGTTGCTGAACGTCCGCTTTCTAGTGAGCATAGGATCGACTATACGTATGGAAATGCTGGGTGAGTGAGGGCCGAGCATCCATGCGAGCCCGGCTACAGCATATCGCGATTGAAACAATGCAGCAGGATATGAATCAGTTATTGATCAATCGTTTCATTCATCATCACATTGGTTGTCAAGCCGGTTTGAAGAGGGTGGAGTAGGTTGCATGCAAATCCAGGGTGGTTGGTATTCCATTTTGCCTCCTCCAACGCCGGAACCGTGCAAACTAAAGAACTCCTGATCCATGACTGAGCGCAACGCTTAGCATGCTTAAACCTTAAGGGCCTGGTCGGCGGCCTTCTTGATCTTCGCAATGCGCATGTTAGCCTTGGCACCCATGATACCACCACCCCACTGCTTGCGCGAGTTCTCAGTGTCGGCCATGTAACCCTCCTTGATGGCGCTGACAAGCTTGGACAGCTCGCTCTTGTCCTCGGAGCGAACCTCGGTGACGGCAAGAACAGCAGCGGTCTTCTTGTGGACGACAGTTCCCAGACGAGCCTTGCCCTTGATGATAGCGTAGGGGACACCCATCTTTCGGCAAAGAGCGGGCAGGAAGATGACCAGCTCAATGGGGTCAACATCGTTGGGGATCAGTACGAGAGCGGCCTTCTTGTTCTCGATCAGGCCAACAACCTAGACATGGGGGTTAGTATCGTAGTACACCTCGTAATTTTCGACGGATACATACGTGGTTCAGACCGTACTTGGCAGCGTAAGGCTTCTTGCTGACGTCCTCCTTCTTCTTGCCCTCCTTGATAGCAGTGGCCTCCTTGACCAGACGCTCCTTCTTCTCGGCCTTGGTCTCAGGGCGGTACTTGTTGAGGAGCTTGAAGGCCTGGGCGGCGGTGTTACGGTCGAGAACGTGCTGGAACTGGGAGATCGCCGGCGGGACCTTCAGGCGCATGTTGATGATCTTGCGCTGGCGTTGAAGGCGGACATACTCGGGCCACTTCACCATGCGGGACAGGTTACGCTTGGGCTGGATGTCCTGGCCGATACCGAAGTTGCGCGTGCGCTTCTCGATGAGGGGGTTCTGTCGCACATGTCAGCAAAACTTGGGGGGAACAGAAGCAAAGGAAGGGGACTTGATGAGTTGACTAACCTTGGGAGCCTTCTTGCTCGACTTCGCGGCCCCAAAGGGAGCCGGAGCGGCCTTCTTACCGGACTTGGGAGGCTATCATTGAGGAAAGAAGACATCAGTAAATGTTTTGCATTGACTGTAGTCTTCCTTGAACTCTAGAGAGATATCCGCGCGTGGCATTTCTGCGCACGGCGAATGATCTCAAGCCAGTTCTTCACCTGCGTCCCGAGAGACGACAGGCGGCAAATGGACAACTCGACAAGGGAGTGCCATTGAAGTGGTTGATCGAGTGCCGGAGCACAACGATCTCGGGGTATTCAGGAGCTTACCATGGCGAATGCGTTGTCGTGTGGTCGTGATGAATGAAGAATCGACCGAGGTTGAGAGGTGTGAGGGAAGAAAGGGAATCTCGTGAAAAGTTGCGAGCTTCAAATTCTCCAGTTGTGGTTGTGCGGGCCCGTAGGGCTTCTGCTGAATCGAAAAGCGGTGCGGCGAAACATCGGCTGCGCTAGCCTCGAAAGAGCGTTAGCCTAATTTACCCCTCCGGCTGTACCTTGGTACCTGAGTGGTGTCGAACCCCACTACGTTTGGTCGATGAGGATTCGCTTGATGGTTGAGTCATCACTGGATTTCGCAATAAAAGCTTGAGGCCCTTCGACAGTTGCGAACATCACGTTGCGACTTCTTGTCCATATACCATTTTCTTCGATTTCTTGCTGCACGCTCAAGGATGCCTCCAGCGCTCTGCGCAGTCTGTAAGACGGAGAGGGCCCTGATCAAGCGACCCAAGAACCACCAGAAACTCTGCAAGGGGTGTTTCATTGAGATATTCGAGGATGAAGTTCACCACACAATAACATCGTCCCAGCTCTTCTCTCGGGGCGAGCGAGTGGCTATAGGGGCGTCAGGTGGCAAGGACTCGACAGTCCTGGCTTCGGTGCTGAAGACCCTCAATGAGCGGCACGACTACGGAGTTGACCTAGTGCTCCTCAGCATTGACGAGGGCATCAAGGGCTACCGGGACGACTCTCTGGAGACTGTGAAACGCAATGCCACCCAATACGACATGGAGCTGAAGATAGTCGGTTACGACGAACTATACGGCTGGACCATGGACCAAGTCGTCGAGACTATTGGAAAGAAGGGAAACTGCACGTACTGCGGCGTGTTCCGGCGACAGGCGCTGGACCGAGGTGCAAAGATGTTGGGAATCAAGCACGTCGTCACGGGTCATAATGCGGACGATGTTGCGGAGACTGTCTTGATGAATCTGCTTCGAGGAGACTTGCCGCGGTTGTCACGGAGCACGAGCATCGTCACCGGCAGTGACGCCAGCGAGGTGAAGCGCAGTAAGCCTCTGAAGTACGCATATGAGAAGGAGATCGTCCTCTACGCACACCATAAGAAGCTGGATTACTTTACCACCGAGTGCATATACAGCCCGGAGGCTTTCCGCGGGAGTGCGAGGAGTCTGGTCAAGAACCTGGAGAGAGTTCGTCCAAGCGCCATACTGGACGTTGTACGGAGTGGCGAAGACATGGCGAGACTAGTTCCTGGAGCCACACCGGATGCCTGTGGCTGCAAGGGCAAGGCACCACCACCACCTCAGAGTGCAGCCGACGACGAGAACGTGGGCGGGTGCGGTTCTTCAAATGGGCGCACAGTAGGTGGAGATATGGCCGCCATGGAGAAGCAGCTTAGGGCGAACGAAGCTGCCGAAGCTGCCGGTCTTGAGACCAAGGTCTCTGTCTCCAGGACTGAAGCTCAGCGCCCCAATAGCCAGAAGCAGCAGCCAGAGCAACAGAAGACGACCGGCACCAGGCTTCCCATCATCACAAAGCAGACGTTGGGCAATTGTGAGAAGTGCGGCTACTTGACGAGCCAGAAGCTTTGCCAGGCTTGTATGCTCCTGGACGGACTGAATAAGAACCGACCCCAGATCACGATATGAACTTGGGTGTAGTCGTTGTAGCTGGCATTTCCGTGTCTGTACACACAATTGGATGATAGATAATAGATGATACCCACTGGACATGGTTTTACGGATCATGATAAAAGGATTGTGTATCATATGGTATTGTATTCGTGGACTGCTGTACAGGTTGTGGTTGCTTTATTGTGACTGACTTTCCGCCTTGCTTCCGGCCATCTACGACATCCGTTTCTCGACCTAAATTCCCCGTCAGTAAGATCCACTTCTGTATGATGTAAGGTTCGGGCACACGACGTACTCTCCAAGGGTTGTTGAGCTCGAAGCCTAGCGGTGCTATAGGGGCGTCGCTTTGCCCTCGCAACGTGCCTGTGAGTCTTCGATCTCGGTCCATCACTGGAGTATTATGTCAGTTCCATGTTGTATAGCTTGGGTTTTGCATCGCAAGTTCGTACTTTGCTAGAGAGGCGCAGTGTTAGCATCAAGATCAGGACGGATCGAGACATATAGTTGAAGGGGACCTACCCTATCCCATTGATCCAGCGAGCGTCGCTGTCTCTTGCCGCCGTTCTGCCAGTTCCGGAACTTGGACAATCCAGCGCCAGTCGCGCCAAACATCTGTTATGTCCCCTCTAAGCACGCGTTCTCCGTGGTGGTTTCGGCTTTGGTCATGGCTGCGCGATGGGGCTTACGGCAAGGACGATTCCATAGGGAATCAGGGCTTCGAAGGGGACGGGCATTGTGATCGATGGCGGCCGGCACTAGAGAAAGACGTTGTTAGAGTAAGACAATAGGTGATAATGATAGCATAGGGAGTAAAGCTTACATTATTCTGATGTCGACCGTAGTTGAATGCTTCGTGATGGGCGTAGCTGTCGACGGAGTGTCGTCAATTGCCAATTGCCAATTGGTGGTGCTCTTCTTTGATTAGGTCAGGCTAGTGGAGTCAGTACCGGTGATAGCCTGACAGCCTGTGGAGTGTGGACAGCTGAGGCTGCCGGTGTGTGGTCCAAGCTGCAGGTCGGCTTGGGGGGGATGAAGCCACCTGCACCAATGACGGGAAGACAATCACTGAGTAACAGTGGGACAGGGAGCTGGAAGCACCACTACTGCACCACAACACGGGTCGGACCTCGTGCATTCAAGACGGTCGCGAACAGCAGCCCATGGTCATTGCCGTCGAGCGCATCATTCACTGCACCGCACGCCCTTGAAGCCCGTTCTCTAGCGCATCACGCGCCGATTTGCATATTGAATCTCAATCGTCCAGAAGCAAACCAAAACACGCGGCTCACTGTGCAATCGTGGCGCGTTCAACCTTCTCCAATACAGTTCGCAATTTATCCCTACCTACCGAGAGACCTAATGCATCAAGCATCGCCAGCCATCAGACCGACAGCCGTTGATCTTGATTCCTGTAAAGCCCCGAAAGGGTCGATTGCCCTGCGACTCAAGATAGGCCATGCTACAAGGCCTCTCCTGATGTGAAGCGGCAAGAGTTGGAGGCCCCTGGGAATCACCACTTGCAATAGTCGGCGCGAGCTCTCGACTTCCGAACCTTACCTCTCCAATTCTCCAACCCGACGAACCGGCGAACGTTTCGCTTGAACCACAAAATGGCGAATGCGCAACTCATGGAAGAGGAGCTCCAACAAAGTGTCGTTCTTTCCGAGGAAGACGCCGAGTTCGAAGAAGACGTCGCAGATGACGTTGCCATGGTCGATACTGGCTCCTCCATACCTTCCGGCGGGACTACAGAATCAGTCTTCCACGAAGAGCAGGCATCTGACGCCCGCCAAGGAAGCCATGACGAGGAAGACGACGAGGTCGGCCCAATAGCCCCAGATCAGGTCGCGTCTCAAGATGGTCAGCGTGGCGATCTGGAGGGCGTACCAGCCGATGATGAGGACGACGACCAGGAAGACCATCTGGAAGACGACGAGTCTTCCAGCCAAGAGGGAAGCGTTCATGATGACGATGAAGTTTCCGACGTCGATGCCGAAGGAGAGGACGATGATGAAGAGGATGTCGTAATCCAACCACCGGGTCAGGTCGACCCGAATGGGCTCTTGATTGCCGAGGATGACGAGGAGGCCGAAGAGAACGTCGCAGATGGAGAAGAAGAGGACGACGACGAAGGTGTTGGTGCCGTCAAGATAAAACCCGGCGAGACAGACGACGAAGAGAGCGAGAGCGAGGCAGACGTCAGCTCCGCCTCAGGCGCAACTTCCGGATCGGACTCTGACGATAGAGGCTCGGCGGTCGAATGGGAATCTGGAGCAGAAAACGACGACGACGATGAAAGAGACGAGGACTCCGAAGCGCCCGATCCTAATGCCTGCATCTTCTGTAAGAAAGTTGAGGAAACCCATCCGGCGGAGGCATCTGAGGCCTACCTCGCATGTAAAGGCTGTGGTGAACACGGTACGTCCTTCTCATCCGGGGAAGAGCAGAAGGTATCGTATGGTCTAACGCGTGATTCAGCACACCAACAATGCGCTCGTGATGCTAACGCCCTTGACGACCAAAACGGTGAGCTAGCTTTAGCTGGTGAATCTTGTTTGTGTGTAGGCAAATGCGCTAATACGGGCAAAGGTGCATCGAATTGGAAATGCCCGGATTGCGTTGATTACGAAGAGGAGGATGCGGAAGCCGATTCAGAGACGGAGCTGACCGATCAGAAAATGGATGGCGAAAGCAACGTGGATGTGGAGGTGGACGCGGAGATGGACATGAATAGCGATGCTGAGGATGGTGATCTATCTCCCACGTCGATTGCCACGCGCGCCTCGGCCCCTAAACTTGCCCGCGACTTGCTCCCTGCGCAACGTGGCGCCAACAAACCCGACTCCCATTCGGTCTTCAACCAATTAGTACTTAATGAGGACCCTATGGATGGCTCGCGAGTACTGAGGAAAAGGAAGACGTCCTCCGCCGAGCCCGAGGAGCTCATGCAGTTGCGGAAACGGACTAGAAACACGTCTCTGGGGTCTGTCAAGGCTGATGCGGCCCAAGAACAGGTGAATGGTGCAGCAGAGCCGCCCTCGGTCCGGCCACGGTCGTCGCGCTCGCTTCGACTCAAATTGTCCAGTCCGGTGCCTCAGTGCAGCGTCGTCAAGAAGTCGCGTACTAGCCACTTGATGAAGATGCGAGTGGATGCCGCCGCACTGCAACGAATTCTCTCCAAGAAGCCCAAGTCCTCGAGGAATCGCGCCGGCCGGGCAGTTGCATCTCGGCCCTCCCGCCCTGCAGCTGGACGAGGTGGTACATATACTGCTGCCGCCGCCACCGCTGTTGCGGAACCGCCTGCAACGGTCCCATTCTTCGCTTCTAGTTACTCCCAGCCGTTTTACTCTTTCTATGACAAAGAGACGGATGAGCTGAAGGGCAAACCTTATGGCGGCATATTGACTGAGGAACAGGCGGATACAACGAAGACACTGCCTACAAAGGAAGATCGGCGGCGGTTCGATGAGGCTAAGCAAAAGGCTGAAGAGGAATGGAGAAACCGGCTGCTGGCCGTGCAGGCCGAAGCCGATGTCCCCTTGAAGAAGTCAAAGAAGACTTCCGGACCGGCAAGCCAGATCGAATGCATCGAATTCGGCGGCTGGGAGATCGACACGTGGTACGCAGCTCCATATCCCGAGGAATACAGCCGCAACCGTGTTCTATTCATCTGCGAGTTCTGCTTGAAGTACATGAATTCTGATTATGTCGCCTGGCGGCATAAGCTCAAATGCCCCGCCAAACACCCGCCCGGCGACGAGATATACCGACATGGGTCAATTGCGTTCTTCGAAGTGGACGGCCGAAAGAACCCGGTATACTGTCAGAACTTGTGTCTGTTGGCTAAGCTCTTCCTCGGGTCCAAAACACTCTACTATGATGTCGAACCTTTCCTATTCTACGTACTCTGCGAGTATGATGACCTCGGTTACCATTTCGTCGGATACTTTTCCAAGGAGAAGCGAGCGAGCAGTCAGAATAATGTCAGTTGTATTCTGACCTTGCCCATCCATCAGCGCAAGGGCTACGGCCATCTCCTGATCGATTTCTCGTACCTGCTCACCCGAGTCGAGCAGAAGACTGGGTCGCCTGAGAAGCCGCTCTCTGATATGGGCCTCGTGTCATATCGCAACTATTGGAGACTGGTGCTCTGCAAGTACTTGATAAATCGCGTTCCCGAGGACAAGTTACGGAAGAAAGGTACTAGCCTCAGGCAGATATCTGACGACCTAGGTATGACGCCAGACGATGTCATTGCGGCTCTCGAAGCACTTCGCTTCCTTGTGCGGGATCCTGTCACTCAGGTTTACGCATTCAGGGTCGATCTCCTATATTGCCACAGAGAGGTAGCAAAGTGGGAGGGAAAGAAATACGTCAAGCTCAGCCCTCAGGTCCTGACATGGACACCATATGTGATGGGCCGAAGTAATGCGACCAACTTCGAGCTGGGGCCTGCTCTTAACGCGATCGCTCCACGGGAGGAGGATGAAGACACTAAGACTGTCCATGTCCTTGCTGATAGTGGCATTACAAATGGCAATTTTGCAGCTGCCAAAGAGATGGTCCAAAACGCAGCCTTGCAAATCACCCCAGCGGTTCTCGAGTCGACTGAGCCTAATGACAATGCTGCCGCCGATGACAAGCAGTCACCAAAGGTGAATGGGGTTGACAAGGAGAATGCGGAGGTGCACCCACCCACCCAGGATGATGCAATGGCGCCGGCAGAGGGTGTTGACGATGCCCCCGAGGAGGCGGACAACTGGATCCAACAGTATGACAACATACCAGTCAGCAGATTCCAAGTCTTCCCGCCAATCAATGCCCGACGTCCTGGGGTGTCTCGAATAAGTTCCAGCATTGCAAGGCCGGCTGCTCTTCCGCGTACTCTATCATCGACGGTTCGAACACCAGCAAGACCCAAGGCGCGACCTCAAGCCCGACGATCTACTGGTGGAGCCAGCTCACGAAAGGCGGCTCCGAAGAAGAACAGCACAGTCAAGCGCAAATCTGGAGGCACCGGGCGAGGTCCTGGACGATGGCCAAAGGGCACCAAGAAGTCCGACTACGGCAACGCTGACAGTGGCCCAGGCCTACCGCCAGGCTGGGAGGAAGAGCGTAAGGCAGTGCTTAAGCGTTCGGGAATGTCCGAAAATGACATCAAGGAGACTGTTCAAGTTGAGACTGTTAAAGCACAGGTCGATGCAGCTAACAGAAAAAGGGGTAAACAGATCGAGACTGTCTTTCCTGGATTCGAAGTCAGGGGCGATCTGATAGGCGAGGGGAGTGCGCAGGCGAGCAGCGCCAGCGGAAGCAATTCTAAAACAGCCGGCGAAGATGAGGATGCCGAAGGTGACCCCGACGTGGCCATGGGCGAGGATGGAAATGCCGCTGCTGAGGGCGTTGAGGAGTGATACGCACGATAAGCACTCCTCCTGGCATGGGCAAGAGACCTGTAGACTTGGCATTGTACACTTATGGGAAAGGACGTCCAGGCGTAAAGGAGATTATGGTGGGCAGCGCACAGCTGCGTTTTAGGGAGTCTACGGCGTTCAGCGGGATTTCGTTGACGAGCCCCTGCGTTTTCTGTTCTTGGGCATATGTACCTACCTATCTACCTAATGCAGGTTGGTTTGAGAAAAGACGAGACGACCTTCACCTGTCTTTTGTGTCGTCCTTGTAATGACTAGAGCCTTTTTGTGTGAGATGACTTTTGTGATCCCGAGTAGTAGGGGATATATGAATGGATATTTACTTACATTGCTCTCATACTAAACATCGACATCGCATAACGGACTGGTAGTCGTTCTTTGGAGTTAGATAAAGTTATCTCTATTGTTTGGTCAACCCCTATCGGTGGCTACGGAGGCTACGGGGGCTGTTTTGGGGTGCAGATATCCAGGTACCCGAGCTCTCCGCACCAATGATGAAACGCTGCCGTCGTAATATGTGGGGCGTATTGCTTCCTCTCCAGGTTTCAGCCTCCTTGCAGCAGTGCTCCATCATCTGGCAATTGGCACGGCTAATCAACTTGGAGTTTGTTTGTCCTCTCCCTCGCTCGTTAACAATCTCACGGACAATACAGCGCATCTCGTTTCGACACGTCTTGCTGCGAATCTAGGTAACCTCTGGTAGGCCGACTCAAGCTCGATTGCACTTGCTCACGGTTATTATGAGTGGCCTCTCGGGTTTGAGGTGACGAGACACAGCTTGAGCCATCCCGGCAGCCATGAAACGCCACCGTTCATCCGCATCACATCCGCCCCAACTCACCTCACCACTCTCAGCCTCGTCAATCCGGGCTCCAATGTCGCTCCTACTTATGGTTCTACTGCAACCGCTGCTCTGGCTCATTGCGCCGGCGGCGGCCTACACCGCGCTCTCGGACTTCTTCCTACAACAAGTCCCGTCCGGCGGCAGCGACTTCGACATCGACTCAGGCAAGCTACTGGCGCCGATCCTGATCCCGCGGGTGGCAGGGACGCCGGGCCAAGTCGCAGCCCAGGAGCACTTCGTCAACTTCTTCCGGGACGAGCTGCCGGCGTGGAGCATGGAGTGGTTCAACAGCACGTCGACGACGCCGGCGACGGGCTCGCGCGAGCTGCCGTTCGCGAACCTCGTGTTCCGCCGCGAGCCGCCGTGGACCAAGCCCGGCCAGAGCAACCTGCTGACGCTGGTGGCGCACTACGACAGCAAGATCGCGCCCGAGGGGTTCGTGGGCGCGACCGACAGCGCGGCGCCGTGCGCGATCCTGATGCATGTCGCGCGGAGTATTGATGCATACCTCACGCAGATGCACGACGAGATGCAGGCGCTGGGCGAGGGCGGGTCCGTCGAGATGGATATGGGCGTGCAGGTCTTGCTGCTGGATGGCGAGGAGGCGTTTGTGCGGTGGACGGATACGGATTCGTTGTATGGGGCGCGGTATGTTATTCCTATCTCCTTAACCCCTCGGGTCTCTACAATGGCCTCTACACGCAGCACGTAGTTATGAGAAACGAGCACTAACATGGACAACAGAGCACTGGCCGAAGAATGGGAAAACACCACCCACCCCGCCATGTCGGGCTACGCCAACCCGCTCGACCAGATCAGCATGTTCGTGCTGCTCGACCTGCTCGGCTCGGCCGACCCGGTCGTGCCCTCGTACTTCGCGACGACGCACTGGGCGTACGCGGCCATGGCGACCATCGAGTCACGCATGCGGGCCCTCAACCTGCTCGAGTCCACGCCGAGCCGCGGGGCGTTCCTGCCTGACAAGGACAAATCGGCGTCGCAGTTCGGCCGCGGGTTCGTCGAGGACGACCACGTGCCGTTCATGCACCGCGGCGTGCCAATCTTGCATCTTATTCCTACTCCGTTTCCCAAAGTGTGGCACACGATGCAGGACGATGGGCCGCATTTGGACCTCCCGACGGTCAGGGATTGGGCGCGTGTTGTTACGGCGTTTGCGCTGGAGTGGCTGGATATGATGGAGGTTGAGCCGGAGGGGGCGGCGGTGGCGAGTGGTTGATGTGTGTGGTATCCATCTTATGGTGATACGCTAGCTTATAGATCTGGTATCTTACGAGCGGTTATGCTACGTTTGTGCGATATTTGTGTGTATGAGCGATGTGTATACAGCGACTGGTATGGAGTTGAGGTTACGGAATATCAGCGTTGATTCTGCGGGAGCCTAGATGTCTCGTGCGCGTACACTGTGTGCTGTTTCTTGGCTTGTAGATCCGGGTCGGAACTATGTGTCTTACTTTTGGGTTTCTACTGTGATACTGGCAGCCTACGGGCGAGGGAAGAAACGTGGTCTGGAAAAGAATGTTAATGGGACGCCTGGAGCTGCTCATGATGGGAACTTTCCTTGAACTGCTCCTGGTCATAGAAGGTGGTGTTCGAAGACCCCAAATTCCAAGACTTCGCAATAGTATAACTGGTTGAAATGATGTTCTGCTTGAACTCAATCTAGAATGCACTTGTCTGGCTATACGACCCCTGGAATGTTCTTTGGTCGACGTGAACCATCCCGATGGGTACGGACCTATGCAGATGCACTGCTCTTTATTCGTTGTTGTACCCTTCCGTCCTTCTCACCAGTTGTATTGGTGGAATCAACTTCATATTCCATATTGATTTTGTTTCTTCTCTCGTTATATGACTGGGCACTTTAGATACCTTTGAACAAATTCAGCTCTGATACACTGAACCTTCAAACGTCTCCGTACACCCGTTGTTAAGCAAGCGAAAGGTGTATCTACTTTAACTAGAATAAGCACTCTACAATAAGCATTTCACATGGCTAATTGGATTAGACCTGCTATCACAGGATGCTTATTCCAGTAATATAAATGTGGCATTGACATCTAAGACCTGAGAGTGGCAAGCCGGACGGAAATTTAAGGGGGGTGAGGGTATCTCGAACTTCTGAACGACGGGATCCCAGGAGACTGTGAAGTTGAAAAACTGAGATTTGGCACGTAGCCCCAGCCCCTCCCTGTCTCGAGCCACCTGCTCTGCCGCAGACGGACCTTTGTCGTGCAGATAGGTGGAGTAAATGTGCGCGTGGGCTGCACAGCCCTGACCATGCATACCAGAAGGCTCCGTGAGAGGCTGACGGATCTCAAATGTTTACTCGGCCGGACTGCCCGCTTGGCTGGGTGCTACCGAACACCCGATATGCCGGCATGCCGAGCTGTGACACTTACAGTCTTAGAAGGATGGACAGGTATCTCATGAGGTGGTTACGGACAGCAAGCAACATTAACAGTAAAGCGAAGTGGAAGAGTACAGATACTTATTTGGACATGTCAACTTTGCAGTATCCACGTGCTACGTCACGTATATGTCAACTCTGGACGTCTCAAGGATCGGTGAAGGGCAATGCGAACCAAGCTGCGAAAAGAGCCGACAGCTGTTGCCGCTGCTGGCGCGTCATATTGGCCACCAGAGGCAGGCCAAAAATGCCGAGTAGGGTCTTTGCCGGCCCCACCTGGCAGCTGCCGACTTCCAGGTAGACACATCACAGACACGGATCCCATCAATCCCATCTCATGCTCTTGCTGAGACAGGTGGTGAGTTGTCATTAAGGTATTCACTGCATCAATCAAACATTGTTTACTTTTCAGTTTTTAGGCTTTTCTTTATTGCATATGAAACCTTACCTTCAATTGGGTTGGGAAGTCTTCCAAGGTTTCTTGGTACATCCGCTTGGGGCACGCACACACTGGGTGACTTGGCCAATAAGTGCCAAGACTAATTCCAACCAAGCGGCCCAAGTCACCTGCATTACGATACCAGACCTTACCACACCCAAGCTTGGCTCCCCTCCCAACCTCATTCATCATCTATCCCTCTCAACCTCCCACCGCCGCGTAAGAGCAATCAACTTCCGTCGCTCACTTCCATACGTATCGCATCACCCATCAATTTCTGCTGTGCCGCCCGAAAACCGACGAACTGCCAACGCTGCCCGACCACGCGAGCGCCGCCCTCGCTCCATCCCAGACGATAATCCACTGGTTGGATTGCGCTTCCATTGCGCCGCCACCTGACCACCCGGCGATCGTGCCATAGTCCCGACACATACCCCCGATCAATCTGACTACCTATCTCAGCTATCCGAGCCCTCCCTCCTTCGTCACCGGAAACACCGCCACCATGTCCAAGGTTATGAGAAGTGTGAAGAATGTGACCAAGGGTTACTCGAGCGTCCAGGTCAAGGTGCGCGAAGGTGTGTTTGCCACTGCGCATCCCCATCACGTCCAAGTGCCTGACCCCGGTTGGATGCTGATACTTCTCGTGTAGCGACGAGCAATGACCCATGGGGTCCAACCGGCACGCAGATGAGCGAGATTGCTCAATTAACCTTCAATTCGTATGCCCTGGCCGCGCCCATCTCCACTCGAGCCCGTCGGACCATTCTGACTTTCCTCCTAGGTCTACCGAGTTCTACGATATTGTCGATATGCTCGACAAACGTCTGAATGACAAGGGCAAGAACTGGAGGCACGTCCTGAAGGCCCTGAAAGTGCTGGATTATTCTCTACACGAAGGGTCGGAACTGGTCGTCACCTGGGCTCGCAAGAACGTCTACATCATCAAGACATTGCGCGAGTTCGTATACATCGACGAGGATGGACGGGACGTAGGGCAGAATGGTGAGTCAAGTCACAAGCAAAAGTAACGGTTTGGTTTACTAAAAGACCGCAGTTCGTGTTGCCGCGAAAGAGCTCACCGCTTTGATTCTGGACGAAGAGAGACTTCGCGCCGAGCGAAACGATCGGAAAACTTGGAAATCACGGGTTACCGGCATCGAGGAATTCGCTCCAGAAGGCGCAACCGTCCCCGCCAACCGCCGGCAACGTCCCCGACCACAGAGTGCCGACGAAGACGATACTGAATACCAGCTGGCTCTCGAGGCCAGCAGAGCCCAGGAGGAGGAGGATAGAAGGAAACGTGAAGGCCGACAGGGGGGTAGCAGTGGTGCCGGTGCTGGAGTAGAGGACGACGATGACCTGGCCAAGGCTATCAAGCTCAGCAGAGAAGAGGACGAGCGACGGAGACGGGAATTAGAGGAGAGCAACTCCAGCTCTCTTTTCGACGACGACCCAGCGCCGAGCAGCGTTCCACAACCGACCGGTATGAATATGGGTTATCAGCAGGGCAGCAACGTGGACTGGCTCGGTAATCCGATTGACCAGAACCAGATGATGCAGCAGCAACCCACTGGATATATGAACAACGCGTATACAGGATTTCCCAACAACGGCTACCAGAACGGCTTTCAACAGCAGCAAACTGGTATGTACGATCCATATGGCCAGCAAAACAACCAATTGCAGCAGCAGCAGCAGCAGCAGCCGCAGTTCCAGCCGCAACAGACGGGATATAACCCATATGCGCAACAGGCGTTCCAACCTCAACCTACAGCGACTCCTGAGCCAATGCCTCAGTCCGGCAGCAACAACCCTTGGGCTTCCAACAACCAGACCCAATCGGCTATGAAACCGATGCAGACAGGCTCCAACAACCCTTTCGCCTCCAGCTTTGGGAGACCCCAACCGACCACAGCCCCAGCCGTCCCGACCCTGAGCAGCCTGCAAAGTCTTCCAGAACAGAACACCCTTCAAACATATGCGCCTTCTCCTCAACCTTCCTTCAATCAATACCAGCCGCCGCCGCAGCCCCTACAGCAGCAGCAGCAACAGCAGCAACCGCAGAAGCAGCTTAGTGAACATGAGCAGAGACTGAACACCCTTCTTGCCAGTGGGGAAGGGATGGACACGTACGGAAACACTGGCGACCTCCGCATTCCCTCCCAACACACCGCACCCGGTACTTTCGTCAACTCGACTGGGTCAGGTGCTCAGAGGCTGACGGCTGAAGCCACTGGCAACAACCCCTTCCTTCGATCGCAATTCACTGGCATGCCTCAAACTTCGTACGGTCAGCACCAGATGCCCGCAGCTACCGGCCCTGCAGGTATGAACGGCATGGCTGGATATGGCGGACAGAGCAACCCCTTTGGAGCCAGGCCACAGCAGCAGAACCAGCAGCCAGGGCAAGACCTTATCCAATTCTAGACGCCTACTTCTGTGGAGGATTGATGCTTTTTTTTACCGTCCCTGCAACGAGCATCGTCGTAGACGGGAAACAGTTCATTTCCGTCTTGTGAGAGCTCTCTCGAACCATTCTTGGTCCGGCACAAATGCGGGTTAGGGTCGGCCGGCAGGCGGCGGGCCATATGATACGTTCACGAGGGAGGTTAGATTCAGGGATATCAGAGTGAGTGCGTACGCCATACGTGGCGTGACGTATCATCTCTCCCACCCGGAGTTCCACCAAGAAAGCTCCGTCTTGTGGGGTCAAAGGAGAAGGTTAGACAGCTGGAGTTGTTGTTTTACTTCTGAGCTGCGGCCCGTACGTAGTGCAGTGCGAGAGACGCAATACTGGACGATGAATTGACACTCTTCTTCTCTCAATACTACTTTTTCTTGGTTCGGATCCTCATTAGGCACGCGCATCAAAATCTAGCAGTCCCAGACGGTGATGGTAGGTGCCAGAAAATAGCGTGGCTTCGATTGTATCTCCTCGCATTGCGCCTCGCTCCTATGCTGCCTCCTATGCTGCCTCCTATGCTGCCTTTGTAATGCAAACACTATCATATGGCTTGGGACACGGCGCTCCCTCCCTCTCCCGCGCGCGCGTGACTCCCAAGGCTGTAACCAAAATGTGGTGGTATACGCAAAGTGGTATCGTATATACAAATTTTCCCTCCCTTCCGACGTACATAGGTAGCGATGACGGCCTCGGACTGCTGCTTGCCCCTGACAGGCTGGCTTTCTGGCTTGCTTCCGCATTAGGCCGTCGCTGCGGTCCTGGTGACTGACTGAGTTTCAGTCTGCGGAGGATCGCCGGCGAGCGGAAACTCCAGTTTCTCTCGTCCCTTGTGACGCTGTCGTCACCTCTTCTTGTCTTCGTTCTGTCTAGTTCTGCCTCCTCCGACTCCGACTCCGACTCCGGCTTCGTCTCGCCTCTGCTTCTCCTTGGCTTGCCGCTTCGTTGTGCTTTCAGTGGCGATCATCGTCGCACTGCCTGGCTGGGTGAAAGAGGAAGGGAGTCGAGTAGCTCGTACGCCGGACTCGTCTTTTTCCGCCGCCCTTCCTCTTCACAGCTGTACTGTTGTCGTCTTGGCGTATAATTTTGTATGTATCGCCCCTCCTCAAGAGAGTGCGACCGCAGTGCGATCAGGGTCACCGATCCAGGAAAATGCCGACGAACTCCTCGCGGCTCACGCCGCCCTTGGCCTCGATGTCGAACTGGTCGACCATGCTCAGGATCTCGTTCTCGGGCACGTCCTCGCCGAGCTCCTTGACGACGGCGCGGAGGTCGTCAACACTAATAATACCCTTGCCGGCCTTGTCGAACAGCGCAAACGTCTTTAGCACCTCCTCGCGTGGGTCCCGCGCTGCGATGTACCCGCCGGCCACGGCCTGGAAGCTGGGTAGCGAGAGCCGCAGGTCGACGACGCCGGGCGTGGGCGAGGGTGGAGGTTGGTTGGGCATCGAGGGGAGGGGTGTCCAGCTCGGCCGCGGGTGCGCGGCTGACTTGAAGGAGGCGATCAGGTCGGGCCGCGGCACGTGGCTGAAGCCGAGGGCTTGCATTGCGTATCGGAATTCGGAGAAGTCGAGGAGGTCGTCTTTGTTCATGTCGAAGAGGTGGAACTGCAGCGCAAGAGGTGTTAGTTGGCATTGTGTCTTCTCTTTCTCTCTTCACCTCTCCTCTGCTCTTCCAGACCTGCCTCCCGAGGCGCGCAACCAAATTGCGACGCCAGGTTGGTACATATGTAGACATGGGAGGGGAGGCGCATTGCATTGAGAAACTTACGCAGTCGTTGATCTCGTTCCGGTGCTCGTCGCTGATCTGGTCCCATGGCTCGGCGTGCTCGTTGTTGTTGTTGTTATTGTTGCGCGCCGGCGCTGGCGGCGCGTACCGCGATCCCGGCCTAGACGACCCCGGGCGCACCGACAGGCTGTGCATGTTTGCGCCCGCGTACTCGTTCATGCTGCCGCTGGCGTAGTTGTTCATCCCCGATGCCATCATGGGCTCTTCTGCTGGGCGCGCGCAGCCTCGGGAGCTGCCACGTCTGCGCGCGTCTTATTGGGTGGGTCGGGCGGGATATGGGGTTGTTCGTGTGTAGGCTTGGGTCGGAGCCCTAGTCAGGTATGCTAAATGCCGCGCAAGTTTTCGTACAGGATATTCTCGGCGTATGCAGGAGGTGCGACAGCTCGGAGTTGCAGGAAATTTGGTGCTGACGTTGTGGCTGGCGATTATGTGAGAGCTCGGTGTGTCGGTATGATGGCAGGACTGTATTCGAGAGCGCCGAAGGGAATCCAATGGTATCGCAGAACTGTCGCAAAGGGTGTTTTCGTAAAATGGTATATACAACGAGGATTGAGCTTTGGTTCCCAAGCGCTGCCAGAGCTTCAGGATCTTGGAGGAGCGGGTTGACTAGGATGCGCGGAATTTCGTGGGTGACGTTCAAAGCAGCAGTGTTCAGCAATGTCCATAGCGGTTTTCGCAACGAGGCTTCAAGGTGGTAGGTAAGCAGTTAGTTTTCTTAGGTGAGACCCGTGTTTATGCGATGATTGTTTTCCTCGCGCTGTGAAATTTTGGCATGATGCGAGCTCAGCTCAGCTCAGCTTCGTCGGAAAGGTCAGATGTTGATTCACGCTCAATTGAGTGGCTGGGACGCTTTTCCGGCGCGTGTCAGGGATTGCCGTTCGGGAGACCAGCACCGGCCTTCACTGGACCGCGCTTTCGACCACCGAGGGGCAGGCACCCGGTCGCGACTAGCGCGTCCAGCCATGCAGGAAACAAAGTGGATCCCGATTTGGACTTTGACTACCAGCTTACTGCAGCTGTAAATCAGCTGCCAGCTGCGATTCTGACTTCACTCTCTGGCGTATCACGATGCCGAAGCAGATGGGTTCCTAGTTTATTAGCAATAAATCGAGGCTTTGCCACGGCCCTACGCAAGCTACGGGGCGGCCGCACCCAGGAGAGGTAAGATAAGCTCCCTTCGCAATGGATAACACGACTGCGCGAATGCCCTACGTGGCTGGCCTTGGGGGCATCTAAAGGGTAGTAGTCCGTGCGTTGCCAGCCAGCCAGGGGAGCCCTGGAAAGACCAGAGCCAGCCAGCCAGTGATTCAAAGTAAGTAGTAATTGATGTTAGAGGGGTCTGATCTTGTACTGGTACATATCCCCACTACCACTCGGCCATGCTTGCCCACGCTCGAGCCAGCGCCGAGAGCCCACGATCTATCCAACGTCCATCCATCCACCAATCTAGCCGCCGCCACTCTGGTTTGACTCGAATTGTGCGTGTAGTTGCGCTCGAAAATGCTCTTTTTGCTGCCGACGGGGATCAAACCCGGGTGTTGCGTAGAGTAAGGTTCTTGTGTAACACGAGACTTGACCGAGTCTCTCCCAGGACACCATGATTCAAAGTGGGTGGTAATTGATGTTAGACCGTGTGTATTGATGTTATCTAGTTCTGGTTCGTCCTAGTACATATACCGTATTAAGAGGACAGATATTTTTCTAACAGTCAATTAACAGTGTATATATAGTTGAAAACCTTGAAACGTGTAGCGGTTAATAAACTATTAAGTATATATTGGTTAAATTTACCAGTCGTTTTAGAATAAATGTTTTAATAATTATAAACGTTTTAATTATTAGTCGTTTAAAGCCTTATATCACGGTGCCTGCGGCGTTGTGTGGGAATCTAGTGTTGTATTCTGAAAATAACAAGGTGAAGAGGAAAGGAAAGCCAGCCAAAGTGTTGTGCGTACACCCACCTTATGTAGTGGTCCCGTTCCTTATTTAGTATACACGTGACCTAATGACTCAGCATCCAACTAGGTGGATACAGCTGTACACCGTCACACTTTAAACGTTTAAATTTAATTTAAAGGTTTATATACGTTAAGAGTTTATAAATTTAAACGTTTATACGCGCTTTAACTATTTATAAATAGTTAGTTATCAGTCGGCAGCTATTTAACTAGCCGTTGATATATCTAGCCGTTTGTATATCTAGCCGTTTACTGAGCTATTTAATTAAAAAGGTAAGATGGAATTTAATTAACACGCTTAAAATTTGAACCTCTTATATAAAGCTTATATATGAATAAAAACTAGTTAAAGACTTATATATTATAAGTAGTTATAGCGATATTGTTTAGAGGCAGGGTTGATGTCATGTACAGCCAGGTCTGTGGCATGTAAAGGCCATCGTTCATTTTTTGTTACTTTTTTTCGTCTTTCTGGACAGCCACTCCTTTCTCATAACACATATAATTGAGCGATAAGTTCAGACACACATTGTATTATCTCTATGTGAAACACCCTTCAAATTCAATGCGTGGCTTTGCTAATGGCTCTTCTTCCTTCTTCTCATATCCATTACATAAACAGCCCTACTGTGGGTGTTGTTGCTGTCTCTGACTCAATATATAAAAATTAATTCTGAGTTACGAGGATTTATAACATAAAATCATTTATAGGTCGTGTCACGATTCCGTAAATGTATTGGAAGGATACAGGGACCCTTATTGACTATTGACGTATAATAAACTCTGGTTAAAAAAAAAGAAAGATCTGTAGATGCACCCGAATTGGTGGGCAGCTAGATGTGGGCAGTCGTCCCCCACCAGACCCACTATGGCATGGATTAACCTGTTGTCCAATCAGTCACGTGCTTAGTCACGTGACCTGGGGACCATAGGCACCATTATTAGACCTGATGGATGGTGGAACCATCACGAGTCGGGTTACTTGGTAAGCGTTTATATAAGTAGTATTTAACGTGCATAAAAGCTAGGTTTATTGAGGTTAATTAAAATTCATTAGCAATTAATAAGTATCTCACCGACTATATACTATTAAACGTTATATAAACGTTTTAAATTTTATAAACGTTCAATAAATCTTAACGTTAATAAATGTTTCAACATTATAAAGCTTTAACGTTAACCAATTTAAACGTTTACTAACTTCAAAGAGTTAATTAACTACTAATCAATTAAATATTATTAGCCAATAGTTTATTAAAACACTTTAGTTTTAATACAATACCACTTTACTATTAGTTAGCTAGCTTACCTAGCTATATAAGGCCTAGCGCCGGAGCGGGATTTAAAGCCTTCGTATTAATTAAATCGTAAAGCTTAACGTAAAAAGAAAAATAAGTGCCGTTTCATTCTTTTACTTTATTTTAAAACTTTACTTTTATAAACGATAAGTCTTTTACTTATTCTTCATTTTAAAGCTTGTTTTTCCCATTGTATACGGCTTCTAAAGCAGCTAGTATTTGATATTAAGGTACAATATCTTTATAATACATATACATTAAAAACAAGGTGCTTTTTTTACCTTTATAAAAGCTTTCAGTAGTTTAAATTAATCGTATCTTATAATAAGGCCGATAATTACCTTGATTTCAAGCTTAACTATATATATATATACTTAACATATAGTTATAACTTTAACAAGGTTTATTGATATTATTATATTCAATATAAGCAGCTTGTATATTTATTCACTTTAATCGGTTTTTAAGTTACCACCCCCCTCTTTTTTCCTCTTCTTTTTTAGCCGTTAAGTTATTTAACTCTTATAAGTTAAGCCTTATATAATGTGTTTACTTTAACTATATACTTTAACTTTTTTACCGGGTTAGTATCTCTGATAACCGTAACTTATTTTAATAATTTCATTCCTTTAATTATAACCACGTCATTTACAAGTAGTAAGACTGTTATAAAGCTGGATTTTGAATATTTTCACTCCACCTTGTATACTTGCAACAGACTTAGTCATTAGTTCTACATACTGATTTCCGTTCATTCTGTTTCATGTGGGCATCTTCTCAACCTACCGTCTATACCGCTAGCTTTGATATCTTAACTAGGCATGAGGGCTTGTCCTTTCATCTAAAAGCCACCTCTCTGCCGATACACTCCCAAGCGCCAGAACACGTCGGTTTTATGATCCTGTTGGATAACAGGGGTCATGAAGATGAGCCGAGTCCGACCGGAAAAACCACGGTACGGCGGAGATGACCAGCACCAAACTGGGAACCGATCAGGGGCACCTGAACAGACAGAACAGATACAAGACACTACATGCAATACACGAAGAATCACCCTCCAATCACTGAACTCGCTTGAATCCAACAATTAAGAGTCTCATTTGGCTTGATCACCTAAGTTAACCAACCAACGACAAGCGACTTTCAGTCAATCGATACAATGGCACAATCAGCAATGAAAGACTCGAGCGTTTTCCACGGCCCGGAGAATTGGGAGTCGTGGGACAGAGAATTTCAATCGAGAACAATTGCTCTAGAGCTCTGGGATCACATCAATCCGGACGATGAAGAACGAGAGGAGTGGCCAGAGCCTCCCCAGAAGCCTAAATACAAAGATTACCCGAAACGTCTCGATCACGACACTCGAAGCCGAGGTACTTCTCACACCTTAGACGATACTGCACCAGAGAACAAACGAACCGAACGAATTGATCCAAATAGCCACCCACGAGCGGTGTCCGAGATGACGACACAAGGAAGAATGCTATTCAACGCAGACTGGACTGTGTTTGTCTACGAGGATCGGAAATACGAGACCCATCGCAAGAATTACAAGGAAATGGTACAATGGGTGCTCGACAACGTGTCAACTCATTACAAGGACACAGTCTGCCGACCAACCAAGCTGCTTGACGTGTGGTATACAGACCTGAAAGAAATCGCAAGTGTTAGCGTGGCACAACTCAAGCCTGCAGCTCGAGACCGATATCGAGAAGCAGTCAAGCCACTTAACAAGCTACCCAGGGATTTGGCTGCATGGATCAACAACTGGGAAGCTGCAGTTGCTATTGCCAAAGAAAAAGGCGTTGGCGATGTAGCAGATTCCGAGTCCATCTTCTCGGACCTGTCACGGGCTCTACGCAAAGTCATTCCGGAATGGGTCTCAGCATTTCGAGCTGTAAATCGAAACAAGCTAGAAAGAGGGAAGATGAACTTCAGACTTATCGCCTCCGATCTCCGAGAACATGCAGCAATGCTCTACGGAGCACCCACGTCTTCGAAAATAGCCAAAGGTTCTTTTGCAGCACATTTTGGCGACGAAGCGGATCAAGAAGACCAGGAGAACCATTCCGAAGATATTCGCAGTACCGACTACCACGAACAGAAACAGAGAAGACCTCAGAGAGGTGAGAGACCTCGAGGAGGAGGTACCCGAGGAAATCGATCAAGTTCGAAAAGACCGCAGGCCGAGACACTCACCAACCCAGACAGAGCAAGATGCAAGGCCTGCCTCGGATTCCATGAGCTTTCGCAATGCTTCTACGCGGTATCAAGCAAAGCACCTAAGGGCTGGATTCCAAACGAAACCAGCAAGCGACTTGTTCAACAACGCATCAAGGACGACTCGAATTTAGCAGAACAAGTTAGCCGACTCAACAAGTCCACTGCGCCGACAATGACGGAATGACTAGCTCGGGAAATCGGACGTACGCACGGATCGTTTCTCATTGCGAATCCTGCGGCATTCGGTACATCATCATATCCCTTAAAAAATTCAGCCATTCTCGACTCTGGGACTACCCTACACATCTTTAACATGATTACCAGGTTCCTCAATTTCCGACGAGCACCTCCAGGAGATGTGGTCTTCGCAAGCGACACAACAGTACCCATCCTGGGATATGGAGACGTCGATATCCAAGTGACTGGACCAACAGGTGTCAGGATCATGCGCCTCCACGAAGTCGCATACTGTGAAGGTTTCGCATGCAACCTGGTATCCCTACGACTTCTCAGGCGCCAAGGGCTCTGGTGGGACAACAAGAGATCTAACAACTACCTTCGGAGAAAGGACGATACCATACTGTGCGAACTATTTGACAAATATGACCAGTTTGTCATCGAAGACGTGCCAGAGACACTGACTAAACAGGCCTTCTTTACGAGAAGGCACAAGTTCAACTCCTGGACCGAGAGAGCCCCAAACACGGCTGATAGCCTTCGATGGCACTTAAGAATGGGTCATCCAGGACCTGAGGTCTTGAATCACCTTGCGGGCCACTCTCGGGGGGTGAAAATCAAAGACAAAGCTCGAATCCCTACCAACAAGTGCAACGCCTGTGGCTGCGCGAAAGCCAAGAAGATGAATCGACGTACTTGACGAAATCGTCCGGCTAAGCCTGGCGTCAGACTTGCGGTTGACTTCCATGACCTAGAGGAGACAGTCGAAGGTTTTTCAAGCGTTATGCTCGTGACCGATAGATGGTCAGGATACAACTGGGATTTCTATCTCAGCGACCGATACGCCGAAACACTAATCGCCACATTCGAGCTCCTGTTTGGAATCCTGGAACGACAACATCAAGTCCTTCCCGAAGTCATCGAGTGCGACAACGAGATCACGGATCAAAAGCACGAAGTTCGAGACTACCTGTCCGTCACCAAGAAGATACGGCTTGAGCCCTCAGCCCCCAATACACAGGATCAGAACGGAGGAGCAGAGCGCTCGGGGGGTGTAATCAAGGAGAAAGCACGCGCAATGCGACTAGGAGCTAAGTTGCCCGCGTTCCTATGGGTGGAGATTTTCCGAACGGCAGTATATCTGTACAATCGGACCCCCAAATACATCTACAACTGGAAAACACCCTATGAGAGATTCCACACTTACCTGATGTGCAGGGATGGCCAAATTGCTGACCACAAGCCCTATCAAGGGCATCTTCGAGTATTCGGATGCAAGGCATACGCCATGACTTCCGAGGCTCAACTCAAGAAGAAACGAAAGCAGCGTCTCAATCCCAAAGCGTGGATCGGCTATCTCGTCGGGTACAACTCGTCGAACATCTATCGAATCTGGAATCCCTTGACCAACAAGGTCATCGCCACGCGCGACGTCATCTTTGACGAGGACAGCACCTTTTCAGGTGACTTGGGTGAATTGAAGGATGACCTCCTTCACATCACCGAAGATGAACTATCCAACCTGCTCAGCAGAGTTGAGATATTAAGTGCTTCGAGCCTTGGAAATGGACCCGCTATTAGCAAAGAAGACGAGGACGTCAGTCCCCCTATTGCAGACGATGAACACGGTGCTGTCGCTGTGAGCGATGACGGAGTGAATTCGGACGTACATGGACAGCCACAGGCTTGCTCTGAAGATGCACAAGGGACTGATCACCCCTACACTGATGCATTCTTTATACCGTATCCGACGCCCGATCACACTCCGCCGCCCGCGTCATTATTCACTGCAGTTATCAGAGAAGCTGATGAAATGGGGTCTGGAAAGACAGCGGAGCGCCACGCCCATGGATTCCTGAATGACCACGCGTCGTTCTGCACCGGAGCAGCACTTTGTCAAAGGAGCTGGGAGGCCACGTTCAATACAGGACGCCTATGCTCCACGGAGATATTGCACGGTGAGCCGGTGAGCAAGGCCAAGAAAGCCCGGTTGGTAAACCATCCAAGACGCCACCCTGAAAACACTCAAAATGGACCGTCTGTGAGACAATGCCCGGACACACAGACTGTACCATCCGTGTGGCTCAATAGCCCGGATACTCAAAATAAACCGTCTGACAGGTCATATGACCCAGACAGGTTAAGGTGTATGATAGCTAGCAGAGCGAGACTACATCGCCGAGACCTACCTCCCCCTCCAAAGACGCATAAAGATCTCAGATCCCACATCATGCAGTCAGGGTTTAGAGGAGCAGAAAGAGCTCATCTTGCGAGCCACCGCGAAATGAATACATGGAAAGAAATTGGGCTGACAACAGCACAGGGCAAACAGGTGCTTGATTGCATGTGGGTATACGTGTACAAATTCAATAAGCATGGCTGGTTTCTGAAATGCAAGGCTCGCCTTGTGGTCAGAGGAGACCAACAGCCTCAAGGCGAATACGAGAACACCTATGCATCAACCCTCGCCGGCCGCTCATTCAGAACACTCATCGCAATTGCTGCGCGATTCAACCTGGAACTTATACAGTACGACGCAGTTAACGCGTTCGTCAATGCGAAACTGGACAAGGAACTGTACATGCGGATGCCCCCAGGGTACAGGAAGCCACGCACAGTGCTGTGACTCCTGAAAGCATTATATGGACTCAGGGAATCACCCTTGCTTTGGCAGAAGGAGCTAACGAAGACTCTCACAGGCTTGGGATACATACAAGTCCCCCACGAGCCTTGCTGTTTCACCCGAGATGGTGTATTGGTCTTCTTTTACGTGGATGACATCGTCATCGCGTACAGGAAAGAAAAGGAAGGCACAACAAACCACATGGTCAGCCAACTGAAGCAACGTTACCAGATGACAGGAGGAGACGACCTTCAATGGTTCCTTGGTATTGAGATTGTTCGAGACTGCAAGCAGAGATTGATTTGGCTCTCCCAATCGTCGTATATCGACAAGATCGCTAGATTGGTCGACAGCAGCCCTCGGAACAGAGAAGATACTCTGATGAAGAACAAGGAACTCCTTCCTTACGACGAGATTGCCACGCTGAAATCCATCAACAGTTATCAAAAGAAGATCGGATCAATCTTGTACGCAGCAGTGATCACTCGCCCAGATGTAGCCTTCGCCGCTTCCCGACTGTCACGTTTCAACATGAATCCTAGCCCCGAGCACCATCACGAAGCCGACCGCCTCATCCGATACCTTATGCGTACCCAACATCATTCCCTAGAGTACGGCGGTTCCGACCTCTTCGAAGTAGCAAGCGATGCCTCCTTTGCCGACAATACCCTCGATCGAAAGAGCTCCCAAGCGTACGTCATGAGATTGTTCGGAGGGATCATTGGTTGGAGAGCGAACAAGCAAGCTACAGTGACTACTTCTACGACAGAAGCGGAGTTGTTGTCCCTTGCGCAGGCTGCTAAAGAAGCCATGTTCGTATCTCGCCTGATCAGGGAACTAGGCGTGCGTTTGGATAGCTCCCGCATTGTCATTCAATGCGATAATCGACAGACAATCGGATTGGTACACAAGGACATCGCTACTCTTCAGACAAAACTCAGACATGTCGATATTCACAACCACTAGTTACGTCAAGAGGCTCAACGTCGAAAGATAAAGGTGGAATACGTGCCAACGGACAGTATGGTTGCTGATGGCTTGACCAAGGCTTTGCCAATTTAACAGTTCAAGAGATTCGTCGGTCAACTGGGCTTGGTGGACATCCGTGACCGCATCCAACAGAGAAGGAAGAAGGAGATCACAGATGACGATCTTGAAGAATTGGAAGATATGTTACTTGGAGAAGAGTGCTCAGACCTCTCAGATGATACTATCATGACAGATGCCCCCTACTGAATAGGCCGGCATCTGGGGGGGTGTGTTGGATAACAGGGGTCATGAAGATGAGCCGAGTCCGACCGGAAAAACCACGGTACGGCGGAGATGACCAGCACCAAACTGGGAACCGATCAGGGGCACCTGAACAGACAGAACAGATACAAGACACTACATGCAATACACGAAGAATCACCCTCCAATCACTGAACTCGCTTGAATCCAACAGATCCCTTGATTACACGCTTGAAAGAAGATTACTCAATTAGTACAAGATCGTTATTCACCTCACACTGGACACCCTTGGTACCAAGATCAGTGTGCCTAAAGCCGGGTTTCAATGCAATTGGGCAGCGACGCTCTTCTACGATTATCTTGTGCTGAAATAGTCGCGATTTTGGTTGGCCTATAGGCAGCTTTAGAAAAGGACGCACGCATGTTAGCTGTGCTACACTTGTCTCACATAAGTCTCCGTACACTAGCACCACTTCAATCTTCTGACAAAAACAACAACGCCATACCCTTATCTTGCGATAAATCATAAAAAAACAATTAACCATAGATATCAACAAAATTGGTATGGTTTTGAGCGGCACTCGCCAGCCGACCGGTGAATTCACTTTGGGAGGTGTGCACAGGTATTATCACAGTGCATACAAAGTGCCGCGGTCGTAGAGATGTCGCATGTACCTACGGCATAGAACGTATTGAAACCATCTCTGAGATTTGCTCACGGCCAACACCACCAAAACCACGCGCACTGCACAATAAAAGGGAACTCTCAGGCTTCTTTTGCATAGGTAAGAATGCCATTTAGTTGATTTGGCTCAGAGGTTTCCTCGTCTCTTGTGAGAGGTGTTCAAAGTCAAAGCACGCGTCACTTGCCACCACAGAGACCATCGTGAGGGCTCTCTACCGCCATGGCCTCAAGAAATGGCGCGCAGTGAAGCGAATCTCTCTCACAGAAGATGACACCACAAAATGGCTTACTTAGGCATGAAAATACCGTACGTAGTGCATTAAAAGGGAGCTAATGATGGCCCTCTTTTCTGACAAATATACCATCCAAAATGATCCTAATAGACCTGGCGAATGGGTCATCAACCTCTCTAAAAAAACAGTATTGTAAGGATCTTGTGAACCCATAGAACCACCGGAGAGCCCGTATCTCGATAATAATCTCGGGTTTAATGTAATTATGCAATGACAAAGGTAGCCTAGGCAAATTGGTCTTCTGTGAAGGAGATCCGGATGTACCATGCGGAAGAGTATTTGCTAAGCGCTATTAACAGGTCTTAGAGGAAGGTCTGCTTCTTTTTTATAAGGCAGAGGACCTTTTTTAGCAAGATAATGCTCCTATGTATATCAAAGGAGGCTTATTAGAGTGGTTAAAGGATCACAGGATCTGGACTATCGACTGACCTCCTCACAGCCCTGATTTGAACCCCATTAAGCATGTTTAGACAGCTCTAAAGAGAAATTTAAGGGAAATAGAGCCTTATTTTCAAGACCTAAAGGACAATATCGTTCATCAGGCGTGGGCTAGAGAGATAATCTAAGCTGCATAGTCAGAGTTAGATACTGACCTCCTGAAGAAGCTCATCAAATCTCTCCTTAATCGGATCACGGCAGTGATTCGGGCGCGAGGCTGGTACAACCACTACTAAACCCCTATCAAATGCATATTTTGTTATAATTTTCGGCCTTATGATGCCTTCGCAGTCGAGCAGTGAATGTGGTGGTAATGGTGTGTAGAGGGCGCCGTACGGAGACTTGTGTGGGGTTAGTGTACTGGTAGTTACCGGCCATTTGCCGCCTTGACGCCTCGAATAGCGTCAAGGAATGACATCACTTGAGCAAGTGAGTTCAGGCTACGGGGGCTGTATATCAAAGACAAATTCAAAACCGCGATGAAGAGTATAATCTTACGAATCGAGTGAAAATACACTATTAGCGACTCGCCTCGTGCCTTCACCCAATGCGATAGCATTTTGCCCCCCGGGATGATCAACACTGACGTACCTTCAATGCTATAACTTGGGACACTCAAGATTGCGAATCGGCTCGCATGCGACGAGCAATGGAGGCAACATCACCTGGAGCAGTCAAACGGCGCCGAGGGCATTGGGATGATCAGGGGATCCATGAGCACCGCTCTAGTATATCACGTCGTCAAGGTGGTCGTCTCCAACTTCTCGTGAGCTCGGGCTTGACGAGGAGAAGACTTCGTGGTCCGGTAGGTAGGTTCCCAAGGGCGGCAAAGTCAACGAGTGCGCGATAGTACCTGCCTATTCATGATCAACATCGATGCAGTCTGCAGTCTTATCAGGCACTGGGATGACAGCTGAGGTATGAGACACTGCCTCGTCTGACTTCTGACTAATCACGGTTTGTTGACCTTGAACACTCACGATTATGGGATTTCGTCAAGACTGTCTCAGCCAAGTCAGAGCAAAATTTCGCATAGCACTATACCAAGTAGAACAACATATGCTACCTTAAGTCTTTTGGTTAGAGCTCCTGCTAGAGGGACGCCGTCTCTCAAAGGGGCTTAAGCCTCTCATGTGAACTTGGTCTACCTTCCCATATTGTGTGGAATTTCTTCGATACAACTTTCGGAGTGGCTTGCTGGGTCAACTTTATGAAAAGACGGCGTCGCTCTAGTAGGAACTTTAAATCAATGCCCGCTCAAAATATATCTGGTCAGTCAGCTCTCTAGAAGGACAGGTTGAATGGGGCGATAATACAATTGCTCTTCAAGACACCTGTTTACACTTGAAATGTTCCAGCTCAGGAAGCGTATTCTACGTGCGCGTTGGTTAGTGACAAGAGGACAAGAGGAATAGGAGAGATGGTGGTGGGTGCAACTTTAAAACACTATACGGACACGGTGCTTAGGCATGGGCAGTGGGGGCCCAAGCCCCAAGCTCTAGACGGGAGGCAGCAGCAGCAAGTCACCACTCTGCCACTGCAGGTCACCTGCAGGCAGCCATCCATCTCGGAATCTGCCTTGCTTAACAATCAGGTGTGACACAGAGCGTGAAGCCTGATAAGAACCAGCATATAAAAGATAGACCCAGATCCCTCTACCTGGACCTTCTGAGTTTCCCTTCACTCCCTACCTACCCACCTCCTGGCACCTGCGGAAGGAGAGATGCAGTGTTTGAGTCGATACCAATAGCTCGTAGGCTCATCAGATAGCAAGCAGTCAAGCCAAGTCACGCCAAGTCTAGCCTCAGATCAGCTGCGTTGTGCATGCTCATATCCCCTCAGGCTTCTACAAAGGCATTCTGAGCTGCTAGAGTGGCATTCGTGCATTGACCACCTTTGGCTTTGTCTGCTCTGGATGAGGCGCCTCCCAGCAGCTGGCACTCAGCTGGCAGCCCAACCACCACCAGCAATTCCACAAGGTGCCAGGTCTTTGGGGTGCACCCTCCTGACCCTCCTCTGAACGCAGCCGTGTCAATCCAGCCCTGGGAGCTACCTTTCCGAGCTACCTAGCTTAGAATTATCTCGCCTCCATTCATCCAACCTTCAGGCTTCCTCACATCACGACTGCTCCGGCGTGCCTATTTGCACAAGCCCTTTCCCTCTCATTCAGATTCTTCCAGACGCGCATCCTGCTGCTAGTCTGTCCCAATTCTACCCCACCTCTTTGACCCTTTGGTCTGATATTTCTGTATCGGGCATTGCGCCTTGCCCACCCAGCCCACCCCGGTTTTGAGCATCGGGTCGCAGCAAAAAAAAAGTCCAAGCCTTGTTGTGACCTTCGCGCAACCAGCAACCATCAACTCCGGACGCACTCTCGCGGTACATCCACTAGGATACATCCAATACGTACTGCGGCTATTCCATAGTTCGCGTTCTCCCATGTCTCCATTCGCATAGCTCGTCACATCAGCACCTTCCTCTCACGCGTCAGACGCGACGCTGAATTGAGAAGCCGGCACCATGTCGTTTGGCGGCTTTGGCAACAGCAACAACGCCTTTGGTAGCAATACCAATAATACCACTGGTGGTTTCGGTGGCTTTGGCGCGACCAACAATACCAACACCGGTACAGGTAAGCTATCGAAGCATCTCTAGAACTTCGCAAGACCTTCCCAGCTAACCTACAACTCTCTAGGATTCGGCGCGAACACGAATAACACCACTGGTGCCTTTGGTGCCACCAATAATACAGGTGGTGGTCTATTCGGCAGCGGAGGAACGTCCACAGGGTTCGGCGCAAATACGACCGGTACGCTCAATTTCGCTACTTTCATCGCTATTCATCCTCCTCACCTCGCGAACACGTCCTACGGCTTTTATCATGGTGCTAACATACGGGTCGTATACAGGTGGCTTTGGCACCAACAACAACGCTGGTGGTTTTGGAGCCGCGAAGCCTAGTGGTTTTGGTGGTACCTCTGCAGCTGGTGGTGGCATGTTTGGTGGTACTTCTACCTCAACTTCCGGTGGCTTTGGCGGCTTTGGTGTGACCAACAACAATAATGCGTCAACGTCGAGTCCCTTTGGCGGCGGTGGTGGAGCGGGAAGTTCTCTCTTCGGCAATACCAACAAGCCTGCCTTTGGGACCACCACGACCGGCACGACTGGTGGCCTCTTTGGTAGTGGTGGCAACACGACTACCAGTACCCCATCTACCTTTGGCGGCTTCGGTAATACAACCAATAATCCTGCCAGTACAGCCCTGGGCCCGGTTGGGGACCCTCCTGGTACCGCCGGTATAACGAATTTCCAGCCCATTGTCGAGAAAGAGTCGACTACCAGCAGTGCGCAAAACTCATTCCAGAACATTCTCTTCCAAGACCCGTACAAGAAGTGGTCTGCCGAGGAGCTGAGACTGGCCGACTATGCCGGCGGTCGTCGTTATGGCGGGGCTTCTGGAAGCACCTTTGGTGTTGGAACCGGTTTCGGTAGTTTCGGATCTGGCAACCAGCCGCAGGCCACGAACACTTTCGGAAGCACGAATACGAACACTGGTGGAGGAGCACTATTTGGCAGCGGCTCTACAGGGTTTGGCCAAACCAATTCCAACGCAGGTACGTCTGGCTCTGGCGGTGATGGTCTCATTGAAAACAAATCTAACTCTTACAGGTGGTCTTTTTGGCGCCACTACTTCGCAGCCTGCGCAGCCAGCACAGTCGGGTTCCCTGTTCGGGGCAACGGGAACTACTGGCTTTGGCAACACTGGAAACACCGGGACTGGGGCATTCGGAGCATCGAACACCAATACTGGTGGCTCCTTGTTTGGAAACACCAGCACTCAGCAAAACAAACCCGGCTTCAGCTTTGGCAACTCGACAACGAACACGAGCACGGGCGCATTTGGAAGTGGCACTGGTGGTTTTGGCCAGCAGAACCAGCAACAGCCTGCTGCTGCTGGTAGCCTCTTTGGCAACACCGCTACCGACACCAATACTTCTCAGAATACGGGAGGTAGTCTGTTCGGAAACACTGGCCAACAGAACACCGGTGGTTTCGGTACTAGTGGCGGCTTCGGCCAGCAGAACCAACAACAAACTGGCGGCAGTCTCTTTGGCAACACTCAGCAAAAGCCGGCAGGTAGTTTGTTCGGCAACAGCAACACCACTACCGGAGCGACTGGCGGCAGTCTCTTTGGCAATTCCAATAATAACACTGGTGGTGGTGGCTTCGGCCAGACGAACACCAATCAGACTGGAAGCCTCTTCGGAAATAAGCCCGCGACTGGTTCTACTGGGATGTTCGGAAACACTGGTGCGAATCAGAATACCAATACTGGTGGTAGCTTGTTTGGCAGTCTGGGTCAAACTAATCAGAACCAGCAGCAGCAACCTCAACAGAGTTCAGGTCTGTTTGCCTCCCTAGGACAAAACCAACAGAAGCCATCCATGTTCGGCAACAGCACGCAGGCCACAGGAGGTGGCCTTTTCGGCAACCAACACAATCAGCAGTCAGGTTTCGGGTCTTCGATGCAGCAGCAGCAACCGCAGAACAGCATGATGGGTAGTTCTCTTTTCGGGAATTCCCAAGGTAACCAGTCAACGCCTCAATCATTAACAGCAAGCATCAATGATCCTTCGGCATATGGTTCTCTGTTCGCCAACCTAGGTGCCAACGAAACTGCTAATCCGGGACCTCTGGCAACGCCAACGAATAAGAGGCAGTCTAGGCGACCCTCGATTCTCCCCTACTACAAGCTGAACCCTGCATCCGCCTCCCGCTTTGTCACTCCGCAGAAACGTGGATATGGCTTCTCCTACAGCACGTATGGAACGCCAAACAGCCCCTCGAGTGTGGCGAGCACCCCGGGTACGATGTCGCAGAGCTTACTTGGAGGCAGCCTGTCGCGCAGCCTCGGCAAGAGCGTTTCGACTAGCAATCTCCGACGCAGCTTCAACGTCGAGGATAGCCTGCTTGCGCCAGGCGCCTTTTCAGCTAGCTCCGGCCCCAGATTCTATGGCAATAACAGTGTCAAGAAATTGGTCATCAACAAAGATCTACGTAGCGATCTATTCTCGACGCCTACCAAGGACAAAGCGTCGTCGGACGCTCCAAATGGCGCTCGGAAGTTGAACAAGCGGGTGAGCTTCGATACGAGCAACGTGGAAGCGATTGAGGATGGAGAGATTCCTAATGGCTCACGCAACTCTACGCCAAGCGCAGAGCAACTGGGTTATGTCAGACCAAAGACCACTAACGGCGTGAATGGCTCCAAATCCGATCACTCATCATCTATCCCTGAAATGGAGCAAGTCAAGGGCAACGAACTTGCCGTCGTGCATGAAGAGGAAGCTGCGTCTCCTCCCGTTCGAAGCTCCGCCACACCGCTGGGTGATGGCGAGCCTGGTGACTATTGGATGACTCCCACGAAGGAGGAGATTCAGAACATGAACAGGGTCCAACGCCAGAAGGTTGCTGGTTTCACCGTGGGCCGAGACAACGTTGGCTATGTCAGGTTCAAGGTCCCGGTTGATCTGACGTTCGTGGATATCGATGACATCTTGGGCGGCATCGTTAACTTGGAACCTCGTACAGCAACCGTTTACCCCAATGCCGCGAAAAAACCGGGCGTTGGCAAAGGCTTGAATGTGCCCGCTCTGATCACACTCGGGAATGCCTGGCCTCGTGCCTCAAGAAGAGGGAAGGTAACCTCAATCAACAAACATGTTGAGCGTCTCAAGCAGATCAAGGACACAAAGTTCGAGAACTACAACTCGGAGACTGGCGAGTGGACCTTTTCGGTCGAACACTTCACTACGTACGGTCTTGACGACAGTGATGAAGAGGATGAAGATGTTCAGCCTGGGCCATCTGATGACTTATCGGCATCCCATGCCTCGAACAGAGACGCATTTGCACCTCCTTCGCCAGTGGTCTCGGACTCGGGCTTTCATCACGAGGACGGTGTGGAGCACAGATCGAGTCGACTCAGCCTCCCCGGTGCCTTCGAAGAGGCACCATATGAGAGCGAGAGCGACGAAGCGGAGATGGCAGAGGCGAACGGACGTCGGCCGTCTTTTTTAGCTGATCGCTCCGCGGGTTCTGCGTCCAAGACTCTTGTTCCTATGGAACAAGATGATATGGACGATGAATATGAGATGTCTGAGGCAAACGAAGATGCGAGTGCTTCCCTTGGACACCATCACGCCGCGGAGCAGGACGAAAACTCGTTCGATGGCAGCCAACTAGACATTGGACACGAGACGCCAGCAGGAATCATGAGAGCTAGGATGCGTGCTATCAAGAGTTCCGCGACCCCACTGAAGGTGCAGGTTGCGGCTGGCGACGATTGGATGGACATGCTCAGCAAGACCATCAGCCCTCGGAAACGCGACCGGGCACTGCTGCGAAGTATGCATGAGGCGGACAACTACGCAATGGGGAAGGAAAGCACACGGGAGAAGTCGCCCATGAAGAAACGTATTGTTCCAGACGGTCGTGGCTTTGCAACCAGCATTGACCTGATGAACTCTCTGTTCGAGAAGGCAAAGACACCGGCAGAAAACCTGCAGGCTTCCGTCCGGCCCAAAGGCGTGAAGGTCCGTTGCTGATTTTATACCTTGCGCCATCAATGAGCCCACTGCACGATTTTGTACATATTATCATTTCAATCAAAACTATGTTTGCTAACTACTTCATTGACCTAGTGGCCCTACAAGCGCGTTACGAAGCACTTGGATGAAGCTGAAATGGACGACAGTGATCGAGTCTGGCACGACACGATGCGTCCTACCTGGGGACCCAGCGGTACACTGGTCTTTGCCGCCACCCCAGCCGCTTCTCCCTTTGGCCGATCAAGTCGCATTACCGAGAAGAATGGTTTGATGACCGTCATGAAGGATGGTATCGTATCCGAGTCTCAGGACATCCGGATTGCCAAGTTCACGAATGAGGTATGTGTCAAGGTCCACCTGGTTGAGTAGGAGCCAACTAATCCCAATCCACAGATGTCTGCCAAAGCCATCGATGCTCACTCGAAGCTAGTGCAGGTCCACCTCGTCGGCGATGTTCCAACAGTTCGGTTGAACTCTAAGACCAGCTTCAAGGACTTCTCCGTTGGAACGGGAGCAAAGAACGCGGCCGAGGAGCATGAGAAGCTTGTGTGGGACCTTGCCAGCGTTTTGTTCGACGACATCAAGGTCCCCACCGACATGCAAGACGATCCCGACGCCCATGAGAAGCTGCGGCGTGAAAGCTTGTCCCGACTGTGGGAAGGTATGGTAGAAGGTCGCACGAACAAAGCAATTGCGATGGCAGGTTCGAGTGAAGAGAAAGCTCTGGCTTCTCTGTCGGGTCATCGTGTTGCGGAGGCCTGCAAGCATCTTCTCGAAGGCAAGAACTTCCGTCTTGCCACGCTGGTCTCCCTCATTGGAACCAATGAGGTTGTCAAGAAGGACATGAGAGAGCAGGTCAAGGAATGGCAAGAGGCGAACGTACTCTCTGAATTCGCACAGCCGATTCGGGCGCTGTACGAAATGCTCAGTGGGAATGTCTGCGCATGTGAAGGGAGCAAGGGCGCGCTGGAAAATCGCATGGAGTCCTTTGTCATCTCGGAACGGTTCGGTCTTAATTGGCAGCAGGCGTTCGGGCTGCGACTCTGGTACGCCACGTCGATGGAGCACAGCATTGCCGATGCGGTTGAGAAGTTCAAAGAGGATGTTGAACAAGACAAGGAGTTGCCACCCACAACGTGGTTCCTTGAGAATGGTATCAAGAGCATCTGGAACGATCCTGATCAGTATCACCGAGAAGACCTGTTGTGGGGTCTTCTTAGACTGTACTCGGATGACAGGGCTGACCTCGAAGCGGTTCTGCGACCTGAGAACTCGCAGCTCTCACCCCTCGACTACCGTCTAACCTGGCAACTGGGACAAGCCTTGACATCCATTGGTCAGGTCTCATTTGGTAGGAACGCCACAGAGAAAGCTGATGCGGTCACTGTTTCCTTTGCCGCGCAACTGGCCAATGAAGGCAGCTGGCTTGAAGCGACTTTTGTTCTGCTCCATCTCTCTGACCCGGACGCGCGCTCCCGTGCCATTCAGGAGCACCTCTGCAGACACGCCGGTGTCATCGGCAATCACGATTCTGCTAGCTTCAAGAAGCTCGCCACCGATTTCAAGATTCCAACCCAATGGATCTGGCACGCGAAGGCCCTGTTCATGCGGAGCGTCAAGAAAGACCCGACCGCGGAAGTCCAGTGCCTACTGCGTGCAGAATCGTGGGCTGATGCGCACCGAACTTTCGTCAAGGAAGTTGCTCCCGTCGCCATCATTGAGCACAATTATGACTCTCTGGCCGATGTTCTTCAGCAGTTCGAAGGCCGTCATGGGCTTGTCCCTGACTGGAATGTTGGCGGCGAAGTGTACAAAGCCTTCCTCCAACTCATGGGTTGCCAGCGACGTGCAGAGCAGCCCCCGGCGATGCTGGTCAATGGATTACTCGAAGGCCTACCTGCGATGCATGGCAATACACCAGAAGCCGGCATCATTGAGTATGCCGCTTTGACGGAAATGGCGGCAGAGGTGGCAAAGATGGTCGCCGGCATGGCCAAGGCTGGAAAGGTAACACCTCGTCTTCGAAATCAAGATCCTCGAAATCCTACTAACACTGCTTTGCAGATGGAACACGAACGAATTTTGAACCTTCCCCTGACAGAAGATGTTCTTCTGAAACACTCGAGGGATCTGGCATGGTCCCACTACATGGCCGTTGTGGCTGGTCATTAGGAGGAACCCCCAACCCCCTTCTCGAATACAGACTTGTCAGATTTAGACGAGGATAGGGTGCTGGTGGACACCGATGCGAAACGACAAGGGCTGCTGGAAGTGCTGGAAGTGCTGGAAAGAATCAAAGCGGAACGACAGGAGTTATTTGCCGGGCTTGATGCAGGGCTACTGACGTCCTCTCAGAACACACCCAAGGGCAATCGAGATTCGTCTTAACGGACGGACATGCGCGGTCTTTCTGCCGACTACTTCACACCCAGCCCCGGAGAGATGTGAGGACGAAATCCCGACGCCGCCTGGTCGACACAGAATTAAGGTCCCAGACTGCGGCGAACGAAGTACCTCCCACCCCCTGTGTACTACACGCGGCACACCATTGCCCGCACTGCATCTTGTAGATTAGTTTAGGTAGCATAAAAAGCTCTAATACCCTTAATGTCTTATATTCGATCGTGACATCATCATTCTTTCAGCCTCTGATGGATTCATCGTGCGCTGCTGATACATTCCTTTCCACCTTACCTGTCCTCGTCCTGGCGGGAGAGCACCCCATTGAGCGACTTTGGCTCTCTCTAGGTACGTTGCACATTATTATTGATGCTTTCATTTGACCTCCCACCCTGTTACTGATACGCTCTCGTTCGGCCGCCCACGTTCTCGGTCACTGTTGGCACCATGTATCGGGCCCTATCTGCCTCGTACGTAGTTGACAGACATCCCTATGAATGCTTAGAGTGGAGGCCGGGAAAGGAACTGGGGCTTGTACTTGAGTTCTGTTCTGATGTTGAGCCATGGAAGGGGGACGGATTTATGTGGAGAAAGCTTCCTGTTTGGCTTGTTGTGTGTTAGCGCATTGGATATCATTGTCCAGAGCTGGGGAAGCTCTCTGCGTACAATCCAGCAAACCTTGACCACCACGCCAATGTTCCGGACCTCCCATTAAAAGGATGCCGGATATGAAGCATGGCAGCCTGACATTCTATGATAGTATATATATGACGTCCTCACGGCCGTCACACCTTATTAGACTCATGAGTTCCTTCCCCTACCTTGCAATAGATGTCTCCTAGCATAGATTCAGAATTTCTCGTCATGACACTTGAGTCTATGATAGGTGGGACGAAGTGATTGAGGTTGGTTGTTGTTGTTGTTGTTGTTGTTGTTGTTGTTGTTGTTGTTGTAGCATTTAACGCCGGGGGGACTGCCACGTAGCGGCGTCAACCAGGGGCTCTAAGAGGCCGTTTAGGCGTACTAGGCTAGGTCTTCTATGTACATACACTGCCCATCTAGCAGGTCAAGTCCGTAGACAGCCACCACACTTAAGCGGCGGATATCACCGTGTCCCCCTTCCTCCGGGTGAGGGGAAGTATCGGCTGAGGTAATAAATGTTAGTTTTAGGGCGCACTGCCAGGTTCAGTGCTCTTAAAGCTACAATAAGTGCCGCAGCATGCCGCAGTGATTTTCATGCGCCCTGTAATATATTAAAAGGAAAAGATAAAAAGATAAAACCCCTAGACACTGTAATAAAAGGAAAGAGTGAGTATACCCTTAGCGAGGAGGGCAGATGTTGCCGTAGAAGTCAGTAGCCATGGGTAGGTCCATGTACTCCCGTGGGGAAGCCATGAGTTCGTCTAGATACTCGAGCCTGGCTCTGAGCTCCGGCCGGGATGCCGGGGCCCTCGGCCAGACCATATACTGTGCCAGAGTCTTCCGGCAGTGGATGAAGTGCGTCAGAGTCTTGCTCCGGCCGCATGAGCAGTCGAGGACAGCGTCCTGATATTTGAACTTAACATGACATCAAGAGAAGTCACCATGCTCTGAGCGGACAGTAAAAATGGTATAATAACGGCTTATTGAGTACCTATAGCTCCTCGTGATAGCGCAGTTTATACTTCAGGTCTCAGTACTTATAGCGGGCCGATAGCTTGATCTGGGTCTTGATCCACCACATGTCGCGCGAGACTTCGAGCTTGAGTCTCGCCTCTGCTTTGATGCCGTATGCCGTCGGCGTACAGTCGGAGTCGACATTGGAGAGCTTAGAGCCGGCCTTAGCCAGCTTGTCTGCCAGCTCATTGCCCTTAATGGCACAGTGTTCCAGGCACCACTTGACGTTAATATTGCGGATTTCAGCCTTAGCATGGAACTTTAGGTAGGCCCACTGGCAGGACACCGCGGCATTGCCGCAGAGCCCCCAGATTGCTCCTGTGTTGTCCACACACACCCAGATCTGGCGCTGACTAAGCTCCGGGGGTGACTTGACCACGTGCTGAAGTCCCTTCAAGGCTCCGAGCACTTCTGCATCAAACACGATAGAACACGGGTCTAGACGACCCTTGCCAGTGGCAAGCAGGCGCCCGCCCTGATAGATCGCATAGCCGTATCCGACGTGCATCCGTTCCTTCGAGCCGTCTGAGAAGACCACCACATCATGTAGTGGCAGAGCCTCAAACCAGGTCTTGAAGTCTTTGGCAGCCTGCTCCTTATCAATACCTCCGGTTGGATCGATCTTGCAGCCAGACGTGAAGCGCAGCAACACCAGTAAGGGCTGCTGTACAGGAGGTAGCAGGCGAGCTGCTAGCTATAATTTGGTTTTAGGGCATTGGAAGCCGCCTGCACCGCGGCCCCGTATAATCGCTGATAATTGGATTCGCTTGACAAAAGGATGCTTCTTGTCTATAGTACGTAGCCTTAAAACAAACCGCTATAGCGCTGCATTAAGCACTACCTCCGCCGTGTGGAGGCCAGCGTCCCTGAAAATGACGTTCTTTGGTGTGGTCCGCCAGCAAGGCAGTGCCGCCCGTGCCGCCATTGTGATGGATCTCTTCAGGGTATTGATATAGATTTCTGACCCGTATAGCGTCATGAGGAGGACACAGGTGATTACAGCCTTTAGTAATCCGGACGCCGGGGGTCCGTACTTGGTATTGGCTAGGTTTCGTATATGCCGGGATAGCTGCATGGTTTTGTTAGCATGTTCCTGAACATGTTGCTTAAGGGTGAATTTCCGATCAATCTAAACCCCAAGCCAGTGTAGTGCTGGCTCCTTCCCGCTACCCTTGGGTTCTAGGACAGGGTCGACAGTAAGACGGTCATCTACCACCACAAAGGGGTTCGAGGTATTTTGGCTTCTGGTGATATGAACCAGCTCGCACTTCTCAAGGACAAAGAAGACCTTGTTCTCGTCTCTCTACTGCATGACCTGCTTGGGGTCATCTGCTAGCATCTCAGCGTTCCGCTATAATGACTTTGATACCCTGCAGAGGGAGAGATCGTTGGCATACCCGAAACGGAGCTCCGGGTCTTGTAGGAGGAGCTCTGCCAGGTACAGCATGTAGAGGACTGTGGACCACAGAGAGCCCTGGAGGGTGCCACACTTGATGTCCTTAAAGTTCATAGAGACACGTTCAAGCCGGACTTTGGCCCTCCGCTTTTTAAGAAAGAACTTAACTAGCTTTAGGGAGGCTAAGGGCCAGCCTTGCTTCCGCATGTATTCCAGCAGCCGGCGCACTAAAAGCGTATTAAATGCACCCTGTACGTCAATTGTAATGAGAGACCTTGAGTCCCTTAGCAAGTGCCGCTTCAACCTCGTGGGCAAAGGACAAAACGAGGTCCATGCATGACCGTTTAGGCAGCGCGCCCCCGTATTGGGCACTGAGGATACCTTGAAAGAGCGCCGTCCAGGCCATTTGCTTTGTTAGCAGCCATTCTAGCCCCTTGCCAAAACAAGAGAGTAATACAATCGGCCGCCAAGATCAGATCAAAGAGCGGCCCTTTTTCCTGACCTCAAAGATCATTGATACCTCTATATCCTGCCGGGTTGCGGGGAAGTGCCGTAATTGCAAGCAGAACTTAAAAATGTCGCACACGGCGTCCTTGATGTGTTCCCAGCAGGCCTTGAGCAGCCTCACTGTGATCCCATCTATGCCGGGGGAGGTGCTGGTAACCCTGATAGTGTACTGCTCGACTTCTTCCAAAGACACTGTGGTGTCCCAGTAGAGCTTGGCTTCAGAAGGCTCCTACCCTTCCAGTGGATCACAGTCCAGGTCGTCATGATCTGAGAAGCGTGCTAATACCTCTTCTGCCAGCACTTCTGCCTTCTCCTGGGTGGACTCAACTACCCTGTCGCCCACTTTGATCAGTAAGGACTTGAGTAAGGTACCTAGCTTATGCCAGCTGATGATCTTGTACAGGTCTTTGTCAGTATGCGTAGAGTCAATAATCTTTTACCAGTACTCTCGTTTGGCTTTGCGGATCACAGAAAAGAAGGTGCGATGCTCCTCTGTGAACTCCATCTAGTCGCTGGGCCTGGTAGCTTTTGAGGCTCTGTAGATACCGTAGGCCTTCTTGCAGTCTTCGGTCCACCAGGGGGCTCCCTTACCATTGCCTGTGGCGGGTATGTTGACGGCTGTGAGGGCCGATCGTAGCACTTCTGTGAGCTTGTCCATGTAATTATTTAAGTGCTACTTAGACTTGATATCCATCTGGTTAGGCATAGAAGCCATTCCTATCTGTACAAGGGCAGAGAAGCATGGCAGGTTCTCTTCCTTGACCTTATAATGGTACTGTTCTAGCAGTTCAGTCCCCCGGCTGGGGATGATAGTTAACGAAGTGTTGTGGTCCGATCCACTGGCCAGTTCCTGGCACACCTCTGTCTCAACGAAAGGAATGTTAGTAAGCGCTATGTCAACGACATGACCAGCGCGATGGGTGGCTTGCCCTGGTATGCCTGTGAAATACAGGGTGCTGTCAGTCATCCACTTTATCACGTCGGCCCTTCTATTTTGGCCTTCCATTCCGGGCTCAAACGTATGATAGTGAACATTCAGGTCTTCTCTGACTAAGAAATTAGCCGGTGCTTTGATGCTAGTGAGGTAGTCGATCATCTCGTCAGAGCGCGGTGAACGGTAGATATTGAGCATGATATACCCATTGTCAAATATAAGCACTGACTTGATGTCAGTGTCAATCCCTTTTGCCTAGCGGCTGCATCTGACACCCATTGACATCCAGCCAGAGCGCGTCTCGGGTGCAGATAGGTCTCTTCTGTTGGGCCTTGATCCTCTGCCCCTTCTTCACATCTGTCATGACCCGTGGGCGATCCTGGGTAGTATTCCATGAGTCTACCGGGGCATATGATTCGAACCCCGGGTGGTTCTGTGTCCTTGTCCCCGGGCCTGTCCAAGGCTCGTTGACATGAATGACATCAGCGCCCCGCGCCTATAAGAGCTCAAGGATAGTGTTGTGCTGTGGCATCTCCTTGCCTGTATTGTATCAGATCACACATAGGTCAGGTGATTTGTATTGCTGGCGTTGTCCCCTGTGGCGGTGCCGCCCCCTACCTGAATGTTGGCGTCCTGGTATTATTCTTTAGGGAGTTTGGGTTGTTTGTGGGTCCAGCCTACAGGTGCTATAAGGGCGGCCTTGTGCTGGGAACCTTGTGGTAGCCTTGGCCGGTCCGGGAGAGGCCTGAGAGGACGGCCCGGGGGCCTGTGACGGTCCCAGGGCGCTCATCTCAGTGTCTCTGTCCTTGTTAACTGAGTGTCTCTCTAGGGTGGTCCCGTCGGGGGAGCTGGAGATCGTGCTGGTCGCTGATAACGGCGTGTGGTTGGGCCGTGAGCCGGTGTCCAGTGCCCTCTTCTTCCCCTTCGCAGTGGCGCTAGGGTTGTTCTGGGTCGCAAACAGGTCACTGGAAGGTGCGTTCCAGCCCTGGGAGGACGGCGCACTGGAGGAGGGTGCGTGCCTGCTCTGGCCAAGTCCTTTAGGCGCCGACGACGTGACGTCGTGGACCTCTCTGTAACGTTTGGCTCCAGCCCGTCTGACAGTCTAGAGCTGCTTCTTATTACAGTGCACAAGCTCTCCATGCTTGCGCTTGGGAGCTGCTGCACAGTTATTATGTCCTGCTGGGAAGGGGCCGTGACAGTTTGCACAGCGGGAAGGTTGATCACAGGGCTTGCCTGCCTCGTGGTCGTCTATTCTGTCGCCGCAATTGTTGTAGCAGTGAACCCGGTTGCACTTCTTAGCGAAGCAATAGCCCTGATATCCCGGGTTATGGATACTAATGGTGGGTTTCTTTTCAACCAGTCTTGAACGCCTGCTGTCGTTAAAGAGGCTAAACGGCCTTATAGGTATTAGGAAAGAAATCAACTAGTTGCCTCTGTCTGTGGCGGGGTCTGGGCCTTATCTAGACGGCTTGTATTTGACAGGGCGTGTTTTTGTCTGGGCATATAACATCTCCCACCCCCCTGCGGACCACCCCCCCGCGGACCAGCGCGTTCTGACCCATAAACGCGTAATTCACCAACCACCAGGATTATGGTGATCCACCATCTACACCATCACTTTTGCATCTTTTTTTTCACAAAGCACACTATTTGAATCCTTATCCACTGCTGAATCTCATGATGTCATTTTACGACCGTCAAATAAAAGCTGAAGCCGCCATTTTGGCCATCCAACGCGGAGCTCCAGTCCGCTCGTCAGCCCTTGAATGGCAAATCAGTCGCTCGTACGTCAACCGACGAATCTCTGGCACCCCAACGCGGAATGAGACCAGCGCTCTCTAACAGGCTCTCTCACCGTATCTCGAACATAAGCTAGCAAGCTGGGCCCTGGGGCAAGCACGGCTAGGGTATTCTCCGGCGGTCTCTAAGTTCTGTCTCATGGCCCAGCGGATGCTCTATGCCACCGGGGATGCTCGAGAATTAGGGAAAAATTGGGCATCCAAGTTCCTGTCTCGAAACCCGGAAGTCAAGATAATGAAGTCTCGTATTATCGACTACAACCGAGTGAATGGTGCTACAGCGGCAAATATCAACATTTTTTTTGATCGGTGTGACGCCCCTGACGTGGTTAACCTCATGCCAGCACGCTGGTACAACGTCGACGAAATGGGAATCGCCCAGGGGGTTGGGGACTCCCATTGGGTGGTCTCCGAGGCCTCCGGCAACGTGGCTATAAAGAAAGGGGTCGAGAAGGGTGAATGGATAACTGCCCTAGAGTGTGTAAGCGGATCTGGTGAGACCTTGCCGCCGCTGGTGATTCTCAAGGGGGTTAACGTACAAGCCCAGTGATTTAGCAACCAAAATGAGGGCAAATTCACCAACTGGAGGTTTATTATATCGCCCAATGGATGGACCTCGAATCCCATTGCGTTAGAATGGCTTCAATGTATCTTTATTCCTCACATTCGGGAGGTCCACGGCAACACATGGGTGGTTTTGGTGTGTGATGGCCACGACTCCCACACGAATAACGAGTTCCTAGCCACCTGCTTGAGAAACAAAGTATGGTTGATCTTTTATGAACCTCACTGCTCCCATATAGTCCAGGTGTTAGATATGGGAGTCTTTAATTTGGTGAAGAAAAGGTTGAAGACCTTACTCCAGGAGACGCCCAGCGGCCGTCTGGGACTCAGGCCATCTAAGGAGGAGGTTTTGGAGTGCTACGAGCAGGCCCAGAAGGACACAATGACGCTCCTCAACATCAGAATTGCCTGGAAAAAGACTGGGATTGTTCCTTATAACAGAGCGGAGGCATTGAAGTCGAAATATGTGATTCTGGAGGACAAGGGGGTGGCCAGGGCACGCCAGAGGGACCCTAAGGCTTCCGAGCGAGCCACAACACTAGATTTTCTCGAGATGGTAGCTAAAACCATTGTCACAACACCCTCTGAAAGCCGGGCTTTGCGGGAGAGTGCTCGAAAGCTCGAAAGAAAGGACCCTTCCTTTGGGGGGCCCTCTGAGCCCTTGTTGGTGCAGAAGGCTGGCAAGGCCATGGATGTTCAGGCTGCTACCATTGCAAATCTACGGGCCAAATGTGAGCTGCTTGAGGCTCAAGTGGCTAAAAAGGCTAATACCACTCGAAAAGCAGTCAAACCAACACCAGGGGAACAATTCGTCACAATGGCTAACATAAGGGAGGCCAAAATGGAGCTGAGGAACAGGAGGGTCTATAGGGACTCCGCTGCAGGCGAAGAGGTCCCACAAGAGGTCCCTGGTGAAGATTTAGGGTCGGAATCGGATTCTGGGAGCTGTATTATGGTTAGAACACCACGACCTTAGTGTATTTAGCAACTGTGGTGGTTGTAGATGGCTTCATCTGAATGAGAGTGGTGTGGTGTGGAGTGGTCCGTGGGGGGGTGGTCCGCAGGGGGGGGTGAGATGTTACCTCGTCCTTGATCACGTCTTGTGTCTGGATGTGGTTGCCCAAGTTCACGTAGTCAGGAAAGTTCCAGGGGATGTCTGGCACCACGTATGTGAACCAGCGCTCTGGAACATCTATTGCTGCAGCGTTTGTAACTTTTCCTAGACCCAGCTTCGCTTCCGGACTTAGCAGCTGTTCCCTAATCCGCCTGGTTGTCACCCTGATAGACCAACCAGTGTTGGTCAGGCTGATACCCGGCACGTCAGCCAGGCCTAGCCCAAGGTCTTTAAAGTCCTTACAGATTACAGAGCAAAGAGTGGAAGGCTGTTCCTTCCGCATGCACCGATCTTCATCTAGGCGTATCAAAATTTGTGTCTTATCCCTGGCTAGGACAGACGCTGAGGCCCCGGGGCGGGACGTGCTGGCGGAGTGTCTGCCACTGGTATGGGTCATAACGTTACCCCTTGAATTCGTCATGTGGCCTGTTTTGGCCACTCCTGCCCAGGAGACCTGCTTAAACGACTTCCCCCTAGGGCCTTGCCCGTACGCATTCGTGATGTTAGTGGTGATGGTGGTGGTGTCAATAGGCCCAGAGCTTTTGACACGGATAAGCGCATAAAAAATGCTATTAGTGTTAGAAAAGATAGCAATATTTAAGTGACTATAAATCATCTCAATCACTAAGCGGGCCTCCTTCTTGTACTCGGACTGTTATGGTCTGTTATAGGTGCTTACATAGTCGTCTAGGCAGCCAGTGAGTTGTTCTAGAACCGTTCGTTTGATGCAGGCCTAGCGCTCAAGGTCTTTTAAATGAGATACAAAAGCGCTAATAATAATGTCATAATATCCAGTAGCAGGCTTTCTAGTGAGGTCAATTGTCAGGGGAGCCTGGACATTGGCAGGCTTCCTTTTCTTATTCCGCTGGTCGAGGTTGGAAGGGGTAATAGGCTCAGGTTCTTGGGTGAACTGAGCAACGTCCGCTGTGACTCTGATAGATCGCTAGAGGGTTGTAAGGGCTGTTATCGTTGACCGCTGGTTTTGTCCCTTTTGCAGGGAGCAAGGCGGATCTCGAGATTTTGCCCTTAGTGTTTAGATTCAAAATAAAGGCGCAATGCCAAGTATTAAGAATGTTGTTGTGATGTGCGCAGATGTACTAACAACTGCAAGCACACGGATGATTTTTACCAGGAAAGGTGAGCTTGTGATTGAGGTTGGTGACATAGCGGTGCGACGAAATTGTTTGTGCTAAAATCCCTTTGTGACTGGTCTGCTGGCTACAGACGTATGTTGCCCCTAGATGCAGCAGTGGACTGACTTTCAGCTCTAACTGTGTGTTGGGTACGCTTATCGCAACTGGAAAAGCTCTTAACACTTCTTCGGCTACTCTTTAAAATACATCCTACGCCCTCAAAAACTTTTCCTTGTTCCCATCGCAACGGGTTCTTCGGCTTTCAACGCCTGTCCAGCAATTCACCCACAATCCAGGTCATTTTCTCACTCCAGTCCTCACGTTTTTGTCACGCGCCATTCACAGCAGACAAGCGATACTCCATGCTCCAAACTGTTACGGTATAACATAATACCTCCACATATTTATGTACATATATATCCCTAGCTTCCCCTTTCTCTTCCGACATTACCTCTTCTTCCTTAGATATCGTTGAATCTAGATATTTCATCCCATCAGCCCTGGCCAGCGCAGCTGCAGGCCTGATTGTCACACAAACTGCGCCGGCCCTTTGGTCTCTACAGTTTCATCTCGCACGGTTTGTCTGCAGCTTCATGTTGTGCTACCCTTGACGCGCCCGTCATACTGACGCAAATCAAGAATTCAAGATGGCATCCGATGAGCCGACCCTTTCTACCATGGTCCTGTACCACAGAGGACGAAGAGGAAGGAAGCTTCCAAGATGCTGCCGAAAAGGTCTACGGCAACAACCAGATTCTCGCCCTACCCCCGTGACCTATAATGCCCGAGATCATCGTCCATGGAGTCAGCCGTGCCTGCTTCCACGACAAGCGTCTCTGCGATCCGCGGGTGAGAATACACAGCAGTCGATTGAAGATGTCTCTACGGTACGTGCTGTGCCTGTTTCGCTTTCCTCCGTCTCTTCCCAGACTGACACTGCCGCAGAACTCCTAGGTGAACCAACAATCTGGCAGCCTCTTGTACAGCCTGCCGCAGGATTTACGCGATGACATATCCCGGCGGTTCTTCAGGTCCACACCACTGCGATACGGATTTTGCCGTTGCTGTTAAGACAACAAGCGGACTCGCTGTTCGACCTCCACCGCAGCCGGGCGTCGACCCCCTTGTCCTCCGCTCCGATGTCTGTAAGTAAGTATCTCCAGTCTTGATCGAGTCCCTCTCGATGTATTCACGGGAGTCTTCCATGATGCGGTCCGCGAACTCTGGGTCTTCCTACCATCCACTCGACGGCATCGAAGAAAGTGCATTCATTAGCTGATCCCATCATATCACAGCAACTTCTCTCCAAGGTTGGACCGGAGACAAAGACTTCAAGTGGCTATTCTATAACGCCCTTTTGCGAGGCCGATGACTGGGCTTACGGTTTCACCACGGGTCAGATTGACGCCAGGTCAATACAACTTCAAGCTCTGGGGTTCCGCAACCCTCTGTACTCCTCTCAATCGATCGCAAAACTACTGCAACCTACGTCTCAGCATTCGACAACCACGACAGTTGACAGGGTTTGCAGTGGATGGTTTGCGATGCATTTTCCTATAGGTACTTAAGGTAGTAATTTCTTTCACCTACGATTCGATTCGATTCTTCTTCCGCGGCTCTTAATACCACCTGGGGCTTCCAAGCACATTGGCAACAGATGTTTCTGGCCCAGTTGCTCGCTTGCAGAACTGGGATTGGTGAACGAGGCGAAAGCTGCTGTTGACAAGTAGATGGGCCGATGGATCGTGAGTAACCACCCACCCTCCTCCCCCCTGGAGCCGACACATGGATCATGCTAACTCACCATCACTAACTTAGTGATCATGCATGAATATTTTGAAGCTTGGCCGGTCTGGCGAAGACTTGGAGTGGGTTCCGAGAGTATGGCGAAATGAGTGAAGAGATGTTTCTCTCGTCTGGCAAAGGGCAACCACAGTGGTGGAATCCATCCCTATGTCTACGTGGCGGAGCCAACTCCGGAGCCTCGGTCGATTTCTTCCTCTCGATGATTGGTTATACAGACCATCTAGGGCTAGGGCACGCGCACGGCCCGACAGTGGTCCTATATAAGGGACCGCCGCCAGGCCGGCTAGGACGGGAAGGACTTCCCTTCTTCATCTCATCAAGAGAATCCTTAGCGACTCGTTCATCACCATACCCGCCAAGGAGGAAAAGTCAAAGTGGAAGTCGCGCACCGCCTTCGTCACCATCAGCGCCACGGCCGGCTTCAGACCCCTTCTCGAAGAGGTCATTACGCCGAGTTCCTCATGATGCTGCGGGCCCTCGGCTACACCGACCTCGTCGTGCAGTGTGGCGATGACCCCTGCTGCTGTCCGCGACTACCACGTCAAGCATGCCAGAGAGCCTGACTGGAGCTGGGTAGATGAGAACTGGAAGCTTATAGACGAAATCTTCCTACAAAATGAGCTAATCTCTAACAAATCTGATCAGGGGTCCTCCGGTGCTGCTCAGTTGGAAGCTCTATCTGGTCGCAGGGATGGTAAATCGGAAGTGGCTGCGTCTCATGGGTATACGGAACGCGGAACAGATAGGAACGCACTTGTGCGTCCGTTGTACGGGGTCACGACGGCACGTAATTTTCGTGATCTCACCCGCCCGCCGTCCCTCGCGCAGTGTAATCGAGTGGAAGGAAGGAACGTCTAGATGGTGATGTTCATGATTTTAGTACGCCGGGATATTATTTTATGTGCGTATGTGGGCTGCTTCTAAGGAGCCTGGCTGCAGGCCACGGGACGACGGCTGGCTGAGCCCCTGGGAGTGGCTTAGTGGGGGGAAAAAGATTAATGAAAAAACAAACACTAGATTTGAACGCGCTGCTTACAAAAAGATGATTCGTCTAATCTTGGAATCGAACCAAGGTATCCGGGTACCCTTGAGGATTTATAGGCTAGCGTCCAGGGCCCGAACCAGACCTTTCTTCCCCGACGTGTTACCACTAACAAATCAGACGTTGTTTTGTTGGTTGATAGAAAATTTTGCTCCAATTCAAATCTATATACTAACAGTCCCTCCCAATACATGCAAATTCTCTTAACCACCGGTAGCCCAATCATGGGTGCTGTAGAAGGGCAGGTGGTGGGAAGACGTTGACAGGACATATCCATCAGAGTGTGAGGTGTTCCGACCTATGGTCAAATCCAAAAGTCGTTTATACCATAACCCCACTGAGAGCTTATGGGTAATGTTTTCGTCGTCGTGATGAAGCGAGGCGCACGCGCCCGACTACGCGGAGAGATCAGAGGCCCCCAGCAGCTAGGGCGACATCTGTCGGCACTTGAGACACCTCAGCTTCTTCCAGATGAAGCGTCTGTTACACGATGGGGGCACCACCCCCGTGGAGCAACGCCTGAGGGCTGCGATGAGGCAGGTGATTTGTTCCCACCCGGATGCTGACGGCCCAAGCCGGTGAGGGGTGTACGGGGTGATAAAAGCCCCGACCATCTTAGGCCAATTCTCACTGAGACACTTCGAACCAAACATCCCGAATGGCCCGCAACTTGTAACCTGGCATGTTTGGTCTTGGGTATCTTGTCTGCCGGGTACTTTACATACAGGACATGTCCTCAAAGTACCCCACATAATACGCGGTCCTTCGGCCAATCAGAAGCTGTTTAGGTAGATAGGGGGTCGGCTAACCACCCGGCCTGTATCATGTATGTAATTCTCCGTGCTCGATCCATCACCGAATCAACACCATTGAGCTCAACTTGTAAATAATTCTTAAAAATCCGGTCTACTTGCAATCGGCATACCTGCGTGAGGGGCGTCGAATCTTTACACAAGGAAGGGCCACCGTGCTGTCAATCATAACGTCGAGGGTCACAGTACCTACATCAAATCAGAGATGATCACGCCTTCAATTAGCAGTTAATGTGAGTATCTCAGACAACTAATCTGGGGAGAACCATAGCCTTCATTATAAGCACTGGTCTTATGCTTAGGGCGCTGTCCAGAGCCAGCTATCGCACCTGATAGACTAGGTACGGTTACGTCCAGCTGGTTGTAGGACCTATAGGTTGGCCATGGGTTCTTCTCCTATATTACAAGTGACTGTGGTCAGAAGAGTCTGCAAGTCTTGGTATCTGTAGATACGGGTGGCCTCAAGGCCGACTCGAGCCAACGCCTTGAGAGTTGGGGCCCATTGCCTGACCACCTAAACACTCGATCCATCACCAGTGCCCGCTCGAAGAAGCTTACGCCGCTTCCCATCCTTGAGATTGTGGGCAGCGACTTTTTGTTACTCCTCTTCATCAGCCTCCTCCTCCTCGGCCTCCTCCTCCTCGGCCTCCTCTTCCTCGTACTCCTCTTCCTCGTACTTCCTTAGTTCGCGCTGCTGGCAGTTTTGAACGATCGCTTTGAGGGTCGGTAAATGCCGCTAGTCGTAGTCGTCGAACCTTGGTTTGACAAAGCCATCGCATCCGAGGGCGTATTCCATGGCGTACGACAGACAGCGCCAGTCGAATCCGTTGAGAGGTTGAGGGCAGCCCGTGGATTGGTACTTGAGCGGCGAGTAGTTCACTCTGACAGTCTTGTCGCCTTCACTCTTCAGCCGGGGGAACTCTATGCTTTTGACCGTGTGGCGTTTGAGTTCGAACCACTGCTCGGTCCACAGCCGCTCGTGACACTCGTCCCAGAAATTTTCGGGCCCGAGCGGTCTTAGTGTGATTTCGCGCAGTGCTGGGAAGTGCGATGCTAGTAGACACTGCGTGACATGGAGAGCGGATTGCACGTCGTTATGGAAGGAACCGGCGAACTGCTCTCGCAACTGAGAGCGATTTCTCAAGCGTGGCACGAGGAACTTTGCTCTGCCCCAGACGCCGGGCCAGTGGTGAGCATATGTCTTGGACAGCAGGCCAACCGGAAGCCATTCGCGCACGGAAATTTGCTGAAGACACCGGAGTTCAGGACTGGTCTTCAGCTCGTGCGTAAGTCGCGGCTGGCAATCGCGACTTGCAACGAAGAGGATGTTAATATTGAAGTTGATTCGGATCTTGATGGGAGCTGCGATTGGGAAGCGCGCAAAGCTCCAGGCGAAGTGCAGCAGCGTCTCGTCTCGGGACTCTCTGTTGACGAATGCCGATGCTGGAAGTCCCTTATTGGAATTTGCGAACCATTCTTCATTCGGGTAGTTATTGTGAAATACCACAATATTTCTCGGGGCCCAAGAGGCTCTCCAGACGGATCGTCGCAGCTCGGGAGCGAGCTGAGAGAACTGGTGGAACGACTCCGTGACTAGCTGTCCGCGTGAGAGACTGGTCCGGCAAAGGGTAAGCATTAGTGCAAAGAACTTGAAGTGTGAGCTAGCTGGAAAGTTGGAAGGTGGGAGCTGCTTCTGCTGTATGCACAACATGGACTGCATGCAAGGTGTTTTGGCAAGGCGGTGATACACTGACCTGATCGAAATGCGAAGGTGAAACCTGCAACTTGTATGTCGTGGTCGGGAAGCTCGGGAGTGAGCGTTTGGCAGGAGCTGTGAATGGGAGGTTTGTGGCGATTGTTCGTGGGTTACGAGCGGCGAGAAGAACTGAATGTGTTTTTTGTCTGGCAGGGCCAGCTTGCGGTGAGTGGTTCGGCGATGGGAGAAGAGTGAAGGCGCCTTAGGCAGCGGCACGTGATTAGTAGAAAGTTAGGATTTGGGCGGGCCTCAAGTTTTTATACCGATATCGATGCAAGATTGTTACTGTAGCAAACACGTGTTTTGGTGTGCATTGACACTGTCCAAGTAAGCCGAGGCAAGAGAGACATCTATGAGCTTTACCGTGCTCGAATGCTAACCTGGGAGGAGGGATAATACCGAACCAAAAGGCACTCGCCTGGTTTTCTTCCCAATATAACCTGACGTTATCATCTTCATTTAAAGGAAGTGATATAATTACTGCACGTCTAAATGATGCGAACTATATGTAGGTATTGTCTATCTCTTCGGCCCTGGGCAACAGCGTGAAGATGAATGATCAGTGTGAGGATTGTAGTGGCTTTGGTGGTTAAAGGGGTCAATGGAAGCAGCTGGATGAAGGAGCTTTATCAGATGCTTTAGGGATGGGCCCTGCTTTATGGCTTAAGTGTGTATTTAGTACCAAATCAGGCCCCCTGACCTATAGCTAGAACAAGCAAACAAGAAGGGGATCTACCCCCATTCCATACCGACATAAGATTCCCGACAATTAGGAATATATGGAGTTGGGTCCAGCCCTGAACGGGGCCCTTGCCAAGAGTTCGGCATTGCCAACATGAAGAAGAAGGTATGGTGCATACTTTCATAGATCACATCGCATCAAAATCGCATTCGTTTTCTGAGGCGTGCAAGTTTACAGTGGCAAGAATTAGCTGGCTGTCCGTGCAGTAACTACCTACTATACTTACTGGGGAACCCGTACCCTCAGACTTCCACACTCGAGAACTTAGCACTTCCCGTAAAGAATCCAGATTGACCGAGAGTATATCTTACCCGGTCACGATATCGTATGGTCGAGAACCTCTTTTGGTCGTGAAATGCCGCCAGGATGGTATGATGTCTGATTGACCCGTTAGGGGCGAAGAATATACTTGCCCGTCCCATGCGCACAGAACACCGCCACCCCAGCAACGCACGCCAAGGTGCCTCGTATGACCAATTGTCAACATTCCAGTCGAATGTTTGGAATGGCTGGTGGATGCCTGCCCGGAGAGAATCCGGCTCATGACATGTGCTTCCCAGTCCAAAGGTCCTCTTCTGAATATGGGGGGTGCCGAAACCCGGTGTCGTTACTTCGCAGCTTGAGCTTGAGGTTGCGGATTGCGAATAGCAATGGCATGGGTGCGGCGTTCACGTCTAAAGCGCACAAACATCGTAGCTGAATTTTGTAACGTCCTGACTGACGGAGATGTTCAATGTCGTCTTCTCGTCGAAGGTGAAGTAGTACCCGTTGATATCCGTGTCGATGAGTCGAGGGTCTGCAGCTGGTGCCTTGATTCGCAGGCGGCCGAGGTTATCGAGGCTTGTGTTCGGATCGATCAGTTTGGCCGCTACAAGATCTACCGTTTTGTACGGGCTAGCCCGTGGTTCCCATTGGCATCTGTACGTGGGGGCCGGATTCGTATCGCGGATCGGCTTGTCACAATGGTAGGTGAATTGGCAGTGCCCGAGGCCACAAATAGCCATCTCTCTCTCGTTCAGGACGAATCCGTTTACATCGGTGTTGATGATCGAATCGTCAAAGGTTAGCCAAGGCGGCGCATCGTAGCGGGCGCGCCACTTGCCATGAATGTCTCGGGCGGTGGCCGGGTTGATCACGCCCATGGCGACAAGGTCGGGGCGTTTCGACAAGTTGGCAATGCGCGCAGCGCTGGGTTGCTTTTGCGTTTCAGGTTGGTCTTGATGCGTAGGTCCTCTTCCGCGACGACCTCCTCCGGGGGAGGCCACTTCTGGTTACCGAACTCGTCCATGGGGTCCTCCGGAGTCCACCAGAGGCTCTTCTTGGTCGGAATGGCGCCGGTGCTGGCACTCATGGTAGCCTTAGAGTCCGCCATGATCGATTGGTTGCGGATCTGCGCTACTGTCGGTATTATGGGTGTCGGATGGTGGTTGATGGGGTGTGCTAATGAAGATGCTGTAACTACTCGGGAAGGCGGAGGGGTCGAAAAGCTGACAGTGTGTCAAACGGATGGTGGCTTGGTTGAACGACGATAGTATCGTCGAATTGATGGTGTGAAAAGAGGGCGGCGAGGCCACAGAGCGGTGATTTGGTAGAGGAAGAGATATGATTGAAGAGAGTTTGTGGTTGAGGAGAGTTGTGGTGGGAGAGAGTTGTGGTGGGAGACAAGCTGGGATGCAATATATAATCACAGACCGACGTGGGGCTGGGTGCGGGTGCCTGAGGGTGCTGGGCAACAGTGAATGGAGAAATTTTCAGCGCATAATGCCCTCTTCAATGGACCGGGAAATTTGTTTGCCATTGTGTTCTATTGTTCGGTGATGCAACCCATTGTCTCTAGGGAAGACCACTTTCCGACTCGAAGGCACCCAGAGGAATACCTGCAATATAGTAGAAAAATCTCTGCACCACTTTCCACCGCAACCGTGGCATTGATGTTGTCTCTATAGTAAGTAATCCCCAGTAGGAAATTAACGCACGAAGTCTAGAAGCAACACAAAACACCTGCCGACTTTACAGCAGAGGGAGAAGACAATATGCCGACTTTAACATGTCATACCTGTTCGGGATTCACCTGTCCAAAGCGTACACGTCCGGTCTCCTCGACGGCGGCCGGGTTGGCGGCGAGAAAGTCTCACACGTATTATTGGAAAAAGGGTTCCACGGTCGCGGATTCTGGAATCTGGAGAACAGTGAGGTTCGTTCCGAAAGTGAACCTCTACTTTTCTCGGGGCTTGGTTTGCAACATTCTGACAATTTGATTTTGCTAGGTGATATACAGTAACAAGTGACAACTGTGAGAGTATAAGCGCATCAGTTCTGCTCTCTCCAACTTCTCACCGCGTGGCGTACCGGGCGTAACTCCATGGCCTGAAAACATCACTCTCGCGTCGAAAACCGCCCAAAGTGCGCCGAAAGCAGGGATTGAAGTTCTTACTCGTATGAAAGTGCTATCAATATAAGAAATCTTCTCAGAGCATCTAAATGGTACTTTCCCTCCTGTTCCGGTCCAAAATGTCTCCGAAGTCGATATTGTTTGACGCGAATGGCGGACCAAGAGCCGGGTCACTGATCATGTCCTTAACCAACATCTCTGTGTCCGTGAGTAGTTCAGGCAACGCTCTGCAATCGTCCAAGACGTGAGTGGCGATCTTGTGGATCGGGTACCAATGTTTGAAGCCAGCTGCGTTTCTGGAGCCGATAGGTAGACCGGGCTTGATTAGACGGATGCAGTGTCTGATTTCGTGTGGCTTGTTGCACATTTTGCACTTCGACTGTAACCCTCCTCCGACTGGGCATATCGTCGTCATTGTCGACCATATGCTGCAGCACCTCCACTGCCCGAATATGCTCGGGCATGGTGGCTCGGACTACTTTACGTTCGTATCTATAGTATGTCTGCTGTGTCCCTTCGAAGGCGTCGGTGTTTAGGCCACGGTAAATCTTTATTATATGTGACTAGTTAATTTTCGTGACAGACTCCACGGTGAAGTTGTAAGCGACCTTCTCGTCGTAAGTAAACCAGTAGCCGTTGATGTCGGTATTGCGATACTGCGGATCGGGTACTGCTGTCTTGATCCGCAAGCGAGCCAAATTGTTAAGGTTAGTAGTTGAGTCTATGACTTGCCTGCTGTAAGGTCCGGCACTCGGTAAGAGGTAACCCGCGGCTCGTACTAGCGCCTGTCTATAAGTTATGTGCAGGACTGGTATCCCGGAGGGGTCTTCGCAATTGTATGTGTACTGGCAGTTTCCTTGACCGCACAAAGCAAGTTCTCGACCATTCATAGCCAAGGAAGCTATTAATGTCCGTATTGACGACGGAGTCATCGAAGCTGAGCCAAGGCGGTGCATCGTACCGGGCACCTAAGCCGCAAGCGAACGACTCGCATGCTTCTTCCGGCAAGGGGCAGCCGACCACCTAACAGGAAACGGCAAAGGCAGAAAAGTCGCGAAGCTCCCCAATGACGAACCAGCTGCGTGCTCCATGCACTATTTACGGGCCATCAGCAGCATCACCTCCTTCATCGCCTCCTTCATCACCGTTCTCGGAAGAGTCCTCAACGAGAGCCAAGTGGTGCTACGCCGGAGATTAGCTGGTGCTTCGCAGGGAGGCAATAACCTACTTACGACTTTGACATAGTTGTCGCGAAAACTCGAGAACTGTAATAGCGTGTATTCTAATGATTTTTAGTATGTGTGTATCTGGAAGAATATTTGAAGTGATTCATTGGGTGAAGTGGCCGCGGTCTACCGAGATGAAATTCGTCGGCAATCTAGCTAGAGATATGTGATGAAGACCCGCCCATGTGACGAAGACCCGTCCATTTCTCCTTCAAGGACGTTGTAGGTATATTCGAAGCCGAACAGGATGTGAACAGCGTTTGGAAGAAGATTGTACTTTTGGTAGACTGGCAGCTAGCCGGTGGTGGGAGCCAGTGGCGGCTGCAAAGTGGTGTAGTTACTCTGGAAACAAGATACAAGGGAAATGACATTTCTATACATTAAATTTAGGGAGAACCTAGAAGCCGGCGGTGCCGTGCATATGTTTGCAACATCTCGTGATGGGATCACCCACATACATGCTAGTATATATACGTCTTGTCTCCGCCAATATTATAAAGACTTATGTCATGGTACTCTATATTTTGACATGGTGTTACAATAATTATTTGTGAGCAGATAGGTATGCAGGGAATTCCGCATTTATACCCCCGTCACGAGTCCAACCTGAACTCAGCTATGACTACTACTCGTGCATACACCAAGGCAAACCTATGCATGTTATATGCCATCAAGTCAGTCATATCTATAGATCGAGCATCACGCCTTGTTAGGCCTCATCAAACGGGGATGCGTGGTCAACCTATCATCGACATGGGCTTATACAGGGGAAAATCGCACTTATCAGGTTTAATCGACATCGAACATGTCTCAAACTCTGATCACACAACTGCAGAAGCTACAAAAACCGAGATAACTGTCAAACATTCTCAATTGCCCAAGTCTTGCGGTTTTATCGTTCTTACCCAGGCACTCTCTCTTGCTTTCCCACGTCGTCCCAGCGTCTGGTTCGTGAAGCTCTCTTCATCGTGTGAACTGGGATTGACCCCCGCCAGAAGCTTGGCCCGTGTGAATTTGATCTCCTCAATGGCCCTGTTGAATATTGAAGTGTTCTGATATTAAAGGAAGAAGAAGAAGTCCTCTGGGATGGGAGTGAAGGCCCCTGTTATATAGCCATACAATCCCATGTGATCCCTCAGAGTGACCAGATAACCACGACACCTGTTGTTTGGACAAATCAGAAGCCAGCATTCTCAGTGCTATTGATACCCTGAGGGGTAGCTCGGCAGGGAGCTCGGCCATTAAACAAACCTTAAGTCAACTGTAAACGTGTCTTAGCCGGTTATCATATGAACACCATGTGACATGGTATTCAACAGGCCCTAAGCAAGGAGCAGGTGGCCTTGAGTATGTAGCCATGTTATTGCTCCCGATAGGAATGAGACTAGGATCAGCCACGAGACTAGGGGCCTAAAGGAGCGCTTCGGGAGGCGTAGTATGAAACAAGAGATAAACGTATCCTCGGGGTAGTCAATGAACAGCCAAGCCATTCCTGGTTCTGAACCGCCGCATCCCCAATGAAGATCTTGGTTTCATTCTTGCACCGATTTCTGCCCTTGCAGGGTACTAAACGGCTGCCAACCTACCACACCTGTTCTGAGCATGCTTGACTGGAGGGGAAAATGTGTGGTTGCTGGTTCGCTCAAATCGGATAGAATATGATGGGGTTTTTGTTTGAGCGCCACAAGGAACAAGACCAAGGGTCAAATCAATTACACGCTAGTCCACTGGTGTACACACTAGTGGAGCACTTTGGCGTACATCCACTGGAGCTGAAGGGGTCATCCATTACATTCAAGGCTTAGTGTAATTGACGTAATGGACGAGTGTATGACAGTGGATGAAATATGGGCTCTGATTGGTCCAAAAATCTAAGAGCCCCGTTTTTTACAAAAAAAAAAAATCCCGAGCTTCCTATAGGATCTGAACGTAGCCTTTTCCGCAAGGCAAACTTTGCGCTACCATACCACTATACCAAGATGATGCGCATTTAATCAAGAGTTGGGCATTATATCACTGGTAGAAACATTGACATATGATTTCAACCACCTAGCTAGCTAGCATGCAAATTCTGAATGCAGCCACCAAATGGCACAAACAACATTCAGACCACGCAAACCACTCCAAAGCAGGCAAATCATTCAGATTCACTCGAATACGACCCAACCACTCGAACTCACCTGTTCATTCAATTTTTTCGCCTCGAATTGCAAGCAGTACCCTCAGCACGCTTCACCATGGCCGGTACACCCGAATCCTCGATACACGGTGGCTCCGAGCCTCCCAACGACGTCCCTTTGTCCGCAACCCCCTCGCCAGCACCCCAATCATCTCGACGAGAATCCCTCCGCCACGGCATCTCTCAGGGCAACGAAGCCTTCCTTTTTGCGTGTTTTCGTGGCTACACGTGGGCTCAGTGGAAGCGAGGTCTCAACTCCTGGGCCTGGGATCACGGATATGACATCCAGAAGGGTAGGACCTTCAAATGGGTGTGCCGATACTGTATCACTCGCCGCAATCCCGTACCTGATTCTTTCACATCTGCAGGCCTTCAGAACGCCATACAGCACCTGTATCTAGTCAAATCGATCTCTGCCCCTGGGGGTGAAAAGACCAGATCCAAGGCACAATTACGAGCCGAAACAATCAACAATACGAGCCAACAACGGCTTCACCGATATCTCTCCGTCAACCCAGAGAACCCTCGAGACCAAGCAATAACCAATAACATGCTGAAGAACTTCGATCGAGATACCTTTCACCGCCTCCTTATGGAATGGATCGTCGAAGAGAACCTTCCTTTTGCTACTGTGAATCATCCCAAATTACGCCTTGCACACGAATACCTCAACCCGTGTATCACAGACCAAAGCGGGCACATCTCCTCGACCGGGCTACGTAAAAAAATCATACGCGAATTCCAACGGCACAAGGGAGCCATCATTGAGGCGTTGAGGGCTTCACCTGACAAGATACACGTATTCTTTGATGGCTGGCGGTCAGATAATCATCGCGCTTTGTATGGCGTAGTCATCTTTTTCAGAGATGAATACAACAAGCCTTGTAAGCTAGTTCTCGGCATCCCCGAGGTCTCCATTCGTCACACAGGTCAAAATATTGCCACGCAAATCGTCGAAGTCTTGAAGATGTTTGGTATTGACCATAAGATCGGCTTTCTTATTCTCGATAACGCTGCCAATATGGATACGGCATCAACCGAGATAGGGCTAGCCCTAGGCTTCGAGGGCAAGAAACGGCGTGGCCGGTGCTTCGGGCATCAGTTGAATCTCTCTGCCAAATCCTTATTGTTTGGTACTGATGTTGAAGCATTCAGAACAGAGATCAGCAAGGTCGAATCTCTTTCGGTTGCTGAACACGCGTTGTATCACCGATTAGGCCCTGTTGGCAAGGCTCACAACCTCGTCGTTGATATCTGGCGATCTGACCGCTTGCATTACATCCTTCTTGACGTCCAACGGCAAGATGTCCTCGATTTCACAGTTCCTCACACCAGGGCACTGTGTGTCATCCTCGATAACGACACTAGATGGCTTTCACAGTTATATATGATCCGCCGTCTCATCAAGCTTCGCCCGTATCTCCCTCGAATGATAGCCCAATTTAATCAGGAATGGGAAGACCAACACAGATCCAAGAGGACTGGCCTCGTTAGTGGCAGGGCCATGGCAAGGCGGCCCCGAATCCTCAAAGAAGAGAATCATCTAAATGATCACGATTGGACCGTTCTTGAGCACACTGCCGCTATCCTTACTGACTATGAACACACCGTGAAATTACTCGAAGGGAATGGCATGCAACGCAAGCGGAAAGGATGGACCGGTTCGTATGGTAACATCTGGGATGTTATCTTTGGATTTGAATTCCTTCTTGGCAAGCTTGAGGGTTATAAAATTACTGCTAACAAGCTTCCTGACAGTGAACACTTCGTAGCTAACATCAACCTTGGTTGGATGAAGCTAGACGAATATTATCAGAAGCTCGACGAGACCCCCCTCTATTACGCGGCTATAGCCCTTCACCCCCGATTCCGATGGCACTGGTTCGAACAGAAATGGAATGATCAGCCCGAATGGATTCAGAAGGCAAAAGATTTGGTCCAAGAGCTATGGGATACCGAATACCGTGATCTCGAGATACAGAACACCCTTAATGACGACGAGCCTGCCCAAAAGCGCCGTAAAATCGATCTGAACCCTCTCGAGAAATTCATCCATCAACAAGCAAGCTCGGCCCCGATTTCATCCACTCTGGGAGACGAATACGAGATCTGGCAGTCTCACGAGACTGTGAATAACGCAATATTCGATCCTTTAGCCTACTGGCACGAACGACATCACCAATACCCTCGTCTCTCACAAATGGCGCTTGACATCCTCACAGTTCAACCGATGTCTGCCGAATGTGAGAGGGTTTTTTTGGCAGTAGGGCGGATGACAACTAGCCTTCGCGGCGCCCTAGATGCTATGATCATCAGTCTCTGCCAGGTACTGCGTTCGTGGCTACGAGCTGGTGTTATACACGAGTTAGACCCCGTATTGCTGTCACCCGACGAGAAGGATGAAGTTGATTACGTCAAAAGGATGTCCTCTGACGAGCTCGCAAAGTGGGCAATTGCGTGGATAGCAGTTAGCGAAAGGACACGTGAAGCAGACAACGAAGAATACTGCTAGCAGTTGAACGAGAGGCTATTACACCCTTTCGGGCAAAGGGACAAATATTACGGCTTTAGCACGAATATGGGGGTGTCAGGGCCATCCCAGATGAGGAATTCAGCTTTACCACCAAAAATATGTACATCCACCATCAATTACATCCATTTGGGGCTTCAGTGGACCACTATTTCGTGGATTTGGTGTAAATCCTTACATCCACGCGAATCCGTGGCTTCGTGGATGTAATGTAATTGATTTGGGCCCTGAACAAGACCATCCGGCTAAAGCCTCAAGAGACGGCACTTGGGAGTCCTATAGTCTACTACGGAAAGCTCGAAGGGATTCTGGACAGGGCGACCACCTGCCATGACTGATGAAGCAAAGTATAAACGCGAGTATACCCCCGAAGCCAGGCTTCCATGCATCTGTGTGAGAGCCTCGCATGTGCTGCAGACATTACTGAGCACCTGGGGATACCATTCCATGTTAATTACCCCTCGGTCGCTTCATATCAGCGGATCTCCGCCATCCCAAAGTCCTCAATAGCGCGACATTGCTATAGAAGTGGCTAGCTCAGCAGCTTGAGCTTGTCGCTCATCTCGAGGATTGTACTGCCATGATCAAATGCCAGGGTACAAATGTGTAGGAGCACCGTTGTTCTAGCCGAACCAGACATGTATCGATCGATGACCTGTCCAGCGTACGTAGCCTCACACGACGCTCAAGCACCGTGGAGCAGTCAGTCTATCGTCCGCTCAAGCACGTTGCTCGCTACTTGCACTGGATCTGCACAACTGCCCCTAGGCATGCGATCTTATCCTCTCATGGCAAGGTTGGCCATTGCAATATAATTCAGCTGCAGACCTGCTCAAGGGTCAGAGGGTTACACGGGACCAATCGTCACCTTATGAAGCGTGCCACCCGGTGTGGTCGAATTTGGGGGCCGAAATACCGCTTGCATGAGTGGAGCTGCACGATGATTCGGTCAAGTGGACCGGCGACGAATGGGGGCGGCACAAAACTAGGACTCGTCGACTATAAACAAGCTCCATCTCCTTCCATGTCTCATCTGGTGAATGACGATCTAGACGTAATCGAGATCCAGCATATGCCAGCAGACACAGATCTCGTAAAAGGGCAAAGTCCGGACAATAGCTGTCGTCTCTCGACTCTCCCGCGCTTCTCTGAACCATGTGGCTCATCGACACCCAGACCTTGACTCTCAAGCAGGAGGTCAATCCCGCACCAGGCTCCTATGCCATCCTGTCGCACACCTGGGAAGAAGACGAGGTGTCGTTCCAAGACTTCCAGGATCTAGCCTCAGCTGGACGTCGGAAAGGCTTTGGAAAGATTCAACGTACCTGCGATCTTGCCCGGGAGAGGGGCCTGAAGTACGCATGGGTCGATACGTGCTGCATAGACAAGTCCAGCAGCTCCGAGCTGTCCGAATCCATCAACTCGATGTTCAGGTGGTATCGAGACGCGGCTGTGTGTTTCGCCTTCCTATCCGACCTCGGCGCCGATGTCTCTTTCGAGGCTGGCTTCAGCAAGGAGATGTGCCGATGGCTCCGGCGCGGCTGGACTCTCCAGGAACTGATCGCGCCCAAAGAGGTGGAATTATACGACGAAGCCTGGTCACTGAGGGGAACGAAGTCGCAACACATCCCTCTCGTGTCCAGCGCGACTGGCATAGACAGCGACGTATTGAGAGACTCATCCAGGCTCTCCCAGATCCTCGTCGCTCGGCGCATGTCGTGGGCTTCCGACCGCGAAACGACAAGAGCCGAAGATCTCGCGTACTGTCTGCTGGGCATCTTCGACATCAACATGCCCATGCTCTACGGAGAGGGCGAGAAGGCCTTCATGCGCCTGCAGGAAGAGATCGTCAAGCAGAGCACCGATCTATCCCTCTTTGCCTGGCGCGCCGACGCGTTGTCCACGCAGAGGTTCCGAGGGATCTTCGCAAGAACACCGCGAGAGTTTATTGGGTGCACCCAGATGCGGAAGGAGATTCCTGGCGCCAGGGTCTTCGGCGGGGGGTTCACGGCGACCAACATCGGCCTGCAGATCGAGACGGGCTTGTGGCGGTGGGGCAACATCCATAATCAGCAGACTGCTGTCGAGATCATGGATCTTCACGTCCTTGAGCCTATCCCCAAAGCACCTCATATCAGGAATCCGCTCTGCATATATCTGACCAAAACGCCACAGGGCTATGTGCGACTCAAGCCGCAGGAACTATGCCGACTGCCCACCCACGAGAGACAGCTCCGGAAGAACCACAGGAAGGTACCGCGGGCCTCGATCAGTATCCTCAAAGACGTCCAGGATTGGGAGCAGGACTCGATCGACAGGCAGTCCGAAGGCAGCGTCTTCATAAAGACGCCCAAAGACTCTCTTTTCATCGACGCAGAGCCCAAGGAGCTGTGGGATAACTCCTACCGCGATATTTCATTCATAGGCCCCGGGACGGGGCTCACAGGCTACGTCGAGCTGGTGTACCTGGGTGCCAAGATCTTCATATTATTCTCGACCGTGCGTCCCGACAGGCCGTGGTGCAAGATGTTCTCCGAGATCGAACCCGCATACGTGCCGGAGTCGTTGTCCTGGGGCACTATCCTGTACGGGAAGATGAAGGAAGAGCTGCAGAAGTACCACACGGAACTCTCGGATTGCCTTCGCGACTTCAGATACGCTTCGGATAGTTACTTTCTTATGCCACCTCGCGATGATGCTATCACGCGTGATGCAAGCTGCAGAGTCAGGAATACAAGCGATGGGAAGACAGTCGTTATCACTGCACACATTGCTGTGCTCCTGCTTGGAGAGGCTGGTGATGGGAGCGCCAAACGTTATGAGATCACGTTCACGGTAGATAGAGGGGAGGAACAGACGACGCAGTAACTTCTCAGAGATGGAAACAAGCGTATGCGCAACAGCTTGTGCTGTTGATTTGCGTCATGATTTGCGTTAAATGATGGTAAAAGGAGTCGCCTGCTACTCAGGGCGACCACTAAACCATTGGCTTCGCCCTCCGAGTTGTCAAGCGATCAAGCGAGCTTCTCAAACCGAATATACAACGAATTGCTCTTTGGGTGACCCGTGTAGGCATCGGTCTGCTCGATACCTTCATCATTAACGATGTGGGTAGTGTAATTGGAGTAAATGGCCGCGATAGTGAGCTTCATATCTGTAGAACATCAATTAGCGCGCTGTCAAGACAGAGAAACGAGCAACGAAGACACACCATGCATCACGAAATTGGACCCAAGGCACATTCTTCCGCCCGATGAGAACCCCCAGAACTGCTTGTCGACGTGCTTTCTCGATCGGTCGACTGCTTCGGCCGACAGCCAGCGGGTATGGTCCCACTTCTCGGGATCCGGATAGATATTCTCATCACGATGGATATTATATGCAGAAGCCGAGACTCTGGTTCCACCAGGAACTTCGTAGGGGCCAATATTGCAAGAGGGTGAGGGTGTGACTCTAGGTTCCGGACCGCCGGCTGGTGCATACCTCCTGACGGTTTCCATGATCATGGCATGGAGTATTGGCAGATTGTCAAGCTGCTTCGAGTCTGAAGTTGCGATCTTGCCCTGCTGGAGGCTCAGGTTGGGCTTAAGTGATAGGAGCTCGGTCCTTAAGAGACGTTGAAGGTCGAGCGATTGAGAGAGATGGTGAGATAAGTATGTCAGAGCCACACCGGTGGTTTCCTGACCGGCTAATACATGGTCGAAGACTTCAGATGCCACCGATAGCTCTGGTTGGAGGATTGCAGTCGAGTAGATGGGTGATTCTGGCCCGTTGGCCTTCTCTTTCTCGAAGCCTGACAGAATGGCGCGTACGACGACCGGATCATCCGCAGTGTTGGGAGTGACGTTTTCTGCTTTCTGCAGGGCAGTGACAGTGGCATCACTGAGCTTCTTACACCATGACTCCAGCTCTCGGTTCGTGGCGGTGACCCAGTCAGGAGTCAGGTTGACTCCAAGGTAATTGGCAACTTTAGAAAGCAGAGGAAGTTCTTGGGCGAAGAAACCATATCCCTTACGGGTCGTGTAAAGCTTCAACCAATGCTCTCGATACGCCTTGTTCTGGATGAAGTTGGTACTGCGGCGGATGCCAAAGCAATACGCGGATATGAAGTCCATGGCAACAGCACAAAATAGTGAATGAACATCGAGTCCATGTGGAATTTGGCTCTCTGACGTGGACGAGTCCAGCAGGGGCATCAGTCTGGAGTTCAGTATTACATCAGACTGGGCCGCAAGGGACGCCGACGTGTTGATGTAGGATTTGGAATAGACATGTGACACTATCCGCTTCCTGGCGGAATGATGCTTTCCCTGCACAGATGAAAACATACAAGGAACTCTGGCCTACGTCAGCGTAGATTCCGTATTCGGGAACTGCAGTGGAGTATCTTAAATACCCAAAGTTGTCGAAGACAGAGTACCACTGGTGCTTGTCAAAACCACCCTGGTAGACAGTCTTGACTGCCTCGATGTTGTTGATGCTCAACTCATTGGGTCCGACGCGAACAATAGGCCCGAGTTGCTTATGTGCCTCGTACAGAGTACGGTTCTCCCTGCCATCGAACCTAGCCCGGAGAATCCAAGCGGGGGAGATTGAGCAACTCCAATGGGCTTTTGGGACTTTGACCAACGGTGACAGGATGGCGGGCTGGATGAGGAAGTAATACAGAGACGCAGAGAATATGGCTATAATCCCCGGAAGGTAAAGCTCGGAGGCGTTGATGGCGGACATGGTGAGCGGAGGCCAGGTTGCGCCACTGGTAGCAAAGTCGCACTACAACTGCAGCGATCCAAAAGGATCACCTGGTAGGGAAGTCGACAGTACGAGTGTTCTGTTCATCAAGCACATGCTGGTTATCGAAGAAGCGGGATCACATGATGCGCTATATCTGGACTTGTTGACACGAAGAGCAAGAGTGAAAGGAGCGAAGCCCACCTCGAGCATATCCCGAATGGCAGTGGCAGAGGGCAGTGTGCCTTGTGGTAGCGGTATCCAGAATAAGGACCAGGGTCACGATAGGTGGCTATTGGTCTGTATTCTGGAAGTTGCTTGATTGAAAGAAGGGATGGGTGGTGTCCCCATCCCAGAAGTAGCTATCATCCCAGTTGGGTACAAATCAGGTACAAACGGGTACCCGTTGGGCTCCAAGGTACCTTGTATCCTGGTCCGTGACCCATCCGTCATTGTGGCTGGAAAATGGGTTGAGGAGCCGCCGCAGTGTGGGTGATGGTGAAATGCATACCCTCTTTTGTATAATATAATGGCGTACGAGAGAGCCATATCACACAAAAGGGGCGATGACGTAATACCATCAGTGCAGGTGGTCATCCCACTCAGGTGGACTCATTTCCATTTCACCCAACGGTGGGGGCGTTTTTGCTCCGCTACCTGTGACTCAACCACCTGCAAGCATCGCCATATCTGTCACGACTCACCCATCATGAGAGCCATGGGTTGAAAAGGTGACTCGTTTTCAAGACTCATCCACCATGACGATTTATCGAAGCCGTGTGCATTTCTGACCCGCTTTTCCCCTGCAGAACCACCGATGACGGCTTGGTTCTTGATGCGCATCACGATCGGTGCAGAAGTAATCAACTGGCATGCGAGCAGCTGCGTATAATACACATCGGGAACATCGCCATGATATGACACTGAACCCTCCCGAACACTTTTTACTTACCCCAATCATAAAAGCACTCAATATCAAGACGGACTGCCTCGAGGTCATAACCTCCCCTACCATTACACGCATATGGAGTCGTTAAGGATATCCGAGTCACCGAGACTCGACACTCTACCTACCGACATCCTCCTGATCGTGCTTTCATACTTGGATACTGCCCGGAGCATAGGCCGGCTCGCGTCAACCTCCCGCGGGTTGAATCAGCTGGTGCTGAGCAGCGGGTGGCGCATCTTCGTCACGACCTGCTTCAGGAGCATCTCACTTCCGCCAACCAACTCTGAGGAGGCCTGGAAGGGGCTTGCGAGGTCTTTGACGGCGCAGTCCCGGGATTGGGATAGGCGTGCTTTCGTCTTCCACTCTCTTTCGCCACCAGAGAAGCGTCAGCCAAATGGACGGAGATACCATCACCCTAACCTTCAGTCAATACCCGGCAATATCATCGTGGATGCTCACGCATGGTGTCGAGGCGGAAGCGAACAGGAACTCGTGGTGTGGGGCGCCGGTGAAGACGTCATCGCTCGCCTGAGACAAAGGCATCATAGCAGCACCCATGGTCCTCAAGAAACATGGCAGAGCTACAAGGGCTCTCAGTCAGGTTACTCTGCTGGAAAGGACGACACGACGGCCATATCTATCCTGAGACGACCAGAATATAAAGATGAGGGTGTTCTCGTCGGCAGAGCTAACGGTGACCTACAATTACTATCAACGGACGGCGCAAGCTTCGGTCACACTGTCAAGCGCTTTTCGCCGTCATCGACGGCAGAACGTGCTATCGAGCAGAATGAAATCCAAACCCTCGATTTTCATTCCAGAAGGAGCATGCTTGCGGCTGGTACCAAGGAGAACGTTTTACTCTATTCGCTCGATGGACAAGCCAACCACGAAGAGTCCAATGCCGTCCATGACGGTCTAGACCCTACTATCGAGCCTACAGAGGCCATATCCCTCAAGACCGCGTCCGGCTCAGCACCATTCGAGTTCATCCGGTCTATGAAGTTCCTGAACCAAGAGACGTTGGCGGTTGCTTTGAACAGGAGCTTCAGCCCAATCCAGTACCTGACCATGACTCCAGCTGGTGTCGAGGTTTCCAGTTCTGCCAAACTGGCAGACGAGTATCCCTCCCTGAAGTCCCACCCTCGGACAGTACGATCACTTCTGCCGATAGATATCAGGTCGGTTGCCGGTGGTGGGGGCAATGCTCTCTTGAGCTCATGGGATGATGGCACAATCCGGCTTCAGGACCTTCGGACACCGTCAGCAGTCGACCGAATATACCAAGACAATTTCGAGGTTTCGACGCCCATCAACGCTCTAGTCTCGCACGGCCTTGAGAGGTTCGTTGCGGGGAGCGCCTACTCCCATATGCTGAAGATCTTCGATTTTCGCTGGTCCAAGGGGTATTACCAATCGGAGTCATTACCCTGTAGCAACGACCGCCCCTACCCTACTCCCAAGCCACCTACCATCGTCGCCGAACCTGATTTCTCCGATGACCGGCGGCACTGCCATTATGTGAAGGGCCGCCCGTGTCGGTGGCATGCTTTGTCGAGGCATGATTTCTACCGGCCCAACTGCAACGTCTATCTACCCTTCAAGAACTACGCTAGCTCGCCTATCTATTCGCTCGCCAAATCTTCAGACGCCTCTCCAACCATTTATGCCGGGCTGTCGGGGTTGCTCGTCGAGGTTACGCTGAAGAGCGGCATGGGGGAAGCCCCTCCGCAGTCCGCCACCGCTGCTTTGTACTCACGGCAAAGGGGCAAGGTCGCTATCCTTGAAACAGGTGACGGGTCCGCGATAACGGACATCAGTAAATGCCAGCGCGTACCTGAGATCCGACGTCAGTCTTTCAGTGGCGACTATACCGATAATCCTATGGCAAGGCGGCGGCACCGGCTTGACGAAGCACTTCAGAATTCCTCGGAACTGCCTATTGACGAACCCAACACATGATCTTAAGAGACCGGCATCATTGGACTATCATACACCTCGAAAGAAATAGATTGCCGATGCAGACAGTCGCTTGAACAGGCCTTTTTAGAGCCTGTGGATCAACCTATAAACCTAGAATGCGAAGCCGGAATTTCTCATCCATAGACATCAGAACCCAAACCTGGAAAATCGATACCCTCAAATTCACCACGATACACAGTGAAAACGCGCATGATATAGCACGAACACACCCACCGCTTTCTGCGCATCCCTCCCTTATCTACTCTTGTTCAAATTAGTCAAAGAAAGCCCACGTATCATTCGCCGCAAACGTTGTTGTAGCCTCTCTATCCATCGGCTGCGGCGTATGCTGCCCATCGAAAGTAACCCACGTAACGGGGTAGCAACAGCCCTCATATACCGTCTTAACATGCTCACCACTCCTGCTCCCGGTCGCCGTAATACGCGGTCGGGCCCTTCCCGCCATCGCACCCGGAGATCGGCCCGCCGCTCAGCACGGCTACGGCACGGGAGTGTTTCGCGCGGGCCCAGTCGATCGCGTAGGACATGACGGCGCCGTAGCTGAAGCCTGTGCTGCGGCGATGCGAGGTGTCGATGCAGAGCTCTGCCCCGAGGGCATTGCGGCCACTGCGGGGAGATGGGAGCCAATAATTGCATGGCTGTAGGTATTCAAGGGCCCCTGCCAGTTACATTATTTCAAGGATAAAACTGTACTTGCTGGGTGAGCTCAGCTCATCTTCATCCAGACACGAGCACGTGAAGGAGCCCTTGGAGGCGGGGCAGTGCCCGCTTCTCAAAGGTGGTTGTCACCTATTCTCGCAAGATACATCGACGTCATACACCCTCGGGACGGTACCATGAGTACAAACGCGTGAAATGGTCCCGAGGCCACCAAAGACAATGGAATCATTCCAACAGGATCGCTTGCCCAGCCCAAACCACTTCCGCATCCTAACGCTCCACCCCGGCATCACGACAGCACCCCTCCGCGGCAGCCTTGCAGTCCACGAGTTGACGGCGCCTCCCGCCTACGAAGCCATCAGCTACGCATGGGGGCCCACGACGCCCACCGCGTTGCTCGAATGCTCCGGGAGAGCCCTGCGTATCACGGGAAGCCTCGACACGGCCCTCAGAGCTTTCCGTTGGGGCGACAGGCCGCGGGAGCTGTGGATCGACCAGATCTGCATCAATCAGCACGACACCGACGAACGCTCGCAGCAGGTGCAGCGCATGCGGGACATCTACTCGCAGGCCAATCGGGTCCTTTCCTGGCTTGGGGAGGACGACGGCAGTGCTCGGGGTCCGCTCGCTAAGGACTTAATCGCCAAGATATGCGCCGTTGTGCGCCGTCACCAGGTCTACCGCGAGAAGAGGTTTCCTCCCGAGGAGTACCTACGCGTGCATGGGCTGCCGCTCTGGGATGATCCCTCCTGGTGTGCGATGGGCGACATGCTGCAGCTTCCTTACTTCAAGCGCGCCTGGGTCATACAGGAGATTGTCATGGCCAGAGAGGCGAGCCTGCTCTGGGGCGCCACGCAGATCAACTGGGAGTTGTTCAGGGTGGCTTTCTACTGGACGGCTCTCAGCTCTTGTGGTGCCCAGTACCTGGAAAATGGAAAGATGAGCCCGATGCTTGGCTTTCTCCCGTCACTGTATCGCGGGAGGCTTCGTCCCTCCACGTTGGAGGAGATCATGCTAACGGACGCGAGATGGTTCGAAGCCACGGACCCTAGAGACAAGGTGTATGCTCTGATTGGCCTTGCGGACGATGGAGGGGCTATCTCCGTGGATTACCGCAAATCTGCGGCTCAGGTCTATGCGGATGCTGCGAGATATGTGATCAGAGGCTCGCGAAGCCTCCGCGTGCTTTCTTTGGTAAATGCAATAAATACCGACCATATCGACTTCCCTACGTGGACCCCCCGATGGGATACTAGGTGTGATCGTGCCTACTTGTGGCTGAGGAAATTTACGGCTTCGGGCTCTTCCCAAGCGGTCCACGTGGAAGACGGTGCAAGCTGGAGAACTTTGACCCTTAAGGGAGTAAAGAAGGGAGTACTGCGACACATATGCAGTACTTCGGTCCCAAACCGATACAAGGGGGCCTCGCCTACATTATTGTTACTCAAAGAGCTCTTTGACGAGCTTTGTACCAAATCAGGTGCTGCGAGGAAGAGGTGCGACGGAAGTCTCTTAAACGTCTTTCTCAGGTGCCTGGTAATGGAACGAGATACCGAGGAAGCCGTCCCGACCGGCCTTTTGTTTGCGAAATTTATCAGCTGGGCTTGGACCAAGCTGGCTCAAGAGTGCACTAACATTTCGCGAGCGAGCGCTGCGCGCGCGCAGCGCAATGACTTCGCCGCATGCTACGCAGCTTTGGAGTTCATACAGCTGGCACTTGATACAAGTCCGTCTTTGTCCGACGCCCCCCCAGATGAATCAACTGTAGTTCAGGAAACTCAACATTGGGTGAGGGTGGTCGTTGATGCATTGGTCCTCGCCAGTGGTAATCCGTCCCTTAGGTCAGATCTGGGCGACTGCGTCATACGTATATGGTCGCGCCAACGATGTGATGATTTCAATGTCAAATTCGAAGTCGTTGGGTCGTACTTTGAAAGATTTTTCGTGGCAGAGAATGGGGAGATAGGGGTTGGGCCGGCATGCTTGCAGACAAACGATATCCTGTGTATTCTGTACGGTGGATCCACGCCATACATCCTGCGGCCGACCTCTACACCCGGGGAGTATCTATTCCTCGGTGAATGCTATGTCGCCGGTATCATGAACGGCGAACGGCTGGACGGAATTGACGTGGACACCACTGCTGAATGGTTCCATCTAAGATGAGCAATGTTCGACGCCGACGCCGGACTCCGGCTCGCAGAACCGGCGCAGAGGACACTCGATGTTATGCCCAATCGTTGGTGCGTCGTGACTCCCTAGCAGGCGGCTGTGCTGTCGTTTCGGTTCGCGCCTGAGGATGAGTGCGATATATATCAGTGAGCTTACTTGTATAATTTCCGGGACCATGAGAGACGAAGCTTGCTGGTAACAGAGGAAGTCATTCAGTGTCCACCTTGACTGATAGACCTTGACTTATAGGGAGGAAGGTGCAGTACCGGTATTTGAAGTACATGAAAGGGAATACCTGCACTCCGCGCCTACCAGTCACGTCTTATCTCCTGGCTTTCACTTGCCCTACGAGCCTACGTTGTGTAGGTCGTAGATTCCGCGTGGCACGAGCGAGCTACGCAGCACCTGCAAAATGAGCATTTGCAGGGGCAATGAAGTACTCCCCCATCACTCTCATCGAGCCTCGAGCCTCGAGCCTCGAGCTTCTTCTTACAACAATAGCCTTCTAGCCTATGCTGCACTTAACGAGACAAGAACGTCAAGGAACTCAAGCCCCCAAATATAAACTTCACCATCACAATCAGGTGTATCTTCAGCTTCAGTTCTATCTCCCTCCCAAGGCATACCAGGCAACCTCAATACGTCATCGCAATGGCCACTCATCCCTATCTCTCCAACATCTCGCCTGAGAAGGAGATCAGTGTGGTTGACTTGCTCCGCCAAAGGTTTCGAGCATCTCCACCGGCCATCTCCCCGGCCGATGTCGACCTCAGCGGCAAGACAGCCATCATCACTGGGGGTAGCTCTGGACTCGGCTTCCACTGTGGCACCGAACTCTTCAAGCTTGGTCTCGACCGCTTGATCATCACCTGCATCGCCGGGGACGAAGCCAAGCTGAAAGCGGCAGAGGTTGCCTTGACCTTGACCATCGGCAAGTCGATTGGAACCACCACTGAGGTCTGGCCTCTCGATCTGTCCAATTACGACTCCATCACCTCCTTCGTCGACCGCGTCAAGACCCTCGACCGCATTCATTATATCATCCTGAACTCCGATGCTGTAAACTCCGACTTCGAGCAGAATGCAAGCACCAAGCACGAGAATATGCTCCAGGTCAACTACATATCCAATGCCTTGCTTTGCATACTCCTCCTCCCAATCCTCAGGGAGAAGAAGGACGGAACGCCGACCCGAGTCGTCTGGGTCACGGCCGACAGCCGGGCCTCTTTCAAAGAGGATTTCACGACGCCTATCTTCGCCGCGCTCGATGAGCAGCCGGTCAGATGGGACTTTGCACAGCGATACGCCATGACAAAACTACTCTGTCAGCTATTCATCGTCGAGCTCACCAAGCGTGTCCCTCCGTCCGTGGCCGTCGTCACGGCCGTCAATCCCGGGTTGTGCCGGGGGACGAACCTGTATCGCGCGATGAAGGGAATACCCGGCATCATGAAAGCCATAACGAACCGGATCGTCAGTCGCTCGTCAAAAGTCGGGGCCCGCGAATTGACAGATGCCGCGGTAAAGCATGGCGAAGAGCTGCATGGACAGTACCTCATGCACTGCAAGCTGAAGCCGTGAGTCTCGCCACGTCTGCCTCGCATCTTGCCGTATAGCCCGCGTCGTCGGAGTCTGCTCACTGACTGAACTAGGATGGCGCCACTCACGAACACGCCCGACGGGGCTGAGCTATCGGACATGCTTTGGGTCGAGCTGATCCAGGAACTGGCACCATTTGATGCGGGAAAGGCCGTCGCCGAGATGGGCGTTTAGAAAGCAGACGTCATGGTGTCGGGAAAAGCTACCGGGGCAGGAGAGTCCTCCGGGGCACGAGACGGAGTCTTTCTCGTGGGTGATTCAAGTTAAGAATGCATGGGCGTACTATCATTGTCAATGAAGGCCATGGTCAATTTTCCCCAAGACGTTTTTTCGTCTGAGCGTTTACATTCGTCTACCCGGTGAGCCCCTATTAGGTAGGGCTAGGGCAGGGAACGCCGGATTTTGATTTGTACAGAGCTATGGACGACACATAGCTGTTGGACTATCCACCAAAGCGATTACACTACCAGTACGGTTCTATTCATGCCCTTGGTCTGTAAATGCTCCAGTCAGAACCGCTTCTGTCTCGTGTGACTCCCAACGGCGGAGACAGCTCTGGACCAGGCCCTGTGGCGCTTGGCGTACAGGCTTCGAACTGTGGACAAGCTACACCCTCTCACAAGGCGGATCGACTTACCGGCCATCACACGGGGCCGGGGTGCGGGCGGGTTTGAACGACCCAAGACCAAAGTCCAGGTGGTAGCACGCATGCTACCCCCAGTGCAACGGCCCTTATTAATGCCACCAAGATTCACGAGGGACTGCAGGGCCGACCCAATAAGGGGTCAAACTAAAGAGCAGGCGGCAGAGCCCTTCAAAGCATGGTTTCAAACACTGTCCCCAGAGGATGTGGTGGTCTTTTCGGACGGATCAAAGGACAGAACATACATAGGATACGGCTATGCGGTTTACCAAGGCGGGCAACTCCTCGCCTCAAATAAGGGCCGCCTACACCCGTGCTTCATCGTATTCAATGCGGAGGTAGTAGGAGCCTGGAAAGGGCTCTAGTACGTGACCAAGGCCCCTCCAGAGCTGAGCCAGCGCCGGATCTGGGTATGCGTGGATAACACAGGAGCGATCTGGGGGCTCCGCAGCAACGCCGCGGTCTCCTGCCAATAGGCCTACCTAAAGTTCCACGCTGCGGCGGAGATCCGGGACATCACTGTTAAATGGTGTCCTGGCCACTGTGACATAAAAGGCAACGAGCTTGCAGACAGGCTGGCCAAGGCTGGCTCCAAGCTGCCTGACATCGACGATGACTGTACGCCCACAGCTTACGGCATCAAGTCCATGGCGAATAAAAGGAGCTACAGCTCGTAAGAAATGGTGGGACAAGGCGCAAACAACACTGTCGTCTTGCTACAACGACTGGAACCTTGGTTATCATCTGCGCTGTCACGAGGAGCTACAGGTGCTTACAAGGCCAGCATTACATCATTATCTCGCTACCCGTACAGGGCACGGTGACTTTGCCTGGTATCATGACAAGTTTGGACGCCCAGACGCTATCCGCGAATGTTCTTGCGGGAGAGAAAAAGCCCCGGAGCACATCGTCCACTGCCAGAAATCCATCAAGCAGTTCAAGAAATGGCCCCCATGCCCCTCCCGGCGACCTACCAGACCAGAATGACAGCGCTACTTGCATAAAATTATAGACACTCCTACAGGTTACTATGAATTACTTATGGCCACAAAATTATATAGTGACATCTGCCCTTGTTATTGAGAGTAATAGGTTTTCTTTTTGTTTGGGCGGCGTCCGGGGGATCTACTTTAAATCTCTTTCCTTTATGGTGCACTTCCATATGAAACAGGAGCACCAACTCCGCAGAACTTACCTTGCAGTGCGAATCAAGCTATTTAATTTTGGGGATATGCTATGAAACTAAGCATTGGGAACGACGTCGGCACCATCCCTCACCCGGAGGAGGGGGGACACGATGGGAACCGCTGTTTAAATACAGTGGCTGTTTACGGACGAGACCTGCTAGCTGGGCAGCTGTATGTATATAGTATAAGACCTAGCCTAGCACGCCCGCGCGCCCTTTTGGAGGCCCAGCGCCGCCGCTATGCGGCAGGCCCCCTTGCATTAAAAGTTACAACAACAACAACATTCTGTCTCGTGTGCGGTCTGCACTGCCATGCAACGGGAACATTTCCATTCAGCTCAGTTCAGTTCAGCCTCGCAGAGCAGACCAGTGCGGGTCATGTATACCAAGACGAGGAGAGATCAAATTCTCAGCTGTTGTCAATCTCACGCCGTTTGTAGTACGCATTTGGGTGCATTGATTGTTGACGATGAAGAGATCCCGTTCCTGGTGCCCAACTGAACTGACAAATTTTACAGCCTGTAACGATAACCCCTTTTCCGGGTAGACCATTTTACGACCAGTACCACCCCGTAAGCGGTCGATTCACGTGCCCAACATGACCATTGAGACCTGCCATGATACGTGACACAGGGGAATGGAGGTAAGGCATTTGTTCCTCATAATATCATCTGGTCAACTCGGCCTTCATCGTCGCCGTGAAGCATTTCGTCAACTTCACCTCGAACCCAGGTTCATCCTTGACGCATACCGACTCTACGACGTGATGGGCATGATAGCCGGATAAGAGCATCCGGAAAGTCGGTCAGGCGGATGGGTAACACTCCCAGAGTATCTCGTGGAACTGTGCTGCCTCCTCGGCTGAGAAAGGCGTGCGCTGAAGATGGCATCGTAATCCCCCAATTGGTCTTTCCCTGGACACAATATCCAACAAACACCATGAAACCTCACACCCCTTTACGGTGGTGGCGCGGTGAAATATATACCGGTACACCGGTGGCTTCGGTGAGGGCTGTGCTGAGCCTCATCGAGTAGGTGCAAATGACGCAGGTTGTCAGAAGGCAAACCATATGGGGGGTGGCAGGGGGATAATGACCTGTTGTTCTGCAGAGAGGCGCAGTACTAATCAAGCGTGAAAGCCATGTATACCTATATACAGATGGTTCCTTTGTTCCCTGTCTGCTTCCTGACACAGGTGGCTTGGTCGTGCGCGAAGATCTTCAGATCTTGGTGAGACCAGCGTAAACAGCTGGAGATGGCACCGGATCCAACGAGAACCTGGTAAGGACGAACGAGTTCAGCTGCTCTCTTGCGCCTACCATATGTAGTGGTTATGTTAGATATATGAGCGACCCCATGCGTCGGCATCTTATAAAGGGGCTCCCCCCCTTCCCCAGCCACTGGTACCGGTCGTCCATCTGCATTACATAACTTACCTCGCCGCATCACCCACCATGGCCGACGCCAGTTTCCCCTTCAACGCCTACCTAACCAACGTAGTCCAGCTGCTCGACGCGATCCAGCACAAAGACACGAGCTACACCCACGCCGAGCGCGCCCACCGCCTGCGCCACGCCTACAGCGCCGGGGCACAACACTTCGCGCAGTCGCGCGTCCAGGCCGCCCTGGCGACCAGCTCGACCACCAGCCCGCAGCGGCTCGAGGCCGCGCTGCGCACCACGGCGCGGATGGTGGTGTGTGCATGGGTCGACATCAACCCGGACCTGCAGGCCGTCCTGACCATCTTCTGGACGTACCAGACGGTGCTGGACGACGCCACCGCCGCCGACCCGCGCAGCGTCATGGGAACGTTTGTCCAGGATCTGGTTTCGGGCACGGAGCAGAAGTCCCCCTGGTGGAGGCTGGTGAATGCGTATATGCCCGTCCTGCTGGAGCACTATGGGCCGTTCTGCTCTCTGAATATCTATCGGGGCGTGGTGGACTGTAAGTTAGGGGTTTCCAATTCTCATATCAAATATCAAATATCGACGAACTCTTTTCCTTCTTCGCAGGTGTTCATCGTGCCATACGTACGATACCTAGCCTTTATGTCGTGGCGATCTCGTCACGATCCAAACAACGACCGCAAAACCGACTAACTCCACACGCACAACAGACTTCCAAGGCTGCTGGATCGAGCAGCACAACATCCAGGGCTACCCCGGCTCCAGCGAATTCCCCGACTTCCAACGCCGGCTCAGCGGCCTCGGGCCGTCTGTCTCCGGCACGCTATTCCCCAAGGCCAGCTTCGACGAACAGCGGCTCATGGCCGAGATCGCAGTCGCCACCAGCACCATCGACGTCTACCTGGCGCAGGTCAACGACCTGTTCTCCTTCTACAAGGAGTTCGACATCGCGCACGACCAGACCGGGCTCGTCAACAACTACTGCCACGTCGACGGCCTCGGCCGCGAGGCGGCCCTCGGGAGGCTCACGCGCAACGTGGTCCGCGTCGCGCGGCAGATGCTGGCCGTGTTCGGGACCCTGACGGGCTTCATGCATGGGTACGTGACGTGGTACTTTCTCGACGAGCGGTACAGGATGAGCGAGGTCTACCAGCGGGCGGGGAACGACGACGACGATGCCGTGGGCTTGGCGTTTCGCCGCTACTATGAGGCGGCTTGGGAGGACGCGCACGTCTATCTGGCCGAGTGGGCGGAGCCGAGCTTGACGTCCCTCTTGATGGGGCCTGACTCTGCCGGATATACATAAGGTAGGGATCATTTAACTGTCAACTATATTTCTATGATACTTAGTTGCTATATCTTTTTGACCGTAACGAAGACTTACTGTACCGTTCCGTGAGTGGTGCCCTCCTTTCATCAGCAACTCTACAGGGCTCTAGAGGAGCAGAGGGGCTACCCCTATTCAATTACAACCCCCATCAATGCCCGAGCAACATGCTCCAAGCCAATGTCGAACGGAGCCATTCAGACCAGAATTGGGGCCGATGTTACCTATGCACTTGTGGCAAAACATGTTCATCAAACCAGAGCAAGCGTCTTGCCGGCCATACTTCTGTTGGCCAGGTAGCTAGACCAGCACCCGGACAGGCATCAACCCAAGCCAGCAACGTGTTTCTTTATCTAGCCCAAAACAGAATCTACACGGTTGGTAAGGAGTGTGGCAGGAAGCTATGCAAAGTATGGTCTACTACTAGACTGATCGTGTCTGTGTTCTTCTTCTTTCTTTTTCTTTTTCTCCCCCTTGTGTCGACGTTTTATCGAATGACTGTCGTTACTCTGTAGGCTGCTGTGATCTAGAAGCAAACTTGGCGAAAAAACAAGTCTCGGCCCAAGCACCATCCTGCGGTTCCCCCATCGAAGATGAAAGGAAAGGCAGCATGCAGAAGATACCGAATAAAAAAGCAACAACAGACGCTCACTTCTCACCACACCAACAATCAGGTTATCACGATATTACCTCGTCCTTGGCACTCTCCACCTCTTTCACCTCATCATCCCCCGGTTTCTTCTGAACCGTCTCCTCCAAGATAGATTCACCGGCCATATTGGTGACAAGCGATTTCGTCTCCTCGACCGTATCTTTATCTGCGCTCTTCTCGTTGGGCTTGGGTTCAGTTGATTCTGATTCGTTTTGCAGCTTCTTGCTTTCCGATCCTTCGTTCTTGATCTCAGTAGGCTTAGCTTCTGTCTCGTCCGCAGTCTCGGGCTGTTGTTCCTCAGGATGAATCTCTTCAACCTTGGACTGGAGTACCGGTTTCGACTCTGCTTCCGGACCAAAGTCGTCTACCGAGACAGTGCCTTCCTCATCAATACTAAACAGTGTACGGGTCATTGAGAAACTGAGAACAGGCTTGCCGCCAGACACGGTTGGCAGAGTGGAACCGTCCGTGCCAGGGTTGGGACTCTTGCTCTTGGTCGGGGCTCTTCGCTGAGGGCCTCGGGCACGACCTTTCCTTGCGTCAGGTAAAGGTGTCTTCTCCTTCTCCTTGGGAGCCTCTTGTTCAGTCGTCTCTTCTTTCTTGGGAGCTTGAGGACCCAGACGCAGACGATTGTTAAGGTCGGACATGAAGCCGGCTTGGAGCGCGGCGATCTTACCACCCACGGGTCTTGCCGGCACCGCCGGCTTCTGCTTGGTAGCCGCCTCGGGTTCCTGAGACTGTGAGGCTGGCTTCGAAGGCCGGGGCTTTGGGCGTCCAGGAACGATGGGCTTCGATGTAGCGTCGTCGCCGGATCCCTGCTTCTTAGGACGAGTGGGAATTGTGGGCTTGTTAGTGCTAGTAGCAGGATCTACCGTGAGCTTTGCCGCCTCTCCAGCTTGCGAGTCGTCGGTAGACTGCGGAGTGGAAACCGTGGTCGTGAACTGGAGGGAGTCGGGCGTATCTTCCCAGACGTCTCGACTAGGGAATCGATTCGCCGTGTTGGGTCGACTTTGCATCTCCTTGGAGAGATGTGGCTGGTGTGATGCCCAGGACGTTGGCCTCTGTTGCCGGTGCAAGAAGCTGTCGGGACCGAGAGCTTCCTTCTCAGCCAGTTCCTCTTGTCTCCGGGCGAACGCTTGAGCAGGGGTCTCGCCGTCCCTCGGCGGGACATCGGGGACGGCACCAAAAGACCTCGAACGAGTCCCAGTTGGTTCCGGGGTCGAGACTTCGGCAGTGCTGTGTACGCTGTTAGGGGCATCTTCCCAAATATCCTGACTGGGAAATCTTCGGCGTTGGTCCTTCGACTTTTCAGCCTCCGTCGTCTGCTTCTTTCCACTCTTCTCATCCTCGGGGAAAAGTGGTTCGTATTCTTCCACATCTGCCAGTGGTGTAGACAGCATATCTGCCGGGGGAGGACTGTAGATACTACCAGGTCGACTCGTGGGCCGGCTTCTAGGCTCCTCCATCTCATGTGTGCTTCCGTGTCGTTCCCGAGTAGGTGCCACTGCTGGTTGAAGTTCGTATGGAGTAGGGTCCTTGGCAACCTCATCGGAGGCCAAGACCGGGTGGAATTGATCCTCTTCAGCATCATAGCCGTCGGCCGAGTCTTCGTTTCCATACTTGACAAATGCCTTCCGACGACCTGGTTCATCGACGTGAATAACATCATCGTCATCTTGGTCCATGGCGCCGGTGTCTTCAACATCGATGTCAGGCACGGAGAAGCTAGACTTGCGGGGTGACGTGATCGGAGCCGTGGACGGCGGCCGAGACATGCGCGATGTGTATTCCTCGGACGCTTGGAACCCGACTTGTTCACTGGGAATTCCAACATAGTCCGTAGAGGTACCTGAATTGCTTGGTTAGAAACACTCCAAAGTTATGTGGCGGTTTGCTTTACCGAAACCAGCACCACGGCTGGCGGTGTCTCGGACGATCTTGTTCAGATCCTCACTACTCATGGAGTAGTCTTTGACACGGTCATGGAGATGGTTGTAGTGCTCCCTCTGTCGCAGATCAGGGTGCTTCTCGTAGTAAGCCTTCTCAAGCTTGTCGCTGGATGCGACACCATGGCCGTGAAGACCGTAGCTGCCAGGCGGAAGCTCGTTGAAGCCACGAGAGCTCGATTTGCGAACATGGTGGCGACTCGTAGACCTGGCAGTGCTGTCGACACTCGAAGCTCGAGGTGGGGCGGGCGAGGGAGCCTGGACGTCACCAGCAAAGGCGAGCATAGGAACTCGCTGCCCAATTTCGGGGATGCCGTGGTCTTCTTCGTGGTTCTCACTGTGGTGGGAAAGCTGACTTGTAGTACTAGCCTTCTTCTTCAAGCTTCGGCTGCTCGAGTGAGGAGGTTCTTCAGTGCTAGGACGTCCAATGCCGAAAGTAGCAGCCCTGTCAGAGTCGGTACGGGTGACAGCGGCGACTCGCTGCTTGGCACTTGCAGCGGGCATGGTGGGTTTCGGGGCGTGCAGCTTGACGTCCTCGCCGACAGTTCGAGTCTGCTCAGGAGATCCAGCCGGTCGACGGCTCTCGTCAGGAGACGAGCTCATCTCCTCGAGGGCCGCAGCATATTCCTGGCCCTCTTCGCCCACGTTGGGCATGCCGACGCTCGTAGCACGTTCTATGGAATCGCCGAGATGGCTCTGGCCGGGTCGAGGGCTCTTTGGCGTGAACGGGCTCTCGTTGAGCGGCGAGGGAGCGAAGCGATCGGGATTGGGCGAGATGGAGCGGTTGAAGCGCTTCGAGGGACGGGGAGGAATTGAAGGCCCCGAAGAGCCCTCGCTCTTGTCCTGATTCCTCGAAGGACGAGGCGGGATAGCTGGAGTCGATTGCATGGTGGCAGCAGATGTAATAGGTGCAAAGAAAGAAAAAGTTCAGTCGTTGTTAGCTGAGGTGCTCGAGAGTTTTTCGATTTGTATGGGGCCGGTGGCAGTACGACCTAAAGCGATTGACAGCGCAGGTCAGCTACTGTTTCAATTAGTCAACGAGTCAGGACAGGGCCAATTGCAATGACTGCAATGGGGATTTTGGTGAACTAATGATGACGAGGGTTGATGTGACGACGAAACCGTTTTGCGTGTAGCTCCCAAACTTCATAAAAGAGAGTCACGGTCAGGGGAACTGGGCAGTGAGTGGCAGTGCTCGACACAAAATCCACCGTCCAAGTTGCAAGCTGCGAGATACAAGTGTTCCAGGCAATACATACCGCATTAAATGCCAGTAAGGCCTCTGAAATTGTTCTGGTTGTATGTACTGGTTTATCGAGCTAACGCGGCGCCGGTGCCTGACGATTCGTGGTAGTCGCTCGTGTTTCGTCTCTTTTTGTTGTGTGGTTATCTCGATAGCCGGGGTGGTTCCCCTGGGAGCTCTGGCCTCGTTAGCTGAGTTCCGGGCAAGCGGTGAAGAGATAAAGTAAAGATCAATCTCGTACTGTGCACGCTCAAGGAATGATAATGATAAGCTCGACAATTGAGTCGTCAAGAAAGGCAGAGAGATAAAGAAGAGAGGGGTCGATTGGCGGCTTGGGTTCCTGTGAAGGTTCCAGACAACGGAAACGGCCAAGGCGGTGTCACCGAAGCTCAGTTGGTAGCTTCAAAGCAGATGCAATGGCCGTTGGAAAGAATGTGTGTGTGTGCAGGGCCAACGGGTGAGTAAATGCTCAATGCTCAATGCTCAGCTTCGCGTCAGCCCTACGCTGGCCATGATGAGAGGGATATCCGGCGGTCCAGGAACATGACTGACTTTTTGAAAAAAGGGGACGAGGTTGAGTTCGAAGCGGTTCAAGTTTAAACGAGGGACGACCCAAAACAGAGCAAGAAGCCGCAGAGATGGCGGATGGAGGATGGAGGGGTCGTGTTGGGGTTGGGGTTGGACAGGAACAAAGAGCTGCCCGCATTGACTTTCGGCCACTTACACGTTTGCTATGTTCGGTGTTGGGTTGGTGCCGTTACAGCCAACTTTGTTTATTCCAAGAACGAGGTTGATCGTTGATGCTGTTCTTCTCGATATTGATGCTGTTGGTGTTTGTTGGTTGATTTCGAATGAAGATGGGAAAAGGGAGATGGGATCAGAGCAAGGTGGTGGGAGTATTCTGGGTTTAGCTCGTTTGAAGCTGTATGATGGAATTAGGTAAAAAATGACAGTTGGGATCACGATGATGAAACCACGAGGGCCTCAGCTGACTTTCATACAGTAATACTGCAGGCGGTACTACGGGTTTGCATACTCGGCTCTTTCTGCTCTCGATGGGCATGGAACCTGTCCTGATTTTCTAGTACTGTAGCTACCGGCAACCTTCTCCGACAGAGCAAGGATCTCTGAAGCTGGCCCAACGAGAAGTCACGATGAGCTGCAGCGCGGTGTACTGTCAAGGTACTGAAAGCCGGGCCAGGATGTATTTCGTCTTGTTCCTGGCGGTAGGGTGTCATACAATAGAGCTTCAAAGCATCGTGATCGATCTGCAAGCCGGAGCTACCCAGCTATCGATAAGCATCGCCAAGGTGGTACAATTGGGGTACGCATGATGCCCCTGGCAAGTCGACGGGCGGTCTGGAGGTCGGACTGGCCAATGATGACGCCGCAATGGCCAGCGCTGGAGTCCACTGGACCTCGTCAGCAGGCGGGCAGGCGGGGATCCCTCGGCGCCCATTCTAGCGTCTGCACGCACGCAAGCGTGGCTGTGGCTGCCATGGAGTCCATGGCATGGACTGCATGGCGGTCGTCGTCAACTTGTCAACTTGCATCTCTGGTTGATGCAGGTGATGATGACTGTCAACTTCATGTTTTCGGTTCTCATGAATGTGGTGTCTTCACCTGCTCTATCGCCTTTCTAGTGCCAGTGACGATCTGGTTCAGATCCAAATCTCGAGGTGGTCACTGCCTGTCTGGTCCGAGTTGTGAGTTATTTGACCAATGCCAACGACCAACGGCCATCGGCCAACCTCAAGCCATCATCAGCCTCATCCGACACCATCGACACTTGTACCATCTCCACACCCCCAGGACTATTCCGTTTCTGCAATACGGTCAGCAGACCGACAAACTGCGCTTTGGATAATCCGAACTCTGAGCCCAACACTCAAAAAAACGTGCAACTGAGATGCTCGTTACTCTCGGAAGCTGCGGTTCATAACTTCCCGAGTCCCGGGTCGAGACCGCCTGTGTGGGTATTCTATCGAGTAAACAATGATGCGCAGAAATGCGGCCGGCCGCTCTAAAGACAAAAGAAGGCGACACGCCCTGGAATAGTGGGCTTCCTGTGGCGCCTTTATGCATCATGACGGTCACATTTCTTTCGTCTCCAATTCCATCCCCACAGCAGAAACCGGCGGCCGCCAGTCGGGGCAACCGGTGCACTTGATCCCTGCCGTTGCCAAGCGGCCAAGTTGGGCAAGTCTCGTGGACATTTTTGAGGTCGATGCACTGTGACCATGGGCACAAGGGGGAAGAACACGATGTGAGGAAACCCGCAAAGTGGCAGACAAGACGTCGGGTGAAAGGGGATAGTCATGAAAAGCATCTCTACTTCGATATAGCAATACAGCTGCCGACGAGATGCGAGTTCCTGGGACCTGGAAGCTCTCCCGGTAAATGACGGCATTACGGAAGAGGAGTGCGGCGGACCTTTCCCCACGATTCATTCTGGTCACTCAGGTTTTGGCCTTGGCACGCTCCCCTGATGACCTAACTGGGCTCTACAGTATGGAGCCAGGAGAACAGAAGGACGAGGGAAATGGGGACAGAGTACCGCAACGAGTTGCCTCTTATGAGCTAGGCCAAACTGTTTACCTTTATTAGCGGAGGGTTTACCTCTAGTTCTTGTTATCATGAATGTTGGACAGGACAGTACGGAAGTAACTCGAGCCTCGAGTTGCTTCGTCAGTATCAGAAACCAAGAGAGAGAAAGCCGTCGATTGAGTTCAGACATGTCGAGACCCGAAGGTTCGACATTCGACGTTCTAGATCATACAGGCCGGGAAGCTCCTTATACCCGTGTTAGGTACTTTATACTCTTCCTACTTGTACTGGACCTCTGGTCCCACCATAACTGAGTGACCTGTGGTCGCAAGTCACAAAACAAGATAACTCGATACCCGTGTCACACGATCGATGTTTCGAGCCTGCCGAGAGAAATCAAAGAAAAGAGTCCCTCGGCTGTAACTGTTCGGGTTGCCTTATTCGACCGGCTGCAGGCACGATCGCCGAGCGGGAGCAGTGGACTTCGGGATCTAAGGATACAGTTAAGGTATAGTTGGGTGACTGACGCCGCCTGCATGAAGCTGGTCCTGTCGTAAGTTATAATGCTGCACGTTGGCTGTAGGTCAGCAATTCCTGGTCCCCGGAATGTTGATGTTAGAACCAAGTCTATTGGGTACAGAGGCAACTCAGGAATCGAAGGGGTCGTACTACGTTCAATTTCATTTTGGGGCATTCCCTAGCCATTGCTTCATCTTCAACACCTATACTCTGCTCTTCCCAGCCTAGGCAAAGTGGGTGAACGTTTGCGTACGATACTCCCTGTATCTACCTCCTTTCCAGACACAATCAGATCTCTTGCGGTCATGTGTTGATTGTAGCGGAGAATTGGCCGCAGATGTTTCGTAGAAAATCAACTTGATTCAAAAACTCAAGGTATCTCCCGAGCCAGACGCATGGCATGAACATAACAATACGACACTCCAGGCGCAGGTCGATCCGTCCTGCCACGTACAATGGTCCGATACGCCATAAACCCCGGACCTGAAAGAAATGCTAAACCATCATTTTCCTCTTCCTCCTTCCGTGTCTCCTTTTCTGCTTTGCTTCGCTTCACAGCAGCTTGTACCCCTCGGCCCAACTCCCAGCGCCGCCATGTCGTCCATGGAATGGTTTTTCTTACAGCCAATATCGCTCTCCGAGCTGAGTATCGGGTGCTTTCCGTTGGTTTCGTCGAGCCGGTTATACGATCATCTGAGCAACGCCTTGGCCACCTAGAGTCTTGCTCCCAACGAAAGCCTGGCCCTTGACGCCGGCCAATGCGTAGCACGCGGCCGTCAGCGTCAGGACTACGGCAGCGGCGATCAAGCTGCTGGTGTGCACGAGGATGCTGAGCCACTGGACAAGGGCCATGACACCGTAGGCGGCGGCACGCATGTAGTTGGACGAGACCTTACGGATAGCGGCATCGAAAGAAGAGGACGTCGGGCAAATTCGGAGCAGGAGCGGGACCTCAACGAAGAGGATGACGAAGAACGAGACACTGTTGGGGCAGACGCTAGTTAGACCTCGTCTTCGAGTGCGGGATGGCTGGTTGCGATGGAGAGCAGACTTACAGGGCAAGGATGGCGAAGATGATGAGGAGAGGCTTGAACAGGTTGAAGAAGTTGGCAATGCCTAGCGCAAAGCATAGAATCATGGACAGGATTCCGAGCCTATAGTTGTAAACGTCGTGTTAGCTCCCGATGTGTAGATATTGATAAGCCATCGAGACTGGCAGATTTCGCATTCGCTCCAACCCCAGTGTAGACAGCCGGATAGGCAAGATCGCCTCACGAAGAATCTCGAGCAAGGTGGCAAGGAGGATAGGGCAGCAGAGAAGCCCAGCGAGGCTTACCATTGTCCGTAGATACCTTGTATGATGATTAGCTCCTGCATCTTCCCATCGCAGTCGCAAAGCGAAGCACGCCGCTTGCAGCAGTGGTAGGTGACTTACTGAAGTTCCTCGTCGCGAACTCGTCCTTGATAGACATGTTGTCTGGTTATTTCGGCGTATTTGCGTGGTGTAATGTAGAAGTGCTTATGATGGCGGCGGCAGAAACGGAACAGAGACAGCTATCAATGCGCGGAGGGCGGGCAGGACGTGTTGGAAGGGATATTCGGGTGTGGTGTCGTTTCGTAGAGGTGCTTCGTAAGGGTGTGTCACGGTATGTTTTGAATGGGATGTTATTGCGTTGGTTGGCTCTGGGACGGAACTTGGAAGGACAAAGAAGCTGATGTTATTTTGGAGCACTTGAGGTTGATGAGGCTAGTGTACTGTAAAGTGTCCTGAGTCTATTTGCAGTTCAATTGGGAAGCAGAGCTCGGGTGGATCCCCAGCCATTGGATCCATCCATCTTTCTTCAGCCTGGAATTCGCAGCCATGTCCCTTGGGCCGACGGCAGGAAACACGCAAGCGCTTGGCCGCAGCAGCCAGCAGCTCTTGCCCTCGGGTGCTTGCGCAGGGGCCACCAATGAAACAGCCTGTTCAAGAACTCCGACTCCGCTGCCTGTCTCACATTCAATGTTTCTTGCACCTGCCATCTACCTTCGGCACCATCAACCACCTGCCAAAGCATTGAATCGCAAAAGATTCTCGAAACACCAAGACAGCTGGAGTCATTGGTCACTACCGCAAAGCAGTTTTTAGGCACCTGATATATCCTCAGTTTTCCACGGTTGCCAAGATGGTAGATTACGCACAGGGTGACGCAACAACATCCTCTGCCTATCTACATAGCTACAGTAGGCTCTCTTACGTTAGCGCAAATCTGACTCATTGACAATGGAATCATATACGGCACATATCTGCTTTGCTCAGAACACTTGATTTATGAAGCCTAGAAGTGGTACTGAAAGACACTATGTAGCCCTGTTGCCGGCTCTTATTTAGTACTCAGACATATGCCCTGGGTATGGTTTAAAACTGCCTCATTATGTGTTTATTTTATGTTTTGAATAGGTATATTACGGGGTTTATAACGGTTGTTGGTCGACTACTAATTAAATTAATCCAGGGCTAAACATCTCACCGTTAGTCGGAGCGCCGGCGCCGACGCTGACGCCGATAACAATCGCCAGCCGATCCATTCGATATACCGTGTCGTACCAACAACGATCTTTTAACCCAGCCTTCTGATTTCAACGTTAAATTGTCGCTATAAATCCGAACTATAGCCTTTAATACACGGTACTTTTTGTAATCTACGCAGCTTAATAATCTATTACTTAATACCGTTGTATAATTTATAAGTGTTGGATGTGGTGGCTCATGGTGTATGTTGAAGGTAGTCTGTGTGTGGGGATCAGAGTGGTCCAAGCGCCATGAAAACGGTCGACTAGCGACCGTTGCTCCACTGCTCAGCTGCTATTCGAGTGGGACGCGCTAGGTGTGTATTTTTATATAAAACCGTCCGCCCTAGGTAGTAGTAGAACACTTAGAAAAACTACAAACAAATAAACAGTATTCCGCACAACAAAGTTTGACAATTAGTTTAGATTTGTTTAATATCTTTATATAGTACGGTTGATATATTTACGTTTTATTTTTAATATTTTAGGTTTAAATCTTTTTGTATTTTATTTTATAAAAGTTAAGCATATTAGCATTTTTTTCGTTTTAATCGGCCGGATTAACGGGTAAAAAATATTTAATATATTAATGTGACGAGCCGTCTAACCTATAAGGCTAAAGGGTTCTATAGGGTTTATGTTCTGAGGTAAGTCAACATAAAGAACAATAGAGGCTTCTTTCAACTAAAAGACACTCAGATACCGGGGCTTGGTCTGATCCAGGAAATCACTGAATAGTCGAGTTATAAGGAGATTCCTCCCACCTTAGAGTTGGCTAAGATGCTTAGATTGATCACTGAGGTAGAGACTGTCTATTTGTCTAGCTAGGAAATATACATTCTTATATATCCAATCTCTCCCTCACTGATTAGGTGGCTCACCCTGGAACACCGGTGATCTAAGGTGATCCAAATTCTTAGTCATGTGACCCAAATTCTGCTGGTCACGTGATCTGTGTACCGTTGCTCCGATTTCTTCACTGGTCGGCACCCCACTCACTGGTCAACCTGTTTCCAATCGTCTCCTCTTGGCCTGTTATCAGGCCGCACTGTTTGTTGATTCGTAACAATTAAGTATTAAAACGTACGTAATACGTAATTTAAATATATACGGGCTTATAAACTTACACTAAGATTTTAATTATTATTTAATCGTTTTATAAAATGTAATAATAAGAGATATATTTATAAAAATGTTTTCAATTATAGTTATTAAAGAAAAAAAAGAAAACGGCCGTTTTATACGCGTTAAAAAGGGTTTTTATTACGATCAGTTAAGCGTAAAGTTTAAGATTTTTTCGATATAACTTTAATAAGTCTTGTAGCAGAGTTTATAAGTTTTTAACGTAACGCGCCCTTAATAATCTTTTTAACTATCTGTGATAGATCAGCTATCTATCAGGTGACTTAGTGTTGAATACACGGATGTTGATTGATCATATTGCTTGTTTTGCTCTGCGTGCAGAGATTGATTATCTGTCTTCTTGGTGGGTCAGATGCCCTGTGCGTCTCTGCCCCATTAAAGATCTTCCGGTGTCTATCTCCGGCTCCCATTCAACACTTTGGTGGGGTAGACGCGTTGCCTTACTACACAGATTGATAGATAATTGTGGGTCGGGATTTGGGATCTATTACTCCACCAGAATTGGCTGGTGTTGCAGATCCTTCTTTCCTTCCTCACCAAAATATTTTTGTACAATTGAGGAAATTGATGGGCATTCTCGTCCTGTTTCCCAAGCTGCCCCGTGACACTATACGTTATTTCGTACCTTTTCCGCGCTATTAGCAGTGATTATTATAATCTACGAATATATTTAAAGTTATTTTATACGTTCATTTATGTCTTAAAATATTTTATATTAAATAAAGCAATAAGTGAAGCCTTTTAATATGTTTTTATAAAGGCTTTAACGGCATATATAAGCATGTAACGGCCTGAACGGCATGTGTAAGCAGTGAGGGAAATTAAAATTAAAATTAAAATTTAAGAGTTTTTTTTTGGTACTCAGACTCGGTCGGCCGCCGAGATCGCTGTCCAATCTCTAGGAGGAACGTCTTGTATAATGCATTGCAAGATATTGCCCCTGACCAACTTGACCACGGGCAGGGAGGCGACCGAGAACCATCAATATACGAAAGCTGTTGGATCCATGCGATTCCACATTCCAACCATCCATACCAAACCCACATGTATGATTAGATAAGAGATTAGATACCGGATTGTGAGGTCACTTAGCCAGACCTGGGAGTCCAGCTAGACCTCTCAAACAAAACCCATCAGCAACATCATGACTTTGACCCATACTCGAGTATTATGATTAATCGGTCAAGCCTGTTCCAACAAAAGCTATATTCAAGAGCTGATAAAGGAAGCCCCAGATTGTGTCCACCTGTCTTTATTCAGCTGCAAGCAAAACAAAACCCATCGGGTCAAGCATGTGGCGCTCCCCCTGAGAACCAGTACTCCGGCAACGACGTTTCGTGCGAAGGCCTTGGATGGCCCAAACCTGCACGCTTCTCGAATGTTTCTCTCTGCTCGACTCGGCCTGCCAATTCATCCGTGTATCCATTCGCCATCAACCTCAACTTCAACAGGCTGCTCACTTGAATGTATCTACTTGAATCCGCAAACTTCGAGCACTCAGAAACACCCGAAGCAACATCGATCAGGTTTGCGTGGATGAGCTTCATGGGATACAAGAGAGAAGAGTGGCCTGCTTCACTACTAACAAATGGACCCCCCGTAGGCGGCAATGTCCATGGCTACACCAACTGCAAAGGCGGCAAGAGAGAGCTCAGAGCTATCCGCATGACTTCATGTGGCAGATCTTTGAATTTGAGCACGTCTCCAGTGAAGTCTGAGCCGTCACCATCGACATCTTGAATGGGCGCAATGGACTTGGTGTGCAGTTTGCGAAAGCCAAGTTCCAAAACAGGCGTCTCGGGCAAGGTAGAGGGTCTCGAGATGGAGTTCATCGAGGAGGGTATCATAGCATTTGAGAAAATAGTGTGACAAAGTCATGTGCGTTGCTTCATTGATGAGAACAATTGGTATTCATTGCTATGATATGACAGACCTACGAGGTTTCAGCAAGAAAGATTTTCTGTTGGGGCTTAACCATATGGGCGACCACATAACATCCTGTCTGCCCTTGTTAAGGCCAGCTCGAGACCGCACGTGAGAATGATGTCCAATCGAGCGCCGAAGCACACCCACACATTGCACTGGACATCGGAGGCACGGCTGGACTCGAGCCAGAGGTTGTGCAGCCGTGGCCGTGATCTCAGCTTCAGACAGAGAAGCGCAACCTAGTTTCACCGTCAGCATTGAGGACTGTAACGGAGATGCAGTGACAGAATGGAGGATGTAGGTTGTGTAGTCAGACTGTTGAGCTTGATATATTGTTTGAATCAACATGAAAATTCAGTTGGCCGTTCTTAAGGGCAGAAGTTATGTCATCATAGAAAAGTGCAGAGTAGAACACTCGGCGCACGGGGCGAGGTTGCAAGAAGGAAAAGCTGGAACTCACACTTGCTGCGAACCCAGGACGTGTCACTGATTGCCTGGTGTCATTGGCATGAAGCGTATCTGGCGTGTCTGGAGCAGAAATATTCAGGTTGTGGGAAGAGAAGTGAATGTTGAAGGACAAAGAAAAAGGTGAATGGTTTTAAAAGCAACCAGTCCCGCTCAGAATTTGGATGTGGGCACTGATGACCTTGCGTCACGTGCGCCCCACCTTTTGCAGCTAAGTCGCTCACCTTACCGAAACGCAGCGTCCAAACCTCCGACTTCAATCTTCAACCACCCGACCCCATTGCGAGCCAGAGGGTCAACCAACTCGAGTCACCCGACTGACCCCAATCTCCACTCCAAGCGCCTCGGCAGCACAACACCCCCTCAAGCCAATCACCTCCCCTTCCTCCTGACTATCTACCCGAGGGAGACGGGAGCCATCACCAGATCAACGTCAAGTCGAGTCAACTCAATCTCCCGATCAATACCGAACAAACGTCGCCACACCACCGACGACAACTCCCAGGAGCAACCACTTCTGCCCAACAAACGACAAACTCGAGACCACCGAGACAGACAGACAGATAATCACCAACAATGCCCGCCGTCCGCCCCAGCACCGCCGTGCGAGCCACGCGCGCCGTCCAACAGACCACCGCCACCACCACCCCTCAAGTCCAAGCTGCCACCCGCAGCTTCAGCGCCAGCGCCCGCACGTCGGCGTCGCACGGCCCGCAGTACGACCCGCCGACGGGCTGGCTGTTCGGCGTCAAGCCCGGCGAGAAGTACCAGAAGGAGGGGTGGGAGACGCCGTTCTTCTACGGCTTCTGCGGCAGCCTGCTGCTGGCCGGCGTCGCCTACGGGTTTAAGCCTGATACCTCGTGAGTAGCCCCCCAAGACCTTACAGGTTTCCTTTCTGTTTTTCCCCTTACTTGCTTTCTGGGGCCATCTGAGCGGTGGTTGGGTCTGGTTTTGAGGAAGGATTGGAAGGAGGCAGAGGGAGGGAATGAGGAACGCAGGAAGGATGACGAGGAGGCGATGTGCGAGGGGAGGGTTATCAAAGTGACTCGGTGCCCCCGTGTGTTCGTTGTGATCATGGTTACGGATATCCACTCTACCACGCTGCCACTGGAACCCACAGAGGAAGAGCTGCTTCTCTCATTCGTTTGCCACTTGGTTATCGAAACACAGCTAACGCATTACATCATAGAATACAGACCTGGGCCCTCGAGGAGGCCCGACGGAGGTTAGAAGCCGAGGGCATCCTGGAGGATCCCCAGAAGAAGTAGATGTGGTGGACGTTGCCTCTTGATGACGGCGCTGCCACAGGGAATCAACCATCCATCCACCTTTGCTCTGTAGACGACGGAGTAGAAATGGGGATAAACATCACAATCACCAGAAAAGACCAAATAAACCTCTACTACATTACTGTACATGGCCGTCTATTATTCTCATCTGGAGGGTAAGGACGCTGGGTTAGAAGGAGCATCATAGCGGAGTGTTCTCCGACCGGTTAGAAGATGTTGCTACTGCAATTGACTTCCTTTTACTGTTCTCAACATGCCACATCCTGATCAGGGATAAATCTGTGAGGAATAGCTGTATCGAATCTCAATTTGGGAATCTCCCTGAAATAGAAAGGCTATGTACGCCCCTCTGCGCCGTCTCCCCACCGTCTTGTCTATATGATATGATATGAAGCCCTGACGTCTCGACTCGAGACGCGAATGCAAAAGACTCGCTTCGCCTATGCCCTCTCCCCCACCTCATAATCCTCTAGCAGACATGACTCCATTCGCTCTCCTCGTCTCCGTACTGTCTCGCCTCAATCCAGCCCTTCATCCGCAGGGCGATCTCGCCCGACTCCTCGTGCTCGCTCAGCCCGCAGTCGACCATGTTGCCCTTCCAGCTGATCTTGCGCACGGGGGCGACGATGGCGGCAGTGCCCGAGCCGAAGACCTCCATCATGCGGCCGTCGAGCGAGGCCTCATGCAGCTCGCCCATAGTCATCTTGCGCTCCGAGATGCGCCAGCCCTCGGGCGCCAGCCTCTCGCGCGCCAGGGCCAGTATCGAGTCCCGGGTCACGCCCTCGAGGATCGTGCCGTCCAGCGGCGCCGTGATGAGCTCCTTCTGGCCCGTCTCCTTGTCCTTGATCGCCACGAACAGGTTCATGGTGCCGACCTCGGTGACGTACTCCTCGGGGCCGAAGAGCCACAGGTTCTGCTGGAAGCCGCGGCTGGCCGCCTCCTGCTGCGGCACGATGCACGGCGCGTAGTTGGCGCCGAGCTTCTTGTCACCGACGCCGCCCGGCCAGGCGCGCACGGCGTAGTCGGTGGCCTCGAGCGATATGGCCTTGAAGCCGGTGGGGTAGTAGGGGCCGACGGGCGAGGCGATCAGGTAGAGCAGGGCGGACCCGGGCGGGCCGACGCCCAGCGTCTTCTGCGTGCCGATCATGGTCGGGCGCAGATACAGCGAGTAGCCGCGCTTGTCCGGGATGAACCGCTCCTCGAGCGCGGCGAAGCGCGATATCAATTCGATAAAGGCGGTGGGCGAGAAGGTGGGCAGAGCAATGCGCGCGCAAGACTTGTTGAAGCGCTCCATGTTTTTGTCGGGCCGGAACAGACGCACCTGTCCGTGTTTGTCCTTGTACGCCTTCATGCCCTCGAAGGCCGTGAACGCGTAGTGGAGGACGCTGGTCGCCGGGTCGAGTGAGAGGTTCTGGTACGGCGTAATCGAGGGCGCCAGCCAGCCGTCCGTCTTCGTCCATTCGACGGTCAACATGTGGTCCGTGGTCTGTGTGAGTACATGAGTGGTTCCATTGCGTAGACTACTGGGTCGTCCTACCTGTGAACTCCTTCCCGAAGACCAGTGTGGCTGGGTCATGCGGTGTCTTCGGCGATTGCGTCTTGGTGATAGATAGCTTCGCAGGGTCCAGGTCCAAGACCTTCGACGTCGATGCCGCTGTCGGTTGGATGCTATACCATCTCACTGCTTGCCATGTCGGTAGTATGTGCGAACGGCGTGTTGCGGGTGCCCTCAAAGCTCTCCCGCATCGCGGAAGAAGCTGTCGAAGCATGTTCGGAGGAGATAGATATCAGAGCTCTCGGCCGACCTCGTATCCACTGAGAAAGGGCCAATGTGAGGCAAAACGAGCGTGAGAGTATCTCGGTAGTTCTAGGAGTATTCTAGCGAAACGAGGGGAGTCAATTGAGTCCTTCTATTTTGTTTTGGTGAGTAGAGGTGAGGCAAAGCGTCTGTTCCTTGGGCCAACGAGAAATTGTGCCATGACAGAGCCGATCGCAGGAGAAGCTCAGGGCGACCTCGGAGGGCGCACCCTGCCACCCTGCATTCTCGGGCTGGTAGGCCCTCGAACCCCGGCCCACGGTGCTGGCACAGAAATGATAGCCAATCATTAGGCGAGCGTTGTGTCAGTGACTCTAGTTACTAATCATCAAGTGCTCTAGCCACAACCGAGGATATGTAGATGTGGCTTGGAAGAATTGAACATCCAAGGTTGTGGCTCAGCAGCGGACCCCTGAGCGTCGGCGCTAGAGGTGGGACAAGGAAGATGGAAATGGAACAGGATACCTGGAGCTTATTGTATTGCTGAGAGCCAAAGAGACCTCTTGCGACTGCAACCAACATCATACTCCCGCCAGATTCGGCACGTCGCAAGCTATAATCAGCAACGCAGATTACTTACTCTCTAGCAATCACTCGTTTCCGTCCCGACGACTGCCCGCGCGCACCCTGTAGTCCCACCTAGTTGACTGCCGTGGAAGGCAAGCTTTCCGCAAATAGACCACGAGACACCACGCAACACATGTCTATGCCCGCGCGCAACGCTACGATATGAGGGTTTCTACCTGCCACGCCATTCGCTATCGCCCATCATGTTCTCCTCGTTGAAGAGCTTCACCTCCAACATCAACTCCAACTACTCCGTCTCCCAGACTGTGTCCTCGACCGCCGGCGCCTGGAAGATATACGATGCGAAGAAGAAGTCGACGGGGAAGTCCTATTCGGTCTTCGTCTTCGAGAAGAAATCGCTAGATTCACATGGTAGGAAAACCCCTTGGCATCACTCTCCAGATCGTCGGGCGTAGTGACTGGGCGCATTCGGTACCCCAGGCTGCTCTATAACTACCAGATGGTGTTAGGCGATCGGATACTCTAGACATAGACACGGACAGCCGTTGATTGTGCTCTATAGGAAACACCCTTGGTCGGTCCAGTGCCTCCGCCTTCAAGCGCTCTACTGAAGAGGTAGGTGGTCATCCATTGGCAGCAGACTATCTACGGCTAAATCACCGTGGCCATTGTCGCTAACCTCTTTGTAGGTACTCGAGCGTTTAAAAAAGGAGGCGTCGTCTTTAGCACGATTGCGGCACCCCAGCGTACTCGAACTTGTCGAACCCGTGGAAGACACGCGAGGAGGAGGACTACAGTTCGTAACTGAACCCGTGACTACATCTTTGGCGAGTCTGCTGCAAGAGAAAGATGACCAGGAAAGGGCCGGTGGCATTGGTGGCCGGTCCAGTCGCTATGTCACCGAAACATCCGAGGGGGTAAGACGGAGGCGGGAGCTAGAAATCGACGAGCTCGAGATCCAAAAGGGGCTGCTCCAGATTAGCAAGGCGTTGGAGTTTCTCCATGAGAATGCTGGCCTCGTCCATGCGAATCTGACCCCTGATTCCATCCTTGTCAATTCCAAGGTCAGTCTTCAATGTTGTCCGGAATCAATTGTTGCCCGAGCGTCTTGCCTGTTCATCATTGTCCAAAGATGCCTTGACACATGCTCTTGTGAAATACGTTTTGAGTTGTGATGCTAATACTGCTTCCAGTCTGATTGGAAACTCAGCGGTCTCGCCTTTTCAAGCCCCTTTGAAGGCTCGACCAAACCGACTTCTGTTCAACCCATCAGCCTTTCAGAAGTACTTAACTTAGATCCTCGTCTACCCCGGCATGTACAAATCAATCTTGATTACACCTCGCCCGACTTCGTCCTTGACAATAACCTCACCACGTCTGCCGACATGTTCTCCCTTGGCCTCCTGTGCCTTGCGCTGTACAATTCACCACACCGATCGCCTATAGAGAGCAGCGGAAGCGTGTCCGCCTACAAGAGGATATTCACCTCGTCCTCAACCGTTCCGAATCCGGGTAACGGTTACCTGTCAAAAGGAAAGCTGCCGAAGGAGCTCTTAGCTCATGTTCTACCACGTTTGATAACTCGACGGCCGGCGCAGCGTATGAGTGCTCGGGAATTCCAGGAAAGCGAGTATTTCAACAGCACGCAGGTCAGAGCTATTCGTTTTCTTGACGCGTTTCCTGAGAAAACTCCGGGTGAAAAGTCATCCTTCTTGAGAGGTCTGAATAGGAAGTTGGCAGAATTCCCGAAGGCGGTGCTGGAAAAGAAAATCCTTCCGGCCCTCTTGGAGGAGTTGAAGGACAAGACACTTCTGGCACTCATTCTTCAAAACGTCTTCAAGATATTGGATTTGTTGTCCAATTCCCAACGCGCTTTTGGAGAGAAAGTACGCCCAAGGCTGAAGGAGATATTTGTGGTCAATCTCAAGCAGCCACAAGAAAAGGACAATGACCGAGATGCCGGCTTGATGGTGTTCCTGGAGAACGCTTCCCTAATTGCTGAGAACTCTCCAGGCAAGGAGTTCAAGGATGGTGAGTGTTGTCTTTTTCTTGAACTTATGGCCTACCTTGCCATTCCAACCCTTAGAACATTACCGTCAGAAAGGCTTTGTGATAACCGCACTGTTCTTATGATCGATTGAGAGGTCCTCGAGGCCTGAGCCACTGCTCTTATCCCATCATCCGTTCAATGTATGCCGCACTTTACCACTGACACAACCTCTCAGATGTCCTACCGATACTATTAACCGCCATTGAGTCGCCAACGCCTTCTCTCGTCGATGCTGCCTTACGAAGCCTTCCAGCCATATTACCGGTTCTGGACTTCAGCACCATCAAAAATGAGCTGTTCCCCGTTATTGCTGCGGTGTTCAGCAAGACCAGTAGCCTCGCGATAAAAGTGCGTGGGTGTCGTGCCTTCGTTATTCTCTGTGGCGGATTAAACGAAGCTATGTCAGTGGACGATGGTCTTGATGGTTTGATTCCCGACAAAAAGAAAAAGACGTCATCCTCTAGTGCTCTCGACAAGTACACAATGCAGGAGAAGATTGTTCCTCTGATCAAGGTCATCAGGACTAAAGAGCCTGCTGTTATGATGGCAGCCCTAGATGTTCTGCGAGTTGTGGGAGACGTGGCAGACGCAGATTTTGTGGCGATGGATATCCTGCCTATTCTTTGGAACATGAGCTTGGGTCCACTGCTTGACCTCAAACAGTTCCAGCAATTCATGGATCTTATCAAGGTGCTTTCAAGGAGAGTTGAAGACGAGCAGACCAGGAAGCTGCAAGACCTGTCTGTGGCGAACGGAGGAAGGGCGACTTCTCCCAACGAAGACTTCATGGCATTCGGAGGTGTCACTGGTACGACGTTCGATTCGACCAACGGCGCGGGTGAAGATGACTTCGACGCGCTAGTCGGAGGCAAGCCGACCCAGACTTCGAATGACCCGATGAGCGCTGGATGGGATGCGGCCCCGGCAGTCGCGCTAGCTTCGCCTCGGGCCAAGTCGCCTCAGTTTTCATGGTCAACCCCAAGTTCTAGCATCAATGTTGCACCCAACGACCAATTCGGTGCGACCAAGGCCCAGTCTTCTTTCCGGACGGTGACGCCAGACCTAGCGTCTTTTGGCACTCTAACCCCTTCATCCACACAGTACTCTCAACCGCTCAAGCCCATGGCCAGCAGTACAATGCAGAACCAACCCGCTGCGCCACAGAGTTCGAGCAGTGTTAACTGGCCTTCTTCAAGTACCGCGACAGCCAACCCCTGGGCAGCTACTGGCACGGCTGCTCCCTTATCACCACCGGCTTCGGCCTTTGGCAACATGTCATCGAGCATGTCGACCATGAGCATGGATCAGACAAGGCCATCCATGAATCAGAGCTCATCATTCTCTCTTGCGCCACCGCCATCAAGTAGCAGCAGCACGCCCTCCGGTTTCAGTCTACCTCCCCCTCCAGGCGGGATGCAAAGGCAGACTTCTTCGACGTCCTTTGGCCAGCCCCCGTCTTCACTGGGCTTTGGGATGGCGCAACCGACTGGAAGCTTGAACACTATGGGAAGCATGAACAGAGGGATGAACAGCATGAATAGTATGATGGGGGCTGGTGGCATGAGGACCATGACACCTACTCAACTGGCATCACAGCCACAGCAGCAGCAGCAGCAACAACCACCTCAGAAGTCGGGTTTGGATAAATATGATAGTCTGATATAATGAGACGATGGGCGAGGATGACATCAGCGGGACTTAGCGTTTTATTGTAGAGAACAACCAGCGTACCTAATAGACATGTGCTTGTCAGCCAGCATGTATGAATGAATTAATCAGGGACCTTAGGGTCTTTGCCAATAGAAAAGAAGTTCAATGTGGTTTTTGGTTTCTCGTTGGGGTGGTATCGTGATATCCCATGGCTTGAGTTGGTGTCCTTGGCGAGTGGGCCTGCATTCTTCCTAAGCTATCCTACGGTCTACGTCCAACGCGTCGGTCTGCCACTGTCGGGACCTAGCCAGTTTGAATTCGGGTGCCACCGTTTTCGTCTAGCTGAATCTCACTTCGCTGGGATGCCAGGGCAGCAGGAGGGCTTGGTTGGTTGGTAATCTGTCTGTCGGTGAGGTAAGGTAAGGTACGTAGCTCGCCCGTCAGATCTCTCAATGCCTACTTACCTACTTACTCGACGGCTTCCATTGCCTTCGATAAAGAGCAAGCCGCAAACGGAAGGGGCGATGAGGAGAACAGCACCTAGCAGACCCAACATCAAGATGCTGCTGGATTGCTGAGCTGGTTGGCTGTCGATTTCGTGTTGGTGGTTGGTGTTTGGGTGTTCGAAGTTGAGTGTTGGTTCGTCGAGTGGTGGTTGGTGCTACTCCATGCCGCAGCAGACAGCAGACCCGGCGGGTTGGTACGCGTGCCTGCCTGCCTGCATGCCGATGTAGGTACAAGCACATACATACGTTTGCACCTCGGGACGGTGGGCACGCGGCCGGTTTGGGGGTTTGGGGACCAACAACTGGATTTCACATTCTTCAGTGTTTGGCTTGACGCGGTGGGCAGGTATCTTCGCTGGTTGGTTCGCTGATTGACCTCTTGGACGGTACTGGGGGGAATGGCCGTGTGACCAACCGACCATTTGTTCGTGTTGGACTCTGAATGTCGGATCGCGTGACAAGTGCTTTCGTTGACTTGGTCAGTGTTAGTGTTGGTGCCTGTCTTTCAGACAGGAGATGTGGTTGGGTTTGTTGTACTTCGTGCAGGTATCTCTTATTGAACACTACCAGTTATCCGGCGGCTGGTTTCGGACCTACGTGGCTGTATGCTGGATCGCTTGATCTACGGCCATAGCGAAAGGGTGAGCATAGCGCTCCTCCGTTGCCTTGCTGTTTCAGTGTCAACATAACATAGTGGAATCAGGTAAAGACAAGGCAAGGCATCCGCGCGAGTCTTGACGGTGCCTGCTATTGCCTGATAGGTACCCAGACACATGTTGAAGACCGGCAGGACTGGCACACCCGTCCCGCAAACCGGTAAGTCGCTATCCATGAGGAGCGCCCCGTACTCAGAGGTGGTTAGTCGCATCAGTTCCGAGGCAGGAGGAACTGTACTATGCGTAGATGTTCTCGCCTCGCCTCGCTGGACTTGCCCTTGCGTTCTTTACCTATCTGACTTGACCCTTGAGTGGTGGAGTGCGACGCTCTCCTGTTATAAGTATACCTTGGACCTAGCAATCACGTGTTGCGATGGTCTATGACCACAACCTCTAATCACCTCCACGACTGTCAGGAGTGTGGTTTATGATCGATCATTGCTCATCTAGCTAGCCTATGACCGGCGGAGACCTGGTGTCGCAAGACCCGAGGCAGCGTGTTTCACATGACGGAAGATGTCTGGCGATAAGCGACTAGTAGGATAATGAATGTGGTGAAGCCAGCGGGAAAGACCCGAGGTGGCATTTCGGTAGTCGGTGGACTTCTATCAAATATATAGAATTCCGCTGGGTATTGAGCAATGAGCATCCCGCGATGGTGCCATCGTCACCAGTTTGCCCAGCTTCGTTAGTAGCCGAGGTGAGGGAAGCATCTGACAAAGGGAAGATCGACGACGTTCTTGTACTTTCAGCATATAAACAATTGCATAAGAACCCCTCAAAGCGCTTCTTCTTCATCTCAGCGATTGGCAAGCCATCACTATTTAACCCCTAATAAACGTGTGCAATAGCGACTCCTTTTTGCTATCACCTCCTCAACTAGACTACACTCGCTCACTACCTCCTACTACCTGCTAGGATACCACAATTACGACAGAAAAGACCCGTACTCCGCCGAGGAGAATCTGGTCCAAGTGTCTGAAGAACCGTGCCGTAAAACAAGGAACACACTCCAGCGCAGCAGGCAGACTGGTCCTCTCTCTCTCTGCCAGCATCGAAACCCTCCGTCTGCAAGTCGACGTCTAATCGCCAGGTGTTCTGCTCTTTTTTTCTTTCTCTCTGTCTCTCTCCGTCTCCATCCAGGCTCCGACCAGTCTCGTTGAGCCTGTGCCTGATACCTCTTCTGGTTTTGTCTGCCATAAACGAGAAAGAAGGCTGGCGGTGGCTGGGTGTATCTAAGGTAAGGTAAAACTCCAACCTAGCCGGTATCTTCTGCTGCTTGCTTGCTCTCTTCCAGTGCCCCGCCCCGCTTTTAGGCTTCTGGTTTGTCTTTGTCCCCTGTCCGGCCGCCCGCCAACGCCCGACACAAGTGCTGTAGTGCTGTAGTCTCCGGCGTAATGGCGTGAAAACAGGCCAGCATCGTCGGGTGACAGCGCACTCGAAAAGCAAACCATGGAACGCCTTGCCGGAAATGAAAAGATGTCCTCCCATGTAACTCCGTATGCCCTATCATCGACAGTGTCCAACAGACGTAGTGGTTGTTATCGCCAAGTGACAAGTTGATTAACAGTTATCGGTAGTCGATTGTTTAGTTTGGTTGATTCAGCGCAAGGTCGCGCTGCTCGCCACCGACCGCGACCGCGTCTCACCCGCCTTGTCCGCCTTCGCCTTGAAGATATGGCGACTCGTGTAGCCCTCCTCGAGCTTGATGTGGACCTTCTGGTTCGGCGGCACCATCTCGTGATTAAGGTCCCAGCCGGCGCGGCGGCACAGCTCGGCCACGATGACGTCGCAGTCGCCCAGCAGGTCGATGTCGAAGTTGATGTGGCTGACGGGCGTGCGCGAGATGTAGATCTGCGGGATGTGCGCCGGCAGGTACGGCACCACCTCGGACACGGGCGCCACCTTGAGCGACGTGCCGATGACAATGACCAGGTCCACGGCGTCGCGGTCGTGCTTCACCAGCCGCTTCTCGAACTCGTCCGGCAGCGCCTCGCCGAAGAACGTGATGTCGGGCTTCATCACGCCCGTCGAGGGGATGTCGTACTGCCCGTCGTCCTCGTCGTCGTCGTCTTCTTCCCAGTCCTCGAGGCGGCGGGTCTTGCGCGAGGTGCCGTTGCTGGATCTCTTGCGCTTCAGTTTCGGTTGCGCCTTCTTAGTGCGGACGGCGGTGATGCACTTTTCACATCGCGGGATTTTGCCGGCTTTGACGTCAGCGAATATGGCGTCGCCCGGCACTTTGTAGTGACACTTCTGACACGAGGCCGTGGCGAAGGAGCCGTGGCACTGCACCAGCTTCTCGGGCAGGATGCCCGCGTTCGCCTCGATGTTGTCGATGTTCTGCGAGTAATTGGTGAGCAGCTTGCCCTTGTTCTGCAGCAGCGCGATGAAGGCGTGCGTGGGCGAGAAGCGCTTGGTCGCGGGTAGGATGTCCTTGGCGACCGAGTAGAAGATGGTCGGGTCGTCGCGGAAGATGTCGATGTTGAAGACCTCCTGCGGGTCGCTGATGCCCAGCCCGAGCTTCTCCAATTGAGAGTACAGGCCCGTCTCCTTGGAGCGGAAGTCGGGAATCCCGAGCGACGTGGAAATGCCGGCACCCGTGAGCACGACGATGTTGCGCGAGCTCTTCATCAAGCCGACGGCGTCGTCGATGGTGTTGTACTTGGTGAGTTTGGCGCGCTTGGCCAGCTCACGCGACATGGCCAGGGTGAGCAGTGCGTAATACGACTCGTCGGGCATGCCCTCAAGAAAGCCGGGCGGTCGGATTCCAAAGGCAGTGAGCAGCTTCTTGGCTGTGATCTTGCCGGTGTCTATGTTGGCCTTGCATAATCCCTCGGGTCCAATTGCACGCAGTTGCTGGCGGTAGCGGACTGCTTGCTCCGGTGTGCAGGCGTCGACTGTAAACAAGTCAGAAAATGAACAGTGACGGAGTATAAGATGAGTAGGATAAGAAATGAGGTAGTTACCATCGTCAAATGAGACTTCCTCAGCCTCGATGATGTCCTCAAAGAGCGACTCGGTTTCCCACGAGTCCCCGAGGTCGTTGACACGTTCGCCGAGCTCAGATAGCGTGTGGGCGGGCTCTGCGAGGGTTATGTGTCCCACCTGCTGATCGTCGGAAACCTCTTGGACCCGGACCTTGGTGTGCCTCTTGGACGCAGATGAGTCCTTAACGGCCCAGGTCTTGCGAGGGCGACCGACGGGACGCTTACTGGCCAGCGGCGGCATGACTGCTTGTTGTGAAATGTGGGAGTGAGGGGAAGAGAAGCGAGGCGAGTTTTGAGTTTTGGTGAGAATTGCCAGTTCCCAGTTGCGCGGGGGTTAATAGTTGTGCGGGTTTGGTGTGAGTGTCGCCCGTGTGGAAATTAGTGAATGGTGGATTAAAACACCGGACGTGAAGAAGGCAGAGTGGGTGGGAATTACGGCCCGATCACGCGATGGGTTGAGAAGGAAATGAAGAAGTGGCGTTGTGCTTGCTTGACGCGCGTAGAAATCGACGGGTGGAAGGTTGGAAAGATTGGGAAGGTTGTGAGATGAATTGGTTATGTTAGGCGGTGTAGAGAGCAGCAGGCGGAACAATAAAAGTGAGGAAAGATTAGAAAGATGGCGAGGGCAGGGACAGACAGGATTCGGAGACAGGACTGGAGGAAAGAGTCTGAAACTCGAGGCAGACAGGTTCCAAAACTAAGCGAGCTCAGTGCTGCTGATAGGCCGTAGCTGCGTAAGTCGCCCGAGGGAAACAATAGGAACATTATTGAAGCACTTGACGTCTAGCACTACCGTTGACCCCTGTAATTGTCTACAGTCATACACGTATAACAAGGTGGCCCGCCCTCGTGTCTACTTGCAAGTATCTGTCCACCTTATTTGTTTCGCTTGCCCAGCTTACACTGTAGGTAGTGCACCTGGCATGGCGACAGCTCATCGGTATAATCCAGTAGTATCATGTTGGTAGGTAAAGTAATCTTGTTCCCTTGCCCGCACAGAACTCGGTGGCTTACGTGAATCGTGTAAAGTCTAAATGTTCTATGTCTGGTGGGTGTCGGTACGTCCACTTTCCGGCTCCGAGAAGCTCAATTCCACCGTTGACATTGTCAGAAGACGACATGGGCCACGCCCGCATCTGCGGCTTCTCTTTTCTAACATGAGTGAAATATATTCCAATACAATGCATGCTGATATTGACGTGCTCATCGTACATGTTGTTCCATAAAAGGTAGTTGACCAAACTTAGTTTTATTGCCTCACCAAGCCACCATCCTATCACCCGGGGTAATGTTACCTTATCTGCGGTGGCGCGACCATAGTGGACAGATAAGTTACGATTCCAGCACGGTTTATTAGGTTGGACATGGGCGATTGATTACTTACCTAATGTACATGGATTCCATTGAATGTTTGACTCAGCTTCTGCGGTGATGCTATGTACATGTACCTCTACCTCTAACGTGTAGACGTGCTTATTGTAAGTACATACCTTATGTAGCTCATGTTGTTGCACCTTTGACGTCGCACCCTCCACGATGGTGCAAATGGGTAATGCGGGACGAGCGACTCCTACGTATCCGCCATAGATAACTTTAAGTTTCGCAGCGACCACAAGAACACTTTCAGGAAGCGTGAGTATCTATTTCTTCTCCATGCTTCAAGTTCCATGTTATCGCAGGTACTATTATTAGGCAACTGCATGCACACATTGCTGACCGACATAAAAGAACAAGATCCGGCGGCCGTCAGCCTGTCAACCACCGATGGCCCGGTTACCTGTCACCGGGCGCTCCCGCTATTTGCTTCCAAATCCGGCACTGGCCCAGACATGACGCTCTCTTCTACACGTGGCCATGTCAAGGTTTAAGGAATCTCGTGTTACCAACGAACTTCATTCTTACTTGTACAGATCTGATCCGGGTAGAATCAGCACTGCAGAGGAAAAGCTAGGGTCGCATGCGGCACAAACTCACCAGCGATGACGGTGAATCGAGTTGGGGCTTACAGTACCTAGTTGCCGAGTCTGCTGCCATTTGATGGTGACGAGTCACTACCGTGATTCACATTGGAAGGAGTTGAATTCGGAAGTCTAGCAGTCACCGACGTTTATCGCCCGAGCCCTAATCATTGACCGCTTTTGCTATCAACTCAGGTGAATCCATCCATGGGCCCCCTGATGAGGGGTCTGGTGTTTGCTTGAAGCCAGGACCCACTAACGTCTATCGAGCCGGAATGTCAAGCGATCTCGCTCGGGACTTCAACGGCAAAGTACTACGACGAGAAAGCCGATACTTTACATTAGATCCAATGTGCAACCAATATTTACCAGGGAATATGGTATGAAGCATCACCAGTATGTTACTCTCTACTTAACGCCCAACAATAACCCATCTACATGGAAAGCTCTACGTGGCCGATACTACCGACTGTTCCCAGCTGGCTGGGCCGCATTCCTCCATGCCCACCAACACCAAATCTCCCGTCAACATTCGCACCAAACCGAAAGGGTTACATTGATGAGTCCTACGTATCCACGCCTCGCAGCAGGCAGCCGGCAAAGTCCCAGGGATCACCAACAGGGACTCGCTCAAGAGGTAGCCAACAACATCGGCTGGAACGCGCACACAAGCTCACCAGCACCAACAACTGCAAGGAATCCGAGAACCCAACAACCGCAGGGAACCCAACAATACAAGAAACCCCAGCGGCTCAAGGCGGGCCAAGTAAATGGCAGAAGTTGTTCCCAGTTCGGGGCAACTCACACACACATAACACAACCGTCTCCCGGATCCGGACCAAGTAAAAAGGGAACCAACAACAGCACTCTGTTCCCCCCTCCCAACCCGCCACCCGCCTCTACTACCAACTTGAACCTCTTGTCCTAGAGGTAGTTCCCCTCCAAAACCGTCCTCTTTCGAGACGACCAAATGACATAAACCCAAACCCCCACACAGAAGGAAGAGGTCAGACATGAGACCCAAGATGTGAGCAAGATGCAAACATCTCTAGACATGCACAAGACAGATTACTCGCATGGCCACGTTGCAGCGATCCGACCCGTACAGCCTCGTCCTGAGTGAGCGTGAGCAGTGGCATCGGGGAAGTGTCCCGCTCCGCCCCCAAATGCCAAATGCCTACATACCCACCTCAACATGCATGCTGGAGGGTGACAGATGCGACCCTCCCTAACTTACCCAAATAAAAGATGCAGGCACGCGTCCACGCCATAGCCTCTTGCACATATGTATGTAAGTATGTATGTCATTACACAGCAGGCACACCGGCGCACTCAGGAAGGACTTCGATCCATGCCAACATTACACAGCACCTCCCCAGGATCATGACCCAAAGGCAAAACAGTAAAGGCAAGGCAAGGCAAGGCACAGCACTGTACTCACGACATATCCAGCAGCGTATTAGAAATTCGGATTCTGTTTCCCGGTTTACTACACATTGTATCTATGGTCCCCAACCAAGCCCGGAAGACACAAAGAGAAATAAGGCCACGTGGTGGCAGCATGCGGCGCAAGCACGGGGAGGTCAGTCCGAGAACACTCCCCCTTCTCGCTCCCATGGAGCACCAACGAGCGTCTTGCTTGCTTGCTTGCTCTCGTGGCTAAGCTAGCTCCTAGTAACCAGGTATCTCCCGACAGGATATTTCCGACACCGATGACTTCAGGTTCCTCGGGGGGATGGGCTGCAATGCAGCGCACCGAGCTGCGCCCTGTTTTGGCGCACCTCAAGCCGACCGTAAGGCTGTGGCGGCATGACCGTATCACTAGGTAGTGGGCGGAGCAGGCAGACTCTACAGGCATATCCGGGTCAAGCCTCCGAAGAAGGGAACCAGGCTATAATACAAGTCGCCTCCATTGCTCGTGCTTAACGGGTCCAGCGGATTCAGATGGATATGTAGCGGGTAGCGACGTGCTCGGTTGATCTAAACAAAACAAAACAAACATCTCACGCTGCCTAAGCAATAGACTTTGGCTTATGTGAAGGTGGTTGAGGCACACTGAGCCGCGGTACGTCTGCTGCTCTCGACTCCTCCATCTCCGTGGGCTCCTCCGTCAATGCGGGAGAAGGCTCAAGTTCGTTGTGAGCCAACGGGGAGGGCGTTGGGCGAAGGGGTTGCGAGAAATCGCGCTCTCCACTCTTCTCAATGGGAGACCATCCAGCAGCCACGCTACCAGCAATGATGCCAGCCATCACCGTCGGCGCACCTAGTGCTGAGTTCGACCGTGATCTCATGGACCTGGATCGCTTCCGGGAATCCGGTGTGGGTGCCGGTGACGGTGTTCCGAAACTATCTTCACCAGTTGGGGTCTGTGGTGCTCTCATCGAGTTGGAGCGTGAGTGAGAGGGGCTCTTCGTCTTTGCCATGAAGTCGCGAGGGTGCTTGACGGCGAACCTCAAGTTGTTCAGACGGCCGCCCTTGAGCCGTTTAAGGAAAGCCAGCTCATCTCTGACGTCAGAGAGTACTTCGGGGTAAGCGTCGAATCGCTCTTCATCGGAGACTGTGAACCCGGGAAGCCTAGACTTGCGCTTGAGAAATGCGGGGACGCACTTCTCGATCAGATCGTCAGGGATGCAGCGAATGAGCATTCCTATTGGGATCGAAAGTAGGCCCAATATTATCGCAACAGCCCATTGCGGTCCTGTCTGGGTTGGGCTCAGTTGTGAAATATTGAAAGGAGTACTTCCAACGAATATAATGAGCACTTGAGCGCCGCACATAGCGAGGTTGATTCCGACAAAGAACCAATTCTGCGTCAAGCCTTCAAAAATGTTGAATTTGTTGTCTAATCGGCGGTTGCTTTGTGTTCATTAGTACGAGGTTCACACGATCGTTGACTGAATTTCCACTTACTTCCACTGGTTGAAGATCTGCATCCAGACAAAGGTGTTGAATACCAAGGTATCCCTTCGAGTCGATAGAACGTCGGAGCCCTCACGCGCAGCTATGCCAATTGCGTACGCGGCGTAATACAGCACAAAAGTGACCACCAGCTGGTATATCGCCTGCCCAACGATCATTTTCCACATGGTGATCGAAATGATGCTTGAACCTCTCCTTTCCGGCTTTCGGTCCAGGACGCTGTCCTGCGGAGGATCGGTAGCAAGAGCAAGAGCAGCGAGAGTGTCCATGATCAGGTTAACCCACAGAAGTTGCACAGCCGTCAGTACAGAGCCTTCGTCACTGCTAGAGACAGCCGTGATGAAAGTCAGTGCAACGGCCGTGACGTTGACGGTCAACTGAAACTGCAAGAACTTCTTCACGGCATCGTTGACAGCGCGACCCCACTTCAGCGCCTTGACGATACTGGCGAAGTTGTCGTCCATGAGAATGATAGCGGAAGCCTCTTTCGCGACCTCCGTACCAGCGATACCCATGGAAAATCCAACATCTGCCAGCTTCAGAGCCGGCGCATCATTTGTACCATCACCAGTGACAGCCACCGTCTCGCCCAAATCTTTCAGACGGCGCACCAGAATGCGCTTGTCTTCCGGACTGGAACGGGCGAGGACCTGAAGCCGGGGAATTATCTCGTTCTGTGCGAACTTGCTCAGATTCCGGAACTCGGGTCCTTCCATCACAACCCCATCGGGCTGCAGGATTCCGCATTCCTGAGCAATGGCTTGAGCAGTCAGCTTGTTGTCACCAGTAACCATGCGAACCACGACGCCAGCCCTCTGACATTCCTTGACAGCCTCAAGGACACCATCACGGAGAGGATCTTGAATTCCAACCATGCCGATGAAGGTCATCTTGTTGAACACGTCTTCAAAAACAATCTCGTTCCGTTCACCTTCAACGCGCTTCGCATTTCGCGGGGGCCATTTCTCGAAGTCCTTGTAGATAATCCCAATGGTTCGAAGCGACCGTGATGCGTAGTCGTTGATAAGGCCCTTGACAGTCTCATCGTTGTCGTTGGTCAAAGACACACTAGACAGATCTTTGGCAGGGTCGACAAGCATCTCAGAACATTTCGCGAGAAGGATCTCCGATGCACCCTTCACGTACATACGGGCCGTGCCATTCTCGAGCTGAACGACTACACCCATACATTTCCGGCCAGAATCGAAGGGAATGAGCTGCAAAACTTTCACGCTTGAACGCTCCTCGCTGACCGGTCCCATGCCGAGATGATCCTTCGCGAATTCCAGCAAGGCAGTCTCGGTCTTGGAGCCGATAAAGGTGTTGACACCGTCGACGTCACCTTCAAATGCGGTGGAGTTAATGGAGATGGACTTCAACAGAAGCTCGCGCGCGCCGCCGCAGAGAGCACTGGCAAACTCTTTCTCGGAGAAATCTGCGGAGGCAGCGTTGGTCGATGCGGACGTCTCCTCGACGGCCGCCCCGCCACTTCCGAATCGATGTGTTGTACCGATGGTTCCTGCAACGACCTTCATCTTGTTTTGTGTGAGAGTACCTGTCTTGTCCGAGCAGATGGTTGAAGCATTTCCCATGACCTCGCAGGCTTTCAGGTGGCGGACCAAGTTGTTGTCTTTAATCATACGAGTTGTCGCAAAGGCTAAAGCCAACGTGACGGCCAGTGGTAGCCCCTCAGGAACTGCAACGACAATGATGGTGACTACCACGATGAAAATCTCGATGAATTGCTGACCCTTCTCAGATGGAGAGGCAGTGCTTGACTTCAAACGAACGAGAAACTCGATGAAGAGCACGATGAATAGGAGTAGACCAGCACCACCACCAAGCTTGGCAATGTATTCGGCGATAACGTTGAGCTTTGACTGTAATGGCGTAATCTCGGGGTCTTCGTTCAAGGACATCATCGTCTTTCCGTAGCTGGAATAGATACCAGTAGAAGTGACCATGAAAGTGCCCACGCCTTCCATGACGCGGCCACCGGACTGGATGAACGGATCGAGCTTCTTCGTGTTTTCGCCATTCTCGATACCCGCCATCACCTCGTCAGCCGGTCTCTTGCGTATGATATCCGACTCTCCGGTAGCTTGCGACTCGTCGCACTTGACGTTGAAGCCCTGGATGAGAATGCCATCCACGGGGAGGAGATCACCAGGTTCCAGATGCAGAACATCGCCAGCCAGGATGTCGAAAACCGATATTTCGACAGTTTTGCCTGAGCGAACCGCCTTCACTACTCTGTCCTGCTTCTTTTTGTTCAGCTTGACAAATTGTCTTTCCTTCTGCCAATCGTTCACGGATCCAACGAGTACGACAATGACAATGGCAACAATAATGGCCACGCCCTCGATCCATTCGACCCCTGGGTTGCCCGGTTCGTGTACGGCTCCAAACGTCTGGTACAGTCCGATAGCGAGCGAGACAACGGCAGCAACGGAAAGCAGGATGAGGACCTTGTCGTTGTAAGTGATCCAGACCAACTGTAGGAAGCTCTTGCCCTTCTTCTCAGGTAGTCGATTATCCCTGTAAACCCGTTTTCGGTCGGCAAAATCGTCGTCGGATGCCTGTCTCGGTGCTGTTCCAGTGCGAGCAACTGGCGTCTGCGGGCTTTCCACTCCCTCATTGGCAAGCTTGGGTGGTGTACGATTAGTCGCCTGCTCGAAAGACACTGTACCATCGAGATGCTTCTCATCAATACTCAGTCCCGTGTCCCGATTGCTACGCAGCCCCTTTTCGATTCCGACAAGGCCACCAAGCTTGTAGAAGGCCGATAGACTCTTGGGGTTGAACATCTTGGTGAGCTCGCCGGGACTAAAGGCGAACGGGTTGTTCTTAACCTCGAAATCAGCCTCTTTTCCTTGATCGGGCTTCAGAGCAGCTTCGTCCTTCATGATCTGGTCATTATCGTGAATGTTCTTCGCGGCACTCTTTTCACCTTGCCACGAGGTAGTCGCAGTGATAGTGTCACCTTGAGAAGAGGCGAACGATCGGGACCCGTCCTCAGAATCAACGGAGTTCTGTCGTGAACGGTGGTTGGTTGGTACTGACAAAAAGGCCTGGCCCTTCTCATTCCCTCTCGAAGTGACAGGACTAGAGACATTGTGGGGACTCGTAGGCCGGCTGTCTTTACTACTGTCAAACGAATTCGCAGTCCGCATTTCGTGAGCCGTTCGCTCGGATGATGTCCAGCTAGCTGTCAGTGCAGTCGGACTTGTGGTTACGTCGGTAGGCGACACCGGTGATCGTGGAGCGGCATGAGGGGTGGGCTCAGAGTCATTCGTAGTATCAATCGTGATTGTGGGCCTGGAACCTGAAGTTAGGACATGGACGTTGCAGTAATTGCAAGCATCGCAGCCATGGGTTAGGAGCGGGAGTTCGACTTACGCCCGTGGCCTTCGTGCCGGTCCTTCAGCACCATCCTTGCTGGGATCGGACATTGTAGCTGGGGTTTGGAAGATTTGCTAGGTGAAGGTATCCGGGATCGACAATTCGCGGCGGTCGAGTAGAAGCACGAGTATAAGCACGAGTGAAGCCTACTGACAGCTTTGTTGTGACAGGGAGGCTTGGTTGTGGTCGTGTCCGTCCGTTGAACCTGGCCATCGGCTGTCAGGGAAAGGCGAGGCTGAGCACGTAGTCGGAACAGATTTTTGAGTTGACCATGTCAGAATGACAGCAGGATATAGAGGTGTAGCTTCGTGTAGCTTCGTGGAGCTTTGAGACTATGGCGGTAGACGGATCCTCCAGGCTGCGAGGCGCGGGCTGATGTGGCGTCTTTTGTCTTTGCTGCGGCCTGCATGTGCCTGAAGTGAAATGCCCAACCCTAACTCAAAGGTCGCGACTAGCTCTCCGTCTAGATACGCGAGGGATCCGTGACAGATCCGTCACAGCTCCGTGCCTCTGATGGGGAGAGTGGCCGGGCCGATGACGACGGAGGACTGATGTTTGGTCGGAGGTGGGGGCGGTTATCAGAGGTGTCGTCGATGTGGCGGGAATGATAGCAGGTAAACAATAATACGATTATGAGTCTATGGCATGAAGTAGAGGCTACCGTTTGGCATGTTTCGGGAAGGGGTTTGCACTGCACAAACGGGGCGCAGTCGGTTTGGTAGGTAAGAATGCCTCTCTGGGACAGGCACAGCTGCTGGCGAGAAGAGGCTATGCAAGCTGTCCCGTAAAACTGCTGATGGAAAAGCTGGTTACCAGGTCGATCGATCCAGTCAGAGGCGTACACGATGACACGAAGAGTAGGGAGGGAGGGAGGGAGAGGAGGAAGCCTGGGCGAGGCGTGTGGTGATTTGCTCCACTGAAGTCCGAAGGTACCGTACAGAGAAGAGAATATAGAAGTAGCGATTATAGAAATAGAAGTGGTTACTGGTCAGCGGTCAGCAGTCAGGATGCAGGATTACCAATGGCAAGAGAACAGCCAGACAGGCTGCACTATAGAAGAAAGAGTGAAGCGGCAGCGGCAGCGGTCGAGAAGAGGGAGCCACGACCAATGGACATCTTGAAAGTTGAAAGGGCAAGTTGACGTGGTGTTGGGGTAGTGGGTAGTGGGTGGACCGTGGATGAAGAAATACAACCTTAACCTTTAACCCCCCTGCACTGCACTGCCTACCTAAGGTACCTTAGGTACTGGCTACCGCATCGCCAAGATCCATTTGATCCCATTTTGAACCAATTGGCGCCACGGGCCACAGCGACCCCAGCGCCAGTTCCAGGGCGCTACCTAAACACTAAATAGGTGCCGGGGTGCAGTGGACTGGAGATACATCCCGATCCACAGGCTAGAATCAGGGGACCGACCTGCCGACCTCACCTGCAGACTGCAGTCTTTCATGTGCCTCTCGGTATGGCTGGATGGCAATACAGCCAGAACAGGTTGACTGCAAGTGCACCTCTTGACTTGTCAAACTTCCACTTCCATATCTCTTTCTGCATCCATCCCCTTTGTGCCCTCCACCGAATTATAATTGAGCTTCCATTTCCACCAGAGATTGGAATCCGTTGCCCCGTCGCTCTTGACTTGTCGCGGAATGGCTGCACGACGTCTGGCGAATGAGATGGCGGCCCGTAGAGTGCCAAGGGAGGCTGTGTCGGTCGGAAGGCACAACAAGGTAGTACTACCGTAGTAGTAGCAAGAGGGGTCAGTGACCCAGTCCCTACCTACCCAGTCCCTACATGTACCCGATCCCTGGGTGCATCAGGGATCTACCTTGCGGTCCGCCTGCATTACCACGGTACCACCTACCTTAGCAACTTTAAGCAAGTGATAATTGGGAGTTTCTTCTCCTTTCGCCTCCTTGTTCCATCATCATCGCGATTCTAGACTGCTAGACTGCAGGCCGCCTCGTTAGACTATCCGGAGTCAGATGTCAATTACCTTACCTTAGTTTAGTGGGAACGCTGAGCTATCGTGGCCGCGGCTTTCACAACTTCAACTTAAGCTTTTCATGCGTAGCATCCCATGAAGTTCGACCTCAGCTTCAAAAAGCCTCAACCACTGGGCTTGGCACATAAGAACTGCATTCGCCGGTGAGATGATAACGGCACGTCAGTGGCTTAGGTTTTCACTGGTACCTCTTGGAAGACCGCTTTTCCACCTTGGTCAGTGACGGTGTTGTGGCCAACACTTGGCGATGACCAGAAGACCTGCTTTGCCGATTGCCAATGCAAGCCAAGCTGCTCCAGACCGTATGTCATGTCAGGAACGCACACATCGCCAATGCTGCGATTCACGCCATCATCTGAGAAGTGTAGGATCATCATATCAACCACCAACTAACTGCCTGGAGGTAGATTGTCGCGGAGTGTCTGCGGAGTAACTTTGCACACATGAGAGTAATAAGACTCATCAGGCTTTCTCGTCAGCCTGTCAGCCTCGTGCTCACATACTTCCAGTTCCAACCACGCAAGATGTGTGATGGAAAATTCAAGGTCGTCGTCAATCGACTCTGTCACGAGCCTGCATCAGTACATACCTTAGGTATGTAAGGTATTATGCTGTCCCGCATCAGACCCACTGCGCTATAGGTCTAAGGTAGCACCCGGGCTCCACGTGGAACGCCCCCTCGATGACCATACCACCATCTTTCCTCCTCATATTGGAGAGAAATGACAAGACGTAATAATAAAATATCTGGTCGGTGGTCTACGGCGTTCATAGTAGAGATTTCAGAAGCGTCATTTCTTCTACGCTTGGAGATCGATTCAAATCACGTTGGCACTTGCCAAGTGCCAAGGGTCTTGACTTTACAAATGAAATGAAATACAATTCCAGAGGCAACCGGAGGCAACCAGCCAAGCAGCAATGCCACCGCCCAAATCTTGCATGTGATGATGTGAAGAACAAGATCAAAACAGCAGCTGGTGAAGCGCGGCGCGGGCAAGCTGGCTACCTCACGCAAGCCTCGGAGATGACGGTCACCGGGCCCCCAGGCGGGTCCCCGTCTTCAACTTTCAAAGCAGCTCGAACGAGGCATCTTCTCCGCTTTAACCTCAAGGGTCTGCGAAGCTTTGGTCGCCGACGGAACGATTCCGAGCGAGTCGGCGCGAATGTCGAACTTAGCAATTCTGCCGAATGTTTGGAATTTCCAGTGCGTGGATGTTGAAGGCGCGTCTTCCGCCGATCTTCGTCTTCTTTTCTAATAAAACTTCGTTTCCGACGCGATGGGATCTCTCACGGATCTAACGCAGCTACCACGTACTGTAATAGAGACGAAGGGATGGCAGCTCTTCAATTCAGGATCTGAACCGCTTCAGCCCCTTGCATGCGGTACCCAGCTCTCCTATTCAGCAAAACATTGCCGTAGTTCCAGCCTGACGAAAGCCAAGCCAGCGACACATCTCAAATTGCTCGTATGAAGATCCAGATGTAAGCGCGAGGCGCAGACATGAGATATATAACCAGCCAGCACGCGTGACGCAGTATGTACCGGTGCAGAGGCAGGCAGGGATTCCTCACCATCCCAATACGTGCGATTCGGGTCGATCCTCTCTCCCGGGAACGACGGACATCTGGACTTGCACATAGAAGCAGGGTGTGAAAAAGTACTATAGTATTCGTACGATACCAGGGTGGTACGATATTAGGGTGACTAAGGTAAACGTGTGAAGACTTTTAATTAATCTTAAATTTTATATAATTAAAGTTAAAAAAACGTAGTTTAAATGGCTATTAAACGTATAATACAAGAAGTATATATTAATATATTAATTATAAAAGTAAATTAAGAATATCAAGTTTTATATCTTATATGATAAATAATACTTTTATGCGTTGCATAAATCTTTATAACCGATTAAAAATAAAGCATAATATATACATCCTAACCTTTTTATTTTTAAACCAAATAAAATACTTTTTACTACGTTTCATTTAAACTTTTAATTTTTTATTTAATCTTAGTTTTACAATGTATTTTCTTGTTTAATAATGATTTTATTTAATTATATTCAATCACGTAACTAGTATACGATGGTATACGATAGTAGTACTATAGGTTAGCATCGTATCGGCCTAATACGATACTAGGGTGAGTGATTTTCTTACCCTGCATAGAAGTTAGAACTCGGCACCTACATGAGGCGTCGCACGGCAGCAGCAAGCATGACGGCAGCGCATACGCCTTGGCGAAATGGAGAACACCGGGAAATACCAGAAGACAGAGCTGATGACGAATCGATCATAACACATGAGCCCTCCCTGCGCTGTCAAAGAGCTGTCCAGCTCAGCTTTGCTTCGTTGTCACCACGGCGCTCGCCTTCCTTCCGCCTTGCGGCCCTATTATCATACTCACTCTCACTACGATCGTACATGTCCGCTAACCAGCGTGTCGGATATTCATCTCTCACACCATCTTACCAACTTACCTAGCCGTTGCGAAAGTACCCTACAGCAGCCAAAATGTCACCCAAGCATGGCTGTGCTGGATATATGTCATGTTGTGTACCTCACCTCACCTCACCTCACCTTACCTCACCTCGTCACGTCTCATCTCATCTTCTCCCGTCTCTTATAGGTACTTAAAGTAAGTAAGCAGCACAGCATGCATCATCACACCATGGCCATAACCAGACTCATCATCATCTTATAGGTAGGTACGTAGGTAGTCCACACCAACTGTCCATCACACCAATCGCTTGGAGCCTGGAGTATATCGAAACAATGCATGTCCATCCACAAAGGGACCACGAGGCAATGACATGCAGCAACTTCATACACGTAAATAGAATTGTTTCATCCCATCGAAGGTAGCCGATCCCATTGTACCTAGATTCTGTTTCCCAACCCAGATCCTCCATAATACGACACTCCCACAACTTCACAGCCTCACCAAAGCGTAACACCATCGAACTAAACCGTCGCGAAAGGCCCACGGCATCGCGGTGCTCCGCGACGCGCAGCATACCTTACAGTACATGACACAGCTTGTGCCTCACTTCTCGGCGCAAATATATGTATCGAGACCGTCATCTCGTTCTAAGATCTGCGCACTTACACATGCGTTTCATTTTCAGCCCAGGCCGCCCGCGACTGTCCGTCTCAACTTCCATAGTTTCCAATTTTCCCCGAGGGCCGGGTTCAGGGGCAGTATGTTCCCGTAGCCTCACTTGCTCGTAAGATTGAACGAAACGTCCCGAGTCGGGACAGCCACCCGGCACGCAGATGTCCCGCGGGCGCGGTAGAATTGCAGGACTATAGGCTGTCCCATGTTACTTGAGTTACTGGTTTACCTACAGACAAAAGAAAGAGGCGTTTCGCGTGGGCATAGTGGTGGTGTCCAACCGGCCACGTCCTTGTTTCCCCCCTTTCTTTTTGTTCAAGCATATGTGAAGTGGTATTAGATAACTATGGCTACAGGTCCGTCCGGGTACGCATAACTGACTGTCAGGACCCCAACATTGAGTCTCGCTTCATTACATAATACCTGTCACGATGACAGTCCCGTACTACGTGGAAGCCAGAGTACCTACCCGACGGCATGGTTGTTCACTCTGCGCAGAGACACATCCAGCGTACAGTACACCTGGCCGCCACTTACTGCTCCTTTCACGTCGCCCACTCATACGCATAGGCACATACGTAACTATAGTCCGTCATAAATCCCCGACTTTTAGACAACCACCTATCGACCAACACGGAGGAACCCAAGACCAGCCCCAGCGGGCAGAAGATTAGGTACATATACGGTGAGTATGCCCAACCTTCGGTCGTGTCACCATCTCACAGCCCCCTTCCTCCCCGCCGCGGCTCGCCTGCCGACGGCTGCTGGGAGTCAAAAGACGCCCACCATCAGATGCGCGCATCATCCACCTGGCACCGAGCGGTGCACAGAGCACAGTAGGTAGGCCGTGGCGAGTTACACGACAGCGCACTACATATGACGGGACGTGATGTGATGTGATGGACCTCTCCCTCCTCCCTCTGTGTGTGGCAAATGAAGCCTGGGCTGCTTCGTCGAGTCACACGATGCCATACCAAAGTAGTTTGAGTGTGTGCTAGGGTACGGAAAGGTTGCCATTGAGTCGCCATGCAGTTTTCTTTCAACTGTAGGAATCGTTCAAGACCGGTATATATGTCGTAGAGGAAATCATCACCGAACTCTCCAGCGATATGGGTGTGCAGCTGTTTAACCAGAAGAGATCAGGAGGGTCGGTGAATATGTTGCCCAGTTCGCTCGGCAAACTGTTCGATACTCAGCTGCGGCCTCGCAAGGGGCTTCGGCCGGACACAGCCAGTTGCTTCTGGCGTCTAGATAGTCTATTGTGCCCAGGTGGTGACTAGGTACAGAGGCATGAATTTTCCTCATACACACAACATCACCACAAGCGAGCCCCTATCTACCCACCTATCTACCGCCCCAATTCCACCCTTCGAACCAGCACCAACCCATCATCCTCCTCCTCCCCCTTTCCACTCTCCCCAACCCCGAAGAAGCCCCCAACAGCCCTCCCCAACACCCCCCTCCAAAGCCCCCCAACCAAACCCGTCAGCTCGTCCCCCGTCTGGCGGAAATCCGGAAACGCATTAACCTCCAGCAACCAGACCTTTTCATCCGCATCGACCAGAAAATCCACGCCAAAGACCTCAAACGCGTTGCCCTGCGGGCGGAAGTGCATCATCATGCCCCTGGCCGCGGCCTCGAAGACTTGACCCGCAATCTCGCTGATCTGCGCGAAGATTTTCTGTTTGGAAGAGGTAGGGAGGGAGGAGGCGGGCAGCTGCCAGAAGGACTGCACGGTGCCGTCCGCGACGCTGCGCTGGAGGCAGGTGTTGGTGAGGTGGGCTTCGAGGTCCAGGGCGGAGGAGGAGGAGGAGTTGGTGTCAGGGCCGTTGGGGTGAGAGTGAGAGGGAGACTGGCAGGGAGCAGAGCGAGGCGCCACATAAGGCTTCGCGGCAAACAGCGCCAGCATCTGCCGGTACACATAGACGTCGAGCGCGCCGACGCACGCGACGTAGGTGCGGATGTGGAACTTGCGGTTGCCGCAGCCGGGCAGGAGGAGCGGCGGGTGGATGTAGGGCTGGGCGACGAAGTGGCGCAGGTGCGAGGTCGTGATGTAGTCGTCTGCCTCTTGTTGTTGATCTCGACTACTACTGCCCGCGGTACCAGTGTTCCCATCTTCGTCGTCGTCGTCGTCGTCTCCTTCATCCTCGTCCTCGTCCTCGCTATCCGGCCTCTCGGCCTCCCACTCGTCAAAGATAGCCTGCAGCTCCGCCATGGTGCTGAAGAGCCGGATGCCCTGCCCGCGGTCGCTCATGCTGGGCTTGAGGATCCACCACTCCCTCGCACTCTCACCCCCGTCACCATTATCCTCCTCCCCCTCCCCATACAAACCCTCATTCCGCCCCAAACTAGCCCTAAGATCAAAAGCCTCCACCAGCGCATCATCCAGAAACTCCGCATAATCAAGCTCGAACGCCTCGCTGCGGCCGACGTGGGACGCCAGCACGGACGTGGGCCGCTTGGCCGCCCAGTGCTCGACCGTCGCCGCCAGGTAGTGCTTCCGGATCAGCGCCTTGCGCAACATGTAGCTGTTGACAAGACAAGTGCGCGGGTGCGCGGCAGCATAGTCCCAGTCGATGGCCTCGTAGGGCGTGAGTTGCAGGACGCGGGCGTCAGGGTCGGGGAGGAGGTCGGGGAGGGATATCACGCCCTCGTCTGCATCAGGGGCTGAACCTGATCCATTGTGTTGTACTTGCTGCTGTTGCTGTGATGTTGGTAGTGAAAGCAGCGTGTACGATTCGGGCGGGAACAGCTGTTCTAGCGCGTCTAGGATGAGAGGTTGGACGTAGGCGTCCTCGTAGGCAATCAAGGCGTAGAAGTGGTTCTCTGGCCGATGAGCCAGCGTCGATTCTTTAATCATGGTCGTGGCTGATGGAAGTTCTTCAGATTTGTGATTATCCCTACAGCAGAAAGAAGTAAGATACATGCCGCGGAAGAACCATATAAGCACGAAGCAAACGCTATGTACGGAGACACCTTTGACCGCACCTATGCAACTAGAATCCTGCCTTCCATTTTCAGAGTGCGACCAGGCCACCATAGTCCACAGTATGGGATTCTCCCTTTTCGTCTAGGTTTTCCTGGCCGACCAAAACGCAAAGTCCTAGCTGTCTATGATAGCCGACGTCGACACCCTCATCTGGGACCAGAAGCAATGCAGTAGTAGTAGACTCACAATTCTAACTCCGTCCCATGCAGGTGTTCCGCCGCCTGCCAAAAATTCGCCCTCAATGGTGTTACACTGCATGATCACCCGGTCAGCATCTCGAACTCAACAGGTTCGGAAATTCCAAAAACAAATGTCTGTCACCAGTGATGGAGAGGCAACAGAAAAGACGAAACGTACCTGGTGAGACCCCGATCGACTGCCCAGCCATCGTTCCCGGGAGCCGCATCCCTCACGCTCTGATAGACATCCTCGAACCGCGGCTTCCACCTGAAATGCCGATGTGTATACCCCTTTTCACCGTCCTTCTCCACGCCTCCATCCGCTTTACCATCTGCCGCAGCCTCACCCTCACCCTCGCCCTCCCGTATCCGCTCCTCCTCCTCTTCCTCATCGCCCACACTGCCCTCGACCTCCTGGAAGCAGGCACCACCGCCCCCAGCCCAGTAGTTCTGCAGCATAGGCGTCAAGATAGGCGCGCGGTCCTCCAGACTCCGGGTCAGGGGCACATTGACCGAGTACAGATCCACGCTGCCGTCCGCAGGCCACTGCGCATAGAGCTTCTCGACAACCTTGACGCTGCGCCTCGTCGCCGCCGCGATCACCTCCGGATCATGCCAGTCCGCGCTGGCGGCCGCCGCGTCCGGGGTCCCAGTTCTAAAAAATGCCCAGCTGAGCGCGACGGCCTTGGTGCGGCAGACGGCGGCCTCGAGCGCGCCGCCCAGTGTGCCCGAGCTCAGCGCGAACAGCGCCGTCGTGTTGCGCCCGTAGTTCGGGCCCGATACCACGAGGTCGACGGGGCCCCGGTTGTTGAAGAAGTGGTGCAGGCCGATCTGCGCGCAGCTCGCGGGCGTGCCGTCGACGAGGATCCATTCCTCCTGCACGTCCTTGCCCCGGCTCGGCCGCGCGTGCGTCGTGCCCTGTGTTGCTGGCGCGGTCTTCTCGCGGGGGTCGAACGTCTCTGGGGCCCGGTAGTATAGCGGCTTCACGGTCTGCCCGATCATGTGTGCCTTGCCGATCCAGGAGCGCTGTGTGTGCGGTAGGCAGACGGAGACGGTGTGGCCAGCCTGTTGCAGTGCGCGGACTAGGCTGTGGACGTAGGGCGAGGTCTTTGGGGACGGCGGGCCGTCGTCGTTGATCACGAGGATGTGCATCGTGGCGGTTATTGGGACGATGGAGGGCTGCTGCTGAGGTGTGGAGGAAGCAATTGGCGTCGAGGGCATTGGCAAGAGGTGATAGAATGAGGCCAATAGCTTGTGAAGACCTGATATGGGTATCAACGAGTGTAACGAAGGGTTCAATGTTGTTTATGTATGGGAGCTGCGGTTGCGGAGCCGAAGTGAACGGCGAAACTCGCTTGGTGGGGGCGGGGGAGGCCCATTGCATCATTAGTCCAGGAAAAGGGCTGATACAACCGACAGCTACATCCATAAACCCTCCTTGAGACTGGGAGGCATCTTCATATAAGATGTAGGATGTGCCATATTGGGTCAGTGACAAGTCTCTTTCTTCGCGGTGAGAGTTGAAGGCTAGCTACCACATCGCACTTTCTACATCTTAGCAGTGGCTTGATATGTCACACCTACCAAACCTCTTCACTTTACTATGTACTTTATAAGCAGGTCAAGTGTGTGTCTCAGCGTCGTTATTCCAACAAGAGGAGAACAAGGTTTGTTCCTCTGGCCTTCTACTTCTCGCAAGAGCTGTACATGCAGCTTGACCTTTCCCTCCGAACACATAATAGTCCCGAAGGATACCTACAAAACAAAAGGGGAGACATATAGATTATATAGACTCAAAGGATCCCACGATCTAGCTGCCACTAAAGCTTGGCAGTCTACACGTGGCGGAACATGGCTTCTTTCACGTTGTTCAGCCTCAGGCAGGCAAGAATAAGGGCATGGCACACTAATCAATTGTTTGCGGCGCGTCATACTAATCTGGGCCTGTTCTGGCCATCGGATAACTCTTGGGACTCCTTGGTCTGGGTATGAAATCTGCATAGCCATGTCCATGGCTCCATCTCATGAAAGGCCGTTGCAGGCGGTCAAAACACCTTAACACCATAGGCTGATCCGAGATCCCCTATTCCAAACCGATTCATGACCGCGCCTCGACCGACAAACACTAAGTAGAATATGAAAAAGCTCTGGAAGCCATCGCAAACGTAACGCCCGTTCACCTGAGTACTCTGAATGCAGAAACCAAACCGTCCTCCACAGTTGCGAACTAGGCACGTTGACGCTTCGAAGGCGCATCGGACTTTGCAAGCGCCTCGCCCTCTCGCTTCTGACCGTGGGGCTCTCCGCGACTCTTGGAGCGACGCCAGTCATCGAAGGGGCTACGAGGCTTGCTTGATTTCTTCATCGGCGTGCCGTCCGCGTGATAACGCTTGGTTCCAGTTCGACTGGCGCGCGCGGTGGTGGGGGGTGAAGCAGGGGCAAATCGAGGTGCCTCGGGAGTATCCGGCTTCTCGTCAACCATCTCTAGGGGCGTCTCGGGAGCGTCGGGGTAAGCAACTTCAGCATCTTCAGCAAGGAGTTGATGATCTTCAATGTCGGTAGGAGCTTCTTCATCTTCGATGTTGTGAGCAACTCCCTTGCCCTTCTTTTCAGCAGCGAAGAGCAAGCGGGGTTTGATGGCCGAGCGAGCTATAGGACCTTGTCGTATGGTCTGGTCTGCGCCGTTCACGTCGACCTCGTCATCTTCATCAGCGTCGGCGAATGGGCGCCAAAGAGGCTTTCCACGACTATGTAGAATGTGTGGTTAGTTGCACTTATTGGTGAAGCTCAGGCGAGGTCTGAAAGAAAACCGGGCGAAAACTTACAAAATAACGACCATTCCCTCCTCGTGGTGGCGTGTGGCCTCCTCGATAGTCTGCTTGCCTTTGCCGGGGATGGTCACCTGCGTGCGCTTGCTTCGTCTTCTGGGAGGCCCCTCAGTGGTAGACGCGGGGCCGGTGACATAGAAGGGGTTCTCGGCGGTGTTGTCTCGCTCGGGAACGCGGTCGCGCGAATCGGTGAATATCGGGATGTCCTCGACCATTTCCTCGGCAGCGAAGCTGCCCAGCCCGAGTCCACTGTGCTTCTTAGCAGCCTTCTTCTTTCGCGGAGTCGCAGCGGAGTCGTCCCCATTTGCGAACAGGTTACGCGCAATTGCGCGAGTGGCAGCTTCAGTCTTCGCGTTGGGTTGCTTCTTGGGGGTCTTGGCGGGGGTGGGGAGCATGCCGGTGTTCTGAGACGCGGAGGAGGCCTGGGACTTTTGATGCGACTTGGGCTTGGGACTGATGCCGAGATGGTCGGCAGCATTGGAGGTGCCTTCGGCAGTCAGGGCGCCAGATGCGCGACGAACGGAGTCCATGGCGGGCATGCGCTTCTTCTGAGGTGAGGCAGTTGGAGTCGAGAGGAGGGTTCCAGATTTTCTCGGGGTGCGGGTGGGTGGTTGACGGGAGGAAGAGTGCGGCGACGGAGTGCGCTTGTTCAGTTGCTGGGAAGAGATGCGTGCAGATTTGCGCGGCGAGTAGGGTTCCCAAGGGTCGCTGTAACCGTGCTTGGGTGTTGCGGGGGTGTGGACTCGGCTGGGTGGTGAGGGAGTTGAGGGTGCAGGTGCAGGTGATGAGGCAGAGGCAGCAATTGAAGCTGAAGCCATTGTTTGCTCAGGCAACCCGTCCACGGTTGGCGTGGTGGGTGCACGCAGCGCGCGTTCCAATTTCATCCCAACTCTCCAACTCTCGCAGTTCAGCACGCGCAAAGCTCAGGTACCTTTCCCTCTTTCGACTCAAAAACCGAACCAAGCTGGCTTCTATCGACTGAACCGAAGCACCAAAACACTACAGCTCGGTCACGACGTTGATGGACCCGGGGCGAAGCACTTTGACGTCGGTGGGCACCCAATTGAAGCTTCGACTCCCCCTCTCTCAATTCGATGATCGGAAGACTGTCGAGTAATAGAATATTATGTTGAAAAAAGACTTCAAACGTAAGAATTGCACGTACGGATGATGGCAACAAGAGAACTTAGCTATGGGTGCTCGAGTTGAAAACGGACCGGGAGGTCAAAATACGTGCGGAATGAAGATGTGTGGAATGGGCACATTCTAGGAGCTGGCCGGGCATTGAAATGAAGTGGCAGAGGACGAGCCAGCGACGTAAAGTCAAGTGGCTGGGGCTGGTCCTTATGCAGAAGCAGGGCTGGGTAGTGGTCCCTCTGTCCCTGCGGTCTGCCAATCATAATGGCAAGGGACGATGAGTCTAGTGAGCGAGTTTTGATTGAAACTGACTGCCCGTTACCTAATCGAGCTAGTCTTGACGCCCTGCTCCAGTTCTTGGTGTGATGAATTGGTTTAACTTTCCCTCCCACTCCCAAGACGCGATGCGAGCTACCCGGGACGCGTCGCATCCATCCCCGCCATCGGCTCAAGCCCTATCGATTAGCAGTCATCATGGTCAATTGGCCGCATGGAAGGCCAACACATCGACACCCCCACACAGCAACACCCTTTTACTGTTTTACACAACGACGCATGTCAACCATTACTACTGACACTTGAAACACCTCCCTCCAGCTTCCATGTGCCCGCATAATACCGGCCCTACCTTACGTCACTGAGTCAACATACAGCCTCATTGGGATCCAGTTTGATCCCTTGCCCAATTTCATCTGACTATAATCCTGTCATACATAGTCTTGAAACAACCCCTCCACAACCATGGCCGACGACCACCTAGACGACTCCGACAACGAGGACCTTTTCGCATCGCCATCCAAAAAGCCCGCAAAGGAGCCCGAGCGGCCCAAGACCCCCTCCAACCCAACCAACCGCTATGACGACTCAGAAGATGTGCGCGAGGCAGCCTTGCGACGGGAGCTGGACGGCGTCCGGAACATCAACGAGCTGATCGAGGGCGTGGTCGGGACTCTGGAGCGGGCGAAGGGCAACATGCATGTAAGCCACTCCCCAACTGCTTGCCCAATCTCATCTATTAGACTATTACCAGACGAAAGAACATACATATAGCCACATAACTAACAAACAACCCGCAGACCGTCTCCAACACCGTAAACACCGCCTCGACTCTCCTCAACACCTGGACACGCATCCTCTCGCAAACAGAGCACAACCAACGCCTGCTCCTGAACCCGACCTGGCAGGGCGCCAGCCAGGACCTCGCCGAGCTCGAGGCCGAGGCCGCGCAGAAACAGCAGGCGGCCGAGCGGCGCGCTGCCGACGACGAGCGACGGAGGGCCGAGTCACGGCGCCGCCACGAGGACGAGCAGCAGCGCCGGCGCGAGACGCCGGCCGGATCGACGACGACGACGACGACTTCTGCGGCACCACCGACGCGGTCTGCGAGTACGAGGGCCGCGCGCGGGGTTAGGGGCACGAGGGCCTCGTCGAGGGCCCGGGCGGCGGCGTTGACGAGGGCGGCCCCGGCGAGGGCGGCGAGTACGGGGTCCGCTGCCGGACAGGATACTACCTCGTCGAGTATTGCGAGTGCTAGGGGCGCTTCCAAGATCGGGAGGGGTGGTGGCTTCTTACGCAGCGGATCGAGAGGGACACGGGGGTACTGAAGATAGTACACGAGGAGCATGAACGTTGGTGCTGATATGCTAGCAATGTCATTGTCTCTTCCAAGTGATGGCAAGATAGATATCATGTGGTTCAGCCGAGCTCAACCCAGATCTGATGATATGGGCTATGTGCCGTATACAAGCAACATACAGCCCAGTACTATACATACAATGCCTCGAGCTTCATAATACCCAAACACCTCACGTATCCATCATGGTCAATGCATACATACATACAAGCGCAGACCGGATAATGCAGCCAAGCCACCGCACCCTATCACCGTACCCCCCATACCTCAAAAACTCACTCACGCCTTCTTCTTGAAGAAATCGCTCATCTTCCGCATCCCCTGCGTATTCACCTTCTTCAGGTCCCGCACGCCTCGGCTCTCGCCCGCCTTCTTCTTCGTCTCGTCCTCCTCCTTGCGGCGCTTCTTCTCGGCCCGCTCGGCCAGCTCCTCGTCGTCCAGCACGCGCTTGCGCGAGTAGTCGCCCGCGGACCGCGCGGCAGCCGCCTCGGCGCGCAGCCGGGCGATCTCGGAGAGGTAGGTTTCCAGGGGGGTGAAGTCGACGCCAGTCGTTGTTGTTGTTGGTGTTGTCGTTGTGTTTGCCGCTTTCTTTTCTTGTTGTGATTGTGATTCTGCTTGTGGTTGGGATTGGGATTGGAGTCGGGCTTTCAGGACCGCCGCTTGCGACGGCGGCACGTAGCTCGAGCAGATGAAGTTGAACGCCGTGCGCAGGCGCTGCAGCCGCACCACCTCGTCCGAGGCCTGCATCGCGGGCGCCAGCTCTGCGGTTGTGATGGTGGCTGTTTCCTCTTCTGTGATTACTGTTCCTGCTACCGACGTAGCGGCCGTCGACGCCTCAGACACCAGACTCGCACTCGTCTCCGTCGACGAAATCGAAGACTGGCTCTCCGCACTCTCGATCCTGGGCGTCGACGTCCCGGACTCCGGCACGGAACTCGACGCGGGAGCCTCGGTCTCGGTCGGAGTCTCGGGCTGCGAGTCGGACTTTACTGCGGTGGTAGTGGTAGCAGTATTCTCCCGCTTCACGCCCAGCACGGGCGCTTCCAGCACCCGCGTGACAAACTTCTCCTCCAGGCTCGACGGCAGCACCATGCGTCGCGCCTTGCCCAGCACTTCTGCTAGTAACTTCTCCTCGCTGAACCGGAACATGCGCTCGTCGCCCGCCTGCGCCGTCTCGCACACGGCGGCCATGCGGGCCTCGAGCAGCGCGCGCACGCGGCCGCCGCCCCAGCGCAGGACCTCCCAGAGGTGCAAGTCCGGCGCCGCCTGCTGGATGCGGTCGAAGTGGTCGTCGGCGGGGACGAAGAGGGCGCGTTTCTGGGAGGACTTCTTGTTCTTGGGTTTCGAGGGGGGGGGAAGATGCGGTGGTGGTATTATCGGTTGGGCTGGGTGTGAAGGCCGGCAGTACTAGGAATAGGGGGTCGATGGGTGTCGAGACGTAGAGGTCCGCGCCCTTGGTGATGTAAGTGCTGAACTCAGCGCCGTCGGCTGACTTCTTCTGCTCCTTCTTCTCCTGCAGGACGTCACCCGTCCCGTTTCTCCGTTCTATCAGCCAGCTCCGCGGCGTTGACATCGGCGCCACGATGCGCGTGAACTCGTAGATGCCCGTCTCGGGACATACTAGGTATCGGGTCGGTTTGGAGTATCTGGGGTTGAGCAGTGACACTACGCGCGCCTCTTTCGTGGCCTTTTTGGGGAGGATGAAGATCTTCGGCGGGTTGGCGGACTCGGGGGAGAGGGCATATTTGGACTGTGATGTTGAGGTCTTGGAAATTGAGTTTGATGCTTCTGCTGTTGAGGCGCCGGCGGCCTTGGATCTCGTGGTCCTTGCCATGGTCGATGATTATATGCCAAGGTATTGGCCAAAACTCTACCCGAAAAGATAAACTGATCCAATTGGCAATGTCGAAGAAAACAACCCAAAGCGAAACGATCAATTGGCGTGTATTACGCTTTCAGTAGTCAGTATCATGAACTGTGTTCTCTGAACAGTGAACGCACATGATTCCAATTGACTATAATTGCTACTTGGAGAAGGACCCCTGCCAATCAACACCCGCCAGGCGCGTCCAAGTCGCGTTATTTCCTAGTGCAGGATCCGATAAGGCGCGTCTTCTCCGCAATCTCTCACACTTTACATGTGCGACTGGACTATCCTCATTGGGAAAGGTATCTGACCGAGCTCAATGCGCATATTGGCAATTGCTTGTGAAACTTGACTTTCCGGTGCCAGAGGGTACTGTCATTATTGCAACACTTGGAAGAGGCTTACTGAAGTATTCCTTGGTCTTGGAATTCGAACTGTTGTCACATGTCTCCAGATCAGATAGAGATATTTCCATGGTAGCCAACCACATCCAACAAGCCGGTGCCCAATCCATCGGACAACGCGTGTTGGATGCTTCCACCACATTAGCCAATTTCCATACCGAGTGCCTGATATAGCACAGGGCCCCTGCAAAGTCTCGTTGGGGTGCGAGGAGGAGACGAGATTCTGCAAATTGAACAACAAGTATAGACCACTATGCATCCTAGTATGCTACGGAGCTCGATAACACCTGTCTCTCTTGACAGTTTGCTTACGATATGACAGGATCAGGCGCAGACCCGGACGCGCAATGGCCGCCGAAGTCACCTCACGACGTCCTGATGAGCACCCCCGGCGGACGCGAGCGATTGCGACGGCTAGCCGAACGAACATCCCCATCACCATCACCAAGCAAGAGATCCAGAGCAACGCCTGCGCTGGGCGCAAGATCTGCGAACCCAAGACGGGACGATGCGGAAGTCGACGATGGTATCGACGTAGATGACGATGAAGACGAAGAGATGCTCCAATTGAAACTGGCTGCCATACAGGCGAAACTCAAGCTGAAGAAGCTGCAAAGCGCACGGGCGAAGAAAGATGTCGATGTTGAGCCTAGTTCATCGCGACCCGAGCCGGCGTCTATACCCAATCATGCAGCAACGAGCCGATCACAATCCCGCGCCGAGGCCATGCGATTGGGCCAGACACTACCACGGCCACAGTCGCAGGTGGAGGTACAAGTCCCGGCATCACCAGTCAGAAGAGCTCAGACAGCGCAAGGCCATACATCTCCTAGTAGAGTACGGCTGGGCATCGACAAAGGCCTGAAGGCAAAGGACATCTCCTTGAAGCGGGTACCGAGTGTGAGGAGACCTCAGGAGGGTCAAAACGGATCACAAGGAGGCTATCTTCGGAGAGCACGCACACCAGCTCCGGGCGCAACGAACCAGGAACGGCCAAAGACTTTCAGTGAGAGGCTGGCAGAATCAAGGGCCGAGGAAACAGGTCGGCGGGAGCGTCAAGAGAGAATAAAGAAGCTGAGGACGAATGCTTTCGACCTTGGCAAGCAGGAGATGGATCAGTTCAAGAACAGTGCAACAGAGATACCCGATATATCCATAGAAGCAGAGCAGTACAGTCGGGATGAGGTGGTGGCTGGCGGCGGTATTAAAAGAAGCAGCACGATGCCCAGTCTAGGGCGACAGGATGAAGACCAATCAGCAAACAGTTTCGCAACCTCAGAACCCTGCGAGTACAGCGGCACGACTACTCGCAAGAATGTCCCTCCGTCTGAAGTCCCAGAGGAAGAGGCTTCAGCGTTCGAACCGTACTCCAGCGTCCATCTCTCGAAGCGAATCATACCACACCCAGTATTGACACGCAATCTAGCTGGGAAGAAGACATACGTCATCAAGGATCTCTTGAAGCACGTCAAAGCGCCAGACTTCCAGTTGGCAGAGGTCGAGCAGGACATAGTGGTCTTCGCCATCCTGGCCTCCAAGTCTGAGCCTCGCGCACACAAGAACACAAGCAACCTCAAAGAGAAGACGGAAGTAGACCCGGCACGCGGGAAGTTCATGGTCCTGAAACTAGTCGATCTACAATGGGAACTCGAGCTCTTCCTTTTCAACACCGGATTCGAACGTTACTGGAAACTGATCCCAGGCACACTCATTGCGATACTCAACCCGACCATCATGCCGCCCCCACCAGGCCGCACCGACACGGGCCGGTTCAGCCTCGTCATCAACAGCGGACAGGACACGATCCTGGAGGTGGGCAACGCGAGAGACCTGGGGTTCTGCAAGAGCGTCAAGAAGGGCGGCGAGTACTGCAGCAGCTGGGTGAACCGCAAGCGCACCGAGTACTGCGAGTTCCACATGAACCTAGCCCTCTCCAAGAAGCAGCAGGCTCGCCAGGACGTCAACGCTTTCAACACGGGGCTCGGACCCAACAGCAAGAAAAAGGGGAACTCGTACCGTCTGCCAAAATGGGAGGAGCACGCCAACGATCCCAAGAAGAGCAAAAGGGGTAAGTACGACCGCGAAACCCACAGCGCCTGGTTCATGCACAAGCCCAGCGCGGCGGCCATGCTCGACAACGAGGTGCTGGGCGGTAACTACGGCCAGGTGACCGACACAGTCGAGCGCAGTCAGGCACTGCGGCGGCGGTTGGCCACCCAGGAGAAGGAGCGCGACATCATGAAGAAGCTGGGTCAGGTCGGCAGCGGCGCCGGCAAGGAGTACATGTCAATGGGGCCGCAAAAGCCGTCGAACCCCAAAGACGGGTTTGGCTCGAGCATGGCATCCAGCACCACACAGGCGACCGAGGACGGCCGGCCGCCCCAGCTGGACGCCAAGGCCCTGGGCCTGGTCCATGAGAAAGGCTCGGATCGGCCCAAGATCCACCTCAGCCCCGTGAAGAGGAAACGCGTCGACAGCGCCATGTCGTGGAATGCGCCGAATTCGTCCGCGCTGAGGAGTAGTTCCAGCGTACAGGGAACGAATACCGCGAATTCAAAAGTCGGCCTGGGCTGGGGCGCCCCTCTCAAGGACAAGCTGTCACGCATGAAGGAGGGCGAAAAGCTAGCTGGCCGCAATAGCAATAAAGGGGATGAGGGGGACTCCTCCGAGGTTCAACAGGTGCCGAGTTCGAGTGTTTCTGGCGGCGCTCCTCCCGCACTCAGGGCTACTACTACCGGGGATGGGAACAAAGACAGAGCCCGGTCGCCGGCTCGAAAGAAGACTCGTTTCGTCACTGAGAAGGGCATCCGCGAGGCTGGGCGCGAGAGCCTGGGCGATGAGCTGGTGATTGCCAATGCCAACGTCAATGCTTCGGGCGCCGATGCTGATGCTAGGAAGGGAAAGGGCTCCTCTGGAAAGGCAAAGGGGGTCCGCATGCATGGGCGCGGGATGGTCGTGCTTGATGATGACGATGATGACGATTTGCTTATCCTTGATTAGGTAGGTAGTGCCGGCGGGCGATGGACCGCTGGATACGGATGCATGCCCGAGCAGAGCAGGGCTTGTTTGGAACTGCCATGTTTGGAACGGGAATGTCCTATAGAGGGAAACTATGAAGGGGGAAAACAAGAAGCAAGGAGTCTGGGAGCATGGGAGCAGCCTGACACGGCCACAGAAGGGGGTTAAGGAGTTCCGGGTGTCTAGAAATCAGGGCAGTAAGGTAGTCAGAGATGGGTCACGATGACCCATTCACTCGCACTCTAGTGTACTTCAATGTTACTACTCGGGCTCCTCAAAAAATTCTCATGTGGTAGAGAGCATAAATAAGTCATGTCAATGGTCTCGAAAACTGGCAATTAAGTTTACGTTCTTGGCTATCCAGATAACGGAGTAGAAGAACGAAGTTATGTACCATACGGAGCACCATCAAAGCGATCAAAGCGATCACCGTGGTTTTTGTCTTTATTTCAAGGGAACATGCAACAGCGTCATGTATTTATGGACGTAAGTACTGCTCGTTAGTCTGAACGCTGGTATCGACGACTATTCTCATCTTACCATGACGAGCTTCTGTCCACTTGTGACGTGTACAGCAGCTCAAATGGCTCTTCGCCATAACTTGACAGCGATCTCGTCATTCGGTCGGCAGTGCAACACTCGAAGTAGTAGTCTGTAAATGAAATGAGTTCGGGCAAGTGCCATTCGAGGCATGCCTCACGGGCCGCTGTGTCAGAGTTCGGTAACATTAGCTGCGAAATCTGGGAAATCTGCGAAATCGAGGTGTTTTGAGTGACGGCCTCAGTGCTGAAGTCCATGCGAGCGGACCGTCCATGCGAGTATGATCATTCCTCGCGCTTCGCAGTGATTGCACGAACAATGGTCATCTTGGAGGTACCCTTCAATTATGCGTTCTCGAGAGCTCGAGTCCCGACTATCCACACGAGTTCGAGGTGATCTATGATGTTGAAGAGAGCATTGTGGCGTCTATCGTGGTATCCATTGCGTCGTATCCTCCCATGCTTGCTCCCTCAAACTCATACTCTTGCCTCTCTCCACAGCCGCAGCCAAAGTATCCTCCAGCCACAGCGTATACTTAGCCATCACTGCCCTCGCCAATCCCGCACGCGCAGGCCTCCAGACCTCCCTCAGAAACTCGGTGCTCTCTCTCCATTGCTCCCTCTTATCCCACACGTCGTTGTACTCTGCCAACCGCTCCGGACCCTCGAAGCACACGCCGTAGAATCTGCAAAAGCTCCGATACTCCAGGGCACAGTCCACACTCTTGCCCATGAACAGATAGGGCCACAGGTGCTCCCAGACCCGGCCGACGATATAATCGGTCCAGCCCGTGGCCACGAGCCACCGCTCAGCGCGTTCGTACTGTTCGCGCGGCCGGCTCCGGATAGCTTCCCTCGTCACGGCGAATTGCGAACAGCACGGTCCAGCCAGGATCTCAGGGACCTCGACTCCGTCGCCGAAAGTGGCCTGGAAGGCCCCCTTCACCCACGGCTCTTCCTGCTTGACCGATTCCGCGGCCGTCTTGGTCGTGTTGATCCAATCCGGACACGCGTTCTGCCAGTTCGTCCGCAGGTTGTAGTATCCGCGCCGCTTCACCTGCTGCAAGTCCAGCCGCGACAGTGCGAACGTCATGGACTGGTGCAGCGCGGGATCCATGTGCCAGGGCCGCTCGTGCGCGTGTATGAAGATGGAGATGTCTGGGAGCGCGTCGTAGAATTCACTGATGTACCGGAAGTACATCAGTGCCTCGCGACCCTTGGCGACGGGCGGATGGTAGTGGGCCGAGGCATTGTCGCTGACGTAGCGGATGACTTGCATATTGGGCACTCTCAGGTTCCACACCCAGTCGATGTCGTCCTCCTGCGTGGAGGCGACGACGAGATGGACTTTGGTCGAGGCGTCGGCAGCGGGGTATGGGTAGTCGGCGAGGTCATGGTAGTCTAGACGGTGGAAATCGAAGCCGTCGTTGTGCCACGCTGGTCGGAGGTGGTAGAGGAGGAAGTACGCGAGCGGAGCGAGGATGCCAGCTGCGAGGAGGGTGGTGCGAGGCCGGAAGGGGCTGACAATCATGGCTTGTGGTGATGGGCGAGCTTGGCGAGACGTCTCCCGTGCACCGTGTTGATCGTGACATGCACATGCACATGCACATGCACATGGTCTGGCATGTCTTGGCCGCCGATGGTGGGCTGGACTATTATGCTTGGCGGGCAGGGGGACAGGGGGGACGCATCGATCCACATAGTTCTAGAACACTGCCCAGTGGCGCCGGCGCGACGTCTTCCCTCCGCTCTCGCGACACCATGCAGTTCAGCAGCACGCTCACGAGCATCGACAAGATGAACGGCGTCTCGAAAATCAGATTGTCACCCTCGAAGAATCCCGTCAGCTGCACAATCGAACCACTGCAGTTCAGCACCTAATCAAACCATTTCGGGACGACGATATTCGAGCAAGCCAAGACCTACTGCTGCGGAAAGGATAAAGCGGTGTCGCCGCGTCCAAGCAATTATTGCAAAAATTCGATGTTTGGAGACGGCTATTGTGACGTACAGGTAAAAGAAAGGTCTGCATGCGGCCGAGAACAGTCTGTTGACGGGTCAGCGTAATTATCAGTAATGGACACGACATTCATGACTGCAAGCGGACGGGACTGACGGATGGCATTGCGGCGAAGATGGCGCCGAACTTGCCAAAAATGCCCATGAGAATGATCATCACGCTGGCACAGTACCCGGCCCTTCGACTCTGTGAATTGAGTCAGCTACCTTCCTCACCCGCTCGGGGTGCTCGAGACTCACTGCGTTGCTGGTGACGACAATGACACCATTGTTGCCTGCATGGCTGATCATGCGAATCGTCATTCACAACCCGTTACGGGTGTTGAGGGGAGGGTTGCGATGCCGTAGCCCTGGATGGAAAGGTGGGTTTGTTAGATGGAGTTCTTTATGTTTGTGAACAGATCATAGGGTACATCAGTGAAGTCTCCCTGAGACTCCCGAAATTGGTCGACCGTGACTTGGGGATCGTTCTGGCATAGTCGGAGTCTCCGCGCAATACCATACCAAAAAGACGCTTGGCTTCTCCTCTGTAGAGAGAGGATGTGAGGGATGTTCCTACGTTCGACAGAACTTCGACCACTGCCAAGCCCGTCCGCTGAGCGACAGTCCGAGGGCCACCCAAGTGCCATAGGACCAAAGCCTTCCGAAAGCGACATGTCTCGACCATCTCATGCAGCTTCTGATTAACTTCACTCCGTCCCTTGCATCCAATACACACATACGCCCTTGTCGCCCCTTTCCATAACGTGTAGCCAACGAAGCGCATGAAATCTCGAACCAGCTCAAATTCTCCCACTCACCTCAGCCCCAGTACCTATCGTCCCCACACTCCAATAGTAGCCTTAAAATACTCTATCTTACACGGTCGCCAATCTCTGATCTTCCGGCTTCAAAAATACCACCTGTTTCCATACACCTTGACGACCAGATCAGCGTCGATCTGCATGCTCCCCTCATTGGCATGGTTCCCAAGCTTGGGCTGGAGCTCAGTCTCGTCCTTCAAGGCTCCCATCAGGCCATTGATGATCTCTTCCATGGACTTCTTGGCGCCATCCGAGGTGTCGAAGTTTCCGGTGTCGGGCACAGCCACGTAGACCTCCATCCTCTTCAAGTCGAGGTCCCGGAACAAGGTGGGCCAGGATCTGGTTGTCCTTGTTCCCGTCGTGCTGGTCGCCGATCATGGCGATGCCGATGCAGCTGACCAGGTTCTCTGTCCACAGTCTGCCGGAGCGGGCGGTTTTGATATCCCCAACTTCAACATTGGTGTATCCGGCAGGGGGCCCTCGGGCCACCAGAAGGCTGCGCTTGTCATCCGAGTTTCTACAGATCTTGCCCAGCTCCTTGAGGTTCTCGAGGTTGTTGTACCACTCGTGTCTGCGAGCGAGGGCGGCATCTGAGTGGCTGTAAACGAATCAGCAACAATCCAAGTCTCGACGACACGTCGTGATTATACTGAAAGATTTCGAGTACGCTGCAAAGGGCAGACGAGACCATAAGGACGGTCACCAAGAGCGACGACATGTTCAGAAAAAAATGCATTGTGTTGAACCTGATGTGTGGATAGAGGTGAGTAAATGGGGTTTAAATATTCGCGATGAACAGAGGCGTCTATTGTAAATTTTTGTTCTGTTGAATTGTCGATAGTGAAGAATGGAAAGACAAACGCTGCGCCATTTATTTAGAACACACCAGCTAAAGTATCAACCAAGTCTTCATTTTTTAGTTTATTTTCAACTATGGACCACACTCTTAGGGTTTACTCCTTTTCAAAGATCCTCCACAGGTGTCTAGGATGGTAATGGTTACGGTTCTACATTTCTGGAAGTTTTATGGTCCAGACTTTACCTGATTAAGCATGCAAAGTTTTGATCTATAATTATCTGCGATAATGTGTAGGACTTTATGGAACTCTACGCCGGGCGAACATCTCCTGGAGTATTATTAGCATAGATAGACCTATGATCCCAGCCGGAGGAACCGTTAACCATTACCATCCCGGATACCTATATTTTTGGTGTTGTGGAGTTATTTTATATATATGTTTGTTTGTTTTGTATTTAACGTGGGGGATTGCTCCTCAGTAGTGCAAACCACGCCTCTCAGAGCCTCTGCATCGTAGGGTTGTGGAGGTATCAAGATAATAAGTACAGTCAGTCCCGCTCACAAGCCCATCCCCGTTGTTGTGGCGGTATGACCTTGGGTTATCCATCTGGTCCTTCAAGAACAGCTATCTATCAAGGGCAGATTGATGAAAAGAATTTGCTCTTCTCCACGAATTTTGCCCATATTGTGCTCCTCTCTCCTAAGTATTATAAACAAGCTGTCCTAGGCGAGTACCTAGGCAGCAGCCAGTATTTCCCCAGCCTCTTACAAAGGAAAATGTGTTGTGGTGTTTTCTTTTCACCACAGCTGCAGTGATCATTTGAATCTGTATGCCCAAAGCGTTCGTGGTATCTGGCAAAGTCGACATGTCCAGATCTAGCCGTTAGACGTCTGTATAAAGTACTCCTCTTAAAAGATATAAGGTCTCTTTTAGTTATTATATGTGAATATACTTCTTGATATTTAGGTTCTGATTGGTCTTTTTATCATTAATTGAACTCTTTCTTGCCCTTTCTTTTGAGATCTCTCTTGATCCATGAGATTGTGGGAAGATTTGTTATGTCTGTTTCTAGCATGGCACCCTCTTTTGCTAGTGTGTCGGCAGCTTCATTGCTATCAATATCTCTGTGTCCAAGAATCCACTTGACGGTCACTCCAGGAGTGTGTGCCGTGGCAAGTTCTTGGAATCGTAGAAAAATGTTCTGTGATGTCTCAGGTGGAGTCCCATTGAGCCTATCTATCATTGCTGTGTTATTCAGACAGACATATAGTTGTTTTCCGTGTCTAATTGTACTGGCTGTTACAAGCCCTTAGAGAGCATCATGGACTTCAGCATCTATTACTTCTGCTTAGAGAAGTCTGCCCTTTCCCCGGTATACTTCTTGTGTAGTGTTGCCTTTCCTGATGGTGTAGCCCCATCCAGTGCGGGTTGTGCCTTTGTCGTCCAATTGTGATCCATCTAAGTAGATAATAAGGTCAGTGTTCATATTTTTCTCTTATAATTATTCCTTAAAGAGCTCTGTCTTTTGGTCTTTTTCCTTTAAGATTGGGGGCTTTTTTCATGATGTGACGGCCTGCACAGACCTTCCCACATGACAAGTGGATACTTCCTAATAGGGGAAGGATCTGACCAGAGGATCCCCTTAAAGGGGCAACCTCCCACTGTACCTATCTCTCTCTCTCTTCCTTTCCTCTCTAGTCTTGATATTCTCGTCAATAGAGTAATAGCTGCTTGCTGCCGGCCATGTCCCAGCTCCTCAACACGCTCGCCGTGACAGGCGAAGGTCATGGTGGGCTTTACTATCTCTAGCCCCCCAGGGATGGTCTTCCTTTTGGGCGGATCTCGGGTTTCTAGCCACTTGCTCAGACATTTAGAGAAGAAAGCGCTGAACTCCTTGGCATGAGAGTATAGTTCGGTTCCAACTTTCTTAAGTGTCTTATTAACCGCTATAGCACACTCTTGAAACATTGTCATCCTGGCTTTATAGAAGTGCTTGTCTTTAGCCAATATTCTGGTAACTTGATCCTAGCACTCTGAAGAGAAGGCTTTATTCCCTATATCGCGTGTAATGGCTTGATTTGTCGAGATTTTATTCAATTGAGGTTGTTTCATTCTAGTGGTGCTGTTGTCATTGATATTTCAGGATTTTCCTTTCAGAGGGGAAATAACGGTAAAGTCAGCCTTAGAGACCTGTGACGGACTGCTGCTGATGTCGTCAAGCAGCGCCTGGCGGAGCCTGTTTAGAGTTGCCGGGCCGTATGTCTTTCTGGGGGCCGGGGATTTGAGCATGCCGCCGGTAGTCGTCTTTGGGACGGCCATGGGCGTGTTTGGGGGCCCGTCGTGAAAGGGTGCCATCCGGCTTGTGGGAAAAATTCTCTTGTGTCTTGGCAAAGATAGTCAGTTACTGAGAGAAGTGCCTGTTTTAGTGCAGATATCGAGGTTGCGCCCTAACAGCGGGGCGCCAAGAAAAATAGTTGTTTTTGTTTGGTTGATTTTATATATAAAATAAAGGGGCCACCCATCCTTAAGGATCCTCTAATAACATATTTTTAGATTCCAATCCTCTGGCCTAGCTGGTCACATGCCTACCGTGCCTTCAAAACTCTCTGACATCAACCACCACAACAGCATGACGTTGCTAAACAGCGTCTATCAACCTCCACTGGAATTAGATCCAGCTGGCTCGTTATGCTTTCCTCAGTTCCCACTACTACCCCCCGAGATTCGGTTAAAGATATGGGAGCACTCCCTGCAACGCCACCTCCTGGTGCAGGTCAGCATCAAAGCCAAGCGTGGGCTGCAGAAAAGACTGGCAGCCTGTCAACCTCCCTACTCTGTCAATAATGAGCTCGGGATACCCATCAGCGGCCCACGATACCTCGCAGTCGTCAAGGGGACGACAGCCATACATACGTCGGATCCAATCCAACGCACGCCGCTCGACTTTGGGGGCGGCTGATCAATAGATGGGAGATCCACCACAAGCATCCAGTCGACTACCGCATCCTCCTAGCAGAGGAACCGAAGAGCGCGAGCTGGCGAAGCACAATCCACAGCGCCGAGGATGCAGATAGGTACATCCAGTACGAGAGGGGGACTCAGGCCGGCGCTGGCGAGTTCAGAGACACCATGGACTGCAACAATGGCACCAGGGAGGAAAAGAAGAAGTTATATGCCGACATGTTCAAGGCTTATACCCCTGGTAGCGACACATCTTGGGACGAGTTCAAGAGGGAAGTAGAGGCGGAGACGGAGACGGATACCATGAAAGCGGAGGGAAAGCTGCTCGAGCAGAAGGTGCTTGCTGCAGAGACTGTCAAGACGGCTATGGGTTTTTGGAGTTTTCCACTGGAAGCCCTCGGGATTGATATGGGAGCCAGAGACGATGATCAGTGGAGTGGAGATATGGATACCGTGGTGGACATGTCGGGATATTGGCCAGACTTGGGATTATCGTGCTTGTCGTAGGTATACATATCAAGCAGAGCAGATCACTAGGGTAGTACAATCATAGCGTAAGGATGTTATGATGGGTGGTATACCGTGCCGAGTGAAACAGATGGAGGGACTCTGTACAGGATGATCACTGTCACGACCCCAATCGACTTGTCTCGTGGATCTATGGCCAATATACACAAGTCACAAGCCTCTTAGTAGACCCTGAAGTTCAGTCCAGCATTATAAGCAACCCCTTCCTTGCGGTCAAAGAGCTTAATAAAAAAATCGCAAACCAGGTAGGGGGGTTAAGTATTCTTGAAGCACCGACAGCGGTTTCACGAGAACCTCATCAGTAGAAACCCCATGTGCCAGTGGCCACAGCAACATTGGACACTCGAGACGGTATCCCATCGGCTGGGTTTTCATGAGACTATTTAGACTGCCGTTACTTAGAAAGTGTCCCCACAAAGCCTACTTTACAGAGCACTGAGTGGAATATAAGCCATCGACAAACAATCAAATACTTGACCTACTTAACCCAGTCCTAGTTCATTTAATCTGTTATAAATACCCCCTAGTGGGTTCCAAACCGACATAGCGTTAAAGAACGTCATATTCGATAAGGGTTCAGCGCCGCGGAGCTCACGCATCTAAATAATGGGCTTAGCCTGTCCGCATTTCAATCTCTAACCTCCATTAACGTCGACCTGACACACTACGATACAGATCCAGTCGCTTCCAAGCCTAACTAACCCAGCCCAAAACGCAAGGCGTAATAGCGGCTAGGGTTTCACACATTAAGCGTAACTTTACAAAAACATTTCAAGCGCGTTAAAGCTGATCATACGGTGTTATAATCCGACTGCTAAAAGACTTTAAAAATAACGTTATCAATATACGTAAAGAAAGAAAAGAGCCATAAAGTTAACTAAGAAATAAAAACAAGTATATATAAAGGTTAGTTTATAAAACTATATAGTTAATATTCAATGCCGTAATGATACCTTTTTTTTAAACCGTAAGTGACCGTAATTATAATGATAAAATTGGTATTTAAAACAGCTAATATAAAGCCGGAACGGTGCGGGTACTTAGGGTTGTTTAAAGCAATTTTACTCCGTTTTATAGCTTTTAATGTTTATATTTTAATTTCTTTTGTATATATTTGTTCAATCTTACTTTTGAAGATTAATAATTATAAATAGCTATTAATTTATAACCGAATTAACTTATTTAAACTTTGTTAGATCTATGCAATTCCAGCCTGCAAACCATCTATACCAAGACCCACATGTATGATTAGATAAGAGATAAGATACCGGATTGTGAGGTCACTTAGCCAGACTTGCAGGTCCAGCTAGACTTCCCAATCCAACCATCAGCAACATCATGACCTTGACCCCATACTCGAGTATTATGATTGATCGTTCAAGTCTGTTCCAACACTGATCAGTGTTGTCTCCCAAGACAACACAGATAAGCAAGGAAAAGAAGAGGTCTTATAATATCAACGTTCTTAACACGAGACTCGGGATACAGCCAAAGATCTGGATCTTCTGTCGCAAACGTTCCTCAAGAGGCGATTTGAGGCACAGCACGAGATCCGAGGTTTTCTACTGCAAACATTCCTCCAGAGGCAACTCGAGGCAATAGATTACGCTGCAATCACAGCAATACTCATATCCCGCGCGGCAGCACAGACTGTTGACAGAACCCTCCCCCACACATCCATCTGACGCGCCCGTCCGACATACGCCCATCCGACACCTGCCAGATTGTTGACAGAACCACCTGACACACATCCATCCGACACGCCCATCCCACACGCCCATCCCACACGCCTATCCCACACGCCCATCCGACACGTGCCCATCCGACACGTGCCTATCTGACACGTCCATCCGACACGTCTATCCGACACGCCCATATCCAACACAAGTACATCCGACACGAGTACATCCGACAAGATGGCCTCCAGCAGTGACAACAGCGAAATCCAAGTCGCTCAAGACCCCGCTGACATCCTGAGAGATAAGAAGCTACGATACCTTGGCAGGCACAATCTACATGCCAACCTTGTCGACTCCATCGACCTCGATATGATCCATCCAGTCGATCTGAGAGATGACGACACTATTCACATCAACTCGTACACCCTAGCCTGCATTAACCGCTATAATGGCAATGAGAAGCCTGTCCCTTACGACATCTTTGAGAGCTTCCAATGGACTTTGAAGAATGGACAAAAGACAACTTCGAGAAGATTGAACGAACCATCCGAGGCATTTTCCGAAAATGCCTTATTTCTCAAAGAATCTATCTAGGCAAGGCAAACCACTCTATCGCGGACGCACTTGCCAACCTCGTAACCGCAGAAAACCTTCCTGTCTGGGACAAGATCACGCTTGACAGGACGAAACTGTTATATCCAAACCCTGACCTGTAAAAAATGGTTGAAGGTTACATGGCTATCCAAGCACAGAAAAACGGTGATGACGCTGATTCATCCAATACCAACACACCTGGTTTCGATCTTCAAGACGAAAATGACCCCCCTCCTGCTAATACTACTAACCTCGAACCTACCAAGCAGCATGTTTCATAGAGCCATATCGCGTTCCAGAGCATTGACAGTAATCAGTTAAGAGATACTTTACGAACACCTGCTCCGATACGTCCCTAATATCGGAATCCCTCACAGACTCCGCAAGCCGGATTCATACCTGGACAAACCCCAATGGCATACGCAATTGACTGCTTCGTTCCCGGTCCTCGACATGTTACTGTTACACCGGACCCCGGTTTCAAGACCTATCAGCAGCACAATCAATGGCTTCAGAACCAGCCACCTGACCCATATACGCAGATCCCCCCTGCCCCGGTAGCGAACAAAGATCTTGCTTTTGCAACCATCGCTACGTTCGTTAAGATATGGACAAAGGAAGACTGTTACTCCGGAAGACCGTATGATATCCTGGACGACAAGATGCGTTATTTCCTGAACACGTGTTCTACCATTGGCATCAAACCTGGTCAATTCCACGCGGTATTCCCTCAAGTGCTTACTAGCACAGCCTGAATATATTTCATGCACCACGTTAGCCGTCACTTCATGTTTTCTGACATGTATAATCGTCTCAAGATACATTTTGACACAGAGGTCAACAGGACGCAGTATCATCGTGATTGGTCTGCAATTACCTACGGCAATTTGAAGGCACGACCCGAGAATGCCAACAAGTCCAATATGGACGTCCTGGAGGCATTACTTGACAAGCTGCAGCTTTGTCAACGCGCCCTCGGCCCATCATATCTCGGTGAGACACAGCTAATTGCAGCTGTGGAACGCGCCTGCCGTGGCGTCAAGGAACTCGAATATGCATTGTTCACCCCGTCTCATACATTCGAGGCTCTTGCATCCAAGCTCCGACAATCACTCCAGACCTCTGAAGACTCAACCAACAGCGCCCAGCATGCTGCCAATCAGTACTTTACTGATCGCAAGTTCCACCGGCAGAAAGACAAGCAATACAATAAACGAGATGGCAATATTACCAGACGTTGTTACATCTGTAGTGACCCTGACTGTCGATCGTGGAAGCATTCTCCAGAGGAACAGCAAAAATCCAAAGAGAAATGGCGGCACAATCAACAGTCCCATGGACGACCGACCACAGGCCCTGCCTATATTCACTTCCTGGCTGACTACAAGCCAGATCTTGACTCCGACCCCGATAACACGCATGATCAACACGTCATGGATTCTGGAAGCAACAGCAGCAACGATGCTGTACAGTACCTCATAGCCACCTTACTTAGTGACCAAGCGTTTCAACATTCAATTACTGCCACGGACAACTCCCAGGTTGGGTTCGAGTCTAACAGCTTCATACTGGATAGATATGCCAGTTCTACATTCCAAGGAATTATGCCTGATTCTGGCGCTGCTTCTGTTTCAACAGCCGGTAAGGGTCAGTTCCTAGCCTTATAACGCGAATTACCCTTAGTCTCACTTGATAAATCGCGCGCCGGAGAAGCTACAGTTCAATTCGGTGGAGGAGAGCTTCTAGATTCTCTCGGCACGATCTATGTTAACACCCCCATTGGAGACGTGACGTTTCACGTCGTTGATACCCAGACTCCCTTCCTCCTCTGCCTAAAAGACTTCGACAAGCTTGGCGTAATGTTCGACAATATTGCCAATAGGATGATCCGACTGCGAGATGGCAAGTCCATCCCAATCACCCGCAAATGGGGTCACTCCTGGTTCTTCCCCTCAGCAATGACAACCGTATCAACCGGTGTTTTCCTAACAGAAGTGGAATTACGACGCGTTCATACCCGATTTGGACACCCTTCTGTTGACAAGCTTTACAAGCTCTTGGAAAAATCTGGCAACGAGGCTGATCGAGATGCCATTGCAATGATCAACAAGTTTTGCCATCACTGTCAGGTCAAAGGCCCATCACCACAACGCTTCAAGTTTTCCATCAAGAAGGATGTTGATTTCAACTATGAAGTCATCGTCGATGTCATGTACTTGGAGAGCAAGCCCGTCCTTCACTGCGTTGATGCCGCTACAGCCTTCCAGGCAGCCCAATTCCTCCCCAACCTGTCTGCCAAGGAGACCTGGGAAGCATTGAAACGATGTTGGATCAACACCTATCTTGGTCCTCCAGATGTCCTAACGCACGACGCTGGTACCAACTTCGCAGCCACAAAATTCCGAGCTGAAGCCCGATTGCTTGGAATCACCTGTCATCAGATTCCCGTCGAAGCTCATTGGTCGATTGGCAAGGTTGAACGGTATCATACCCCCATTCGACGCTCTTACGAGATCATCCGAGCTGAATCATCCGGGATCTCTCAAGAAGCTGCCCTACAGATGGCAGTAAAAGCCATGAACGATACCGCCGGTCCTGATGGTCTTGTACCAACACTCTTGGTCTTTGGAGCCTATTCACGCGTTACGATGGATTCGCCCCCGACACTATCACAGCTTCAATGTGCCCAGGCCCAGGCCAAAGCAA